TCGTGCATCTCGTGACAAGCATTAAAGTACTTGAGCTGAACATGCGTGATAGTGTTTGGCAATGCGTGCCGTCACGGTACCAACAGCAGCGGTAATACGACTTGAGATTGTTTCGTTCGGTTCCAGCCGGGAGCGCTTGAACGCAGCCTTCACTTGGTTGAAGACATACTCGATCGGGTTCAAGAACGATGAGTACGGAGGCAGAAAGAGCATCCCATACCCGCGGCGTGCAAAAAGCTCGCGCACTTCGGGTGTCTTGTGAATGCGCGCGTTGTCGAGCACGATCCAGGCTTTGTAGCGATGATGTCCCGGAAAGCTGACACCTGGGTGCTCTTCGCTCGGTACGAAATAGGAAGTATTGTCATTGTGCTCATCAATCTCGTCTTGAATGAGTTCTTCGTGTGGTGGAACGTAGACGCCGCCATCATCGTTGTCATCATCGTCGAGAATCCTGCGACGAGAACGGCGCTTCTTTCTGGTCGTCGAAGCAGAGGTTGAAGCAGAGGTGGAAGCAGAGGTGGAAGCAGAGGTGGAAGCAGGAGCTGACCCGCCAGCTGCAGACGCAGCAGACGACACAACTGCAGCGGGAGGGGCAGGTGGTTGGGACGAGGACGCTGCACCGGACGCCAGCAGTGGCACGTGAACTGCATTACTGATCGACACACTGTCCTCAACCACGTTTGTAAGGGGGAGGTCGGGCTCAAGCTGTTGCACTGGGAGCTCATCCACAGCGATGCCAGACGCGGCGGTGTCGACGGCGTTTTTTGCCTCGAGCGTGTCAAACAGCTTCGTCATCGCCTCCGCAAAGACATGGCCAGTCACGCCTCCGAGCTGGATCTCATTCAACACAACGCCGCTCATTCCGATCGCTGCAATGAGCGTGAAATTCGCTGCACGAATACTGCCAACTTGAACGATTGCGCGCGCGCCCTTGCGAGATCGACCTCGCGTTCGATGCTGATTCGCATTAAATCCACTCTCGTCCACGTAGAACAAGCGATCCACAGGTGTCTGAAAAGCCTCGAAGAGCTCAGCCCATTTCTTGCGTTGGGCTTTGATTTCAGGCGAATTTTTCACCTTGACCTGCTCGTACACGCGCTTGAACGTGAAGCCCCGTCGTAACATGGCACGCCCGATGGTTGTTTGATGCACTTGAATGCCAAATGTCGTGAGGAGGAGGTCCTGGAGCTCTTGATTGGTCACATTGACGTTCTTGTCGAGCTCCATCTCGAGAAAATGGAGATGCTCCGCTGTGAGCACACGGCATCCCTTGGGATTGACGTGATGTGACGTCCACTCTCCGCGCTCCTTGAAACGTTGCACTACGTTGGACACAGTGCTGATGGGGTGATGGAGCATGCTGGCGACCGTGACGAGAGGCAAGGCGCGATCAACAGCCAAGTCGATGATCCGCTTCCGTTCGGGGTCTTCTAGATGGACACACTTCCGCGGCGCGCGTGATTCGGTGGCCTGCGCCTCGTTTTGACGTTTGGGCATGGCTACAGAGCAGGTTCGTCTGGGGGTGTTTGCAAATCCCAAACATGAAGTGGCATTTTCCCAACCAAGAGTGCGAATTTTCAGTTTCAAGCTTTTATTCCAAATTGTTCGCGCCAAAAAACCAGACCTTATCTTGGCAAAAACCAACTCGGGCGCAGTTTGGACAGTTTCGTGTTTTTAAAAACCAAATCGATAGCATTTTGTCCAAAATCGCACTACAAATTTCTACCACTTCAAATGTTTAAAAACCAAATCGTCCGTTTCTATTTCCAAACTCATTTTGCAGTTTTCATCTTCGGACGCACAATACTGTATCGTCAGGCGGCCGTCCAAAAGCACCATAAACATTGCTGGCGTTCATCTTTCAAGGAGTCGTTCTGGCGACCTTTCAACCCAAAAACCAATCAAAGCAACAACTCGGGTTTTTTTTGAGGTTGAAGCTCTATTTCTATCTATACAGATTTCGAGTTCAGTCATTCTTGTGAGTATGGGCAAGCAGCAGCGCGGCGTCCCGGCCTTCTCCAACGCGGGCCAGCGCGGAACCCGGCCGCAGGGCCTCAGCCAGCCCATCGTGCTCCAGGCCCCACCGCCACCGACATCTGCCGCTGCCATGATGGCTGCAAGTCAACAGCAGCAACAGCCACAGCAGCAGCAACAACAGAGCCAGCAGAAGCAGCAGAAGGGCAGCCCAGCAGCAGCAGCGGCGCCGGGATCCGCTCCAATCCGCGCCTGGGCCACGCAGGAACTCACCAAGCTGCTTGGATTTGAGAGTGCAGAAGTGGTCGACTATGTGATGGGCATCCCTGCCGAGCGTGAGCTGCGCGAGTACCTGCTCGAAGGCGGCTTGCTCTCAGCCACTTCTCCAGCGACCACTGCCTTTGTCAACGAGCTGTGCAAGCGCCAGTTTCCTGCGCAGACCACTGCCACTGCGGCCGTCACGGCTCCTGCAGGTGCGTTCGTCTACATCAAGTCGGTCCAGCAAGAGGAAGCCAAGCGTTCGCCGTCGCCCAAGCACCAGTCCCAGTCCCAATCACAGTCTCTCGTTACGCAACCAATCTCGTCCGTGTCTGCCAATGTTGCTGCTGCTGCTGCTTCCCAAGGCAAGCCGACGACAACGTCGAATGTACTCGGAGCTCCAAGTGCTGTACCATCGCCATCGCACACTACAAGTGGATTCGCCAGCAATGCCATGCCAAGCGGGCAATCGCGAGACAACAACGCACCCACCTCAGCGACGACCGCTGCGTATGCTGCCAAAACGAAAGCTGAAGACCACTCGCAGCCCATTGTCTTTGCAGCCCCGGCGCCCGTGCTAACACCCGAGCAAGCGGAGCGACAACGCACCCAGGAACTCGCCAAGCTGCGAGCCAAAAAGACGCGCTATGTGAGCCTCGCATCGTTGCACACGAGCGACTTTCTCGCACCTGGACGCCAGGAATGTGGATGCCTGGCTTCCCGACACGAACTGGTCAACAATTGCACCGAGTGCGGCCGTATCGTGTGTGCGCAAGAGCGCGCCGGCGCGTGCTTCACTTGCGGAGCGATCGTCTTCTCCAAAAGCCAAGCCCTCGAGGTCCAGCGAGGCTCCAAACACAGCGAAAAGGTCAAAGCTAAGCTCATCGACCAGTTTGCCAAGGAAGAGCAGCAGCGTCTGGCGAACGTTGCCCAGCACGACCGCGAGCAAAAGGCTGCGCAAGACCGAATTCGCCAGCAAGCGCTGCTCGCCCAAGGCACTACGCAGCTTGTTCCCACGGGCGGGGGCGAGGACGCTTACGACAAGGCTGTGCAACACAAGAACAAGCTGCTCGAGTTTGATCGCACCTCGGCCAAGCGCACGCAGGTGATTGACGACGAGAGCGACTACTTTTCCGCAGACAACAACAAGTGGCTGACGCAAGCCCAAAAGGATGCCCTGAAAGCCAAGGAGGCAGAGATCAAGCGACACCGCGAAGAGGCCAAGCGCAAAGTCACGATCGATTTGATCTCGCGCCAGGTTGTTGCCGCGGACATGACTGGCCTTCGAGGTGTGCACGATGCCGATATTCATGAGGTGGTGGATGCCACGCTTGCCAAAGCATCGATTGCCGCCTCCTCGCATGGGAAGAGCGATCAGCCAAACGCCTGGTCCACACCAATGTCTATCCAACCTGTTTATCTCCCTCCAAAGCCAATCAAAACAAAGGCTGCCAAGGGAGCAAACGCCCCCGCAGCTGCTTCAGCAACGACAACTACACCGATTGCCACGTCTTCTGCCACAGCCCGACATGGGGCTTCACGCGTTCAAGACAAGGCCATTCAGGAGATGGTCGATGTCGGCGTTTGCCTGTCCATGCATCAGCCTTGGGCCACGCTCCTTGTCCAGGGTATCAAAAAGGTGGAAGGGCGGACCTGGTACAGCGCCCATCGTGGGCGCTTGTGGATTGCTGCGGCGGCCAAAACGCCCGACCCTGCCGAAATCGCCGAGGTGGAAGCCATGTACCGAAGCCGCGATCGTACGTCGATGCTTCCTTGCATCATTAGTGCTGGCTGTTTTTGCCGGTGGTTGTTGTGCTCTGTTGACTGACTACTTTTGGTGGGGTCTGGTCTGTGTGACTGCAGCGGCTGTTGTATTTCCGACCGATTATCCCACAGGTTGTCTGCTTGGTGCTGTTGATATGGTGGATTGTCTGAGTCAAGACCAATTTGCCTCCCAGGTAAAGGCTCTACTCTTGCATGTCGTCGCTGGGTTGATTGTATTCTCTAACTCTTTTGCACTATTGTTTTCGCTTTCTCAGTCCACGTACGATTCAAGTGAATCTCAGGCTCCGTTTGTCTTTATCTGCGAAAATCCTTCGGAATTGCTGCTCAAATTGCCTGTCAAAGGGGATCACAAAATCTGTACGACGACGTTTTGCAAGAGAAGGTGGGACGGGGTTCGGGTTGTTGCGTCAACTTGAACTAATTGGTTTTTTTTTGTTGAAATATTCAACTTTACGTTTTTGCAGGGAAGCTCGAGCATTCAATGCACAGTGCCGCACGAGCAGCAATGCGTGCGGATCGATGATTCGTTCCGTTCCACCACGAGCATGTACTGTCAGATTGATCACTACGACATACACAAAAAACACTTTTACTACTCTTTAAAAAAATTACAAAAATTGCAGAAATCTGAACAAAATCGAATGAAGAAGAACAAAATCAACTGGATGAAAGGCTCGAAGAGCCTTCGTTCACACGCCACACTTTGATCGTCCGGTCGCCGGATGCTGTCATGACTAGATGGTCGTGCACAATCAAATCGTTCACGGCAGTGTCGTGGGCCCTGGTCTCAGCAATGCATTCGCCTCGAAGCGACCACACTTTCATCAAGCCCTCGCGCCCCGCGCTAATCACATGGCCGGAATGCATGGTGGCAAGGGATTGCACCCAGTCGTCGTGAGCGTTGATTACAGCCTTTGAGGCCCAGGTGATGCTTCCGACAGAGGCAACGTCGCTCGCAGACGATTCGGCTGGAGAAACGGTCGGTGCCCACAGTTTGAGGCTGCCGTCGCGCGAACCACTAAACACAACACCACGCGACGCAGCCAACGACGAAATGCCATCATAATGCGGGGGCTGGAGTTCGCGAAGCTCGCGGAAGTCGCGGAGCTCGGACGAGCCCAGGTCGCCAACTTTGACGTAGTGGTCACGAGTTCCGGCAAACAGGAATCGTCTGTCCGCCAAACTAGGATCGAACAGAGCGCCAGAAGCCAGCAGAACGGACAGGACTGCGCCACGGCCAGGAACGGTGCGAACAGCCGAGCTACTGGACGAGCGCAGGTCAATCACACGAAGCGACTGATTCGTTGCGGCATACACGAGCGACTCTTCCACGGCAAGCGAGTAGATTGCAGTCACGCCCGGAAGCGCGAGCGACCGAACGCACCGCGCGGTTGGTGTGTCAAATATGCGGAGCATGGCGTTCGACGCGGTGCAGAGTGTTTCGCCATCTCGCGTGATGCCGAGAGCGCGCACATGGCCTGGGTGACCTGGAAGGACAGCGACCTCTGCCTCTTGCTGAAGATTCCACACTTTGACAGTCGTGTCCTGCGAACCACTGTACAGCAGCTGGCCGTGGGCTGCCAGCGCCAAAACAGCGCCAGCGTGTCCATACAAGGTGTGGGTGCATGTCAGCAGGGAGGAACCTGACGACGCCGAGAGGGCAGCAGGCGACGAGTTGGACCCAGTCAAGGGTGAGGAGGAGCTGGAGCTGGAATGCGTGAGTGCAAATGCGGATGAGAAACTCGCTGCAGAGACGGTGCCGGACTGCGGAGCCGCAACGAGTGGAAACAGCGGGGAGCTTCCACCGGAAGCCGATGCATGCAAGTGGGAAACGACTCGAGCAACCGGGGCGTCGCTCTCTCCACCAGAGACGCTACCAGCGCCATGGAGTCGTGCAAACACATCTGACTGGGTCGATGATGCAGATGCAGATGACGATGACGATGATGATGACGAAGCCGCAGGAACTGACGCGGCAGAGGCTTGCGAACGTAGCTGCCTCCTGCTGCCAGTGTCAAAGCTAACGCTTCGAGCGCGTATCTCATCTCCACTGGGGATGGGCAGCGAGGAGGAAGAGCTGGCTTCTTCTGTGAACGACAGTGGACTGCTCGAATCTGTCTCAATCATCGAAGTCCGCAGGCTGCGAGATCCCCCAATCTGCTGGTTGTTGAGAACCGTGTCTGCGAGACCGCTGGAGCTCGTGCTCGTCCTGAGGGAGCGACTCGGACCGTCTTCTTCGATGATTGTTTGAGGACCAGGCGACCGGGCCGAGCCTGGGCGCGAAGTGGGTGCGACACCGCCGCTGGCAAGAAGCATCAGCGACGCTTCAGTGGACTTGAGCCGCGCTTCCAGATCTCGATGACGCGCGGCGTGGACGCGGTGGGCAACGGACATGTCCACGGATTCTTGGAAGAGCTTTTCCAGCAGCACGCGACACTCGGACGGCGAGCAGCGTTGGATGATGGCAGATGCCTGCACGGCTGGATCTGCTGAAATTCCATTGATGGCGATCGCTCCGGCAGCCACTTCATCCTGCTCCATGACTTCGAGCTGCAGTTGTTGAATGGACTCGTTGACAAACTCAATTTCAGCATTCAGACTGTCTTGAGTCGCCTCGTTTTGTCCGCCTTCGGCCGCCTGGTCCTGGATGCGGCCCAGATCGTCCACGAGCTTTCGGCGCGTCTCCAGCAGCTGCTCCATGCGGTTTTGCGTCTCCTTGCGCAGAACAAGTCGTTTGAACTCGCGATCGAGCATAACGCGCATTCGCTTGACACCCGCCACGCTGCTGTCCACATTGTGCTTGGGAGCAGTGTTTCGGCTGCTGAAGCTGGAGCTGGAGCTGGAGCTGGCCATAGCGTTGGGATAAGTTGTCGACACAGGCTCTTTGCCGTCAGCGCCAGTCCCAGCACCACCACCAGAGAGGTGTTGCTGATGCAAGCTTCGCAGCTGCTGGAGTTCAGTTTCGAGCGTCTGCACTTGCTCAAGTTGCCGAATTTGTTGGGGCGTTTGGTAAGCGGTGGGCCGTTTCGTGCTCTTTTCGGAATGTCTTCGACGGAGGGTGGAGCCGGAGGTGGGGACGGTCGCGGTGGAAAGCGTGCCACCATTGGGCGTTACAGCAGCAACAGTTGGCATGCTGGGAGCGGAGGTGGGGATTTTGAATGACACATGCCGACTAACGGCTTTGGTTGACACAGCTCTGGGCTGATTGGAGTGTGAGCTGGATGATGAAAGGACGCTGGAACTTGAAACCGGCAGGATGGTCGCAGACGCGGCGCTGGCCGGCAAGGACATGTGCGCACGCGCTCGACGCTGTGCAAGGGACACTTCTTCCTTCTTGCGTTTCAACACCGCTTCTTCAATCTTGCGTTTCAGTACCACTTCTTGCTGCTGCTTTTGCAGCTCAAGCTGCTTGAGATTCGTTTCCAGTGTTTGGTTTTTCTTGCGCAATTGGATGACTTCTCGATTTTGCGAGTCCAGCTGCTCACGGCTGCGTCGCGCCTCCTCTTTGATTTGGCCCATGAGCTGAACCTTGACCTTTTTCATGGCTTCCACCTCCGACTGCAGGGTCGTAATAGTCCTTTCGCTGCGAGCTCGCGCCGCCGACATGCTTGCATGCTCACGTTGCTGCAGCTTCAGGGCAGCAAGTTGCTCTGTCAGGGCCGTGAGCTTTTGCTGGTGCTGACCCTTGATTGTTTGCTTTTCCTCGACGGCACTCGACTCGAGTTGATGCATCGCTTGCAGCACCTTGTCCCGCTCGAGTTCGACTTCGCGAATAGACTCCAACAGCGCGGCCAGCTTCTCTTCAAACTGTGTCTTCATGCTGTGCATTCGGCGTTGCGTCTCGTCCAGCTCTTGAACAAGCCGCTCTTTCGTTGCAATTTCAACAGTCAGCTGGCGGAGAGATTCTGCCAAGCTGCTCGAGTCAAGCGGCGGCATTTCGTCGGCCCCACCCTCGTCGTCATCATTGTCGTCGTCGTCATCGTCGTTGGCGTGCTCGTCGTCAGTTTCACCACCGCGGTCGTCGGGTTCGGTGCTGTCTTCGGTGAGTTCTTCACCGACGGCGCTGTTGGCGTTGTCTTCGTCACCAGAACTGTTGTTGGCGAGGTCGGACCGCCGCACAGGTACAAATCCAGCGCGTGCGGTCGCTGCAGCCGCTGCAACGCGAGCTGGCGGTCGAGGTAGCGCTCGAGTGAGGGCCAACAGCTGCGCCTCCGTTTCGCGAAGCTTGAGCTTGTTGTCCTCGTTCTCCTTCAGGCAGGCGCTGAGCAACTCTTGGCCATCCTTGTCAAGCGAAGCACCCGCCGCCTGTGTCTGCACGTCGGCCAGTCGCTCTGTCAGTTCGTCTACAGCGGCAGCCCGCGAGGAGACTTGGAACCGCAGCTGTTGATTCTCGGCCTTGAGCAGCGCCACTTCGTCTTTGAGGTCGCGAAGTACCAATGGATCGTCGATGGGCGCTGTGGTTTAGACGGCGCACGCACGCACACACACACACACACACAAATGGACTGAGTGCAAAGGCGCAATTGGGCAAAAGGAGTTTTTCTTTGCGTGACAAATCACAAAACTTACCGGTCGCTCCCATGCCCATAAAGCTATTTCGGTTGCCAGACTTGAACTCGAGCAACTCGAGCTTGAGCGATTGAATTTGTTGTCGGAGCATGGCAACTTCGACAGCGTGGCTATCTTGGTTGATAACGACACGGTTTTGAATGTTGCGAGCGCGGTTTGCATACTGCAGAGTGCTGTGTGTTTCCATAAAGTCGCAGTCGGAAGGCGACACGCAGGCAACCATTAATGTTTGGCTGTTGCCGCCCAACGAGTCTTGCAGCATGCGCGTGAGCTTCGAGTCTCTGTACGGCACGTGTGCTCCCTTCTTGGACGGATCGCCGAGGGCGCTAATGACGTTGCCGAGCGCCAGCTGCCAATCAACAGACATTGGCAGAGATTGTGCGTCAGACCATACAGCTTGCAACTTTCGATGCACAACAATCGACAAAAGCCCGAATTTACCAAGCCAACGTTGATGGAGATGCCTTCCTTTGCACGATCGCCGGATGCGTTTGTTCGTTTGAGCTGTTTTTTTGAGATCACCATCAGTACATCAGTAGACAACGCGAACAAAACCCTGTTGTCGCAAATCTCTCCACTCCCAAACAACCTACCCTTTCTGAACCAGCCAGATCGACAAAATGAAACTTGGCATGCAGCGTCTCGTACTCAATGCTTGAGTTCTTGTTGCTGTCGTTGCTGTTTGCCGGTGATGCCGCAGGACGACGATGTTGCAAGTAAATGGTGAAGAGTGCGTGGGATCGAGAGGAGGTGGCGTTCATTTGTGTGCTGCCGGTGGTGCGTTGGAGCGAACCCCGCTGCAAGCAAGCAAGCAAATCCTGCTTGGTAGGCACTGTCTCGATTTTGACACCAACAACCGAGATGCCCTCGCCCGACGGGTCTTCGCGAACAGTGATGCTCGATTTTTTCCCCTTGATGAGCTCACGCTGGACGCTACCGCTCTCTCGGAGCGACGTATCCAGCAAGTCAATAATCTCCTCATTGTAGAGCTCCATGAACGACACGGAAATCTCGAACGTGGGCACGGGTGCGTGCTTGGCCATAGCGTCGCTTCGAGCACGATCGATGGTGCCAAAGATGTGATCAATCGCACGAATGACAATTCCTGATGAAGGTGTGTGGGCAAACCGTTGAGCAAACGCAACAACAGACCCAAACACAAGCCGGAGAAAACGGGTTGACGACAATCGTGCAAAACGAGGACATAAAGTGGAGTCAGAGAAGATAGGCATTAAAATTGCCGCCTGCGGTGGATGGCCTCACCTTGTTGTTCGGCTGGAAGATTCAAATCAAAGCCAGTACCCATGCTATACGTCTTGCCGGAACCAGTCTGGCCGTACGCAAGAATAGTGGCATTGAAGCCGCGAAAGCACCCATCCACGAGGCGTTGGACGCATGACGCGTAAATCTCTTCCTGCGAGGATGTCATATCAAACACGTGGTCGAACGTGAAGGAGCGATCTTTTCCAAGTACAATCTGCGGACTGCCGGGAATGCGTGTCAAGCACACTTGGCACATGCCGATTTTCTCTCGCGCATTTTGAGGTCGAACCCTGACAAAAAAAAAGAGTGAGGAACAAATCATTGACGCAAACTGTGAGTGTGACATTGTAGTTTGCAGCGCGCAATGCTAGGGTGGAATGGAGTCGTAGTTGCACGAGTAACTGTGCGTTAAGGTGTGAGATTGGTTTGACAAGTTCGCCGCTTTTTGTTTCTTTCTTATTTTTTGTTTCGGGATTGACGATGCGATGCATGCAGTTGGCCGTTCTATGAAGGTCTGAGTCTGTGCCATATCAACCCCCCCCCCTCCCTCCCTTGTTCCCTGACCATTGCGCTCTCGGTGGTAAGTGTGTGAAGTGAGTGGTTTTGGTTTCGTTGGTTCTTTTGCCAAAATCGTTCCAATCGTTCCCTCGCCAAACCGCAAAATCGATCTGCTCGTCCCCGCTGGTTCGTCGTTGCGTTGCTCATCCATCTGTGCTACAAAAGAAAGTGCACGCCGTTCGCATTGCCGGTTTGCTGCTGTGATCCACTGCCACTTCGAGTTGCTCCAATGCCCCATAAACAAAAAAAGCGCGGGAAATGGAGCGAACTTGTTCAACAGCTGATGCCACCAACTCCACCTCGTCCACCACCCACCACCAAGCCAAAGAGTCCAGTTCCAACTCGCTTGAAATGAATGAACGAGGAAGCGCAGCTATCGTTGAGGGATCAGGTCACCCGGCAATCACGCACCGAAGAGCGACTCGAACGGACGTCTGCGGCGCCTCAGCTTCGGCGGCTGGGCGTCCACTGGCCGCGCTGGGCACACTGGGCACACTGGGCACACTGGGCACACTGGGTTGCCGATACAGCGGTTGTTGGCCTGCTGGGTCTGGCGGAGTGCTGCCTGCGGACACGGAGGTCGTCTCAGAGGCATTGTGGCGGTCTGCAGCAGCCGCGTCCTCATCCGCTGCAGCCATGGCTTGTTGGACAGGTTGCGAAAGGAGTCCGGATTGTTGTGACAGATCACACAATGCAGATGCACGCCAAGAAAAAGAAAGCGGGGGGGGGAGGCTGGCAAAAAGTTGATAGAGAAACGACTGATCTTCGAATGACAGAATCATTCACGCGCAAGCACTCAACTGAAAGCCGAGTTGGTTTGCAAACCATGTACTGTATGTACAGTAAGGATGAGGGAAGTTGTTTTAATGTGACAGTTCACAAAGCAAATCACAGCCGTCAATCTGTCTGCATGGGCACGGCTTCTGGTTGAGTGGTATCAGCGACTTGCTCATCCGTTGGTGCCCCGGTTGACTGTGTCGCGTCGGATGCTGGTGCGGACTCGAGCGCTGGTTGTTGGGCGGCAGTGCCTTGATCGACAGCTGGTTGTGAGGGAGCCGAGAGGGTGGCCTGGAAGACACCATTCACAAAGCTGACTGACATTCTTCCCAGCGCATGAGAAACAGGCTGCGTTGTGTTAACAAGAACGAGCTGTAGTGTGTGTGTGTGTGTGGGGGGGTGAGGAAAGGGGGGGGGAGAACAAAAAAAAATCAAAGGTCAGAGACTGCAACAACAAACATCCGAGAGTGGGCCCCTACCTTCTCTAATCCGCGCAATAGCTTGGGCGTCCGCTTGTAAAACCGAGAGGCATCAAGTAGCAACTCGCACAATCGCTGCAATGTGAACGGCGCCGCACTGAAGCCAAGGAGCAATTGCACCAACTGCTCTTTCTGCTTGGCAAAGTTCTGATGTTGGACCTCGCTCGCTGCGAAATCTTTTGCTCCCTCCTCGAACTCTGTCACAAGCTTGTCGAGACGATACGCAATCAGATGCTTAAGATGGTTCCAGTTGTACGCTCTGTGACATGAGACACAAAAACGAGTCAGACAGCTCTTGCACCTCCCCCCGTTTCTGTCTCTCTCTCTCTCTCGCGCGCGCTCTCTCTCTGTCGCTGTGGTTGTGGCGTCTAGTTGTGATCTCGGTTCTTGACCGGTTGCAGTCGAGGGAAAATTCTCAGCCACAGCAGACAGGCATTGCCACCGGTCTGTGGTCTTCCGCCTTGTGTTTTGACTTGGCTCTTGTCTTTGCTCGCTTGTCTTTGACTTTTGACGCTGGTCTTTCTGGACGCAAGTCTGTGGTCTGTGGTTCTGTGGTTCTGCTGTTGGTGGTTGCCTTTACCCTGCTTCGCCGCTCTGGGCGATCTCTTGGATGATGTTGGTGCACTCTTCCGTGTCGTTGGCGGCGGTTGGCGCCTGTGCAAAATCTGTTCCAACACGACGCAGAGAGAGGGTGACGCGTGAGCGAAGAGCAGTGAGGACAGAACAGGACAGCAACAGACCAACAACAAAACGAGTCAAGGTCTCAATCGCAACAAGCGGAGGGGGAGGAGGGCAAGGACGACAGGTTGGAAGCGATAATGGTAAGAAGCAAGATGAAAGAGCGGCGGCGTCGGCGGTGGTAATGGAGGTGGAAGACGAAGCGGTGGAGGAAGGACTTTGACAGCCAACAGAACACAGGAAAAAAAAAAAAAAAAAAAAAAAAAAGCTCACTGGAAAGCAAGTCGTCGACGCTCATCGCTGATGGACGAAGGAACAAGAAATGAACCTGTGAATAATGAAACGCCTTCGAGATGAAGTGGAAAATGCAAGATAAAATTCACGGCGAAATCAGGCTGGAGTAGAAGGATTGGATTCAACAAGGACAAAGAACACATTGCAAATGACAAATGCGGGGCACAAACAGAGAGCTCTGCAGCACAAAGACAAACTCATACAGCCCACAAGTTACACACCGGAGGCAGGCGGCTTGGAGGATGCCTTTGCCTGCGCTTTGGCGCCAAATCGTCCCTTGAGGTTTGCTTCAAAGTCGGATTCAAAATGGAACGGAGACGAGCTCGGAGCACGACTGCTGCCAGTAGGGAACTGCGTGGCGGGGAACGGCGGGAATGGCGCATTCGCTTGAGGAGCTGCTGGTTGTTTGGCAGCGTTCGCTGCTGGTTTGGGCGACGGCTTGTTGTTGGTGCCGGCTGCCGTCGCATTCTGCGTCGTATGGGACGATGGCTTGTTGTTGGTGCCGGCTGCAGTAGCATTGGGCGTAGCATTCTGTGTCGTGTTGGACGCGGCAGGAGGTGTAGCATTCGTCTTTCGTACACCTGCCGAGGTCGCCGCAGGCTTTTGCGATGGCGGTGCGGCGGCCTTTGGCTCTGCTGCAGGAGCAGGGGCTGGCTTGGGTGCAGCCTTGGCCGATTGCTGCTGTTGCTGGTGCTGTTGCTGTTGCGAGCCAGCCTTCTGTTGTGCAGACGGAGACGCGGTGGCAGATGCTTTGGCAGTGGAAGTGGGTGTTGACTTTGCGTTGGTGTTGTTGTTGTTGTTGTTGTTGTTGTTGTTGTTGTTGTTGTTGTTGTTGTTGTTGTTGGGAGTAGCAGGCTTGGCATTGGCAGTCGGTTTGGGCTGCGCGTAGCTTGCCGATTTTCCGAAAGCACCCGTAAAGAACTGATATGGATCCTCAAAATCACCAAACGAGGGTTCTTCATCAGTGTACTCGTCGTCGTCGTCGTCGTCGTAGTCGTCGTCATAATCTGAATGGTGGGTGTAATAGCCATGGGACTGAGAGCTCCGGTTGGTGTGTGAAGAGTACCGGTGCTGACAGGAGGGAGAGGCTCGCGTGTACGTAGAAGGATGATGTTGCTGCCGGAAGTTGTAGTCCGAAGCGCTGTAGCCACGACCGCGCCTAGATCTGGATTCGGCGCGTCGTTTTTCTTCAGCGGCGTCCTCGAGCTTGGCATCATACTTTTGCCGCTCGTACTTGTCGCCGAGCGTTGTTTTGGCGAGATTCACAAGCTTCATCATGTACTCGGTATACCCAGAGGGCGTTCCAGTCTCGCGCTTGTCAGGATGGTACTTGAACGCTGCCTTTCTGTAGGCCTTGAGCACGTCGTCGGCCGTGGCGGCAGGGGTGATTCCGAGCAACTCGTAATAGGAGTCTGGGGTCACCTTTTCGAGTTCGTCCGGCTTGGGGTGCTCGCCGAGGAGGCTGGCTTCTACAAACAGCGCCTGAGCCGCCTCGGCTTTCTTGCCAAGCGAGAGGAAAGACGAAAACTCGACGCGATGCGGCTTTGAGTACAAGGGGTCGAGTTTCTTGGCGATCGCAGCAGCGGCGATGGCGTCAGTGTACCGTTTCAGGTTGACGTAGCAAACTGCCTGATTGCTGACGCAGCGAGAGTTGTGGTGGTTTGCACGTCGGTGAATGTTGGCTGCTTCATGGTACAGCGACGCGGCCTCGGCATACATCTTTCGATGGAAGAGGCGGTTGGCGGCGTCCTTTTTGGCATCAATGTCAGCCAGGGCAGCGACGAGCGCGCGAATCTCGGCAGTGTGTCCGCTGGTCAACGTCAGTCCCAGGTCGGAACAGGTGCGTCGGACTTGCAACATTTCCTGACTCGAGCGGCCCCGAGCGAACGCCAGTCGCGCCACCTCGACATAGCCTGATGCGCAGGACGGGAAGCGAGCCTGAAGTTGGTTGAGCAGCGTTTCCGCAGCAGCCAAATCGTCCACCATGGTGGCCTCGACTTGCATAAAGTGCCAGGCAGAGTGCTCAGGGAACAGCTCGAGGGCGTGGCGGAGCTGCGCCAAGGCCTCGGCACCTTTGTTTTCCTCGATCGACATTCGCGCAGCTCGAATGGCAGCAAATGCTTTCTGGTAGGTTGCAAGCTGCTGCCGAGCGGATGCAAGCAGGTCTGTCACTTCCGGGGTCAAAATAGACCCTTGCAGCTGCGCGATGTGCGCATCCAGAATCCCAATGGCAGAGTCCGACTGACCTCCGTTCCAAGCTGCCGCTGCTGCATTGCGTGCGTGCGTTAGATTGACTAAATCTGGATTAATCAGGGGCGATGCTTTCAAGGATGGGTCCACATGCGCAGAGTCGGTATCCAGATTGGCATAGACCACAGGAATTGGGGAAGCGGCGGCAGCGGGAGCGGAAGGAGTGGCGGCTGCGGCTGTGGCGGCAGTTTCAGCTTTAGGCAGCGGATATGGCATCGAAGGGGGAACGGGAGGGATGGTGCGCACCTGCGTGCCGAAACCAAAGTTGAATTTATCCGACGACGCGGTCGCGGGGGCTGCTGGATGGGACGCGGTACTTGCACTTGGGGAGGGTGTAGGCACTGTGAAAGGAGCAGTCGTGGGCACTGTCAACGGAACAGTCACAGGAGGGGCTGTCGAAGCGCTGGCGGTCTCGTCCATGGGGGTTGCCGTGCTGGCAACGGGAGGTGCATCACATGCATCTGGAGAAGTGGGTGAAGGCGAGAACCCACAGGAGCGAGAGGCTCGGGCAACGAGAACTGCCTGCGTGATGGTTGCGAACGCTGGTTGCAGAAGCTGAAATTGCTCGAGCGACAGGGTCGAGAAGAGAGGGCTCAGAGCGGGGAATGTGGATGCAGCAGTTCGTGTCCGTGTCCATGCGCTTGTTATCGAGGCCTGGTCTGAGGTGGCAGGCGTAGCCAGAGCGAGGAACTGGAGCAGTTGCTCGGAGGCATCAATAAAGTTGGCCACGACCAACGCCGGCAGCAGTTCAAACGCAGACAACGCTTGCAGCCTGGTTTCCACTTGTGCCCGCACGTCATTTTGCGAGCTTGGCTTGGTCACATTGTGGCCTTGGGGTTGAGCGAGACGCTGGTGCTGCTCGTCGTTCAGGCTCAGCTTGTCCAGGTTGAGTGCGACATCGACGTCCGACGCTCCCGTTGGCGCCGTGCTCGTTGTGGATACATTGCCTTGGAGCTGCTCGTCTCGCTTGAGGTGTGGTGCAGGAGCATGTTCCGTTGGCATTGGGTGCTCTGAAACACGATTTGCAGACGACGCCGCCGCATGGTCTGCCTTGACGGAGGACTGGACGCCGGTAGAACCACCCAACTCGCCGCTGCGTGATGAGGGAGAGCTGGCGCCGCCATAGATCTCACCAACAGCAGGAGCAGGGGCAGGAGCAGCAGTAGCAGCAGTGGCAGCAGAATGAAGGCCTGAAGCGGCTTGGCCGTGTGAAACAGCCGAAGCCGGCATTGCTCCGGTTGGCGTGCGCGGCGTAAACGAGAAGGTCAGATGGCTGGTCCTGGAAGCTCCTCCTGTGGTGGTGGTGGTGGTGGTGGGAGTGGTGGAGGAGGAGGCAGGGGTGCTGGTGTTGGTTGGCGGCGTGGTGGAGGCCGAGGCAGGCATACGCATGCGCTTGGGAATGTGGCGGCTGCGCGGCTCAGGCACGCGCGCAACCCCGGCTTGAGGACTGCCCGACGATGATGATGGCATTGGTGGGGATGACATGCTCTGCTGGGGCGTGGCGTGTGGCGGCGTTCGCGGCGGGAAGCTGAAGGTGAGCGGGGAGTTGGTTGTTGTGGCTGCAGGCGATTGCATGCTCGAGCAAGGGGGGAGCTGGAGGGGCTGTTGGGAGTGGATTTTGTACTGGAATGACAAATCGTAAAGGTCAAAGTGAAAGAAGAGGAAGAGGAAGAGGAAGAGGAAGAGGGGGAAAGCAAGGAAGAAAACAAAAAAAGGGCGGGAAACTGGCTCAGAAACAAAGGACTGAGACTGAATCGATTCAGACGTTGACCATTCACGAATCTGGTCCAAAAACATGGGATTGATGACGAACAGCATCCATAAGAGGAGCACACACCTATAGCAGCGTTAAAACAAGAGGTCATTCTTCTCTGTAGATTTCGCGCGCACCCGCTGAGCCCCGCTGGTGTTGCTCCGACTGCTGTCGCTCCCGTTGCGCCTCCTGAACTCAATCAAGCTCCTGTCCAAGCTCCTGTCCAAGCTCCGAGCATTTTCCTGTCCGCTCCGGTACCTGCTGTGATGACTACTGGCCAGTTCGGCTTCCAGTTCGGCTTCCGTCTTTTTTTGATTTTTTTTTTCCCCGATCAGCGGCTTCTGCAAGCACTGCCTCCACGCCAAAAGGGGCTCAATTTCCATCATCGGAAACCGAGCCTTCCAGCAAAAAGTCAAAAATCAAAAATAAAAAGTCACTCATACTTTTTAAGCAAAATAATCATCGAAACAGCGCAATGAAGCCTGACGAGTTCCTCGCGCTTTACCAGCCGCTCACCACGCCATCGGGTGTCGTCGCTGCCAAGCGCGCAATCGTTGCTGAGGCACAGGCTTCGCTTGCCGCAGCGTTGGCTGCAGCATCTCAGCTGGTAAATATCGCAAAATAGCACAAACACCAATAAATATTGAGAGACAACGAACTCAGCGTTTGGCTTTTTTTTTTTTTTTTTTTTTTTTTTTTTTTTTTCGGTTTGGGAAGAAAGCACTTCAACGAGTGAGGCTTTCTCGGCTTTATCCGCGCATGGGACGCGCGCCCTTTCCGCACTGGTTATTGCTCCTGTGGGTGTAGTGTGCGCCTGTCGAGCGCGGAGGTCGCCCACATGCCTCCTCCATTTCGTTTGGAGCATGTGTAAACATTTATCACACTCGAAAAAACCCCAAAAAACCCCAAAAAAACCAAAAAAACCAAAAAAAAAAAAAAAACAAAAAAAAAAAGCCATGCTCGACCCAATCAATTGCGTGGCATTCGAACCCCTAACCTTCGTTTGTCCGCTTTAGTGCTCTCGCCGTATGGCGGCCTTTTTTAAAACACGTTGTATTGTCTTACGGAAGTGAAACAGCAACAAACAAAAAAAAAAAAAAAAAAAGCCTTCTTCTTTTTTTTTTTTTTTTCGGTTGCACAAATATGAGATCTTGTCGTTCTTGTTTTGCATGGAGGGTGATTGAAGGAGAAGCCGAGGGCCTGGACCAGGGGGAAAGCGGGGAGGCTGCACGCTTTTTGACTCGCTGGATGGATGAGCACGTACTGACCATGTTGTACGATTTCGCGGTGGCCTCCGACAGCTGGGGAGCGATGCAGGGCGGTCGGCTGCAGGCGGCGGCAACGGCGATGCGGCGACAAGCAGCGCAGGAGCACCAGGCGTGCCATCGGGCGCTCCGGCAGCTGTCGCGGCGCCCGCCACAAATGCACAACTACCCGTCCCGCATCCAGTGTTCAAGCGAGGTGTCCGCGCACTCGTCAAGTGGGTCGACAATAGCTACTATTCAGGTAATGCCCCCACAGTGTTCATCACCCACCTTTTTTTTTTCTTTTTTTTTTTTCTTTTTTTTTTTTTTCCGTATTGTTTTTCGCTGTCGCTTTTTTGCAGCAGCGATGCACGGACCTCAGCCACGAGCGCACGAGTTTGAAAGTGGGGAAAATTCATCCTCGTACTTGAACAACATTGCGATTGAAATCATTCAAACACCTGCATTGCGATCGTGTCTGAGAGCGGCGCGATTGCCAAGAGTCTGTGCTGTTCTGTTTCGTGTTCGCGTCAATGTCATTCCCACTGGTTTTTGCTGGGGCAGCATGGGATAGGACTCCAATCCTTCTCGACGTGTTCTTTTTTTTTTTTGTTTAACAAAACCAGCATGATGAGGATCTGTCAGTTTGTCTTGTTATTGTTGTTGTTGATGACAAGAATTGCTCACTCGTTTTCTCTTTTGCAATGGTTTTTCACACATTCAGGCACCGTGGTTGCTGTGACCGGGAATAACGAGTTCAAGGTTTTATTCGATGATGGCGACTCACTTGTTGTGCCTCTCCATCACTTGAAGTCAACGGTAAAGGTTGCAGCAGTCTGGCTGGGCAGTTTGTGAAACACCGTTCGCGCTGCCAATTCTCACCTTGCTCCGTCCCACTTCCTTCTTGACCAAACCACCTACACAGAAGCAAAAAACACCGGCCAGTAGTGCCTCTGCAGCAGCTGCCAACACATCTACCAATACTGCACAGGTGATGTTCCACGAGGCTCACAATTGAGTTCACCGCCCCCGTTTGTCCGCATACTCATCTTAACGTTGATGCACATGCGCGTTCTGCAGGTTCCACAAGCCAAACGAAACGCTTCCTCCACCATCGAGGTATGGGTTATGCCATGAGTTTTGCGGTCCGGTCGTTTTTTTTTTTTTTTTTGTAAAATTGGTCTCACTTGACCCTTGCTTCTCAACACCCCAACAACTACACAAAACAGCCAATGGAGACACGCAAACGACAGCGCATGAATCAAGATTCAGACACCGACACCCGCTCACCAACGATTGAATCGAGACCTTCACGGTTCCCAACGATGGCTCTGGCAGAACGCCCACGACGCCGCGTCAGTGCTCACCACAGCAGTGAAGACGATGCTGCAAATGGTATTCACTCGGATGGCTCTGATGATGACCGACGCACCAGTCGGTCAACGAAGGATCGGCTCCCTTCAGCGCGCTTGCAAACGCAACTTGCCATTGCTGCATCCCGCGAGACAGACCAGCTGGAGCGGCTCGAGCGCGCTGGCAACTCCCTGTCGGACTCGTACATGGAGTTTGTCAGCAAAGACGCGAGCCCGGCGGTCGTGGAGGTGGTGCGAAAGCGGCGCGACAAGGCGCGTCAGCTGCTGCTCTCCCAGAACATTCAGCTCAAGCTCGCCGACACCGTGTTGCAGCGGAGCATGCACCTGTTCAGCGCTCTGGATGACGGTGCTCGGAATCTCGTCGACGAGGAAAACTGGGACGGCATGGTGGCCGCTTGCTTGGTGCAGGCAGTGCGTGAGAACAACCCGAGCGTATCCATTGGCGATTTCATCCAATCTGCAGGCCTGAGCAATCTCAAGCAAGAAATCTCCCGCGGCCTTAAGCTCGTTGCAGTCGAAGCAGAGACGCCAAACCCCGAGCCCGGTCCAAGGTATCTCGCGCAGCTGGACGTGGACAGTGTTCGCAAATGGGGTCTCGCAATGTGGCGAAATGCACGCAACCACCCCGATCTGCGCGACCGGCAGCCAATCCACCTGGCGATTGGCGTGGCGGCGCTGCTTTGCGAGGGCATCGAGCGGCGCAAACTGCTGTCAGACAACATTTCTGTGACCACCATCCGCAATGCCGGCGAGGCTTTGCTGCCTTACCTTGAAGTGATCAAGCCCCGTGACGCCATGCTGCCCAAGACAAGCGTGCTAGAGTCGTTGCGAGCGCAGCAAAAGTCGGCAGTGTACAGTCAGTCGCGTGCTCAATTCCAGGACGCGGTCGCCGAACGGCTCAAGGGCGAGGCTCATGCGCCCGTTCTTCGAACCAACAAACGGGCCCAGCGGTTTGCCGCTCTTGAAAACAATACCCGAGGCGTCCAGTCACAGCAAAAGCCATCGCAGCAGCAAGCGGCGCAACAGCATCAACCCTCGCAGCAGCAAGCGCATCAACACCCGCCCCAAAATCAAGTTGCGCAACAGCAGCAACAGCAGCAGCAACAGCAGCAACAGCATCTCCAGCAACAGCAGCTGCAAATGCGCCAAGCCGCTCAAGCAGCTCAGGTGCAGGCAGCTCAGGTGCAAGCAGCTCAGGTGCAAGCAGCTCAGGTGCAAGCAGCTCAGGTGCAAGCAGCTCAGGCAGCGCATTACCAAGCAGCAATGCAAATGCAACAGCAGCAGCAGCAACAACAACAGCAACAACAACAACAACAACAGCAGCAACAGCAGCAGCAGCAACAGCAACAGCAGCAAGCGTACCCTCAGCAGTACATGTTCGTCCCTCCCCAGTTCACGGGTTATTATGGCTACGGCAACTATGTGTACCCGCAGGGCATGTACGAACAATACGGCATGAACATGGCCGGACAGGTCTGGGGCTGGATGCCAGAACAAATGCAGCAGGCACAGCACCCCGCACAGCAGCAACAGCCTCCAACCTAAGTTTGTTGCCCGTTCCTCCAAGGCTTTTCTGACTTGTTCCAGATGGGTTTCAAATGGTTCACTTGCTTTCGCTGTTTCTCTGACAGGTGGAGCAACTTGTGTGTCACATTCTTATTGTTCACTCCAAATTACAAGGATTTTCCAATGAACTTCAGAGTAGAGCCTCCCTCTTTCGTGGGTTTTGCAGCGAGTTCCATCATGGATCGGCTTGGCCAAAAACTTTTAGCTTTCGAGTGAGTTTCTCCACTCGTTCGCAAGCCAAATCCGCACAATTTTGCATCTATTTTCAACTCAATTTGGAAACGCTGCGATAGAGACACACGACAGATCGAGGCCAAGGTAGTCCCATAAGACCAAACAGCAGTGTTGGCGAAATGGTATTTGGGCTTTTCGCGCACGTTCGACAAGCTTGTGTTGTATGAGCCGAGAGAAGGTCAGCGGCTCCCTGGACCAAGGACGAGCATTCAACATCAACCTAGGTTAAGCCTTGCATTGTCTTTGACATGCATCTAAACCACCAGTATTTGAAACGTTTTTTTTTTTCTTTTTTATTTTTTATTTTTGCAATGGTGAAGGGTTTCAGATTGCTTTTTTTTTTTAACTTGACTGCGTTCGATCGATCCATCTCCTGCCGCCGACAAGAGTCTTCCATTCTCTAATCTACGTTTGTACCTTCCTCCCCTTCCTCGGAGCCCTTGTCCGCGAACTGCCGTTGTTGTTGCCGAAGCCAACCGATTTTAGCAATCCGATTGTCACTCTTTTTTTTTTTTTTTTTTTTTTTTGCCTTCCTTTTTCAATTCCGTACGTTGCTCCCTCAGTCTCCCCCTGCTCGCTCGCTCCCCTTCTCTCCTCTCGTTCTCGTTCGCCTTGTCGCTGTTCTGGCTCAGTGTTGATGGTCGAGTGGTTGATGTGTCTTGCGTGAACCGACCTCTGTGCAAGTGAGATTCATTTTTTTTTTCATTCTTCCTTCCCAGTTCTCTATCGTCCCCCACCACTTCGGACACCACCTGCCATCAAGACTCGCTGCTGGTCTCGCTCTTTTTGCACACACCACGCTTCACCGACCCACCGCCACACGCATATACGCACAGAGCGCGGCATTTGACTGCGATTTTTTATTTTCTATTTTTTATTTTTTATTTTTATATTTTTTCCCTTTGATTCTCAACCCTCAAATTTTACATTTTACATGACATTCGTTGTTGTCACTCACTCGCTCTCTCTTGCTCTCTCGCAATTTGACAGATCAAACTTTGGAAAAACAATGTCTGCACCACCGGCCGTTCCGAAGGTCACCGCCCCGAAGCCGGGCAAGGTTGAGGTCTTCAAGGCTGTCTTTGACTACAAGGCGCAGCGAGTAAAGTTTCAATTTCGTTCTGCAAGCAGCGAGATATTGGATTCACGTTCAATGAACTGATGATGTTGATTGCTCGTCCACAGCCCGACGAACTGACCTTCGAGGAAGGCGATGTCCTCTACATTTTGGAAAAGTTCAACAATGGCTGGTGGAAGGCACGCACCGGCAAGAACGTTGGTCTGATTCCCTCCAACTACGTCGAGGCAAACAACATTGTTGAGATGGACAATCCAATCCACGAAGCCGCAAAGCGAGGTGATAATGATTTCGTGTTGTTGTTGTTGTTGTTGTTGTTGTTGTTGTTGTTGTTGTTGTTGTTGTTGTTGTTGTTGTTGTTGTTGTTGTTGTTGTTGTTGTTGTTGTTGTTGTTGTTGTTGTTGTTGTTGTTGTTGTTGTCGTTGTTGTTGTTGTTGTGCATGCACCGATTGATTGATTTTTGGATTGGGGTTTGGACGCCGCTCACTGAACTTTTGCTTGTTCTCATTTCTTTTCTTTCGCAGGCAACGTGGCCTTCCTCGAGGAGCTGATTGCTGCAAACATTTCTGTCAACGGCTTGGACAAGTCGGGATCGACACCGTTGCACTGGGCAGCCAGCGGCGGCCACACTGAGTGCGTGCAAATGCTCATCGCAGTACCCAATTGCGTGCTTGATTTGCAAAACAAGCTCGGCGACACACCTCTGCACAACGCCTCGTGGAAGGGTCATGCTGATGTTGTCAAGTTGCTGCTGGATGCCGGTGTGTAGTTTTCTGCCTGCGCGTCTTTGTGTTTATTGCTCGCCGCCAATGTTGCAAGCCTCCGTTTTCTCACATGCTCCATGCCGCAACAGGTGCCGACCCGAATCTCATCAACAACGAGAATCAGACTGCGTACTCGCTGGCCAAGAATGCTGATGTTGGAGCGTTGCTCTATTCGCTTGATCGTAAGAGCAGCAGCGGTGTTTAGAGGAGAGTGACATTCGTGTTTCTGTTCCACTCACTGTGGTTGCACCCTTTTGTCTCCATTGGCTCCCGTAGCTTCCGGCGATGTCAACACTGGCGATGCCGACTCTGATTAAAGTGTATCTCACAATGTTTCTCTCTCTCTTTGTCTGTGTGTCACTGAAGCAATTTGAAACATGGGATTCCTGAATTCGAGTCATCTACAAGCACACAATAGACTTACTCGATGCCGAGGCAAAAAAACCAAAACCAAAACAAAACAAAACAAAACAAAACAAAAAAAAAAAAAAAAAAAAAAGACCAGAAGAACAAAAACAACAGCAGAAAAAAAAATTCGTTTCAGGATTCAGCGACGCAGAACAAAGGCAAGAACAAATAAAATCACAACCAACACAGCGACAGCGATAATCCAAGTTGGCGTGCCGGCCTCGTGAGACTGGGTGCCATGAACAGGTGCGGAAGTATGGGATTCATCACGACTAGCGTGGGCGGCGGCAGCGGCTGGAGCCTTGTGCTGGCGGGCTCTTCGGCGCATATTGGCGCGCTCAGAGGAGCTCAGCTGTTTGCGGGGTTTATCGGACTGGTCATCGTCATGATCATCGCTGTCATTCTGCTCCTCTCCCGCGCTCGGTTGCGCTGGCGCTGCGTCAATTTCCAATCCGCCATTCGCGAGCAAATACTCAACGACGGCAGAGTGTCCGTTTTCCTGTGACGACGCCAAGTATGAGAGTGAGAATAATACAACTCGGAGAGAAAAACAAAACAAAACAAAACAAAACAAAACAAAACCAAACAACGCAAAACCAAACAAAACAAAACAAAACAAAACAAACCAACCAAACAAAACGACAATGCGAAAGCGATTACTTTGGCATTTGCAACGGCAGACGCGCCGTTTTGGTCGAGTTGGTTGACGTTCTTTGACCGCGCCACAAACATCTGCACTTGCTTCAAGTTGCCGTTCGCGGCGGCAATATTGCTTCAAGTTGCCGTTCGCGGCGGCAATATGCAGAACTGTGTCTCCATTGTGGTTGCGAACTCTTTGATGCCACGCGTTGTCGTCGGCCAAACACTGACCATCAACTGGGCTTGCAAGCTTCTCGGTCAGAACCTCGACCGCATCCAAGTGCCCTTTCGACATGGCAAAATGCAGCGGCGTGTTGCCTTTCTTGTCAATGGCGCTGACATTGGCGCCACGCTGGACAAGCACTGGCAGTAGCTCCACCAGGTTCTCAGCAGCTGAACGCCCCCCCCCCAAGAAAAAAAAACACAAAGAGCGAGCGACAGATGAGCGAACATGAAAACACAGCAACAGGGAGAGACACGTTCGTCAACGCACCGGCGTCATGGAGCGGTTGCATGCCAGTGGTTGTGGCCAAATCCACCCGCGCGCCACGCTCAATCAGTGACTTGGCAACGTCAGATTGGGACAAACGCAGAGCCCAGTGCAGGGCAGTGCAGCCCTGGTTGTCGGCGGCATCGAGGTTTAGTTTCCCCGGCGCGCTGAGCAAGAACTGGACAATGTCTGTGCATGGATTGTTCAGTGTCATCGATGCCAAACCTTCCTGGAAATGCTCGACCAAATCAATCAATAGACGATTTGTGAACGTAGAGACTTTGTACCTTCAGCACTGCTGCAAATGGCAGCAATCAGCGGAGTTGACTTGGTTCCATCAGCAGTGGAAGTCGGAACTTTGAACTCCTTCACCAGCATTTCAACTGCAATCCGGTTCCCCCCCCCCCCAAAAAAAAACACCCCAAATAAACAATAAATAACAAACCCATACAAGAACGAGACAGGAAATTGTGCCTGGTTGGCGACAGACAGACAGACTTGTTCGTTTTTGACAGTTCGAGAGACCGGAGTGCTGTACTCACCAAGCTCGAGCTCGCCGCGTTCAATGCACACAATCAGCGCCGTCAACCCAAGCGCAGGGCACAACGCAAAGCGCGTTGGCGTGTCGAGTCAGCTCGTTCAGTCAGTCAGTCAGTCCGTTCGTGAGCTTCTGACATGGAGAGCGTCGCGCTTACCTGGCCGCGGGGCGACACGCTGTTGAGGATGGCTGTCACACGATCTCGACCAACACGCTCAGTGAGCTCGGTCAGCAGCTCTGTGAAGCTGTCGGTGTCCCGATCGAGCGCACGCATGAGCGCTTGGTGAATGCTCGCGTCGCTGCTCATGGACCAACACCAAAATCAACTTGGACAAAAGCAAACGACTGAATTGGATGAATGCGGAAGTGTCGTTTACTGAAAATACAGCGAAGAATTAGAGGGGGGGGGGGAAGCCCAAGTAGGGCTCTGCGGTCGCGGAAACCCCCAAAACAACAGCAGCTCACGGAACAAAGGTCTGGTTGAATGCGCCCTGCTGGAATGAGGTCAGACGGACTCGACAAATCGGGCAGTTGTCGTGGCGCTGGATCATCACTTGAGCACACGCAATACAGACACATGCGTGGCATCAATTTGGCATTGGTCGGGGCGTCGCAACAGATCAAGCATTCACGCTCGATAGCGTCGTCCTCGTTTACTTCAGCTTCTTCCCCCGACAATCGTCTCAGGATCTCGCCGAACGACGGTCGATCAACTCGTGCTTGCTCGATGCAATCAACGTCGGGATGATCAAAGCCAAGGAAGCATCGAATCTGCCGGGAAATGGTTGCGTTGAACTGAACAGAAACTATTTCATTTGTCGTTGTTTCCTCCGCGGACGAGCATCGATCGAATCAGTGGATATGAAGTGACGAGTGGCGTTATTGGCCAGCTCAGGTCTCTGCAAATCACCTCGACACGCGCTGATGACCACAAAATGCTCTGACTCTGTTGCTGCACGAAATCCTTCCATCATAAAACCGGATTCTGTCCCGCCCGCCCACCTGAACAAATTGTGGTTTTTCCATTCCTTTCTCACGACACCGAGGACTGCTTCCACCATCGGGATTGATGCCTTGGCCAGCGGTGGAAACGAGCGAGCTAGCGAGACTTGCCGGGCCCCGCAGCATCCCACACATGGACACTCACGAGGCGGAAAAAAAAAAAAAAAAAAAAATCAATAGGATTAGGATCATGAGTGCTGATGTCGCCTGACGAGTTCTACCTCGCTCGAGGCCAAGGCCAACAAGGCCAAGACCCGGTTTTTCGATCGATTCAAAGATCTTGTTTTGGCGAACGAATCATATCCTCACGATTCGAGTCTCGCACTTTCCACGGATGGACCGCTTCCGAGGGGACTGCAATCCAACGAGCAGAAAAGACACAAGAGGTCATCAATAGCAAATTGCTGACTCAAAAGCAACAGGGCGATCCAGCATCATAGCGCAGCGGGACAGTGAGACACACACAATTCTGATGACCCAACGCACGTGGAGAGCAGGAACAAGATGAATCAAAACAAACACTCCTCGCTCAGACGACTCATCCTCTTCAAATCCCTTCCTCGTTCACGCTCTCGCTCGACCTCCTACGCTGCCGTCTTGGCTGTGTCTTTCTGGTTCCTTGACCTGGCTCACGTCAACACAAGGGAAGCCAAAGCAAAGCAAAGCAAACAAAAACAAAAGCAGAATGAAGAACCAAATGAAAAAAAAAAAAAAAACGGGTTTTTGGATTTTCCGGTTTTTTTGTTTTGAACTTGATTTGCCGTCCTAAAAAGGCGCAATCCGAACAAAGCAAAAGCTCACTCCTCTCTTTCAGCCGCAATCATACGTCCCTCACTCTTTCCCCGCGCTCAACCCTTTCCGCTTTCCCATCCCCATTGCACCCGGGCACCATGGATCCAGACGATATCCCCGATACAACGCCGTCGGCGCACGATCGCGCCCTAAAACCGGCCACGCCTCCAGCCGCCGCCGCCGCCGCAACTGCTGCTCGCCTTGCTGGCCCCTCTTCTCCTGCTCCTGTTGCTCGCACCGAAGCCAATCCCAGTGGTCTGGATCACGGCTACGACGGCGACGATGACGATGACGACTTTTTCTCCTTGTCCCGAACGAGCTCGTACGCCCACGCTCAAACCGCCGCCGCCGCCGACGACGACGGCGCTGGCGTTGGTGTTGGCCTGCACCATGCCCCCATGCTGCTTCCCGACCCCAACGTTGCTGTGCTCTTCCACACCCGCTCCGACCGTGTCACCGAGGTCATCGAGGCCGAACGCAAGTTCCACAACCGGATTGCTTCCGCCGACACGCTCGTGCGCATGGACGCTGCCACTGAGATTCACGTTATGGATGAACACGCCCTCCTCATTCAACTCAACACCAGCGCCAGCAGCGGTTTGTCGCCCCACGTCGCCGAGAAGCTCTTGTACCTGCACGGCACCAACGCTCTTCGCGTCGTCAAGCCCCCGATCTGGCGCAAGATTGCCAAGTTCTTCTTTGGCGGCTTTGGCCCGCTTCTCTGGGGCTTTGCCCTGCTCTGCTTTGTTGCCTGGCGCCCTGTCGGCGACCCGCCGGATCCCGTCAACCTCGGTCTGGGTATTGTCTTGTGCATCATTGGCATTTTGCAGGGCAGCTTTACTGCCTACCAGGAGCACCACTCGGGCCAGGTCATGAGCGCGCTCAGCAGCATTGCCGCCGCTCAGGCCACCGTCATCCGCGAGGGCCAGACCATGACTGTTCCCGCCACTACCCTCGTTGTTGGTGACATTGTCACCGTGGCCATGGGCGAGCGCATCCCGGCTGATGTTCGCTGGCTCGAGCTCCACAACCTCAAGATCACGCTTGCCAACCTCACTGGCGAGAGCGAGCCCGTCGCCGCAACCACCCGCTCCACCCACGAAAACTTTATGCAATCGCTCAACATGGGCTTCCTTGGCTCTGGCGTCGTCGAAGGCTCTGGCAAGGGCGTTGTCGTGGCCACCGGCAACAACACCGTCATGGGTAAGATTGCGCTGCTCTCCACCCGCGCTGCCGCGTCTTCCTCGATTGAGCGTGACATTAACTACTTTGTCCTCATGATCTCCGCCTGGGCCGTGGGAACGTCTCTCTTCATTGCACTGCTCTGGGGCACTTGGCTCCGCGACACGTATCCTGGCTTTATGACGGTTGCTGGTTTGCTCACGACGATGGTTGGCGTGGGTGTCACCTTCATGCCTGAGGGTCTGCCCATGGCTGTGTGCCTTGCCCTGACGACCACCGCCAAGCGCATGCACAAGAACAACATTCTCGTCCGCGCCCTCGCTGGTGTCGAGACGCTCGGCTCGGTCGACATTATCTGCTCGGACAAGACAGGCACCCTGACCCAAAACAAAATGCACGTTGGCCGCATTGTCTGCGCCGACCGTGTTGAAAAGTCCCGCGCCCGTGTGCATCGTCTGCAGCAGTCTGGCAACCGTGGCGTGCTCGAGCTGCTCTGGTCCCTGACGCTCTGCAACAACGCGACCGAGTCTCTCACGGAGCGCGACGCCTCAGGCCTCTCTGTCATTCGCGGTGACGCCTCCGACACTGCCGTTCTTCGCTACTGCTCCGAGTTTTGCAACGTTGCCGCCGTCCGCGCGCGCAGCCCCCGTGTTGCCCAGATTGCCTTCAACTCGCGCAACAAGTGGATGCTGTCGATTCATGAGGGCCCTGTCGACGCCATCGACCAGCTCGCCCGCAGTGACATGGCCAACTCTGCCGCCTGGAGCGCCACGACCAGCGACGCGTCCGCCGCCAAAGCCACCGCCGCCACCGCCGACTCGGCCATCAATGGACCCCGCCGCCGTCGCCTCCTCATGAAGGGCGCTGCTGAGCTCATGCTCAAGCGCTGCACCCGCCTCTTGTCGGAAGACGCCCTCGCTGAAGGCTCTGCCTCTGGTCCGCGATGGGAGCACATTGTGGCGACCGTCGAGCAGCTGGCCAACCAAGGCTACCGCATGATTGCCATCTGCCGCACCGACCTCAACATGAGCGCCGAGATTTCCGCCGATCCACACCCCGACTCTCTCCCTCTCGATGACCTTTGCTTTGTTGGCATTGTTGGCCTGGTCGACCCGCCCCGCTCGGATGTCCCGCTGAGCATCAAGCGCTTCCACACTGCCGGCGTCAAGGTCATCATGGTCACTGGCGACCATCCCGGCACGGCCACTGCCATCGCGCGCCAGATTGGCATCGTTCGCATGGACAAGGTTGGCACGCTGGCTGACTTTGACGCCAACTGGACAGTCGAGTCGACGCAAGCGCTGCCCTTTGTCGACCCCGACGACGCGGAGCTTGTGGATGACACGGCAAACTCGCACACCGACCTCTTCCCCGATGAGTCTGCTGCGGACACGGCGCGCAACATGGAGATGAATGCGCTCAGCATTCGCAGCACTGGCTCGATCTCGGACATTCTGCGGCGCAACGAGGACCATCATCATCGTGATCACGAGAGGCAAAACCATGCCGCAGTGGACGTGTCGACTTTGTCGGGCCTCGGCGCCATTGCTGTGACTGGCGGCGAGATTCCGCAGATGACCGCCCCACAGTGGGACTTTGTCTTTGCTCACCGCGACATTGTGTTTGCGCGCACCACCCCCGAGCAAAAGCTGCGCATCGTCAAGGAGTGCCAGTCCCGCGGCCACTGCGTTGCCGTCACTGGCGACGGTGTGAACGACTCGCCCGCGCTGCGCCAGGCGGACATTGGTGTCTGCATGGGCAGCGGTTCAGAGGTTGCCAAGGAGGCCTCGGACATTGTTTTGCTCGATGATCGCTTCTCGTCCATCCTGGTCGCCGTTGAGCACGGTCGCTTGATCTTCCAAAACCTCAAGAAGGTCATTCTCTACCTGATGCCTGCTGGCCAGTGGGCTGAAGTCCTGCCCGTGCTTGTCAACGTCCTGCTCGGCGTCCCGCTTGCCCTGTCCTCCTTCTTGATGATTGCGATTTGCACCGCCACCGACATGGCACCCGCCCTCTCCCTTGTCGAGGAGCATGCCGAGCGTGACATTATGCACCAGCCCCCTCGCAATCCCAAGAAGCAGCGCTTTGTCGACTGGCGCCTCATCCTCGACGCCTTCCTCTACAAGGGCATGATTATCGGCTTTGGCGCGTTCGTCATGTTCTTCTGGTACATGGACAAGTACGGCGGCTTCTCGGCAGGCGATCTCTTGTTTGCCTTCAACAAGTGGACGGACGGCTACCACGGCAAGACGCAGGACGAGCTCAACGAGCTGGTGTTCACTGGCCAATCCATTTACTTTATTGCCGTGGTCGAGATTCAGTTTGGCCACTTGTTTGCCACGCGCACGCGCTACCTCTCCTTCTTCCAGCACAACCCCTTCAAGGCTGGCCCCCACCGCAGCTTCCGCCTCATCCGTGCCATGGTCATTTCGACCATCCTTGCCCTTCTGATGGTCTACCTGCCCTTCCTTCAAGACTACCTCAACACGCGTCCTCCTCCAACCGAGTTTTGGTTTGCTCCCTTCGGCTTCTCGGCGCTGCTCTTTGGCGTTGACGAGCTCCGCAAGCGCCACGTCGCGCGCAATCCGAAGGGTCTTCTTGCCAAGGTTGCTTGGTAGAGATGTATTTTTGCCAGGCTTTTTTGTTTGTTTGTTTGTGTTTTTATTCTGTTGTTGTGGCGATGGCTGTTGCGTTTGAGCACCTTGCCGACAGGCGATTGGGTATGAGGTTGTTTTGCAACCTCGCCTTGTTGTCGGTGCTGCAAGCGAATTGAAAAACTGTGTGCGTCATGTCGGCGATTCCATGCGCTGAAAGGTTGTTGTTGTTGTTGTTGTTGTTGTTGTTGTTGTTGTTGTTGTTGTTGTCGTTGTTGTTGTTGTGAAATCACAGAGCTGTTTGCCACTCTAATTCCAGTCTCACAATTCTTCATTCCATTTTACCTGCATGGACAATCTCGGAATTTGAGACACAACTAGTCGTCCATGTGCCGTGTTGGTTCGTATAGCATGTTCGATGCAACAAAATGTCGTAAAAAACACTTATGATACTGTATCGTGGGCACAACACACCTCGACAAAGAGCAGGGGACAAAATCCAAAGCGCCAGGCAAGCTGACGAAACGCAACAGCCAACGAAGAAGTGGGAGCCGGGAATCAATTACGTTCGCGACTGGTAGGTCTTGGTGGCGATGCGTTGCAAATAGTAGACAGCAACGAGCGAAAATGCAATTCCGGTGGTGATGCAGATGGGATGGATGCTGCCGCCGACAAACGCGGTGATGACCAGAGCCAGGACAACATCGAATCGGCCGGATTGGTACGATGAACCGGACAGAATTTGCCTCAAGTTGTTAAGGGCCTGTATTGTCCAGAGCAGTGTGAGAAAGTCAGTCAAAGTCAGCTCAAAACAAAAAACAATGGACGGATTGTTGAGCTTTTGTCTGTTTGGCAAAGTGTCACAGCCTCCATACCGTGAGGAAGAAGACGAAAAACCACGAGCAGACAAATCCACCGAGAATTGGCAGAGGCTGGACACCCGCAATCTGCTTCTTGAACATCTGGAGCGCACCGAACGTCAGAACGGACAGTACGAGCGAGAAAACGAACGACGAGCTTGCTTCCGCTGCAACACACACACACACACACACACACATACAAGCCAAACAACCAAGGGTTAGACAACAATTAATTCGAGCTATGAGAGCTGTCATTGACACCAATACATGCATGTACAGTATACGGTCGTGGATTGAATTTGCCATAGAATCTCATTCAGTTGTCCATGAATGGGTTGATCGCCGTCCCCCCTCCGCCAACCCCACCTCGGCCAAAAAACCAGCAAGCGTTTTCTGGGCTGACCCGACCGTGTGACGATTGTCAATGCCCCATCTCGACGCTCGCAGTGTATGGAAGTGAGGATGCTCGTCCGAGATCTCCAAATCCAAAGACCCATAGGGGGGACAGTCTGAGACTCCAACGCCTGCCCCCATCGCTTCCCGCTTCTCCACCAACACAAGCAACTCCGGCTTGACGCGTTGGCCCCGAAGAGAAGAGAAGAGAAGAGCGACCCGGGGAAAGGACTTGGCGCGTTCGGCCCAAACGTACAGAGGCCCTCTTCCGCCTGGATCTCGCCAAATCTCTCGCTCGCTCCCTCAGTTGGCAAGTTGGCAAGGCAAAGCTGCGTTCATTGCATTCCAAATCCAGAAACGCAGAGCCAGGCAACAAGCAGTTGGTGCGATCGCAGCCTCCCTTACGCATTGTGATTGAGATTGGAGATTTGGAGATTGGAGATGAAGGACTGACAATCGAATCGATTTCATTGATGCCTTCGATCACAAACATCAGCGAAGTGCAAATCCTAAATGAATAGGAATAGGAAGGGATCAGTCCTCTTACAATTCACGCTCACGAATGGCGAGCATTGCGATCGCACAGACGCAACAAGCCCAGGCGACTACCAGTGCTCCATCTGCTGCTGCTGCTGCTGCTCCTGCCATGCAACTCGAGCCGACAAGTGTCATTGTGCTGGATAGCGGCGGCGGCTCCATCAAGGCCGGCTGGGCGCACGATTCGCAGCCGACGTGAGTTGTTCCAAGTCGCGCACACTGTCAACTCCCCCGCGCCGATCAACTCGTAGCAAAGTAGCAGCAAAGCGACATAATGCCATAGTGCCAACGTGAAATGTCAAACGTAGTGTCCCGAGCGCCGACCCACTCGTTGGTCGCGAGTTGCACGTTCACGTTCACGCTATCCTAGCTGCTCAGCCCCCAAAAGGTCGATGCATGTCCAAATCGTCACTCATTCTCAAGTCGTAATGCTTTCTGTATATCATTGTTTTTCGACAGGATTATGGGAAATTGCATCACAAGGCCAAGATCAGCTCGGCGAACATTTGTGGGCAACGAGCTGGATCAGTGGGGCGATCTCTCCGGACTGTACTATGGATACCCGACACAGAAGGGCTTTATTGTCAACTGGGAGCTGCAAAACAAGATCTGGGACCATGTGTTGAGCTCGTCGGTGCTAGAAGTACGGTGTTTGAGCAAAAAGCTGTCTGTTTTCGGTTTTGGAGAGGAGTTAACTCGTGACGCTGACCTCCCCCCCCCGCCTCCATGCCATCTGCAACCACAAAAATAACAGGTGAACAACTTTGCAGAGACCAGTCTTGTTCTGACCGAGCCGCTGTTCAACTTTCCTGCCATCCAGTCGGCCATGCGCGAAGTTGCATTCGAGGAGCACGGCTTCCAGTCCTTGCTGCACACGACAGGTAAAATGTTGACCACCCTATGAGAGTCTGTCGTGCTTGTGAAAGTCTGTCGTGGAGCTTTCGGGAGCGGCCGGGGGCGAGATGTCTCATTTGGGGCGCTTTTTGCTTTCACAGCACCTGAGCTGTCCGCCTATCAGCAGCGAGTCGACTCGCCCAGTGCCCAGGAGGCTCAAGTGGTTGTGGACAGCGGATTTTCGTCAACCTATGTTGTCCCTTTTGTTCAAGGGCAGATGTTACCAAGCTGCGCAACTCGGTAAAAAGAGATTGGAAACATTGCGTGCGTATGCCGACCAGAGCACTCAATTGTAACACCTTCTCCCTCCTGAATTATTCGTTTGCAGCATTGACGTGGGCGGCAAGGTGCTGACCAACTACTTGAAGGATGTCTTGTCGTATCGGTAAGCCACCCAATGGTTTTTTTTTGTGTGAAAGTATGAGATTGAACTTTCCAGCTCAATCTATGGTAATCGGTCCGTTCTAGGCAAATCAATCTGATGGAAGAAACGCACGTGGTTAACGAAATGAAGGAAAAGGCCTGCTACGTGGCGACCGATCTTCAGCACGAGCTGGAGAAGGCAAAGTGAGTTTTTGATTGTGTGTGCTTTTTGCTTTGTTGTCGAGTTTCTTTCCTCACTTGCTGCTCCCATACTACGTGAAAACGCTTTTTTACAGACAACGCCCGTCCTCAAACACAATCTCTGTCGACTACGTTCTGCCAGACTACACGACCATTATGAAGGGCTTTGTTCGAGTACGCATATTTTGTTCCCTGTCTCTGTGCTAGTCTGTTTCTCCCACTCATCCAAACTATTTCTACGCTTTGCAGGCTCCTGTTGCACGGACGGGACCAGCCAATATGTCTAGTGACGAGCAGGTACGTGAAACATGGTTGAGCACTGCTGTCGATGAATGTAAATCCTCACCATTCCACTGGATACTGTGTCCGTGATGCGCAATCAGCTCGTCAAGTTGAACAATGAGAGATTCTCTGTCCCTGAACTCTTGTTTCATCCGAGTGATGTTGGTGCGTATCTCTGCTGTGTTGAAGTTCAACTTCTGGTCGTTTTCTTAACTGACTCGGAGCCGATTCTTGCAACCTAGGAATCAAGCAAACGGGTATTCCAGAGCTGATTGGCCTTGTTGTGGAGAGCTTGGAAGAAGGTAGAGAGCGAGAACTGCACTGATTGTGCCGAAGCAACACAGCGACCGCTCACAACTCGATATGCTTGTGAATAACATAGCGGCGCAGTACTATGCGTATCAAAACGTGGTTCTTACGGGTGGCAATGCACGTTTCTCGGGCTTCCAAGCGCGCATGTAGGAATCTTGTGCTGTTTTTGTAGATTGGCGTGGTTGCACTTGGTTTTTGCTTTGTCCTCACCACCGGTCGATAGAACCAACGACCTGCGAGCCCTTGCTCCGAGTGACATGCCGGTTGAATGCTCATTACCGACCGAGTACGTAGCAGCGCATCGATGTGGCGATTTGTCGGTCTTGTTTGAAAACTCACATCTGTTTGCTTGATGATGGTAAAAAAAATTGTTTTTTCCAGCCCCCAAATTCACGCATGGCGAGGAGGTCAATCCATGGTTCAGCGAGGTGATTTTGCAGCAGCAGCAGTTACCCGTGCCAAGTATGCCGAATATGGAGATGCTGCGTTCAGTCGTTCACGTTAAGAAGAAGAAGAAGAAGAAGAAAAACAAACAACGCAAATACAAAAAGTCAAACATTTTTAAGCACCATCGTTATGAGTCGAAGCGATACAAATACCTCTCCTGTTCAAATATCAGTGTTTACTGGTGGGTGATGTATGCCTGATCAGGGTGATCGAGGTCTTTTGCATTTAAGCCAGGAAGCTCACTTTTGCGTGTGGTCAATGTCAGGCTTCCTTGGCGCCGGGAAGACGACCATCATTCTCAACTTGATCAAGTCACTTCAGGCCCAAAACAACACGACGACGACGACGACGACGACGACTGCGACGCCAGCAGCAGCTGCAGTAGCGGACGAGCCATACCGCGTCGCGCTGCTCAAGAACGAGTTTGGCGACGTCGAGATTGACAGCCAGCTCGCACGCGAGACGAACATTACCGTGTCTGAAATGCTCAACGGCTGCGTCTGCTGCGTGCTTGTCGGCCAGATGCAGAATGCGCTTGTTGAGATGCGCGAGGTACCCAAAAGCCAGCCGTGATTGCAATGCATGATCGTTAGGCATGAGTTTCTGAGCGACCGACTCACTTTACGTGATTGATCGTCATGGATGATGCTGCATCAACAAGACAGAAATTCAACCCACATCGAATCATTGTCGAGACCTCGGGTTCCGCGTTTCCAGGTGAGAAGTTCAGAGCAGCGTGTTTTTTGTATCATCTACCTCAACCTGACCATTGTCCCCGCGCGCGCGCTCTCTCTTTATGTTTGAATGTGACTGCCACAGCCCCAATCGCATGGCAAATTCGAGACATGGAGCCGCTGGGATTTGCGCTGGACGCGATTGTCACGGTCGTCGATGCACTCAATTTTCAAGGCTACGCAGACACGAGCTTTACGGCCAAACTGCAGGCCCAGTACACCGATCTCATCGTGCTAAACAAGGCCGAGCTCGTTTCTGAGCGTGCCCTCGATCTGCTGGTAGACCGCGTGTGCGAGCTCAATCCAGACACGCCGCGCGTCATCGCTCGAAACGGCCATGTCAGCCCCGAGCTTATGTTCGGGCTGGATTCCAAAGCCGCAACAGGTGCTCGCACTGTGGAGGATGCACACCACAGCGACCATCACCACCAGGAACGAGAGGTGGACATTATTACAGTCATTCGGCCGCGGGACTCGCCTCCAATCTCGCACACTCCCGCTTCGTTGGCCACTGCGCTCGCGAGCTTGCCCAAGGACGACATTTACCGCATCAAGGGCATGCTCTTGTTAACGACAGGCAGTGCGCTTGATGGTGACAGCAATTTGGCTTGGCACCTCGTCAACCACGCGTTCGGGAGATCAACCATTCAACCTCTGCACCAGTACAGCTCCGAGAACAGCGTCCGTCTCACTGTGATGGGTGTCGGCTTGTCCGTGCACTGTGCGTGCACTGTGCGAAAATCCAAGCTGCACTGGGAGTGAATCCAGAAGAAATGTCGCTTCACCTTCGAGACGAGCATTCCTAGAAGACGAACGTTGAATCGGTGGACAATGATTAAATAGTAGTTACAATAGTATACATAAAAAGCAGACAAGTTCATCCAGTGTGGACGGATGAATCAAAGGGGCCACCACTTGGAGGCGGCCAGCTGTTTGGAAACGTATTGCGGCAGCAGATACTGCGAAGCTACAAACGCTGTGCCCTTCAGCAGGCTGGCAACGGTCACGACGGTGCTGACAGCCCGCATGCACACATACTCGAGCAGATGCGTCAGCCCGACAACCACCTGCACCAGACGCCACTTTGCGGCGTGGTCCAAGCCAAGAAGGACGGTCAGCTGTTGGATTTGTCGCGACAGTACATCAATAAACGACATGAGGTGCTGGCGCGCAGAGTTCTCGGTCGTTGTCGTCGAAGGCGCTGTAGGCGGCTGCGCAGACGCACTTGCTGCACTTGCTTCATGTCGGACTTCGGAGGCACGGGTCGCCGCGCCAAAACGAGCGCCGCTCTCGAACGCCGTGGCCTTGGCTTCGCTAGCCAGGCAAATGAGATAGCCCTCGCGCGCGACACCCCAGAGCTCAACCTCAACTCGGCGGCCGTCATCGGTGGTCATTGTCACCACAATGGTTCGCTCGCTGACGTGTCGCTCAGCAAAGATGCGCTGCATTTGGTTGCAAAAGTACGAAAGCTCGTCGTTCGGAATAAACTCCATCAAGGAGCGGCCCGTCAGCTGCTGCGCGTTCAGTCCAAGGAATAGGCTCGTGCTGCAGCTCGGGACAAAGTCAACTCGGCCCCAGCGATTGAGCTGCATGACTGCAAAGTTGTTGTGGACGAATGGCGAAAAGCGCATGGCGCGCTCCATGTCGGCCGCCGGCGCAAGGAACAGTGTGACAAGGCGGTGGGTTTGGCGGCGACTGGCTGCAGCACGCTGTTGCTGGTGCTGACGCACATGGAGGTGATGCTGTTGCGCAACGTGGACGGCATGAGCGTGCTTCTTTTCAGCAGGAGACTGGTGTTTCCGCGTGCGGGTATGATTGTTGCTGTTGTGGTGGTGGTTGTGTGAATGGTGGTTGTGGCAGTATTGCGATTGAGCCTCAAGATCAATCAAGCTGCGTTTGCGGATGTGCGCGTGAGGGTATTCTGGCTTGGATTGTTCGGACGCCTCAGCTGTTGTATCGGAGCTGGGTTCAGCGTGTTCATCGCACTCGTTTGCCTCCCAATCAAAGTCGCATTGGTCGGATGGCTCCGGGGCAGCCTCGTCGAGCTGAGGCGCACGTTGGACGCGTGGTGGTAGGTGGGCAGCAGACGGCTGATGATCGTCAGCGGTTTCGGCAGGGTGCCCAAGCACAACATCCGTGACACACGTGAAAGTGCGATCGCCGTGCTTGCGCCGTGCCCGCAGAAAATCGCCTCGGTGCGTGAGCAGCAACCGAAGGGAAGCATCTGCTTCTGGAAGACTTGAGGTGTGTGCATCGGAGGCCGAGTCGAGGGTGGAAGGCTCAAGGCTACTACCACTACTCAACAAGGATGCCGCTTCTTGCAGCATTGCAGAAGCATCGGTGGCGTGCTGTGCTTGTCGGAGTACGAGATCGAGTTGTTGGAGTGTGCGCGAAGAGTCGAACGTGAGCCGATCGGAGACATCCGACGGACTTTGAGGGACGGTCGTCTCCAACAATGGCACAGATCGTGGTGGTGACGGCGCGAGGGGTGAGGAAGTGGTAGTTGGACGAAGAGTCGATACGGAAGGGTTGAGGTCGGATGGAATGGATTCGGCTGCAGGTTGCGAGTCCCCAACAAGCGGCACATCCGACGGCGGCAAGGACTCGGCAGATTCTGTCGTGTCTTGCGCGACGAGGGACGGCCACAAGTGAGTGAGGTGCTTGCCGCAAAGTTCGTCGGGAGCGTCATATCCGAGCATTCGGCATGTCGAAAGCGAGACCTCGACGATCGTGCCGGTGCAGTCCAGAGTCAGGTACGACATGGATGGTTGATTCTTTGTTGGAGCGGATACCACACGTTCTTCTTGTTTTTCGCGCTCAAATTTGGCGCGAATTATTTGGGTCGGTACAGAGACAAAGACGCAGCGTGTTCCTGTTCAAAAAACAAAAATTCGTCAACAATTCATCACCAACACAAAGGTCAATGACATGTACAATGATGACCCCCCCCCCCAGCATTCAGACACAGATTGACAATTTTACATGACTTAAAAAAACGTGACAGAACGCAAAACAAAACTTAAAAAAACCACTTTAAAATATGACAACAACGACATTGCGTCAAAAGCTGTTTGATCAGCCAAAGGCGGGATGAATTGGGGTTGTGATGAGTGGACACGTGCAACTAGTAAGAGCGACCGATGGTGGTGGTGGTGGTGGTGGTGGTGGTGATGTTGGGGGGCGGGAAAACGTTCAAAAAAAAAAAAAAAAAAAAAAAAGCTCCACTACGCTTTTCAATTGACGTTTGCTTCGTTGCTGGCAGGCGAGATCCGCCGCTATCAAGAGCAAACGAGGGGGGCGATCGTGTTACTACTTGGATGTTGCTCAAAGCGGAGAGAGAGAGAGAGATGGCGGATGAGTGAATGAGTGAGACGGACAACGAGTCACAGGTTGACCATCTCCGACGGCAAGCCGAAGAAAACGCCCCAACAGCCAAACAGCAAACCTCAGCCTCCCCCCCCCCCGCCCTCCAATCCTCACACCACAGTCCCATGAAAATCGAAATCACCCAGACCCAGACGGGGAGATCGCAGAGTCAACGCGAAGGAGCACCAGGCAGAGGCAAGAAACTGGGTCAGCTGGTTCCCCTTCTGTCAACTGCGCCAGCCACTGACCTTCAAAAGTGCAACACTGGGCCTTGATTGAAGAAATGAGCTGGCGAGATGAAAAAGAAGGGAAAAAATTTAGACTGAATGATGGTGATGATGGTGATGTGTTGAATGGGGAGGATGTTTGGATGTGCTTGTTTGAGGTTGAATCATTGTGCATGTGATGGAGCTGGCAGAAGGAAGCAACGAGCATCGAGAATGCCGATAAACCACCATTCAACATACAGATCTCACACAATGAATGCTATATAGTGGTAACATGCAATGATGGGCGATGGTCAAGCCATCAAGAAACGAAAACTGCAGCGAGAGAACGAGTCGTCGATCAATTGCAAAATTGTCATTCATCGAGCGGCTGACACCGCCTCCATTCAGCACTCATTCAACAGGGTTCCATTCTTATTTGCTTTGAGGAGAGCCGCCGGAAGGGAGAGGTGGTTGGGGAGTTGGTTATCCGAGCTCAGGTTGAAAATTTCAGCCATGCCAGTCTTCCTTCTCAATTCTCACTCTTTTTTTTTTCTTCGTTTTGTTGATTTTTGTTTATTGTCAACAATGTCGTCGTCCACTGCACAAGTCGCAGCTCCCGCTTGGGCGCAGCTTCCGAATCTCGCCAGCGACAAGGTATGGCTGTTTGAGCTAACGTTCGCGCTCTGTGGCTCGTTTTCGTCTCATCGCGCCTTCCCTCTGGTGTCTTTTGCATTGGTTTTACTCATCACACCACACATACGCACATACGCAACGGCACGCAGGTCGATACGAAAATCCTGTTCACGACTGACGACTTTTTCGCCGTCGCCGAGTGCATGCTCAGCAGCAAGGACCCCGTCTTCATTCCCGACGCGTTCACCGAGTTTGGTACGACAGCAATGAGAAAGCCTCCACGTTCCGCAGCGCCAAGCCGTGATTGCTGAAGGAGCGCCGTCGGAGTGGAGGACGATGGCGTGACACGATCCTACCGACCAAATCACACAAAAACCCGCCAAGCTCACTCTGCCATGCAACGCGCTGTGTGTGCTTACTTTGGGTTGTGCGTATTGCAGGCAAGCTGATGGACGGCTGGGAAACGCGCCGCAAGCGCACGCTCGGCCACGACTGGTGCATCATGCAGCTCGGCTTGTCTGGCATTGTTAAGGGCATTGCGGTCGACACGGCCTTCTTCACGGGCAACCAAGTTCCTCGCATCTCGGTCCAAGCAGCTCGTCTTGATACAGGTAAAGAGTTTGTACCAATCGCATTTGAGCTCTTTGTCCCCGGGTTCGGGAAATTCTTTGCAACAATCCTTGTCATTGTGAATTCTGATGGCGTCTTACTCTGTTTGGGCCTTTGTCAACATAGCTCCCACGCTAGTGCGCCGCAGCCAGGGCGGTACGGCCGCAACGACGGAAGAAATCGAGGCTGCCGAACGTCTTGGGAGCGTCGACTGGACGGAAATTCTTCCGCGCCGTGTCCTCCAGCCCGGCTATCCCGAGACCCGTCAGCACTACTTTGACGTGTCCTCCAACGAGCGATGGACTCACTTGAGGTAGGGGAAGCATCATTCAAAGTTCCAAGTTTGTTGCAAGAACAAGGTCTGTTTCTGACACTTTTTTTTTGTTGTTGTTGTAGGATCAACCTCTACCCTGACGGTGGTATTGCTCGTCTGCGAGTCCATGGCCTTGTTGTGCGCGACTGGAGTCAAGTTTCAACCACCGACGTGCAGGACTTGGTTGCTGTTGAAAACGGGTAATAACTTTGTTCTTTTCCGGCTGGTTCGATTGTCTTCTCCGCACGCTCAACAATAGTCTCTCGACATTAACGCTCTCGCAGAGGACGCGCGCTCTACCATAGCAACTCGCACTATGGCCGCTCCAGCAACCTCATCAACCCTGGCCGCGCAGCCGATATGGGCGACGGATGGGAAACTGCGCGCCGTCCCGATCGGCCCGCAATCTACACGATGGGCCACGACGGTCACGTTGTCATGCCTGGCAGCGATTTTGCGGTACGATTCTACTTTTGGGTTGCGTTTTCTTTGTGTTTTGCTGTTGGAACACTGTCCTGTACTGACGTAAACTTGAATTTTTACCCTCAGGTGCTCAAACTTGGCCATGTCGGCGTGGTTGACTCGCTCGAAATTGACACGAATCACTTCAAGGGCAACTTCCCTGAAAGCTGCTTTGTGGAGGCGTGCCTCATGACTGACAGCTCCAGCGGTGAGGACGCTGGCGACGCGCTTGTGATTGGCGACTGCGAACGCAAAAACGAGTTCCAGCGCACTGGCACGCTGGCCGCCAACGCACCCGCCATGTCCGTCGAGTGGAAGACCTTGCTGCCGCGCACAAAGTTGCGTGCTCACGAGCAGCGCGTGTTTACTGTGGCCGACAACACGCTCGTCAACCCTGGCGCCATTTCCCACATTCGCCTCAACATTTATCCTGACGGCGGTGTGAGCCGCGTTCGTGCACTGGGTCGCATCCGCAAGTAACAACGCGACCATGTGTGCTGTTGGCTTTATTTTTTGTTGTGTTTTCGATTTTCGATTCCCCCTTTTGTTTTGCTTTGGAAGAAACCAAAGAACGCGAGGAGTAAAATTCCGAAATTGCTAACAAGAATCGAGCACCTTTCAAACCACAAATGACACACAAAAACAAAAGTCAACAACCATCCAGAACAAAACCAGAAAGCACCGTCATGGCTCGTTGATCATCAACTGTGCAGTACTCGCTTGAGCTGCCACTCCTGCCGCTGCTGCACCAGATGGATCGCGAGAGTCCAATGTTTCTTCTTCTGGCTCGCCTGCAATGTCAAGTTCGTCAATATCGTCAAAGATGGGATTCTCCCGAGAGGGGAGAGCGGAAACCGACGCTGCTCGTCGCTCTCGCTGTCAATTTTGACAATGCGGCTTTCCGAGAAGTTTTCAATGAGTTGTGGGGCAAGAACTTCGATGAGCTCTTTCACTGTCAATGGAAGAATGGAAGTTGCAGTCAAGAATGAGTTATGAGAGACGAGAAGAGCTGCTGCCAAACTACAACACTCGAAAGAAAAAGCTCAAGCTTTACCTTTCCGTTGCAATTCCATTCGCATCTGCTTCAGCGTTCGATGCTTTTTGGAGGTGCAGAAAGTGAAAAACAAAGGGCGAAGCCCAACCCACAAGCGAATCGCTACGCCGGCAAGCGCAACGCTGTAGAAGAGCCAGAACGGAAGAACGATAACGCTTCCAACAGGAATCACCACCTTGGCCCAAATCGGCAGGTCTGTCAGCAGCGCCACCAAAATGGCAATCGCAGCAACGTAGACGGATAGTGCCACGGGACCCACAATCAAGGCTGTCATCAGTTTCCACGTCGCCAGCACATCCAGACCCTTGATTTTGACGTCCGAGGCGGCCTTGGCTTCGATAGCCTTCTTCTTGGCAATGTTGTCCGCGACAGCACCGACCGGAAGGGCGAGCAACATGCCCGGGCCCGACAACAAAAAGAACAAGCCCGCCAGCAGCAGCTTGCCCCAGAACAGCCAAAATGCCACAAACCAATGCGATTGCTGGATGGTCTGCACGTCCTTGTCGCGCACCCCGTAGCTTCGCAGCGTATCGTTGTATGTAAGCATTTGCGTTTTCAGTGCTTGGTATTCTTCCGAGGCTGTCAGCTTCTGGTCGGCCTGTTGTTCTCACCATGAACAAACAAGAACAAACACGTACTTGCACTTTTAGACATCGCCATGCTGTCAATCCGACCTGGAACGCCCCCAGTCCCGCTCTTACCATTGCAAATCGCTTGTTCAGCTCCGTGTACTGCTCCGGGGTGAGCTGAACATTGGCCGGCGTGTACATTCGCCTTGCCGTGTGCAGCGCCACCATTGTCTTGTAGTCGGTCGTGTTCATCACGGTGCCGCGCAGACTCGCTTCGATGCGACCCAGGAGATCACCAGTCGCGCCACGCTTGTCCGTCTTGTACCGGGCAACGAGATCCGCATCCACAACGATCGGAGGACCAAACTCGACAAGAACGCGCGAGCGGAATCGGTGAGCGTGAAAGTAGTTGAGGCCGCAGGGCACAATGCGCACGGGTTGCATTTCCGGATGCGCCTCCATTGCGCCAAGAGCCATGATGGCAACACCGGCCTTGATTGGCAGCAAGTCGGTTCGGTCGTGCGATCCTCCTGTGAAAGTGAATGTTTGGTGAGTTTCTTTTTTTTTCAAACGACATTCCCGCCTTTCACGACCCAGGCATTGCACGTACCTTCCGGGAAGATGCCAACACATTCTCCAGACAGAAGAGTATTCCACACGCTCTTGTACACAACCCCTTGGTCGACCTTGCGCATGATTTTCCAGCCAGATTGGTTTTGAATTTCGACGCCATTGACTGCCTTTGCCAGTGTCAGCTCTGTATCCGAGACGACCGATGCGACGCGGAATTCATTCTCGAGGTGATTGAACTGAGCACAGCACGCGCGCACACCATGGTCAACCATTCACAAGTGAGTGAGCAGTGCGTCAGCCACTTAAAAATTTGTTAAAATTGTAACATGATGTTACCTTCAGTGCATCGCCTGGCTTGACGGTTGCGACAAAGGAGGTTTGCGAGCCGTAGACAACGAGGCCGTCCGCACTCAGAGTGAGCAAGCCCGAGCCTGTGGACGCATTGTCCTGCGCACGTGCGACTGGGATTGAGTTCATCGCCCTGGCAAATTTGCCGACGACCTTGCGCTTGTACGACTTTTCAGCAATGAGGAAGCGGACGACGCGCGTCCCGACGGACTGCCCCAGCAGCAGACCATCGACAAACTGGTTGTTGTGGTTGGCGACAAAGATGACCGGTCCTGTGCAACGACATTGGCAGTGTTGTGGGAGGATTCGCAACGTGAGGGCCATTTCGAGAGATTCAACGTGGGTGACGAAATTTGGCGAAAGTTTAGGGAAGGGGGGGGGGGTGGCTGAAACAAGGGGTTTGGATTGCGCATGATGGACAAGGGGTGTGTGTAAGTGTGCGATGGAGGGAGGGTGGGTGGGTGAGTGGGTCGAGAGCAATGCTCGGATGACACGGTGGTTTTGAGGAGAGCGATTCGGCGTAATTTGACCACAGCGCGGCAGATTGCTTGGAGACGGTGCTCTGTCCCCCTCCGAACGACGCACTGCAGAAAGGGGAAAGAGACGAGCAGCATGATGGCAGTTTGGAGGAGGAGGACGACGTACCATCTGCAGGGATGTTGTGGGAGCCAATGACTTCGACGTCGCGGAAGAAAATCCGCAAGCAGACGTTGAAAAACCACACGAGCAATCCCATTGCACAAGGATTCGACAAAAAGACTGAGATGGCTGGGTAAAGAGAATAGAAAGCGAGTTACAAAAAAGATAAGGAGAAACAAGAGTGGATGTGAGTGTGAGAGAGAGAAGACGCCTTGCACCAATGCCTCATCAGACACACAGCTCAGACTCAGAGAATAGGGTGATGCTACGTGCGTATGGACAAAACAACAACTAAACCATTGCAGAACTGGGCTCAGCGTCAACAAATCACAACTTTTTAATTTCCACACCACAGAAAAAGGGAGCTCTTGTTTTGTGCTCATCAACCATTAAAAAAACCAAATGTTTACACTGCGTTGCGGAGGATTGAATCCTTGACGCCCTCACGAATGGTGGGGTTGGCAGCGGCGGAGGTGATGACCTCGGCCTGAGCGTCAGCCACAGTCTTGCCGCTTCCGCGGTACAAGTTGAACACTTGCTTGAGCAAAAAGAGCGAAACGACCGAGTTGATTGCCCAGAACACGGCAGAGACCAGCAGGATGATGGCCACTGCGGTGTTTTCGCTGAAGGCGCTGAATGCCACAATGAAACCGCTGTACAGGAGTGATTCAAAATAGACAAAAAAAAGCAAAACAAACAAAATCAGGTGAGACGCCATCAATAAATAGAACAATAACTAGAGCAACAAAATTCTGCAATGGCAAAACTCACCTTGCTCCGGTGCCGGGAATGCCAATCGCAAAGAGAATGTTGCAGCCAACTTGGAAGCCAAACACAAAGAAGAACTTCAAGTAGCTGAACGTCTTGTCATTGACGAGGCCCTTGTAGATGACGCGGTACCAGCAGACAAAGGCGCCGGGAATGAAGACGAACATGAAAATGAGGGCGACGGCAAAGCTCGTGCCAGTGTCGCTGCAGTCACCGCAGCCGACCAGCGCAGAAAACGCGGCAATGCAGTTGATCACCCAGCAGAAGCAGGTGAAAATCCAGTCGCGGAACAGGCGCTTGATGAGCACTCGCTGGGCAGCGGGGATTTCATCGTCAATGCTGTGGTAGATGAGTGGCTTGAACGGGAAGATGCACCACTTGGGGAATGCCGGCCAGTTCGGGGGATGCAGGCCGCTCTCGTCCAACGCACGCTCGCGGTCGGCCAACTGCGCCTCGCGCGCTACAAGGGCCTCTTCGCGGGCGCGCAATGCCGCCTCCTTTGAAGCCTGTGAACGATGAGCAGCATTCTTTGTGTGAGATTGCTTTCATGCCAAGAAAAGCAATGCAGTACACGTTCAAGAGCAACTGCACGTACAAAGTCGCTCGAATGGGACGGCGTTGCGTAGCTGCTGCTCGACGGAGAAGCGGTTTGACGAGGTGACGACACGGGGGCATCGGCATACGCGTTCTTGGTGGGAGCAGAAGGGCGCGGCTGTTTGGATTTGTTTAGCACGCGGAATGGAGGACGACAGCGAGGACGGCCAAGGTGAGAAAATTGTACCACCCAAACTGCTTGTCCTTGCACCAATCTGCGCAACGCCACTCGCCCAACACACTCACAGGAGCAGGACGGGGTGGTGCAGCAGCAGTCGGGGCCTTGTAGTACGAGTCCTGGGCTGCCTCTTGGGACTTGGACAGCGCAGCGGCGGACGGTTGGAAGAGGTGAGCCTGCTGCTCGGCCCAGCGCGTGTACTCGTCCTCGGCGCCGCCGCCCGTGGATGCTTGCGCCACAGAAGGGTCCTGTGTAGTTGTTGTACAAAGCACACGTGTCATGATGATCGTTGTCGTCGTCATCGTCGTGGTGAGCCACAGTCCAGCGATGAAGCCGGTCGTCGTCTTCTCTTCCTCGTCCCCATTTTTCACACGACGCTGCGATTCAGCAAACGCAGTTTCCCCCCCCCCACCCGACCTGTCCACCCATCAACAACGCTTCCATCACCGCGATTCTGGCATCAGCAACTCAACCAAACAGCAGCACACAAAGGGAAAAAAAGAAACGGAAAAATCGATGATACAAAAACCAGGCTTTTTTTTTTTTTTTCAATTTTTAACTTACGTCGAATGGAGTGCTTTGCTTCTCGCCGAACGGGTTGTTGTCCCTGTGGAATCACACAGCAGAGCAACAAAGTGAGCAACAAAACAAGCAAGCAGCAGCAGCAGCAGCAAAGGATATTCCAACAAGGCGAGAGCGATCGGGTCGAGCCAAACTGAAAAAAAAAAAAAAACGAAAAAAAAAAAAAAAGCGAAACAGAAGCAAAAGCCACAGTGAAGTCATTGTCGCGCGTACCAGCCAGACATTTGGGAAAAATGGAGGAATGGGAGCAAAAGATGAGTGAGGCAACAACAATGCCAACACAAATGGATCGGTTGGTTTGAGTCAAAGTCAATGCAACCAACCAGCACTGGAACAAAACAAATTTCGTCTGAGCGGCTGAGGAAATTGAGCCGTATTTTGTCTCCCGCCGTGTCTCCCCCAATCCCGCCCCCCTCCCGGTGATGATGCCGGCATCCATGCTACACTCTGTTTGTATTCTCGAATGGGGTTGCTTTTGCTTGATCCTGCTCTCCTGCAGGGTTCAATTGAAACTTCACTCTTTTTTTTTTTCTTTTTTTTTTTTTCTTCTCTTTGGCTCGAGTCACAATGCACACTCTGCCTCCAGTGCCGATGGCACTCGTCAACCAGGCGCAAGGCATGGTGCAAAACATTGGCCCGCAGCTGTCCAAGATCACTGCTGCCGCCAAGTCGCTCTTCACCAACAAATACGAGGACTTGCGCAACCTGCTCGAGGGCAACAACCAGAAGGAGAAGCTCGACGCGATGCGCAAAATCATTTCCGTTAGTCTCTCTCCGTCTCTCTCTCTCCCAACAAAGCCCCCCATCATTGGCATCATCATCGTCCATCTCGCTTGGCTTGTTCCATTGTCGGCTGCAGCAGCGAGTCGTGGCTTGCATTGAAATGCACCAGTCACAAGCACTTTTTTTTTTTTCAATCGATCTCAACTTTTTTTTTTTTTTTCGTCGTTCTTGTGCTGTCCTTTTGCTTCTGACGTGTGCTGGACGAGTACCGGACTGCTGGGCGGATGTTGGATGCTCATGTTGATGATGCGTTGAACAAGGTGGATTCGCCACCATGGACGAACGGCTTTCAGTTTCCTGGCCTTTCGAGCGACCGTTCCGTCATGCGACCTGACCAACCTCACTCATTCACTCGCATCATCACTCACATCTCACTCCACTCACGCTCATTGTGCCATCTTGTTCGCCACACTTGGTCTGCACTGTCGGATAGAACGTCGCGAAAGGCCACGACATGTCCGATCTCTTCCCGTCCGTCGTCAAGAATGTCGTCAACACTTCAGTCGAAATCAAAAAGCTCGTCTACGTCTACCTCGTGCGCTATGCCGAGCAAAACCAAGACCTGGCACTGCTGTCCATCAACACGTTCCAGAAGGACTTGAAGGTGAGTGCGGAAGCGGACACGGCGGACGAGACGCTCAAAGATCTTTGTTGCTTTCACTTTGGTTGTTCGTCTCACATCCCTATGCTTCCCGCACACCCCGCAGGACTCCAACCAACTCATTCGCGCGTCGGCTCTCCGTGTCATGTCCAGCATCCGCGTGGAGGTGATTGTGCCCCTGTTGATGCTCGCCATCCAGCAGGTCGTGACAGACATGTCTGGCTATGTTCGAAAGCATGCCGCCTACGCCATCCCGAAGCTGTACGCACTGGACAACGACCAGAAGGATCAGCTGATTGACGTCATCAAGAAGTTGCTCCAGGACAGCTCGACCCTGGTGCTCGGCTCGGCTGTGATGGCCTTTGAAGAAGTCTGCCCCGAACGCCTCGACCTCATCCACCCTCACTACAAGAAGCTTTGCACGCTGCTTGTTGATATTGACGAGTGGGGCCAGGTCGCCGTCCTCACCATGCTCACACGGTACGCTCGCACCCAATTCCTCGATCCCAACGCGTACGAGACCGAGGTCGCCGCGCTCGAGCAGCAGCAGCTTCAGGCCCAGCACGCCGCCGGCATTGTGACCCAGCACCGCGTCGGATTGTCCGTGACCCACCAAGCAGCCGCCCCGGCTGGCACTGTGCCGCTCTCCAAGAGCAGCACTCGCAACTTTTACTCGGACGACGACGAGTCGGACGAGGACGAAGCCGCAAAGAGCAAGAAGGGCAAGGGCAAGGGCAAGAAGAGTGCCAACGACGACGACGACGAGGAGGACGACGATGACGAAGCGGAGGGCGCTGCCAAGAAGGATTCCGCCGCCCTGCCCCTCCCCGCCAAGAAGCACTACACGATGGACCCAGACCACCGCTTGCTGTTGCGCTCGGCCCAACCACTATTGCAGAGCCGCAACTCTGCCTGCGTGATGGCTGTCGCCTTGCTCTTTTACTACCTCGCGCCTTCCGCCGAGGCTGCCATTGTCGGCAAGTCGCTCGTGCGGCTGCTGCGCTCGCATCGCGAGATCCAGTACGTGGCCCTCTCGAGCTGCGCCACCATGTCCGCCGTCAAGCCAAACATGTTCGAGTCCTTCCTCAAGACCTTCTTTGTGCGCGCGACCGACCCCACCTTTATTCGCTTGCTCAAGCTCGACATTCTGTGCAACATTGCCAACGAGGGCAACATTGGCATGATTTTGCGCGAGTTCCAAACCTACGTCAAGAGCAGCGACAAGGCGTTCGTGACGGCCTCGATCCAGGCCATCGGCCGATGCGCCTCGTGCATTCCTGACGTGACCGACCAGTGCCTCACCGGACTGATGGCGCTCGTGCAAAACCGCAACGAGGACGTCGTGGCCGAGTCGGTCGTTGTTCTCAAAAAGCTGCTCCAGCTCAACCCCACCCAGTACAAGAGCTACATTGTCTCGTTGGCGCGCGTTATCGACAAGGTCTCTGTGCCGATGGCTCGCGCGTCCATCCTTTGGCTGATTGGCGAGTACTCGGAGCACGTCCCCAAGATTGCTCCCGACGTGCTTCGACGACTGGCCCAGACCTTCACCCAGGAGGAGACGATCGTCAAGCTCCAAATCATCACCTTGGCCGCCAAGCTCTTCCTCGTCAACGAAAAGCAGACACGATTGCTCTTCCAGTACGTCCTCAGCCTCGCCAGCTACGACATGAACTATGACATTCGAGACCGTGCTCGCCTGTTTGAGCACTATGTCGTCTCCTTCCGAAAGAACCCACCAGCAGAAGGCACCATCAAGAGCAAGAGCAAGGAAGTGCTTCTCAGCGCCAAGCCTGCTCCGACGCTTGTTCCGAACAAGGATGGTAAGTTTTTGAGAGGGGGGGGGAGAGCGAGAGTTTTTTTTGCATTTTTTGCATTTTTTTTTTTGCTTGTTGCTTGCTCGAGTCCTAACTGGTAGTAATGTTGTTGAAATTTAGAACGCACTCGCTTCCACATTGGCTCGCTCTCGCACTTGACACACCAACAAGTCGCAGGCTACACGGACTTGCCCAAGTTCCCCGAAGTGGCACCCGATCCATCTGTTCGCGAAGTTATTGTAAGACTTTTCTCCAGAACCTGCTGCGACACACGGTCTTTGTTTTGTGTCCCAGCTCATAGATGGCTTTTGCTCGCCGATTTGTATCTCTGATCTTGACGTAGGCCGCGCCTGCGTGGAACGCCAAGAAGCCCGACACCAAGAAGAAGACACATGAAGTCATCAAGAAGGCCAAGGCCGACAGCTTCTACTCTGACTCGGAAGAGGAGGACGACGACTCTGACGAAGAGGAGTCTGAGGATGAAGATGACTTTGAGAGCATTGAAGGGTCTGACTCTGAGGGCCAGGACAGCGCCAACGATTCCGACGAAGACAGCGACGAGGACGAAGAATCGGACGAAGACGACGATGATGACGACGACGACGACGAGGACGAAGAATCGGAAGAGGAGTCGGAAGAAGAATCAGAATCGGAAGAAGAGGAATCCGAATCGGAGGAAGAGTCGGACGAAGAGCCCGCACCGAAAGCGAAGGCGTCCAAGCAGCAACCCGCTGCCGTTGCCACTCCGCCTGCCAAGAAGGCATCCGCTGCCAAGAGCAACGCTGGTCCTTCTCTGCTCGACCTGTCGGATGATTGTGAGTCATTTTCTCGGCCTCTTGCTCTTGCTTGCTTTGTTTGTGTTTCTGTTCGATGCAATCTGACTTTGAAAAACCGTTCTCCCATGTTCTTGTGTGCAGTTGCGGCTTCGCCATTGCCAACTGCCTCGCCGTTCCTGCTGCACGGCGCCCCACTCGCGGCGTACGCACCGGCCGCATCGACGCCTGCTGCGGCAGTCTCGGCCACGAGCTCTTCGTTCGCGCCCGTGTATCTCTATGCCCCTCCCACATCCAAGCACACCTTGCTGAATAAGGTCACCGGCAAGGGCCTGTTTGTCGAGTATCGCTTCACGCGCCGCGCCAGCGTTTATTCGCAAACCATGACTGGCATCCAGCTGCTCTTTGAGAACACCTCTGGCGCCGCCATCAAGGGCATTTCGTGCGCATCCAAGGTTTGTGCTTGGCGTGAGCTGTCGTTGAGAGAGAGGACGAGAACGCGCCTGGAGCGGATGGTTTTCTGACAGTCTCGAGGTTTTTTTTTTTGGTTTTTTTTTCTGGTGGTTTGGATGTTTCTTCCGCAGAGTGTCGATGGTGCGGTCGAGATTGCACCGTTCGCTGAAATCGCTGAATTGGGCGCTCATGCCACTTCGGAGGCAGTGATTGGCATCAATTTCAACGACAAGAGCCAGAGCGTCAAGTTCGAGCTTCGGTAAGCAACGATTGGTGCGCGCGCGCGCTGACGATGGTGACGGCCAAGCTCACTCGCCCCCCCCCCCCATCTTTGCGTCCTTGTTCAGAGCTGGCGAGGACACGTTCAAGGTGTCCATCGAGCCTGCTGTCGGTGAAGTGTTGACCGCCATCCAACCCACCCTGAAGGAGTTTGATGCGATTCAAAGTGAGTGTCCGATTGTCTCGGGTTGAATTTTTTTATCTTTATTCGCCCTCTCGTTGTCACACGGTCGAACTGACCCCCCGTTGGTGCTTTGTGTGCTGCAGACGAACTCGGCGGCATGAACGAGTCTGTGACCAAGTTCTCCGTGGAAGACCCGTCCGCCGCGCTGGCCAAGCTCGAGTCGACCGTGGTCGAGGCTGTGAATGTTGCCCGCATTTTGGGCCCTGGTGGTGCGGAGGGCGACCTCGAGGACGGCCACTTCCGCTTCGCCGCCCGCACTCAAGCCTCCAGCACACCTGTCTTGCTCACCATCAAGCTGGATCCCTCCAGTGGTGTCGGCAAGGTGTCTATCAACACTGAGAAGATTGTGGTCGGCTCCATGCTTGTGAAGGAGCTCAAGGCTGCATTGTCAGAGCTGTGATTTTGCATTTCTTTTTTTCATATCTTTTTGTTCTTTCTTTTTTTTGCCCATTCTGTGAATTTTTCCGGGTTTCGTTCGTGTATGCCCTTGTGCAAATGTTGTCTTTTTTTTTTAAAAAAAAAAAAATGAACAAGGATTGAAACAGAGATTGTTGCAACACTTGATGGAGTTGAGTGGGTGGAGCGTTTTGTTGCGGAGCATTTTTTGGAGTTTGTTTGTTGGTATCGTTTTGTTTTGACCCCAAAAAAGACAGCTCGGCAACGGTCGGCAACTTCCCCAACAAGTATCGAGCACACACCGAACTTACAGCAAAGTGACTAGCCGGATTCGCCATGTATGCTCATCTCCAAATGATGGATGCGAGCGACACCCCCTGTGGTCGAATCGCGGGTTGTGGCTGAAGCGTTTCCACACCCGTCACCCTTTCTCCTCTCCTCCCTGCGTCCTTTCCCCCCCCCCCCCAACTGGAGCACCCCTCGCTCTGTGTCACTACTCTCTGTCTCTGTCTCTCTCTCTCTGCTAGTGTGTCTGCGCAGCCATCTTCCTCGCAATCCACTTTTCCATTGAACACTCGATGACTGGTTTGTGTGTCAAACTTTCCAAACCGACGCTCGGCTTCTCGCTTTTCCCGCCCTTTCACAGCCAAACCATTTTAAAAAACCCGAACTTTTATCGTTCATTCCAGTCTTTCTTTGCGTTCGCTATTCTCGCTGTCTCTCTGTTGTATCGCTTTTAGCTGTGGGCTGGCTTGGTTGGCGTCGCTGGTTGGTGTGTGTCATATCGAGCAAAAAGAGTCGGACTTGAAACCATTCTGAAACAGTCGCTCTTCTCCCACATTCTCTTCGTGTCGCTCCTTCCTTGTCGCTCGACGGCGTTGCGCATTCGACAAGCCCCATTTTGAAAAATATCGTTTCTTGGCACGACAACAACAACAAAAACAACAACAACTGTCGTCCTGCTCTTGAACTTCCGAAGCAAGACACCCTTCGTCATCGTTTCACAGCTTGTTCGCTCCTCGAGCACAACGCAGCAACCACAACGCAACAACGCATCTTGTTTTTAAAACAACAACAACAACAACAACAACAACAAAAACAAATCAATAAAAAAATTCATCATCGACGATGGCAGCGATTGCAGTAGTGACAAAGCCGAGCAGCAGCAGCCACAACCGCAACGGCGAAACGGGCGGCGTCGTGCTGCACCCGCACGAGCACCCGCTCTCGCACTACCACGGAATGCATCTCCATGGGTCTGCACAACTCGAGGCACAGGCGCAGGCGCATACGCAGTCGTCCGACAGCAAGAACGACTGCCTGCTGAGCCAGCTTCTTACGTCGGCTGCCCGATCGTCGGCAACGTCGCTCCTTTTGGCAGCCGCCACCACAACCGCAGCCGCCGCCACAACAGCCGCCACAGCAGCCTCGCTCTCGCTGGCATTCGACCCAGACACTGCCGCCGACCTCCTGTGCACTGCTGCACGCCATGGCGACATTGCCAAGCTCAAGTGGGGCCTCACGCAGCAGGTCCCGCAGATTGCATTCGCAGTCGCATTAGCGGGCAGCGGCGCTGGGACACCAGCACAAGCATCACAACAGCCAACAGCGCCAGTCACCCACTTTATTCATTTTGGCGTCGCATCTGCGTCGGTCTCGCCGTCCATCGCAGGCGCGGGGGACGTCGTCACAACGCTGCTTGCGCGAATGCTGCTGGTCGCCGCGAACAGCGGACAGCTCGCCATTGTCCAGTTCCTGCTCTCAGTCGCCAAGACGCTCGGCTGTGACATTGCCAACGACGCACCACCGAGTGCCACCCAAGTCACGTCTACTGCATGCAGCAGCTCGGCAGGGTCGCGATCGGCGCTCTACCTGGCCTGCGCCGGTGGACACAAGCAGGTCGTGGCCGAGTTGCTGAGCGCAGGTGCCAAACCAAACACTGCTGCCTCGACAAGCCAGCGCTGGACACCCCTGCATGTGTGTGCGTTCGAAGGGCGCCTCGCTTGCGCAGAGCTGCTGCTCGCACACCCCGACACTCTTGTCGACGCGACAGATAAATCCGGCTGGACACCGCTGCACTGGGCTGCCTTCCTCAACCAGCAGTCCCTCGCCGCGCTGCTTCTCGCCCACAAGGCCTCTCCTGCCGCTGTGAACGCCGATGGCGATACTCCGTTGCACAAGACCGCTACGCATGCCTCTACTGCCATCTCATCGCTTCTGCTGGCGCGTGGCGCATCCCTCGATGTTTACAACAACCAGGGACTCGTGCCCCTGCACATTGCCGCACGTGCCGGCCGCGCTCTGCAAATTGCCCTGTTCTGCAAGCACGGGCTCAATCCCGATGCTCGAGTCCGGCTCTGAACAACAAACAAACAAAAAAAAGTCCAGCAACAAGCACAACAACCCCAACACATCCAGCGATTTTCGATTTTCGGTTTACTACAGTACTTTTTAGATTGCGATTGTAACTTCTCTGCGCTCTGTACATACTTTGCCACTTCTCCCTTTCTGTACATGTATCTCTCCCTCTCTCTTTTTGGATAAATCGACTTGTAACCTAAGGCTCAGTCCATTTTTGATCCGTTTTCAAGTCTTGCTTGATTCTCAAACAGTCCACCCAATCCGGCTGACACTCAACCCTTATTCTCCTTGCAATCCTCCACTCCTGCGATCGAGAGAGTGGGAACGCTGAGCGGGATGCCCGTTTCCGCTGCAGGGTCTGTCGTCTCAGATTCAGACACGCCTCTCGCACGCTCTCGGCGAGGCTCGTCCACCAGCCTCAGTGGCATCGCCAATACCAGCAGCAATAACATCAACAGCACAAGTAGTAGCATTCATGGTAGTAATAGTAGTAGCAGTGGCAGTAGCGATACTAGCAGCAATCGCAACAATCGGAATAGCAGTAACAATGCAAACCGCTCATCGTCGTCGCTGGGCGGGCTTGGCAACCTGATCACTGCCGCAGCGCCGCCATTCCTCTGGATGGGCCAACGCAGCAGAGCCACGCCAGTGATTGAGCCAAGCGCAGCTGCAGCACTCGGCCGACCGACCTCAGCGTCATCGTCGTCGTCGTCGTCGTCGTCGCCCTCTTCCTCTCCTACTGGTGCTTCAACTGCGACGACCGAACCCACCAGTCCCGCCAACGCCGAGTCAGCCCAATCCCACCAGCCGCGGCGGCAATCAGACAGTGCTCCAGTGCCAGCTGCAGTGCACCAGGTCCCGAGCACGAGCACGGGCGGGAGGGTCACTGCCAAGTCGTCCTTCCGCATGCTCCACTCGCGCGTGCAGCAGGAACAGAGCGCGCTGGCCGTCGCGGCGGTCGTGGCTGCCGTCCCTGGTGCTGTCGAGTTCCGACCGACGTTTGCTGCTGGATCGGCTGCCGGCGAGAGGCCTGCCACTCGGATGAGCCAATCTACCGACCTGCCCGAAGAAGGTCTTACGTCCGTCAAGACAACCACTTCGACTCCTTCATCGGATGCGTCGTGCACTAGCACTGGCGACAGTGGATTTGCACGCGACGCAGCGCTTGGGCTGACCAGTGAGACATTCGATATTGTCACGCACAACATTGAGAGCGCCGACACGCGCCAGGGCCTCGAGCATAGCGACGAACTGGTCGAGATTATGAACGAGTTTGGCGTCGGGTTTGACCAGGCGCGTCTCATCTTTATGCGCCGCCGAATGATTGAGAACAACATTGATCCAGACACGGGCCTGCCGCTGGACGCAAAGGCGGTGAGCTTTGGACCCAAGCCTCCATCGCAACCGGTGATTGCTGCGCACTCACAGCAACCACTGCCGCGCCTTCTGACTGCGGCTCAGCCCGGCTCGACCGAGCCTGCTACATCATCGCAAGCGTCGTTGGCAACCAGCAGCACTGCTGCTGCTGCCTCGCGAAAGCGCCTGTCTCATCGCATCTCCAACCGCGCGAGCAAAGTTCTGCACCTTGCCGCCGCGGCTGTCGCGGCAGCCACCTCCACCAAGCCGGGTGCGCTTGACGATCTCACCAGCCAGCACTATCAACAGCAGTCACACATTTCGTCAGCCATGTCGGACGCTGTTACCCGCACAACCGTGGACGACCGGCGTCGGCATTCGGCCTTCTCGACGCAGTACGGCGTTTCAGACTACCCAGTACCCACCGATCCCGGCCGACCTCGACCGCCTATTCGCGAGCAAATTGCGCTGCTTGTCGACATGGGTTTCGCTCCCAATCACGCCGCTGTAGCGCTCCTGAAGGCCCATCGCAATGTGTCGATCGCTGCATTCATGCTGGCACAAGAAGAAACGGTCAAGACTTCGCAACACCAAGACTGGAGCTCGTCCGCGTCTCACGCTTCGCACGGCAAGCGAATCCATGCCCCACGGCTTGGCTGGCTCAAGGACAAGCTTATGGGCGGCGTTCACCCTGCGCTCAGCCACGTTGCTGTGCAGCCGCTGCCATACTCGAACGCCCCTCGCGGCGGGTCCGAGGGCGAGCCCCAGAGCACCTCCGCTCGCCTGTCTCGAGGGCGGCTTGGATCGCAGGGTTTTGCTCAACCGGACACGACGGGCACAGCGGGCCTGAATCCGCTTGCATCGGTCCACTCTCAACCAGACGACATCTTTGCGGATGTCTTCAACCCTCGCGCCCACTCTACCGCGCTGCCGTTGTCTGCTTCCACCCGGTCTGACCTCGCTCGACTCCACGCCCAAGCGGCTCACACTGTTTCCAACCCCTCCTCCTCCTCCTCTTCCACCGCGTTGGTCACATCCCTGTCGTCACCAGCAAGTCGTCCGACGCTTGGTTTGCGCAAGCCGAGCGCCATGGATGACGCATTCATGTTGCCAGCTCACTCGCCAGCGGCAGCCATGGCATCCCCGTTGGCGCGCAGCGGAAAGCCGCTGCACTTGCACTTGTCGGGTGCGCAAGATCTCGCTGGAGACCTCCATGGCACTCCGACCAAATCCACTCCGACAACGCTTGTGCGATCGTTGAGCGCCCTCGATCTTGCCGACCTTGCGACGTTGGCAACCCAGCCCCTGAATCCGTTCGACGACCTATTTTCAAGTACCAGCTTGGATCTGCCGACCGTCGACCCGCGGCAAGAGACCTCGGACGACGAGGACGAAGACATCACGGTTGCGGCAACGTTGCCGTCCCTGGTCGCTGCCCCCTCCAAGACAACGGGAAAGCGCGAGCAGCTTGTCGTCTCCTTTGCGCCTGGATCAACTCCGTCCAAACTAGCAGCGATGCCTGCGTCACCTCGTGGACTTCCGCCCCACATGACGCACAAGCGATCCTTGTCCAGCCCGCACAATGCCATCCCGCCGGCGCAGCCCTTGTTCGACGCCCCTCCTCAAACGACGGCCCCGGCATCGCCACCCCACTCACCTTCTCGAAAGTTTCATGTTATCGCTGCAAAGCCACACCCGATTAGTTAGCGGCATCAGCAATCCGTTTGTGGCATCTTGAAATTGGCGTTCGATTGATTTTTTTGTCCAGTTTTTTTGTTTTCATTTTCAATGTAACAACAGTTTTTTTTTCTTTCTGACCCACATTTGTCCATCGCCAAGCATCCAACTAAATGGGTATTTTTCCCCAAGAGCATTGGGTGACGAGGGACAGTTCCTATAAGCTGCCAATGAATTGCTTTGTTGACATTCTTGCCGCAACACCGACACATCCAACCAACAGTCAACAATCAACTAGCAAGAGAGCGATAGAACGCATTGTGGTGCTTTTCAAGATCGAATAATAGTTGCCGCAGCTGCTCTGGAGTGAGTTCGTCACTGGCTTGCATGGCATTCATTTTGGCGAGCCATTCCCGGAGATTCACCTTGCCTTCCCAGTCGGCAGAGAGCGACGGGAGCTTGTTCATGCTTCCGAGAAGGTCATTCAACTGCGGATGCAGCTCGTCCACGGCAGACATTTGCAGCTTGATGGAATCCATCAGTGTGATGAACGATTGGACCGTTTCGGCGACGTGGACGGCAGCGTTGCGAGCAGAGGTCGATTCGCCAGTGCCGCCGTGCTCCACAGTGGCTGGCACGCCGATTTGCAACCTTTGGTACGCCGCCGGGCAGCTGAGCTTGTAATCGCCCATAAACTTTTCAATCGACGGCACTTGGTCTTTCAGCATGCTTTTCGCCGTTCGGAACTGCGCGATGAGCTTTTCGCACGCCGGTGTATATCTGCAGTCAATGACCGGCGTAGTAGTTTGATGCATTGAGTGGGTGAGCGTTTTGTTGGCGAGTGCTTCTTGGAAAAGCATCAAAAAGCAACGCCCTTACTCGCTGGGTGAGATTGAGTCTCTGACATAGGCCTTTTCGAGGTAGTTTAGCGTCTGTTTTTGATGAAGAGTCCAAAGTACCGGATGCGCCCCAGTGAGTGAGTGAGGCGATGGACGAGCCGCACGTCATCCTCCTCATAGAACGAAGCTCTCGTCCTCTCTGTCTGTCTGTCTCTGTCTACGCCAACCGCTCATTCAAAGCGAAAACATGCATACCTGAATGATGGCGAACAGGTCTGCCATGTTGTCGTAGAGCTCGCGCTCCTTGGCTGTCGTGTACAGCTTGACTTCCTGAGTACAAGTACAAGACAGCATTTTGCATTAGATTCCCCGAGACTTCTGAGGCGCCATTGAATGAACAAGCAGTGAAGAGCAAACAAACCTGCATGAGCTCGGGTTGGACTTGCGCGTTCGACTGCTGAATGGCTGCAATGGCCGCCGACGCAGAGCCCTGCAGACCAGTAATGGACGACATTTCAAAAGCAAAAAAAAGACTGAGGATTTGTCTGAGATTGTCTGAGAATGTGTCTGAGCGCTCAATGTGTTCTCATCAACTACAGCAATTCCATTTCCCTACTCTTCCTTTCTTAGAATCTCATATGGCTCCGCGGTTGGCTCGTGCTCGCATTGCGGCTCCATCTTTGAATGCAAGGTAGTGCCGAAATCCCGCCGTTTGGATGTTGTGCACAATCTCGCGCTCGTTCTGATCTTTGCGTTTTGCATGTTTGCATGTTTGCATGTGTGTGGTTTCAGGCTCGCTACGGCGCCGCGCGGAGACAGGCTGCGGGCGATCGACGCTGAAGCTGCAGTCGTCGCATATGGCGACCAGCTGCTCATCGTGACGGCCAACCCAGACCCGAACGAAGGTGCGTGTGAGCAAGCAAGCTTATGTGAAGCTGAGCTCGTCATCGTGAAAGTTGCGTTGAAAGAGTGGAGTTTGGTCGATCAGGAGCGATGATCAGCCAGAACGCATGGGTTCCGCCTCCATCAGTGATGCATGGACTCGAGAAACAAACCCGCTCATACCATAGTACTTGCCATCACACCCTTGTTGACAGAGCCATACGATCCAAGCGACAAGGCCGCCTTTGCTGCAGATTTGGCTTCGCTGGACTCGATCGCGTTGCACTCGGCAGCGAACGTGCTGCACGCCGACGGTGGCATCCGAAGCATTGCCCTCGCGCGGACAGATGTGGCAGACGCTGGTGAAGCAAACGTGCTGGTCGCGCAGGTCGACGGCACCGGTCGAGGCGCTGTCACGGCCGTCGCTTGGAGCCGACAGAACGGCCTCTCGCGCTGCAACTACCTCGATGTCTTCAACCCTGCAGAGATGCCCATCACCGAGTCGTGGAGCGGCGTGGCTTTCCATCCTCAGGAGCCAACATCCAGCTTTGTCACAGTCAACGCCGCCAGTCGCGCCATCTCCCAGTACGCGATCAGCGAGGCGGGCATCACGCTCAACCGCGCAGTCCATGCTGCGGCCGACCCATCCGCGCTCACCTACGTTCAGCACGGCGCTGGCGATGCGTCGTCGTCCAGCCAGGTGCTGCTGCTCACGGAACGCGCGAGCATTTCGCTGTGGGACTTGCGCGCATCGAAAGCCCTCGTCGCCAAAGAAGTTCTCAAAGGCAGCGATCTCCTGGCGGCCACGTCCAGCGGCAACTATTTTGCTGTAGCTGGGGCTGATCGCATGCTGACCGTGTTTGATGCCCGCAAGATTACCCCGGTTGGCATGTGCATGAGCATGCTGAAATACGAGGTTTGTCGCTGTGTCGATGTGGTGGTGCTGCTGCTGCTGCTCATGTCGTGTCGTTGGATTGTGACATCTCACTCGAACGCTGCCCTTCTCATCGATACTGCTTGCAATTCAGGTGTCGTCGATTGCCTTCTCGCACACGAACGCGAATGTCGTGTATGCCGCTTCTGGGTCTGATTCTGAGCTGGCTGGTTGCCGATGGGACTCTGTCCTCAACTCTGCTCCCCGCTCGGGTGTGACACGCGGCCACTTGGATGGACGGTGCCTCGGAATGGATGTGTCTTCGCGCGGTGTGTACGGCCGCGCGCCGCTGATTGACGAGTCTGTCTTCTTCCTCTCAACCTCCGGAATGGTGTATCTTCTTCGGGAGGGCAGTGTGTTTGCCACATCCGATGCGCAAAAAGGAGCCACGACTGGCGACGAGGAACCCGGAGAGGGGGATCAGCGCAGCGAGCCGCGACACAACCACCACCATCGTGCCAACCAAGCGAAACTGCAGCCGGCTGTCAGTGCTCCCACCGAGACAGAAGCTCATGATGCACAACATGTCGACAAGAAGCCGAGGCTAGACCAATAGTAGAGTTTTGTTTGAAAGCAATACTGTTGGAGAGGAATAAAATATATTGATGGTGAATGAATCGCACGGGGTTTTGTTTGTTGCTGCTCCAATCAAAGAAGAAAATATGGTTTTGGAGAAGAAGGACTTTTAAAGCAATGGCGATTCGGGAGACGTCGCAGCCATGCCGTCTGTGATGTGCAACTGAAACATTGGCACGAGCAACAACAGCGCGTCGTGCAAGTAGGACGTAGCATCCTGAGCTTCGGTCTGCACGCTGTTTTGAACAGTCGCCACTTGCTGTTGGACTGTAATTGTGACAAAAGAGTGTGAGAATCAAGCAAGGGTTTCCCCCCCCCCCAAAAAAAAAAACCATGCACCGCGGAACACGACGCACGTACCATCCTTGTTATCGCCAGCGGCTTCAGATGCAGCCCTGGCAAGCGTCGCAAGACCAGACGAGTGCTGCTGTTGAGCGGAAACCAAATGCTCGCGGAAGAGGGCAACGAGATTGCGAGCCATGGCAGCGTTGGCAAATGCGCGTTCGGTCGACACTTGTCGCTCCTTCTCGAGACGCTGCAACAGCAAGCTTTCTCCGAGCTTGCGGATGTGTTCGAGCGCCAACGATGTGATGCGGGCGATGGCGTCGATTGTTTGTTGATGAAGCTCGGATGTGAGTGAAGAGATCTGGAAGCAATGTGGGAGCAAAAGTGAGCGCGCAAATGTCCCAAAACCAAAACATGTGGCTGTTGCAACTCACCTGGAAAACAGAAACGGCGTTGGGCACATCCTCATCAAGAACATCGCGAAGCTCTCCAAAGATGGCTTCTTGAGCGTCTGCAAGGCGGTGAACCAGAGTGGCATTGCGATCGTATCCAAGCTTTTCGATCAGAGCTGTGGCCTCCTCGAGGAACTTGTCAGCGGAATAGACAATGGCACTCGAATCTGTCAACTCCTCGCCAAGATCCAACACCATCCGGATCCGGTCCAGCTTGGAGTGCGCTTCGAGCAGCTGTTGCGAAGCCAATCCAGTCTGGGCCGCTTGAACCTTGACGGTGCAGTTTGTCGTCAGCATTTCCAACGCTTCAAGATGCACCAGGCCCTGGTACTTGTCGAGCATGGCACTGAGGGACACGACTGCAGAACAAGAAGAGAAAAGAGAGTGATACTTTGAGCGAGTGTGCGAAATCAAACGCATCGAAATGCAGGGCAACTCAACGCATCGAAATGCAGGGCAACTCAACTTACGCGCGGCTGCTTTTTGTTGTTGCGCGGAAGCAAGACCTCCGGCAAGGCCGTCGGACTCGGCACGTCTGTCGCGCAGCAGCTGGGACAGGGTCGGGCGAGGGCCTGCGCCTGGGACACGCAAACGCACAGAGGCGCCCTCCCCACCTTGTTCCGTGATGGCGTCGATGGTTCGCTTGCCGATGGTTTCAAGAGCAACCAAGCCGTGCGACATGACGTTCTGCCCCAGCGCCTCCAGGCCGGTGGTGTCGACTGGCACCACTGTTTTCACCTTTTCCAGCACCGATCCAAGGCCCCAGCCGCCAAACAAGCTGGAAGAGCTTGCCGCCGACGGTGACGCGGTGGACTGCTCTGCTACAGGGGTCGCAACCTTGGCTGGAGTTGGCTCAGGCGCTGGGCTGCTTGTTGATGGCGTGGCAGCAGGCGGCGCCTGCGACAAGCCAAGCGTGCAGTGAACCAAAAATCGGTCAGTGATACATGCTAGAGCTGAAAGAATCAAGAAAGAGGCGGGTATGGCATCTTACCGAACTAGCACTGTTCGACGAAGTGTCCTCCGCCATTCGGCTCATTTGCTCGGGCGTGGGAATGTTGAGCGAGCCCTCTACGCTCTCAATGGCCTCGCGGGTGATTTTGGAAATGTTTCCACTGAGGTTCGTCGCAGTCTCGGTGACGGAGGTGACCGTAGCAGCGGCGGCAGACCACACACTTCCCCAGCTGCCCCAGCTGCCCCAGCCAGCGTTGTTCGAAGCGGCGGCGGGTGCTGGTGCTGGTGCTGGTGCAGGTGCAGCGACAGGCACAGTCGGAGGAGTGTTTTGAGCAGTCTGAATTGGCTCGGCTTGCTTTGAGGCACGTTCTTGAGGAGCAGCTTGCTTGACCGCCAGCTCGGGTGCATCGACAGGTACAGTCGAAGGAGTGCTTTGAGCGGTCGGTGCGACTTGAGTGGTGGTCGGGGTTGGCTCGGGCGAGACCGGCTCTGCTTGCTTGAGCGCCTTGGGTGCAGCGGGCGCTGTCTCTGGCTCGGAGCTCGGTGCCACGATTGACTCGGTGGGAGTTTGAGAGTTTGATTCAGCGACTGTGGCAGGAGTAGAAGTACCAGCAGCAGCAGTAGCAGCAGCAGCAGGAGGAGGAGGACTCGGTGCTGGCTCATGCTGGGCAGGCTGTGCGTCGACGCTGACGGCTGCTGGCCCTGGCTCTGGCTGCGACGGCTCTTGTGCGACAGTCGCAGAATGAGTTTCTTCAACCTGTGCGGTGGCAGTGGCTGCTGGAGCAGGTGTGCTGTGCACTGTCGCGACGACTTCTGAAACTGCCTCGTCAGCCTCGTCGTCAGCCTCAGTCGCTGGAGTCGCTGGAGCCGCTGGGCTGGGCTCGACAGGAGCAGCAGCATGGACATCAGCAGGTGATTCCTCAACGAGGTCTTGCGCGTCTTCAAAGACGTCGTCGTCGTCGGCAAAGTCAGACATCAAAAAGCACTTGGAGAGAAGCAAGGAAGGACTGAGATTGAGCCGGCTCACCAAACTCCCACGTTCAATAAAAGCATGTGTGGTCGATGTAGATCTAACATATTCACGCTGCACATGCTCCCCAAGTGCACAGGTGCAGTGTAGCTCCCATCGGTCGGGCATTGTTGGAGCGAATTTCGTGCTGCATTGTCGCCGCGCCGTCCTCCCACCCCTGCCAATTTTCCAACACCAAGCGCGAAATGCATCAGGAAACTCGACGACCAGCAACCTCCATCACATCCTCAAAGTCAAGCTGAAACACAAACCCCGCGAGAGTCAGTCTTTTTTTTTTTTTTTTTTTTTTTCTTTTTTCTTTCTTTTTTTTTTTCTATTCTTTTGTCCCTTTTGATCTCCATCCTTTCGTATCCTTTGTCGTTGCTCCCCATTTTGTTGTGATTTCCAATGTAAATGCTCTCCTTATCTCTCATTTGCTTGCCCTACATTCACCCTGGCTGCTCCTCCTCCTCCCTCCAAATGTCGAATGTGCTGCTGATGTCCAGCTGATGCGTTTGATCATGCACGTCTCATTGATCGCCGACAGCCCCCTCCCATCGCCTTTTCGTCTTCCCTTCCCCCTTCCCTTTCTCTCCCCCTTTCTTCCTCCTCCATTTTTTTTCAAAGCCATCCTTTCATTCCAATCACCTCTGAATGCACATCCCCCCTCAAACCCCTTCCCCCTCAACTCCCTCAACTCGAAACCCCCAACACGAATTTTGCATGGCTTTTTTTTTTTTTTTTTTTTTTCTTTGAATGAAGGTCAGCTGCCAGACGCCTGGTCAACCTTCGTCCAATCACTCGCCGTCTTTTTTTTTTTTTTTTTTTTTTTTTTTGGGGCTGGGTTTGTTTTGGTTGTCGGTCCATGCTCCAGCAAAAGCTCCTCCTCCTCTCCCCGCCATCAGAGACACAGAGCATATGCGCACGGAGCGGGGGGAGGGAAGGGGCCACTCTGGATGAAGGCATACGTGATCGCTGCTGCGTGATGAAGCAGAATTTTTTTTTTTTTTTTTTTTTTTTTTTGCTGTGGCGTTGCTCGGCTTGCTCACAGAAACGCCCCATCCCCACTTCCCCTCTCATGTCGATGGAGCGAGCTATCCCTTGCAAACTCATCGGCGGTGGTGGGCTGGAGGATGGATGGAGCGCAGTGGTTGAAGCGACGTGCACTAGCGGCAACACGTCAACGCTTCGCCTCCCCGTCCTTAGCCACGGGAAAAACGCTCCGCACGCGTTGCTGCCCTCGTGGTCGCTTGTGCCATCTGCCTTTCCCTCTCCCTCATTCCTACTCACTGCGTGTCATCGGTCGCTCAATTCAAAAACCCCGAATTCGCCAACCATTGTACAAAAAAAAAAAATCATAAAATCACAAAATAATAAAAATAAAAAATAAAAATCAAAAAACAGCCACTTTGTGCCGATGTTCGGCTTCTCGCTCAACCATTGTGCATTGGGCTCGAACCGACTATTGCATTGGATTTGCTACTGCGTTGACTTTGGATGCAATCGTACTCACTGCTGATTGCGATCGCTTGGGTGTTTTTTTTTTTTTTTTTGCTTGACAGAATTCTCTTAGACTCCTCGACTCTGTTCCGCCGCACTCACCTCATCAAAGAGCGACATCGACATTGACTCACAAACTACAAAATGCCGCTTCGCGATGTCTTGTTCCCGATGCGCGCGCGCAACAAGAAGGTGAGTGGCTCATCGTGACTCCTATGGTGGTTGTTCACGAATGAATTTGTTGAAACCTCATTTCGTTTGCCGGTCCAAACCCCTCGCAGAAGGACGCCGAAATCTTCATGAATCAGGCACAGGATGTCTGGACGTGGTTTGCAGGCTTGTTGTACACGCAACAGCAGCTCTTGTTGGACGGGCTGTTGCAGCGATGCGCGACAGTGCTGCATGCACACATTGCATCAGAGCTGCAGGCCGCGTTGAAGCGCGACTTTCTGGCGACGCTTCCAGTCGAGCTTTCGTTGCACATTGTCTCGTTCATTGACGATCCACAGACGCTCTGCAGCATGGCGCAAGTGTCCCGGACGTGGAACCAGATCGCGTCCGACAACTTCCACTGGCACCGTCTGTGCTTGCGTCGCAACTTTATCCCATTCCGGCCAGAGCAGGTCCTTGCGACACGCATGGAGCAGGCATACGAAGAAATGTGGTGGGGCATGTCCTCGTCAACCGTGCCTGCCGCCATTGCGGCCGCAGCACCCACGGCGAATCTTGCCACCATTCCTGGTGCTGGTATGCTTGTGCCCTCTGCGACGTTTGCTGCTGGCGGCGCGTCGTTCCCGGCACCTTCCATCACTGGCGAGGTGAGCTCTTCTAGTGCCATGGAAGCCGCCATCTCTGCTGCCATGGAATCATCGCCCATGACCATTTCTCGATCGCAATCACGACCCTCCGCCGCCTCACAACAATTGTCAGCCTCCCTCGCTTCCCACCACGGCAGTCTTGGCACTGCCAACGCCTCCTCCTCCTCGTACGCTCCATCGCACATCGACATGATGGACGAGTCCCACTCGTCCCGCAACCGTCCTCGGCTTTCATCCTCCAGTTTATCCGCCACCCCGACAGGGCGGCGGTCTGGATCTTCTTCGCTGAGCGTTTCGTTGGGGAATCACGGCAGCGGCCTTCAAAGCATGGACGGAACTGTTTCCTCGTCATTATCATCGTCCATGCGCGCAGCTGGACACCTTTCGCCTCCCTCCCATTCCGCTGCGCTATCACCCTCCATGTCCACTGCCGCCGCCGTCTCGTCGTCCACTCCCGCCACCACCACCTCCTCGTCGTCAACCTCCATCTCTTCATCAGCGTCTTCTCAATCTGCGGCGGCACGACCACGGAGCTCCCATGTATCAGGCGAGCCGTCATCCCAGGACTTGCAACCGTACTACAGCGCAACCCCACAAAACCGAACCGCGCTCATATCGCTCTACAATGCGTATGGCGGCAACGAGGTCGATTGGAAGAGCGTGTTTGGTCAGTACTACCGCGAAACGATGCGGCTGCAGAGCAATTGGCGTCGAGGCGTGCACGTCAAGCACGAGGTCCAGGCGCACACGGAGGAGGTCACCTGCGTGCGGTACACGGAGGATCGTCTCGTCTGCGGCTCGTATGACGGCCTGGTGAAGGTCTGGGACATGAAGGAGAACTTGTGCCTCGGCTCTCTGATGGGCCACGGAGACGCCATCACCTGCGTCGCATTTAACGAGAGTATTATTGTCAGCGGCTCGCTCGACCACTCGCTACGAGTCTGGGACGCGAACACGGGCCGTGCCGTGCGTGCGCTCATGGGACACACTGCCGAGGTGGAGTGCGTCGCCATCGACGCCACTCGCATTGTGAGCGGCTCTTGGGACAACACGCTGCGTGTGTGGAGTGTCGAGACAGGCCACTGCATCAACACGCTCTCGGGTCACCGCGGCTCCATCTACTGTGTGCAGTTTGACGCGGACAAGATTGTCTCGGGCTCTGGCGACCGCACGGTCAAGTTCTGGTCGTGGGCGACTGGTACTTGCTACCGAACGATCGAGGCACACAACGACACCGTCACCTGTCTGCAGTTCGACCACGAGCTGCTCGTCACGGGCTCGTACGACTGCGACGTCAAGGTGTGGAGCATGGAAAGCGGCACGCCGCTCTTCACGCTCCGCGGCCATGTGGGCGAAGTCTGGTGTCTGCAGTTTGACGCCTTGGCGAATCGCATCATTTCGGGCTCCAACGACGGCACCATCCGCGTCTGGAACCTGCAGGCCGGGCAATGCAACTATGTCTTGCGGCATGGCAGTGCGGTCAATTCTCTCCAGTTTGACGATCGCAAGATTATCAGCGGCTCGTCGAACAAGGCGCTGCAGCTGTGGGACTTTTCTGCACAATAGCGCGCCCTCTCGTTGACTCGCGTGTTATTCCGATCTTGTGTTTTTAGGGGTGTTTTTCGTTTATTTCTGTGGTCGTCACAGTTTGGTTTTATCATAATTCTCTTCCTCTCCTTCCTCTTCTTCCTCTTTTCCCTCATTGTTATATTGATTATTTTTTTTTGTATTGTAATTAGTTGTCATCTGGTTTTTGGTTATATCAAAACAAAAGTTTCGCTGATTCATTTCCATTCGCAGATCAAGCCAAGCAAAGCGGTATGCTCTGCATGAGTTTTCATCTCGCAATATCAAACAACTCGTTCATCCCATGTCATGCTCGAGGCAGTCATTCTTATTCTTGCAATAATTCTGCTTCAGTGGACATACAAAATGATGCTCTTCGCCGCGAATCGCGTCCTGTTGACTCGGCCGACGCGCACCGCGACCATTCGGGTATGCCTTTTCCTCCCTCTGTCTCTTCCTATGCCCATCCCATAGAAGCCCTCGTCGATCGCCCCTTTTTTCTTGGTCCTGCGTGGTTCTGCTGAGGGAGTAGTGAATCAACTCGGTTGACGCCGCAATCTCACTCCGCACTCTGCATGCTCCACCCCAAACCCTCAAGCTTCAACTACCCCTCTACACCATTCATGGTCAGCGCAACACTCGCTCTTTCTCATCAGCCCATGCAAACGGTCGTCGCGTTATCGACGTTTCGTGTCGTGTTCGTCCGTTTGCGATGACTTCAGAATTGATTCCTTCTCCAATCTTGACTTCGCCTCGCTTTCGTTTTACCACCAACCAAGAACAACAAAAACAACACGCGCTTCTTTGCAATGTTGAGCCATTGATTTGAACTCACCGATTTTTGCTTGTCATTCTTATTCAATTCAAATCTGTCGCATACAAGGCGTTCCAAACATCGGCTCTGTGCGCGTGGCCCGGCCAGAATCTCGTCGAGAAGATTGCTCAAAAGTACGCGACCGATTTGGCGCCGGGCGAGACTGTGCGCGCAGGCGACTACCTGTCCATCCAGCCAGAACACGTCATGACGGTATATGAGCTCACTAAAGATAGTTGCTGTATTGGGGTTTTCTTGTATTGATGGCAATTGCTCAAACTTCTCGTTTTACCGGCAATCGTGTCCTTTTCCTCTGCAGCACGACAACACGTCGGCCGTCATGTCCAAGTTTGCCAGCATCGGAGGCAAGCGCGTGTTCAATCCGACTCAGATTGTCTTTACGCTGGATCACAACGTGCAAGACAAGTCACAAAAGAATCTGGACAAGTACCGCGCCATTGAAGAGTTTGCCGCCAAGCACAAGATTGACTTTTACCCGGCTGGCCGAGGCATCGGGCACCAGGTCATGGTCGAAGAAGGCTATGCGTTCCCCAACACGCTCGTGGTTGCCTCCGACAGCCACTCAAACATGTACGGCGGAATCGGCTGCCTGGGCACGCCCGTGGTTCGCACCGACGCAGCTGCCATCTGGGCCACTGGCAAGACGTGGTGGCAGGTCCCACCGGTGGCGCGAGTGCACTTGACCGGACGCCTGCGACCCGGTGTCACAAGCAAGGACATCATCATCACGCTGTGTGGCGTGTTCAACAAGGATGAGGTCCTCAACCACGCGATCGAATTCACGGGCGATGGCATCGAAGGCCTCACCGTCGAAGATCGCCTGACGATCGCCAACATGACCACAGAGTGGGGCGCCCTGGCCGGTGTCTTTCCGGTGGATGGCGTGACGGTCGACTGGCTCCGCAAGCAGGCCAGCCTCGCCAGCCTTCGCCACAAGCTGGGGGCGCGAACCACCAGTCGTTCGGCGGCCGAGCGGTTTACAACGCAACGTTTACGCGGCGTGCTGGATCGGCTCAGCCCCGACGCGGATGCCTTTTACGCCAAAGACCTGTATCTCGATCTGGGCTCTGTCTCCTCGCATGTGTCTGGTCCCAACCACGTCAAGGTCATGCAGAACGTCGCCTCGTTGGCAGACAAGCGCGTCGCCATCCACCGCGCCTACATTGTCTCGTGCGTCAACTCGCGCATGCCGGATCTTGCCGCCGCAGCCAGTGTGCTCCGCGGTCGCAAGGTGGCGGAGGGCGTCCGCCTGTATATTGCCGCAGCGTCCAGTGAAGTGCAGAATGCAAGCGAAGCGGCGGGCGACTGGCAGACGCTGGTGGCTGCAGGCGCGACGCCGCTGTCGCCAGGGTGTGGCCCATGTATCGGACTGGGCACTGGTCTGTTGGAAGACGGTGAGGTCGGCATTTCTGCCACCAACCGTAACTTTAAGGGGCGCATGGGCTCGCGCAACGCTGTCGCGTACCTGGCCTCGCCAGCTGTGGTCGCAGCGTCCGCGGCTGCAGGCTTCATCTGCGGACCCGAGCATTTGCAACAATCCAACGCGTCGGCCAGCAGTGCGTCAAGCGAGCATGCGCCGCAGTACGGCGTAATCAGCTCGCTGGTGGTCAATTCCAAGAGTGGATCAAGCTCCTCCGTCGCTGCCGCCACAACCACACCAGCCTCTCCAGTCACGGCGCTGAGCGGGTTCCCGACCCAAGTGCGCGGTCGAGTCCTCTTTTGCCACCAAGACAATCTCAACACTGATGGAATTTATCCCGCTGCATACACGTACCGGGAAGATATGACCCCCGAGCTCCAGGTACAGTCGGTTCTCGGTTGTTGACCACAAGTTCATTTGTAGTTGGTTTTGTTCTCACGTCTTTGACGGTATTTGTACCACCACGCCCATTGTGTCGATGGCAGGCCAAGGTGGTCATGGAAAACTACGACCCCCAGTTCGGCGCCATTGCGCACAGCGGTGACATTCTTGTTGGCGGATTCAACTTTGGAACGGGCTCGTCGCGAGAGCAAGCGGCGACAGCCCTGAAGCACAAGGGCATCGGCCTTGTGGTTGCCGGCTCGTTTTCAGAGACGTACAAGCGCAACGCAGTCAACAATGGTCTGCTTGCGATCGAGGCACCCGAGTTGGTGGAGCATCTCAAAGCCAAGTTTGGCACCACAGCACCAACGGTGCGGCTGGAACTTGAAGCTGTTATTGACTTTACCGCGGCAACCATGACCGTTGACGGCCAGGTCTACTCCATTCCTCGGATGGGTCTGATTGCCCAAGAGTTGATGGTGGTGGGTGGCTTGGAAAACTGGGTCAAAGCCAAGCTCGAGGATCAAACCGCGGCAGCGGCGCGCAAATGGCAATCGGTTTAGAGGCGGCAATCGGTTGAGAGGCGGCAATCTCGCCATCAAAAGCTGCTCTGATTTCCTTCGTGCGGTTCTTCCAGTGTGTCAAATACAATTGTGTAGCATCCATACATTTTGTGACTTTGCTCAGCAACCTCACTCCTCTTCCACTCTCTCAGCAGCGCGTCGATAGTTCGTTCACTCCGCTACTCCCTCCCTTCTCACCCCCGCGGCCAGCCTGACTCGTCCTACAAATGAGCCAGCAACCGTCCGTGTCTGCCCAGGCAGCAGCCATCGCAGCAGGCATTGCCGCACGCCTGAACTCGCAGCTCAAGCCAGCCGCTCCACCTGCTGCTGCAGCAACAGCAGCCCCTCCACTGCTCCGACCGGCCGACGCGCGCGGTCCTCCACCACCTCCGCTTGCATCGCAGCAGCAACAACAACAGCATCAGCAGCAGTCTGCGCCGACGTCGCAGGAGATTGAGATCAACGATGTGCCCAACCGCCACACGCTGCTCAAGAAGGGCGGCCGGATTGCCGAGATTGCCGCGGCTTGCAACGCCAGCATCACGCCCAAGGGCCGCTACATTGCCCCTGAAGAGCGTTCGCATACAACAGACAGGCCGCTGTATCTCGTCGTCCAGGCAGGCACCGAGGTCTGGTTTCACTTGTTGTTGTTGTTGTTGACGCCAATTTTGGGGCTCTTCTCAGATTTGTCGGCTCACTTTGAAATCTTTGATTGCTTCACACAAAATAATGCAAAACCTTGGTACGATCTGCTTTTTCAAAATGCACAGGACGCCGTCAATCACGCCATGGCAAAGCTGCGCGAGGCGATTGCCGACCTGTCTCAGCCGCGAGATTCGCGAGGTCCTCGACGAGGTCCTCCACCGCTGGATCCGACCGGCGGGGGCCCCGCGAATTTCCCGCGTCCTCCGTCTTCTTATCAGTCGCATTCTATTCCTGAACGCCCACCGCCCCACGGCATGCATGGCCACCACCGTGCGCCGCCGCTGGGTCCGCCCCCGCCGCTCGCCCCACCGCCAGGCTATGGTGCTGCGCCCGCCGCTGATACCACCGTTGTGCACGTTGGCATTCAGTATCCCAAGCCTGGGTTTCCCTTCCGTGAGAAGCTTCTGGGACCGAATGAGTCCTTCATCAATCACATTCGCACGCGCACCTCTGCAACAATCACTGCGACCGGCCTGAGCGAGTTTGAAGCCGGAAACTATAGCGTCCCACTCACGTTTGTTATCAGGTAGGTTTCCGCCTTCCGACCGGAAAAGCGTGATTTTGCTTTGGTTGGAGCAAATGAATGATTGATTCATTTCGGGTGTGTTCTTTATCGAACTTTCTCGCCCTCCCCCCCCCTCCGCTCTCTCATTGATCATTGAAACTACACACCAGGCATCAAGATCCCGCCAACGTCAAGCAGGCTCGAGATTTGTGCGAAAGTCTTGCAAACACTGTTCGCAACGAACATCAAGCGTTTACTCCTGCGGTGGATCCGTACTATCAGCACATGTATCAGCAGCAGCAGCAATATGCACAGTACCCTCCTTATTCTTTTCAACAACCCCATGGGCAGCATGCGTATGGCTATCCTCCGCCGCCAAACCCGGTAAGTCTTATTTGTCGAGCAATGATTGTTGTTGTGAAACGGTCAAAACTCTTGGCTCACTGTTGTTTCCACTGTGTTGTTTTTCTGTACCCTTTTCTACAACAACAGTATGGATACTATCAGCAGCCTCCAGCCCCAGATGCAGCTGGCTACACTGGGTACCCGCCTCAACAATACAGCCAGTATCCTCCTCCGCCGCCGCCGCCCGCAGCCAGTACTGCGCCACCGGTACCTTCTCCTGCAACTGAGGCAACATCAACAGGAGGCCTTGGTCCTGTACTTGGTCCTGAACGTCCACCAGCGCCGCCTTCCACGCCAGTCACCGCTGCCGCTGCTGCTGCTGCGGCTTCGACATCGGCGTCAGCGTCGGCGCCAGCCCAGAGCGCCTCTTTGTTGGCTGCGTTGGAAAAGCGCATCGATCCTGCGCCACCAGTAGATCCACCGCGCCGCAAGTTTGCCGAACAAGGAGTCCGTCAGGTACAGGTTCTTACTTTGTTTGTCCGTTTTTATGAATGTTGTTCTTGGCGCTCGTCCAAAACTCTCATCTCTATTCCGTGATCACCCTGATTCCTGTATCATTCCAGCGACCCAAAGCTGATGAATTTTTCGACGCTCCAGTTGTTGATCCGATTCAAGCTGCGAGCGCGCCGTCCCGTTGGAACGAAGGTTTGCGATTGTTTCATCTCAACTTTCTGTTGGTTTTGGTCTTGCAATATCGAGGCTCATGTTCCCGTCGCCGCTTTCCTGCTTTTTCTCTTTTGATTGGTAGATGAGCCTCAGTCACGTAAGCATCGTCGCGACGAAGACATTCCGCCAGCGCCAGTGTCCTACTCGCGATTTGCAGCAGCTGGCTCATCATCGTCGTCGTCGTCGTCGTCTTCAACATCTGCGCATCAGCACGATCAACGCGATGAGCGAGATAGCAAGCGGGCACGGTTGGACAATGAGCAACAACCTTCGCAGTCCAATCCTGCATCATCGTCCTCGGCCTCGCGACCGTTCTGGGCAGCACCTGCGCCATCGGGATCCACGGGAAGCCCGTTTGATGTCCTGGCCAGCGCGACCGCTCCTCGATCTGGGCGGGATTCGGCAGCCGCGCCTCCAGCTGAAGAGACGGCTGAGGAGAGGTACCGACGTGTGCGCGCAGAGCTTGGGATGAACTAGTTTGCTTCCCCCCCCCCCACGCTTTTGCAAGGTTATCTGCATGCGCTTCATCACGGGCGTCTATCTTGTGTGTTGTCTCTGCCTTGTGTCATGTTGTTCTCGACTTGACTTTTTGTTTAATCACAAAGTGCACACATCCAGTCCTTCTTTTGATATATTTGGAAAAAAATAAGATCCTTCCAATGCTGTCCTATCAGAGTATGACTGAGAGCCAGCGCGAGTTCTACGACATGTGGTCTCCTTAGTCCCACGATTCGCAACTGCTGAGAACATTCAGATCGTGTTTCGCTTGCTGACCAGCGAACTGGCACTGGAAGATCACTCGGCAGCTCTGCCGGCGTTACCAACCGAACTTGCCGAGCTCATTATGGACGAAGCGCGTTACTGGCAAGGCGTGCAGCGTATCAAGCGATCGCGGTTTCGTGATGATTCCCCCGAGCATATTCTGAGAGTCACTGTGCCGCGGAGCATCGGTGGAAATTCAGTCCGTGTGAAAGCAATTCAAGTGCTTCGTGACTGGGAGAAACGTTCCGACAACTCCACCGGTGACTGTGTTTTCGATTTGGCTGTTCGAGACGAACAAGGTGCAGTTCGATATGAATGCTCGGCGATCTCGACTTTCGTCGATTCGACCCTCCAGCGTGTAACAATCAACCATCCTGTCATCCGACAAATGCGCGAGGGTTGGCAAGTTCAAGTTCGTCCCAACAAGTCTTGGTCACACAATGAGGTGTTCGAGTCGCTGTATGTCGGATATACATGCCTCTAACGACAATTTTGAAAGTCGTTGGCGGTTACGAGATTCCTCTGTCGACTGCATTTTGAAAGTTCCCCACAGTGTCCAGGTTGGCCTACAAGCTCGTGGCCCTAGGGACGTGGCAAGTGGCTTTTACCTGTCTGCACTCGTTCCACCTTTTGTTTGTGATTGATGTTCAATGTCGCGCACACTTCTTTGATCTGTATTCAATTTTTGCTCAGTCATTCTCTGTTTTCATCCATCGTTCATTCATTCATTCATTCATTCATTCATTCACGATGACGATTGCGGTTGGGTTTGAAGGCAGCGCCAACAAGCTCGGCATTGGCATTGTGCGCGATGACGGGATTGTGCTTGCGAACGTGCGCCACACATTTGTGCCACCGCCCGGCGAAGGTCTGTGCCACAAAGTGCCAGTTTAGTTTGTTTTTGGAGAGCTCTATATTTGCAACTGTGTCGTCAGAGTCTGCATTCGAGCTCGCTGGGCCACGACGGAGCGAGCAAACCAAAGCACACTCTACTCACTGGCTCTCTGTTCCTTGCCTCTCAATCACAGGGTTTCTGCCGCGCGACACGGCCAAGCATCACCAGCAGTATGTGCTCTCATTGTTGCAACAAGCGTTGACGTCGGCGTCGCTGAAGCCCGCGGACATTGACGTGATTTGCTACACCAAAGGTACCATCACGCCCGTCTCCCGTCTCCCGTCTCTCTGTCTCTCTGTCTGACTTGGATTTCGGGGATTTTGGCGTCTCACTCCCTCACGGTTTATGGTTTGGCTTGGCGGCGCGGTTTGGGGTGGACAACGCCAGGTCCTGGGCTGGGCGCACCGCTCGTGTCGGCTGCCGTTGTTGCTCGCACCGTCGCTCAGCTGTGGGACAAGCCGATGGTCGCTGTCAACCACTGCATTGGCCGTAAGATTGGAGTTTCGCGTGTGCATTGAGCTTGCCATGCATTTGAGCTCTTTTTTGTTTTTGTTTTTTTTTTCGAACTTTGGAGCCTCAAACTCCCTTGCTACTTGCTGCGGTGCTCAGATATCGAAATGGGCCGGCTAATCACTGGCGCTAAAGATCCGGTCGTGCTCTATGTTAGTGGCGGCAACACGCAAGTGATTGCCTATTCGATGAACAAGTATCGCATCTTTGGTGAAACCATCGATATTGCCGTGGGCAACGTCTTTGATCGGCTTGCTCGCGTTCTCAACATTTCAAACGACCCAAGTCCTGGTTACAATATTGAGCAACTTGCCAAAAGGTTTGTTTTTGATGAATGGCTGTGTGTGTGGGTGGTGCACTTTTGGGGTCGTTTGCTTGTTTCCTTGCTCACGTTGCTGCTGCTGTTGCTGCTGCTGTGTCCCGTCTTCCGGTGATTGCTTTCGCATAGAGGTACTACCTTGTTGGAATTGCCATACACGGTCAAAGGAATGGATGTCGCCTTCACTGGAATTATCGGAAAGCTCGAAACGCTTGCTCGCACGAACAAGTACACGAAAGAAGACTTGTGCTTCTCGCTTCAGGTACCGGAACGGGTTGGTTGGTCCGATGTTGGCACCCACCATTTTTCGAAAGCTCATCCACTTTATTCCAATTCTATGATGTGTTCTTTTTTGCAGGAAACGTCATTTGCAATGCTCGTCGAAACGACAGAACGTGCCATGGCTCACACTGGTGCCACTGAAGTGCTCATTGTGGGCGGCGTTGGCTGTAAGTGGTCGAGTGCAACACCTAAATCATGAGCTTTGCTTTTGGTGTCCATCTCATCCCAATATCGCTTTTTTTTTTCTTTTTCTTTTTTTTTTTTTTCTTTTTTTTTTTTTCTTTTTTTTTTTTTTTTTTTTTTTTTTTTTTTTTTTTTTTTTTTTGGCAGGCAACAAGCGATTGCAAGAAATGATGGAAGTAATGGTTGCAGAAAGGAATGGCAAGCTCTATGCGACTGACGAGCGGTACGTTTACATAGGGTTTCCGTTGTTGAAATGTGTGAAATGTGTGAAATGCGGAATTTTGCTTCTAACTTTGGGTGGTGCCTGCTTTCGCCCGCGGCATATAGATTCTGCATTGATAATGGTGTCATGATTGCATGGGCTGGCTTGGAAATGTTCCGAGTGGGCGTTGTCACACCTTTGCGCGAGACGTGGTGCACACAGCGGTAAGCTTTCTTGTTCGAGGGCTTGTGTTCCTGGCTGTGTGAAATCTAACATGTTTGTTCCTCTCCAGGTACCGCACAGATGAAGTCGATGTCACCTGGCGCGACTAGTTTGCTTTTTGTTGCTCGATGCATCAGCGTTGTTTTGCTCTAAATGCATAAAATTCACAACTCGACTTCCATTTTCGCATTCTCTCTCTCTCTCTCTATTTCTCTCTCGCTCTACGTTTTCTTTTTGTCAAGCACTCACAGCATCATACAATCTCCTTGCACCCTTACTTGTACGTACGCGTCGCCTCAGTCACTTTGATACCCTTTCGTTCCACTATTGTTCTCTGTTTGAATTGCAGCGCTTTCTCTCTCCCCCCCCCCCGCCCACCTCCCCTTTCCCCTCCGCCTCCTTTCCCTCTGCATTCAAACTCGATGGCGTGGATCAACAATGATTGCCGCTGGCCCGGGTGCGGACACACGTTCGGGTCGCTGGATGATCTGATCCACCACATTGAGCACACACACATCCAGCCCGAGGAGACGCTCGTCGGACTGGGGCTGGACGAGCACAACCTGCCGCCGCCCACCATCCACATGTCCTACATCAACAGGTACTTTTCGCCCCAGGAGCTGAGCGCGCGCAAGCTGCCGCAGCCAGTCGCACTCGCCCCGCCGACGTTCGTCCCGTCCCTGCCGCCGGGCTTTGGTGGCCACCCGGCTGCCGGCGCGCTGCTCCTGCCGCCATCCGCAGCTGCATTACAGCAGGCGTCGTCATTGGGCTCATCATTGGCGTCTGCATCGGGCTCGGGCTCGGCCGCTGCTGCTGCGTTGGGCTCGTCGCAGTCGCAGTCGCTGGCATCTCAAACCCAAGTCCAGCCGTCATTGTACCCCTTCTCGTCGCAGGCGCAATCGCATCAGAGCGCTGCAAGCATTGGAGCCGGATCGTCAGGATTGCTGCGTGGTGCTGGCTCGTCCTCCTTGGTGTCGTCGTCGTCGGCAAGTACGTCTGGATCGCTGCTGGCTGGACTGGCAACCAGCCCGACCAAGCTGACAGATGCGTTGCTCGGGCGCCAGCACCAGCAACACCAACAGCAACAGCACCAGCAGCATCTTCAGTCGAGTAATGCTCTGGGTGGGCTTGATGCGGACTTTGGGTTGCTTCACGGCACAAACGGGTTGAACGGCTCGTCCGCCTCGAGCTCGCTGCTGAACTTGCCAATGCTGTCCGTGCCAATGATGTCGTCCGCATTCTCGCAGGGAGCACTCCAGCAAAGCGCATCTAATATTAGTGCCAACGCAATGGCATTATCTGCCTTGGCGGGATCCGTTCCGAACGGGAAAGGCGCGGCCAACACTGGCGCCGGCCGAAAATTCCCAAACAAGCTCGCCTCACAACAGGCACAACAGGTACAACAGCAGCAACAGCAACAACAACAACAGCAACAACAACAACAACAACAACAACAACAATTGCTTTTGCAAACGCCGTCGCCGAGTATGTCGCAGCGTGCATCGCCAAACCCATCAGGAGCGCCTGGTAGCAGGAATAACAAACGCACGCTCAGCACGGCGAGCAAAAGCAGTGTTAATACGTTCGACCCGGAGCTCGAAAACGAGCACCTTGTCGTCGACGACGCTCCTTCAGACGACGACGAGCTCGGCGATCCAGAGGACTTTGATCTCGGCGAAGAGGAGGAGGACGAGGACGGCAACGATTCCGACGACTCGGAGCTTCCGACAACGCCTGCTGTGGGACAGCTGGTGCGAACAAGATCGGGTCGTCAAGCCGGACGCAGTAGCAAGCACAGTGATGACTTGGGTGGTGGGTCTGGCGGCGCAGCTGGCCCGCTCAGCAAGGAAGCGCATCGGCTCGCCAACGAATTTATTCTCAACCACGTTCGCGTCGTCGACGGCGCCGAGAAAAAGTACGTGTGTCTTGTGGCGGACTGCGGCAAGCGCTACAAGAACCTCAACGGCATCAAGTACCACGCATTGCATGGACACAAGCTACAGATGAAATCCACCAAGCGGCAATTCACCTGCGCCCACCCGGGATGCGGAAAACAATACACAAATAGCTCTGGGTTGAAAACGCACATGCAGATGCGTGGCCACCGCGCCCCTGGGCACGGGTACCACCAGTCTTCCTCCTCGGCCTCGTCCTCGACGCTCAACAGTCCATACCCATCCGGCGGTCATGGATCGCGGCTTCTCGGACAAAGTCACAGCTACTCTGCCTTTAACTCGGCGGCTGCGTCCACTAGCACGTCTATTATGGGTTCGCCCACTTCCTCCCAGGCTTCCGACATGTCTTCGCCTCCTTGACGGGTGCAGGGGGAACGAGGGTTTCATCAACAGGGGAAAAACGGCAAACACAAACAAGTCACGGCGGCGCTGGAGGGAAAAAGAGTCCTAGATTTCGAGTGATGACCGTCATTGGAATTGTACCATGTTGGTTGATTGTTGGGTTGCTACATCTTTGTGTTGACTATAATAGAGACTTAGACCCGCTGAGCATACAGTAACTTCATGTTGATGTTGCTGGTTGAACGAAACTGCTTCAAGCGCTTCTGTGTTCTAACCCTTTTACATTTTATTATTACTCGCATTATTATTCACATCACTCCAACTCCACTCCTTGTTTCTTTTTGTGCCCATATGACGTACCAAGTCGTCCCTGCAGTCGCGCGCACTGTCTCTTCAGCAAGCGCAAACGAGGCTCGCGCTCGCGTCCTGTCGCTCTACCGGGCGTGGATGCGCGAGGCAAGTTGTCCGCCAGTCTCTCCCCTCCATCATCGTCATCATCATCAATGCACACACGCACTACTCAAACCGAGCCAGTGCATGCTCGGTGGTGGTGGGGGTGATCGACGTTGGACAAAACTCAATGAAAAGGATTGAAAGATCTCGTTTTTTGCAGCAGTTCCATTGGAGCCAGTTGCGGTCCACCTCCGCTGTCAATCCATGATGATGTTGTGATGCTGATGATGATGATGATGATGATGAGAATGATGATAGAGGTGGGGGGAGGGGAAAGCGTGAGCCGTGCTGGCTTGGGATTTCAAAGACCACACAACTCTTCACTCACTCACTCACTCACTCACTCACTCACTCACTCACCTCACTTCCATGAACTGCCATCGTCACAACAGGCACCAGCATCGGTCGAAAAGTACGCGCTGGACCTGCCCGTGTCGCAGGCAAAGGCCAAGGTGCGCGAGCTCTTCCGCGCCAACGCCGGCATCACCGACATCAAGATAATAGACCTGCTTGTCTTCAAGGGCAAGCAAAACCTCGACGAGGCACACAACGTGTGGATGCAAAAGACTCACATCATGCGCTTCTTCCCCGAGCTCGGATCGCAGCCGCCCGCAGAGAAGAAGACCGGCTTCTTGGACCGCTTCTACGCCGGCCACGATTGATTTTTTTGGCCAAGGTTTGACTTTGTCGACTCGTTGATCTTTGCGCGCGCACTTTGCAGATTGTGTTATTTGTCGTCTTTCTTTCCTCTTCTCTTCCCTTGTGGTGTGCAAAGTGCGATCTGTACCGGATGAAGCAACGTTTATGTCAAAGCACGTTCCTGAATTCTTTGTTTCATTTCTCAATCAAGTCGAGGTTTGTTCATTGATGTATATTTTTTGGTTGAGGCACCAGTACACTCACAATCAAGTCATGTCTTAGCGAAACATCAGCCGGGTGAGGTTTCTTTGGGGAGAGAGAGAGGAAGAAGGGGGGAGGGTCTGAGTTACAAATATCAAAATCACACAAAGCACGCAAACTATCATACACACGCAGCAGCGAAAACAGAGTTGGAGCGGCCATCTCTTTTTCATGTTTCTCATGCGACAACCGCCTGCGATTGTCGGAGTCGGCGCTGCTCGTCAATGTGTGCGGCAAGCAGAGGAATGTACGAGTCGGCAGTCGGGATGTGCTCGGGGTGGGGAGCAATCTTGGCCTTCTCGTCGCAATAGCGGATGGCCAGCTTCTCGGCAAAGAGAGGATCGTGCTCAAACGCAGTCGCCTCAGCCTCGTTCATGGGTCCGCCCTGGCACATGAGCGTAAAGCTCGACGCAGGCGACAGCTTTGAGTAGTACTCTTGCCCTCGCTTCCACGTCAGGTAGCGCTTTGCATCAACGTGCGCAGCCACCATGCTGATAATCTCCTCCGAGAATCCGCGGACGCGCAAGTACGTTGCGCCAATGAATTCGTGGTGCGCGGTGCCGTGCGTCGGGTCGCCCATCTGCTCTGCGTCCTGCTCTGCGCAAATGTGGCCAAAGTCGTGTAGCAACGCTGCGAGAACGACCTGTTGTGGATAAAAGCGGGGGAGGGGGGGGGAGAAATCGTGAGTTTGGTGTTGGCGAGGTCTGAGCGACCGCGAACGGATTTGGGGTCTGAGCAACGGCGTTCCCTCTTCTTTTTCTTCTCTCGTCTCTGTCATGTTGTACTTCTGAATGACGATCGTGTTGTTCTCTGACGATTGTGTTGTTCTTTGATGGAGGATCGTGTTGCCAGGGTGTTTTCTTGCTCCCTTCCCTCTTCCCACACCTTCCCTCTCCCCTTCCTTGTGTCCTGTCCTACCATGATGTTGTTTGTGGTTTGTGTTTGTGTTTGTGTTTTTGGCTGTTGCTTGCGGTTGATTTTGTTTCCCACTTTTTCCCTCTTTTGTTCGTTTTTTGCTATCGTGAAATGAGTCCCTTCCTTCTCTCAATGCAAACTCAATGCAAACCCAATGCAAACGAACAAAACAGGTGATGTTGTTCGCTGTTCGTTTTTGGTGACTGGATTTTGGCCAATGGTTGGCTTCCGCCGTTGACATGTGCTAGTTGTTGGTTTTGCTCACAGGAGCATCCATCGCCGCACTGGCCCTCCCGCCAGTTCGCGCTTCAAACCCGCTTCCATGCTCACCAGAGCAGATTTTTGTGCCCTAATTTCCGTTCTTCGTTCGTTTTTCTTGATTTTCTTTTCTGTTTTTTTTTTTTTCTTTCTTTCTTTCTTGCTGGAGAGTGCTTCATTAAATGCTCTTCTTACCTCGTTGCGGCATCCGTCGAGCTTGGCGTGATACGCAGCCTGCAGCATGTGCTCCTGTTGCGAGACTGCAGCGAGAGAGAAGCAGAACAAGAGTTAAAAAACCAAAAAACCAAAAAACCAAAAAAAAAAAAAAAAAAAAAAAAAAAAAAAAGCCGGTTTTCCTCGTTCGTTCTGACATCTTCCCTTCTCTGCTGTCGTCTTGCGTTGTTGTTTCGCTCTCTCTGCGAGACAAAACTCTCGATCGCAAGGTTGCTTTTTGTTTGTTTGTTCGTCTGCTTGACACTCGTTGATACAATTTGACTCAGCCTCCATTTTCAAGCATCACTGTGGACGAACCGCTGAACTGAAACCTCACATGTGCTGCAATTGTGCCACCCAAAAACAAAAAACCCGTCTTCTCGCGGTTTGGTCATCACTTCCTTCTCCTTCCTTCCTTCTCCCTCTCCTCCCTCCTGGTCCTTCTCCTCGTTCAACCACGAGCAGTCACCTCGTCAAAGCACAGACCAGTTGCAGCAAGACCACAGAATTCAAAAAAACAAAACCGACAACCAAAGCAAGAACAAGAACAAGAACTCGACTCACTTGCTTCGCCAATGTACGGCGAGAACTGCGAATCCTTCAGCAGCTGCATCATTTCGGTCGCGATGCTGGTCGAATCGCGGGCCCGCATGGTCTTGCTCAGCATGTGCTGGTGCTCGTTCATGAGGGTCGTGCGCACAGACGGCTTTTGGGTAAACTCTGGCACAGGCGTTGGTGTCGAGACGGCAAGCATTGTATGCGTTCAAGTTGGTTTTTGTTTTTGTTTCAAAAAGACTGAGCTCGCGGCAAAATCCATCAAAATGAAAACAAAAACAAAAAAAAGTCTGACTTCATTGATTCAACGCAGACAACATCAAGTGATACATTGCACTGTGTCGATTTGCATCAGGCTGAAACGTCGAGATTATTCCAAGAAGGGGAAAAAGCAAAAAACGCTGCACAGAAAAACCATTACGCGTGTCTGTTTCCCTTCAACGATCTCGTCGTGCTGCGCTCGACATTGCAGAAATTCTTACCTGTCATTGCAGATCGAATACTCTTCCTTTGCTACTGATAACCTAGGTGACTGTACGACCCACAGAGAAACCCGTTACGCGTGTCCGTTTCCCTTCAACGATCTCGTCGTGCTGCGCTCGACATTGCAGAAATTCTTGCTTGCCATTGTGCATTGTTCCATTATTCCCTTGCAAGCGTGATTGTAGAGTTTACTGTGCTCTGCTCTGAGAATTTGATCGATCACCGCTTCATTCCTCATTTTTTTCCCTTTTCTGCTCTTTTCAATCACGTCGCAGCCCGATCCGCTCCTTCCGCCTGGCAGTCTTCTCCGCCAGCATTCCCACGCCATCCATCTGAACGCCGTTGCCCGTATTGTGTCTCTTGTTGAGCATCGTGCGCAGCTCCGACATCACCAGCACCAGCAGCACCAGCAGTCACTGAATCTGTCATCAAATGAAGGTGAGGTTTGTTTCGTGATTTTCCCCTCCCCCCGCAGCTCCTTGTCACTTGTCCCTCCTTTCTATTGCTTGCTTGCTTGCTTTGCTGTTTGTCTGCCTTTTCATTGGGTTTGGTGGTGAGTGTGCTGGCAGGTGGTTTGATCCTGTCTAGCCAGCTGTGTGCTCGTGGTTTCCTAATGAGTCCCACCTGCCTCCGTTGGGGCGAACGCACAACTTCCCCCAACAATCACCACCACCAGCAAGCAAGCAAGCAAAAGGCCTGAAGATAGCATCAGACTGTTGCAATCCGCATTGAGAAGCAGCGCAATGGCGTCAGAGTGAAGTTGAAAAGAAGAATCAATGAAGAAGTGTGATGCCCAATTCAAGCAGCGGGCATGCGGGCTCATCGTCCGCCGCTACTCGACTCGCCACACACCATGCGGGTACAAATGTTTGAGAATGAGAAATTCACAAAAAGCAAACGAAGGGAGCGTGCGTCGATTGCACTGTGATGCAGTTCAAGTTGCGGTTTTTTGGGGGGGTTTTTTGCGCACTCTGGACCTCTCAGATTCAGACGGTCAAAATTCTAACGCTCTTTGTTTTGCTTTTCGCCTCTTGTTCGACTCCGGACATTTCCCAGAAAACTTTGGCATCCATTCTGTGCCTGGCCTCGGCGGCCCTCTTCACGGGCATCCTCTGCGAGCGCGACTTTAACATGCCGCTGGGAATTGCTCCGCTCATCACTGGAGAGCCAAACAAAATCTCCTCCAGCGACGTCTATGCCGTGTTCAAGCTCCTGCCCATGTTCTTCTTGCTCGTGGTTGTGTACACCTCTGGTCTCGGCCAGCGCTACAATTTGCTCGTCTTTTTCGGACTGATCGCATCCTCGTTTGGCGACTACTTCCTGGTCTACCAGAACGTTGATAAGATGTACTTTGTCTATGGCATGGCCTCGTTTGGCCTGGCCCATCTCTTGTATGTGCTTGCGCTCGGCTTCCGTCCGCTCCGCCTCGGCCTGGCCGTCATTCCGTTCTCGCTTGGCATTGCCAGCCAGTACAACTTGATGCTTGGCACCTTGCCCGAAAAGCTCGTCATTCCTGTCGGCATCTACCACTTGCTGATTGCCAGCATGATTTGGCGTGCGCTTGCTCGCAAGTCTGTTCCTCATGCCGACGGAACTAGCCCCAGCTTGGCCGCATATGGCGCCCTGCTTTTCGGCGTCTCGGACTCTCTGCTTGGCTTGAACAAATTCCGCTACCCCTTTGTCCAGGCACATCTCGTTGTGATGGTCACCTACTATGCAGCACAATTCCTGATTGCGCACTCCGTTGCCAAGCGTAAAGCCAAGACAGCCTGAATAAACAACAACAAAAACAAAGCACGGAGCGGTCGTATTTTCGTTTCGTTGATGAACTTGTCCACACAAAGTGTTGTATTCAAGCATGTCATTCTCAACTTAGAACGCAATCATTACCAATGTACATCTACATGAAGCTCGCACAGGTTCACCATCGAGCAAGTCCAAAATAATGCTCCAGCCAGTTATGCTTTGCTCGCGTCGTGCTCAGACAGGAGAAAATGTGCTGGGCTGGGCGTCGTCCGGCATGTGATACACATCCTCACCACCAGCCATCTCGCTATTATCTGGGAGAGCATACGTGTCCTTTTGATCGACAGAAAGCGCGTTCACAGCCAGGTTCATGCTCGTCGGTTCCGCCGGTTGCCGCATGGGCTCGTTGTAGATTGCCTGATCCTGGTCTGGTTTCTTTGCGGCGGTGTACTCTGCATAGATGGCCTCGCTTTCGACTCCAGGCACAGTGTCGTACGCAGCGTAGGCACGCTTGGGCGCTGGCTGCGGATCGTAGTACGTATCCAGCGATTGGTAATGCGCTGCGTATGTGTCACTTGGTTGAACGTAGTTGTCCTCTCCCTTGTCAGGGAGTGGTCGCTGCATATGCCCATCACCGACAGATTGGTACAAGTCGCCTTCGCCAGGAACAACATAATTGTCGTAAGTGCTCAATCCAGCTTGCATGGATATCGCGTTGGCTGATGTCCTCGAGCCGTGAGAGCGATTGAGGGCAACAAGAGTGACGACTCCCGGGTGATGCTTGCGCATGGGCGGACGGGTTCGACGGCGACGCAGGAGCACTACGGCTACCAGAACTAGAAGCAGGAAACACGCGCCTCCCAGACCGCCAGCAACGGCGGCAATGGGGCTCCCGGATGCAGCGTTTGATTGCGCGTTGCTATCGTTGCCAGCGCGCTTGCTAGAAGGCGCGAGACTGGTGGGAGTCGCCGATTCCGACAGCCTTGTGGAGGACGCCAAAGCGGCCGATGCGACCGAGGCAGCGGAAGCCGACGATTCAGCGACTGCCAATGCCGCAGATGCAGATGAAACGGAGGCAGCGGAATCAGATGAAACAGAGGCAGCGGAAGCAGATGAAACAGAGGCCGCAGCGGCAGACGACACCGATGCAACTGATTCGGCAGAGACAGCAGCAGCAGCAGACGAGGACGATTCAGATGCAACGGACGCGATGGAAGCAAGACGAACGGAAGCATCTAGCGCAGACATGACAGAGGAAACGGACGCGGCAAAAGCAGCGGCGGATGAGGAAGCTGCAACTGCAGAGGCTGATGCTGCAGAAGCAGAAGACGCGGACACTGCGGAAACCGAGGACACGGAAGCGACAGATGTCGCAGAAGCAGTCGCTGGCACACATAAAGTCGCCCCGTCAATGTTTGTAAACAGATCCATCCCGACGGTGCACACAGTGCACTGCGAACCGCTGGTGCAGGCTGCGCAGTTTTGAGGACAGGCTGTACATTGCAGTTGGTCAATCGCAAAGTAAGGACATGGAGTGCACAACGACACAGCCGAAACACAGGAAACGCGACTTACAAAAGCAGACTCCATCACCGGCATACGAGCCGAAAGAGCACGCGCTCTTGCAAACACCAGACTCGGCCACCAGCTTGTTTGTGCATTGAGTGCACGTGGCATAATCCTTGCTGCATGCCGTGCACGAGCCGGAGCGGCAAGGCACCAGACCACCGTCGGCATCCGGTCCAAACCCGTTCGTACCAGCGGAAGGCAAGCACTGTGTCTGACCCGCCCATGTGGTGACCAGGGTGAATTTGGGTGTGCAATCCGTGCACCGACCTTGATTCATTTTGCGACATCCGTCTGGCATGTCTGTTCGCACTGCAACACGAAAAAGAGAAACAAAAAACAAAAAAAAAAAAAAAAAAAAAAGTCGGATGTTAGCACAGAAGATGTACCACTACGATGGGCATCTCTTGCAAAAGCACATACTCATTGGGGTACATCCGTTGGACCCGAGCCTGAAATTTGGATAACACTTTGTGCAGCGACTAGAGGAGCATTCTTTGCAGTTTGCCGGGCAAGCTGACCGTCACAAGCAGAAAAAAAATAACGTCGCCAGCAGAACAAAAACAGATGAGTTTTTTTTTCAGGAGGTGTGCCATGTGCATGGGCAGACTTACATTGAAGTTTTGCTTGGCCAACATAGAAACCATCGCCGGCAAATTCGTCCGAGTCGAAGCACCCTTCCAAAAATGTTCCAGCTCCAGGTGGCTTCATCGGCAGAAACCCGCTTGTGGTGCTACAGGCAGAGCACTCTGTTGAGCTTGCACATTTTGTGCAAAAGTCGATGCCTTCACCGCAAGATGCTGCGATAAAAACACCAAAACAAAAACAAAAACAAAAAAAAACGAACAAATGTAGCACTTTTTGCCAAAACAAAAGAATTTTCCAGATCCGTCGATTTCAACCATCATGAGTTGTGTGGTGGACTGCTCCCAGTCCAACCCTTCAACGTGTCAATGCTGATGTTGCCCAACTCTGTCTGCGGCAATGGAGCATGGCCGAGGATTCGGCACAATGACGGAATGGGACATGTTTTTGACGTGTTATTTTTGGGAGGGGCTTGCATTTTGTCGCTGTTTTTGAGTTGTATTTTACATCAACCAACGCGGCCCTGAGGACCAAGTTCCACGATGGAATCCGCAGTGTCAGAGTTGTACAGCATGTGGTGAACGTAGTCTGAAAGCAGCGACCCCTCCAGAACGACAAAACGCCAGAGAAAAGAGGGCATCGGCGTGGGGTTGGTCAAGAACCCAAAGCATCTAATGGAAAAAACCGCAACACATGCTCTATCACGATCGCGGGTTTGTGTCAGTCTCTCGCTTTCTCCCCCCCCCTCCTCCATCCCCTTGGTCTTTCGCTTTTGATGGCTTCGTCGAGACGTGAAGTAGAAGTGCATGGCACAGCGGGCAAACGAGTGGGTGGCGGGGACGGTTACCGGGAGAAGGAGGCAAAGGAGAACAAAAACGCGCTTACCCGCAACGAGACATGGAAAAGTCGCAACCACAAAAAGCAGCAAGAGCCGGGTCGCGATCATGGCTGGATGGGGACAAGACGGGTCGACGAGAAAGCTCCACACACAACGAGAACAAAGACAGGAGACAGAGTGCAGCACGGAAAGCACCGGAAAGAGAGAAGAAAGAGAGATGGTAAGAAATGAGTCAAATCCGAAAAAGAGTGAGGTTTTGTCAGATGCGAAAAAACAAAAAGAGCAAAAACCAGACACGAATGCGGGATGCAAGCCCCGTTTCCAACCAATCTGATCTGACAAGGCAGGCAGTATCTGGTGGATGATTGGTACCATTTCGCTCTGCATCATTCAGTCCCGTGAACAGGAACAAACAAGGCAAACGCGAAAAGCAACGCAAAAAACTTGAAACCCAAGTGTGCCAAGGTTTGCACATCTGTGTTTTGTTATTTCTCTAATCGGAACATCCGAGATGGATGCGGAAGTATCCATTCCTTCACCTTTTCCGTTTCGGCTTCCGGCAACGCTTCAGCTCATCACTACAATCGTTCTTCCATTGCGCGCGTGCGTTGTTTTGCTATCGGCTCTCATTCTGACTATCGTGTTGATCTGCACTGCCAAAACTGAAATTCCGTCCTGTCATTTCAGTCTTTGCTCAGCAATCGGACAATGCTCAAGACCACGAATCATGTCTGGATGTCGTCTCTCGCACTGCTCCTGTTCACGCTAGCCACCCGTACTCTCGCCGCCAACCAGGCGCAAGATCCTACGCATGCAAGCGCGACCTCATCAAGGGGCTCGCCGGTGTCGGTGCAAGTGCTCTCGCTGCTTCTGGTGCTCGGCTACACCTTCGGGACGGAGCGGTATGCTCGCCATGGCAGCAAGACCGCTCGAGCGGTGTCTGACAATTCATCGCGCTCCACTGTGATTACAATCGTCTCGGGTAAGGCATATGTTGTGTTGTCGATCTCGAACGAGACAAACGAGCGGCAAGCGCGGGGGAGTTGCCCGAGTTTACAAAACAAAAAACAACGAGAGCGTGCTCAGACTTCTTTCTCATGCATCTCGGTTGTCACAGTTTGAAGATGATAATAATGCTAACTTGATTGCGGGGGGATGATCAGCCACCATTTTCCCGTTTGCAGGGGCTCTGAGCCTATTCGACCCACTGGCAATGCCGCCGCTTCCAACTGTCGTCGTGGCATTTTTATTTGCAGTCGAACTCTTTGCCATCTGGCTTCGTTACCATTCTATGCACATGTACGTATCCACTCCTGTTGTCCTTGACTTGCGTTGCAGTGAGGGATGGAGGGCATTGCTGCTTGATGTGCCGGACCACCCAATCCGAAATCATGATTTTGTTTTTCCAAGAGGATGAACGCAACTCACCTGACCCCATGCTGGTCACAGTCTGGGCATCTACTTTACACGCTCCCTCAAGGTCCAGGAAGGTCAGCGCGTGATTCAATCGGGCCCGTACGCGTACATTCGCCATCCGGGCTACTTGGCGAATCTGCTCGCATTTTTCGCCCATGCCGTGTTGGTTTCCCAAAACTATGGCGTCTTTGCGATTGTCTTTTGCGCCATGGCAGTTGTCTGGTCGGTGCGCATCGATCTTGAAGAGCGCATGCTTGTGTCTGAGCTGGGGGCGGCGTATGTCGCCTACCAGCAGCGAACAAAGCGGCTGATTCCGTTTGTTTTGTAAAGTGCGGGAGAGCATGCGTTGGAATTCTGGTTGTGTTGTTGCGTTGTTGTTGTTGTTGTTGATTTTGTTGTCGATAGTGTTGCTGTGGCTGTTGTTGGCTGTGTATTGCTTGTGCTGGTGCTGTCCGATGAATGGATTGAAAATGCTGCGCAACAAAAAACCACGAACACATCTTGCTCGAGCTGCAGCCAACCTTCTCCAGCACCGTGGTCGACCTCTCTGGCTCGACGGACACGTGAAACCGTGCGACTCGCCTCCAATCGGTGTGCCAGTGCAGATGCCGAGGCCGCTGCGGTTTCGGGGGTTGCGGGGGTTTGGAGCTCCGCGCCACCCTTTGATTACGCGCGCTTATGGATTTCGCGCGTGCATGTTCGTTCTACCGCCCACATCCTCCTCCTCCTCCTCCTCCTCCTCTTCCTCCCCCGAGCGCTCGCCGTAGCCGTTGATTTCGAGGGGCCCCAACTCTCTCCGTGCCTGTGTTTGCTTTTATGTGGACACGAGTGCTATCAGTACCCAACAACGGTTTTTTTTTCTTTTCTTTTTTTTCAAAGAAATCTGTTCCATGCAATCTTGCGCGAAAAACCCGTCGCTGCTGCTGATATCCGCTTGCGTTCGATGGGCTGTCTGGTGATGGCTGTCAGCATCGCCAACCCGGCGTAGTTGAGGTAGGACGGAGGAAGCTGTGTGCAGTCAAGGAGGTCCAAAATCTCAGTGCATGGGCGCATGACCAATTGTGTTTTGGTTGCCAGTTGTCGTCGCACTTGTCCTCGTTCCGCTCCAGCATGTGCGCTCCCCTCATTCGAGAAAAGGCTCAGACTTGTCGTCCTTGATTGTGTCGCTGCTTTTTCCATTCCCGAGCTCGTCTCCAATCTTCCGTTTTCGTCGTGACTCTCAAAACGTCCGATGCAACCAGTTTTTTTTTTTTTTTGAAATTCTTTGTGACGCCCCCTGATTTTTTTTTCTCTTCCGTTTCGCCTTTCTTTCCCCCCTCCCCTTCTCTGTTTCGTGGGGATCTGGTTCGACCTCGCCACTCACGAAGGGCGTGCTGCGTTCCATCGCTCGCGTGGCCAGCAGCAGTCTTCTTGCCTCTGACGCGCGCGAGTGCCGCTCAACACACACACACACAAAAAAAAAAAAAGTCTTTTTGTGCTGACAGCTTTTGAATGACGACTTCGGCTGAGCCGAAGCAGCCACCTGTGGGGCTGAACTCGTTCTTTGGCGCCATCATTGACGTGCTGGATGCTGAGCAGATTTTTCGGCTTGCAGCGCGCGGCGTCTGCCCTCGGCTCGCACGGCGCGTGAGCTTTGCAAAGCAGGACATTGTTTCCGGTGAGTGAGGACGCTGCTTCGGCATCTTTGATGGGCTCTCCCCCTTTCCCATCGGCTTTGTTTGCCGTGGTTTTGGTGCGACCCCCGGGGTTGCTGCTCGCTCCATTGACGATCGATTGGCGAATGCTGCCTTTATTTATTTCATGCGTGGTGCTGTTCTCGAGCGGGGCAAAAAGCTGGAGGACTTTGCAAACGCGATCTGATTTTCCACATGTCATGTTCCAACAACAAAAACAAAAAAAAAAAAAAAAAAAAAAAAAAAAGACGATTTGTTTTTTTGTTTTTTGTTGTTGTTTTTGTCGATTTGTTTTTTTGCTTGAGTGTGGTGGTTTGGGACTCGCTTGCTCTGCAAGTCGCGATCCAGGAAGATGGCCAGAGATTGCTTATCTGCAAGATGACACATTGTGGAAACGCTGGGATAGCGGTGGGCATGTGGAGCACCAGTACGCGTGGGATGTTCACGTTGTTCTTTCTCACTTGCAGGCTGCGCTCGTTTTTTTTTTTTTTTTTTTGCTTTTTTTTTTTCGGTTTGCAACACGACGCAGGAATCGGGTTTGTCTACGACGAGAACGAGTCGCTCATCCACCGCTGGACAGACAGGCTCCACTGGGGCGACGCGCTCCACGATGGCGAACGCGTAATGGTAACGAGCAATTTAACAATCACACTTCACTTCAAAAAAAAAAAAAAAAAAAAGCAAGGTGAACGTGCCTTTTTCTTTAAAACCGCAGCCTTGCTCGCGAGCGATTTGGCGAACGGCGCCAGGAGACTCTTGATGCGTAGTCTCATGGCAACTCTAGTGAGTGAGCAGTGAAAGGAATTGCAAGTGAAGCCCCCCCCCCTTTTGTCCGGCAGCGGCATCAAGAGGGGGAGGGTGGTTTGATCTGGGAGGAGGACTCATAGCATTGGTCGTCTGACACGCGTGAAATCCGGTTTGAAAAAAAAGACAAGAAAAATAACAAAAACAGATAACGAACGCTGTGGCAATTAGCTTGTCGCTGCGCCTGCACAGGCCGCTGAGAGGAGGCGAAATTCGAACGATTGAGATCTCTCGAGACTCGTGAAACAAAGAGGACAGGCCCGGTGCATCAGCAAGCCCAAAACAATTTAAAAACCCACCCAAAAAAAAAAAAAACATTCCGCACCTCATCAGCATTCAATAATTTCCCCAAACCTGTTTTTTTTTTTTTTTTTTTTTTTTTTCTGCGTGTGTGTGTGTGTGGCTGCGGGCAGATTTACCGCCAGTTGACGACCGACAGCGAAGGCAAACAATCACGGGTCGTCAACGGCCTGTGCAAGAAGACCATTGCGGATACGGCCTCGGCGCTCCGGATTGTCTCGTACTACACCGAGTTGTAAGTGCTGCTTCTCCAATCACTCAAAGATCGCTTTGTGGTTTGTGGTTCGAATCGCCCGATTCACTTGCTCTCGTTAATTGTTCGAACATAGAGCGCTCCATTCGATTGGTCCCTTGCGAATCAACGCGGACGTGCTGGACGGCGCGATGCTGCGGTCTCCGTTTCAACGGACCCCAAACCACACCGCACGGATGCCGGATGCCGATGAGCTGCTTCTCGAGACGCTTGCGGGCCGTGATTACTTTCCTCTGCTCGAATCAAGCTACGACCAGCTGGTTCAGAGCGCAAGCCGGCCGAAAATTGTGGGCCCAAACGAGCTGTACCCACCGCTGAATCTCAATCTGGTCAGCGGAAGCGCTGCAGGAGGGACTCGCAGGCGCGCTGGTGAAGCTGAAGGTGCTGATCCCGCAACCGCAGATGGGCGGCGTGTCCGGGCGCGAAGCACGAGCGACTTGAATCCGGATCCTGCCAGCAGCTCCAACAGCACTGGCGCAGCAGCCAGCCTTGGAGATGCAGTTAAGGGCACTTTTGAAAACGAAGAGGACGAGGAGGTGACAATGGTGCTCAAACGAAGGCGACGCAGTCGCAACACCTTCACCATTGTTGATAGCTCAAATTCGTACTTGCCAAGTGGCATGCGATTGTCCCCCGTTCGTTCCCCGCTGCCCCGCGCTGCGCTGCGGCACATGGTTTCCACGGCCTTATCTTCCCATCCGGAACCTCAGCGAACGAATGGACACCCGGCAGCTGCAGAAACCTCGCTCGGAGCCAGCAGTGTGTCTTTGGCCACTCGTGTGGCTGAAGCATCTGATCGCCAACCGCCGCCGCCGCCACCACCACCACCACCACCAGTATCAGCAGCGGTAACAGCAACAGCAACAGCAGCAACAGCAGCAGCAACCCCACCTATCTCGACCAGCGCGTCATCATCCTCGTCTGAGCTAGATGCGATTCGAGACATTGCCAAAGTTGATCCCGCAGCTCCCAGCCAGCAACCAATCATCGATGTATCCCCACGGATGCCAGTCCTTGGACCACCACAAATTCAGTCCCCGCAACTGCAGCTCGGCGTGTCGCAACCAACGTCGCAGCAAGTCCCGATGTACAAGCAACCATCACCAACGAGCATGGGATTTTCAGTGTACTCTTCGCAGCAACCTCCGCAGTTTGAACCGCAGTACTTTGGAACTCTGCACCATCAGCATCAGCTTCAGCCCCAGATGTACCCGAGTAGTAGCATGCCCGCACCCACGCCCTCCATGCATGTCATGATGCTCCCCAACGGGCAGCAGGTGCTTGTCAATCAGGCTCCTGCGCAGCAACTGTACATGCAGATGCCTCGTGCTCAGAATCCCCAAGGCTACCCGGCAGAGGCACCCGTATTTGGATCACCCTTCCCTGCTCCACAGTACAATCCGCCGCCGCCGCCGATGCGTCAGTCGATCGGCATGAGCTCGTTTCATCACCAACCTGCCATGCAGCCAGCATTCCTTGGACAGCAGCCTGCCCCCACCTTCGGGTTTCAGCCAGTTCAGTACTCGACGCCGCAACAACCTCCTGTTCAAGAAGTCCAGTACGCGATGCACCCACAGCAATCCATGATGCAGATGCAGCCCATCCAACCGCAACTGCAGCCAATGGGCTATGGCCCCTGGTCTCAACCTCAACAGCCCCATCAAGTGGCACATCCTCAGCTCCAGTATCAGCACCAATATCAGCCACCACAGCAGCAGCAGCAGCCACAGCCGCAGTACCAACTCGTATACCAGCATCCGCCACAGCAGGTGCAACATCTACAACAACAATCGCATCAACAACCTCAGCTCGTGCCGCAGCCACATCAGCTCTATCAGGGCCAATCACAGCAACAGCAGCCACAACAGCAACCACAACAGCAACCACCACCACCCCAGCAGCAGCAGCAGCAGCAGCAGGTCAGCCAGCCCGAAGTCAATTCGGAAGATCGAGCGAGTGTGCAGGCTCCTCCCACCAGCACCAATTCTAACGAATCGCTCCCAAAGCAGGAAATGCAGCCTGCTTCCGCAACTCTTGAGCCTGTACCAGCGGCTATGCCAGCTGGAGCTGAGCCACCAACTCTTGCAGAGCCATGCAACAGCATCGAGGGACAGCAACAACCTGGAAACGAACGATAGAGTAGCGCTATGTGGTTTAGCAACCATAGTTGTGATTGATGCCCAGTAGGATTCGTCAAAAGTAGTCGTATTTATTTTTGTTTGAAATATGGAATAGGCCATGTTTCAACACATCATTGTATCATTATCGTACTGCTCTTGCTTGAGCAGTTGGGGCAGGTATAAGAGTCCTACCAACAGTCGTCGTTCGATCACAAGCTGTGAGTTGAAAGCATTTTCACATCGAAAGTGTCCCAGCTGAACACAAGCTAGAATCATCAACGACTTACAGGGAGCGGCTCATTCGAATCTATTCCAACGCACTTGGCGTGATACCAAAACCTGCACTCGTCGCATTCAATATATAGCAAGTCGGGATTATGGGGCTCGTCGCAACAGAGCAAGCTCAGAGCAGATGTCTTGGAGGGGGGGGGGAAAAAACGTGCAGGAATGAGACCCGAGCCCAAAACCCACCATCTGAACCCCCCTGCACAGAATAAACACCAACACTGACGGCTGATACAATACCAAGAGGTCTTACATCAACTGTGCCCTTGCGATGGTCGTACGTGGTGCGGCAATAGTAGACGTTGGAAATGTCGACTGGCGCGAAAAGTTCTTCCTCTGGCAAGCTCTTTCGCAGACGGTGACGCACACAGTTGACTTGGTAGTTTTGGAACTGATCGACGCCATCAATCACAATCACTTGGCCGATGACACGATATGCGGGGCAAACGTCAAAATGGTCTGTTACAAACAGCTCGCTCTCGCCAATCCAGGGCAAGTCGCGTGCCTTTGTATCCTAACAGAGAACAGCAAGAAGAAAAAGTAGGAATAACAGTGAGTGTATTTGAGCAAGCTCACCTTCAATGTCAAGGTCGAGACGTTGCAGTAATCCGAGGAGGAGCGCGACTATGCTGCGACGTCTCGACTTACTGCTGCCTGGTAGTACCACTTGACGCGGATCCAGATCTCGCTGCCTGGCTCTGAGGCACTGAAAATGTCAACAATCTGTGCAATGAACGGGCCCTCGTGTCCACCTGCGCTTGGTGGCTTAATGTAGACTGACAAGCGCGCAGCATGGGAACCGCCGCCGTCCAGTCAGTCAGTCAGTCAGTCAGTTTACGTCGATCGCAGCGCCTTGTTAAAGTCACAAGAACAGCTTTAACAAAAGTCTTCCGCTCGAAAGCCTGGCTCACCTCGGTCGTGCAGGGCAAACACTTCACGCGTCGGCAGCACAAAGCGAGAATAGTGCTTCAGTTCGTCGGCTGCCTCCTCGTCTTGGCTCATGTGTGATTTGATTTGGTTGGGGAAATTAATCTGATACTAGAAAATTGAAGACTACATCATGCAACAAAAGCGCTCTTTTTTGGCAGTGTGCATTGGTTCAAAGCCTGCAGACAAAGCCAAAAAGTCCAAAAGCCCAAGAAATCCAAGACAGCGTTGACTACGCATCCGTACGCGGACCTCAACTGAGGTGTAACTCATCGAGTACTGTACTCACAGATTGTTATGCGCCAAACCTTGATCTCACAGAATAGAGTCAAGACGACCTGAACTTTCCCCGTTTCGTTCAACCTCAGCGTTTCAGACGAAAAAGCAACCGGTAACGACGATTGACGGTATCGTTTTGGCATATTCTCACTGTCTTGCTTTTTTCGAATCTTCTCAGACGCACACTCCTCTTTGTCTTCACCTCCTTTCACATATGGCGGACGTTGCAGCTGCACCCGGACACGCCGAGGCCGTCTCCACCAAGGTCGACGTCCCGCTCGATCTGATCAAGCTGTCGTTGGACGAGCGCATCCTCGTCAAGATGCGCGGCGACCGCGAGCTCCGAGGACGCCTTCATGTGAGTGTGCAGCACGAAAGCCAAACGCGCGAACAGCGTTCGTCTGCTTTGGGGAGGGAGAGAGAGAGAGAGAGCCATCGCACCACTGCACTTGGCATTGTCACGACGAAGGGGCTCTCTCATTCGATTAGTGGAGGGTGGCCGGTGGCGGAGGAGGAAGAGGAGCGGAGGGAGGAGCACACTCCTAGTCTCGCGCAATGGTCGCTCCAGCCAACAACGACTGCACTCACTCGTTGCTCCTGCTGTTGCTTGTGATGCGCCACTTTGTATACAGGCTTATGACCAGCATCTTAACATGATCCTCAGCGATGTCGAAGAGACCGTCACAACCGTCGAAATTGACGAGGAAACGTTCGAGGAAATGGTCAAGGTACAGCTCTCCTATACTCACAAGCTTTTCCTTACGATTTAGATAACCGTGGTGAATGCGCGATTTTGTTGGCATTTTATCGAAGCAACCCTTTGTTGTTGTTGTTGTTGCTTGTGTCGGATTGTTCTCTGATCAACCGTGAATGTCAACTCACCGTCCGTGCTTTGCTTCGTTTGCGTTTTGTTAAACCGCTCTGTTGCTCACCCTGCAGACAACCAAGCGAGAGGTCCCCATGCTGTTTGTCCGAGGAGATGGTGTTATTCTGGTTTCGCCTCCTTTGCGAGCACAATAACTGATCTGAATGGAAAACGATGCTTTGGATGTTTTTTTTTTTTTTTTGCTTTTTGTATTGTGTTTGCTGATGCATTGTTCGCCACAGCATTAAAAACAACAAACCCATACTGAATATTTTTCAACGTACCACTCTTTCATTTTCACCTACGCAGCAACAATGCGCATCTGGGTTGGCGACGAAACGGGCCTTCTCAAAGGTAACAAAGCCAAAACGTTTCAATGGCCCACTCGCGCACCACTCATCCGCGATCACCTTCGAATTTGCAATAGGACTCAATATTGAACGATCTGTCGTCAACCGCTATCTGGAGCGCGATCGCCAGCGCGGGATTACACACATGTCGTTCGCTGGCGTCGACGGCACTGAGCGCGAGGACGAGGTTTGTGTGGCCTTTTTGCATCTGCCCGTGCTGTCCTGTCCTGTCCTGTCGGGGGAAGGGGCAAGGGCGTTGTGTTTGAACAAGGATTTGTATGAGAGGGGGCCCCTCTGAGTGGCTCGTGTGCGAAATCCTGACAGAGTGAGAGGAGAGTGGACTGAGTGAGACACATGGACTGCATGTGGAGCTCTCCATCATCATCATCACCATCAAGCATCAAGCATCCATCGTCACCTCCATCCAGACTAGATTGAATCCAGCGTGCTTGCTCTTGTTGCAGGATGCAAGAGTCCGGTGGTTGCTGCCGGGGTTGCAAGCACGGTCAAAAGCCCGTTGGATTCAAAGCAACGAAAACCAACCTCCTTCCCTGGCCTTATTGTCATCAGATTGCCGTTGGCCTCGCGAATGGAACCGTGGGCATCCTCAGCCAACTCCAAGCCGCAGAGACGCCCATCTTGCGCGAGTTTCTGCCGGTGCCCGCACCCGTCATGGACGGCATCGAGCCATCGCCGGCAAACAAGGACGAGCCTGCTGGTGCCTACACCGCTCCCGGCACGCGTGCACCTCGCCCGCGCCACTACGTGAATTCTGCATTCTCTGAAAGCACCGCGTTGGCCGGTGTCGAGGTGTTTAACAGGTACGCCAAAACGTTTTTTGACAGAGGCGCGAACTCTCAGTCTCACCAACGCCACCACCACACTCTCACCCCTGATTGTCGTACTGTTGTGACGATAATGATGATGATTGTGATGCAGATCTCTCATTACTTGCACCAAGGAGGGATGGGCAGCATTCCGAAAGCTCGACGGAGAGACCACCGATGCGCCAGTGTTGCATTTCAAAGCCGCACCCCATTGCGAAAAGATGCGCCTTGCACCGGCCTCAGAAGGCCGATTTATCGCCACTGGTGGCAACGAGTCAGATCTTCGAGTTTGGGACGTGACAAACACCGCGGCGCCTGTATTCCAAGCAAAGAACGTAAGACCTCGGGGAGTTTGGTTTTTAAGAGTTTTCTTGTGTGTTTGAGAGCGACTCGAAAGAATGCGCTCACTTGTGTGTGATTTGTGCTTTTGTGCGGGTACGTTCGATTTCCAGCTTCCGCATGATAACACAGAGTTGCGCGTGCCGGTCTGGATCACAGACCTCAACTTTATTCCCAACACGAGTGCGCAGCAGGTTGTCGTGGGCACTGCTTACAAAGAGGTAAAAGGAGCAAAAGAGGGGGAGAAGCACACACAAACGAACGCCTGTTGATAGGTACTGATGGCTGGCTGTGTTTGATCAATCCCTCGTGTCAGATTCGCCTTTATGATGCGCGTGTCAAGAGGCGACCAACCCTGATGATTACAGTTGGCGAGTATGGAGTAAACAGCCTGACTTGCAGCAACGATGGCCGGTACGCAATCTTCCTGCTTGTCTAAATTTGTTTCTTGGTGTTGTGATTGTTGTTGTTGTTGAGGGCTTTGCCGTGTTGCATCGCAACCTTGGATGTCTGTTTTTGGGATGTGTGAAGGGGAGCGACGGAGGCTTGTCCAGATGCGGTGCGAGATCTAAGTCTTGTTTTGGGCTGGTCTTGCGTTATTTTTTTTTTTTTTTTGGACAGATCTGTTTTTGTTGGCGACAAGGCCGGGCACATTTCCGCCTGGGATCTGCGCAATGGTGAGCTTGTCCATCTTTGGCTTGTGCGATCTTGGTTCAAACGGAAGGAGATGGCGCGTGGCGACCATCGAAAAGGCTTGGTTGATGTCTCACGCTGCTTGCGCCTTTCTTGGCAATTTTCGTCTCCTTGTCGCCAACACCCCCGCAGGAAACGCGATGGGTCGTTACAAAGGCTGTGCCGGTGCAATCCGCGGAATGCAGCAGCATGCCACGCTGCCTTTGTTGGCCGTTGCCAGCGTTGACCGGTTTGTTCGAGTGTACGACGTTTCCACTCGCGTTCTGGCTCACAAGGTATGGTCAAAAAAGCACACAAACCCAAAAACCCAAAAAACACAATACCCAATTCTCGCGCCCAGGCGTGTTCCGGGACAAGGCTTGGTCCGCACTGTTTTAACTGTTTTAGGCTTTCGTGGTTGAGATCTACGGGAGTGGCGATTAGCAGCGTTCGATCATTTGGGTTTTTCTGTTCCCTTTTGGGATCATGTTCGCTGCCCACAAGCTTATTTTGGGCATGTTTGCGAACGGCGCGCGCGCTCCCTGTGGAAAAAAAAGAAAAAAAGGCAGCGTAAAAGGGCGTGGTTTGAGTAGATCTCCAGATCCCGATTGCCTGCACGCTCACCGTTGCCCCCATTTTAACCACCTGTTGCCCCCATTTTAACCACCCGTTGCTAACTGTTGCTTGTGGTTCTTTTTTTGCTTTTTGCTTGTTTGGATTGGCAGTTTTATGTCAAGCAGCAACTCTCGGCGCTGCTCTTCTCGTCGGAGGGCCGCATCAAGGTGAACAAGCCCAACGCGGACAGCGACAGCGATGAACGCAGCGATAACGAGGACGATGTCGAGGATGACGATGAGGATGCGCAAATTCGCGCAAACGGTACGTACAAAAGCGTACACAACGTGAGCGAGCATGCGCTTGCGCTCGCTCTTGCGATTATTTTCGGATTTGGGGTTGTTTTTTTTTTTTTTGTAACTCACATCGTCACCTCACCATCGCATTCGTGTGCCCCTTTTTTGACATGCCCTTCCCCTTCTTCTTTTTGTAACTTGAAACGGAGCGTAGGCGCAGAGCTGGATGATTTTGGTGCCAAGGCGCGCCAGCAACGCGAACAGGCAAAGAAGGGCGCAGCCAAGGGTGCTGCCGCGACCCCCGCCGCCAAGGCCGCCGCGGCTGCCAAGGAGGACGAGGAGCAGGAGGAAGACATCTGGAAGCAGCTGCGAAGCACCAAGGAGCAAGCAGGCAAGAGCAAGAGCGAAAAGGCGGCCAAACCGCAAACCGCAACGACGGCTGCGGTTCGCGGCCCGAAGCGGACGGCCGCTGCGCGCAAGACGGCCGAATCCGACGCCGAGTCTGATGCTGACAATGCCGATAGCGCCCACGAGGAGGCTGCAGGTGGTGCGGCGGTCGTGGATGTGAAGGGGAATGCGGGGGCGCGCAAGCAGCCCAAAAAGGCGCGGATGTCCAAATAAAGTGTTCGGACCCTGATCGTTGCCCAAAAAAGGCCAGATCTCGCCCGTTTTGGTGATTTCCAGGCTGACCGCTCGCCATGCACTTGCGTTGCCCGGGCGATCCTGCCCCTCCCAGACGGTGGCGGTGAGGTAGAAATAACGTGTAGAATGGAGGGGAGGGTGGGGCGCGGAGTGGCGCGGCGTGGAGCGCCAGCGCTGCGATTTGGGTGACCAAACGCGGAAATGTGTGACCCGATGAGGCAGTTCCTAAAGCGGCGACTCCCGGCCTTCAAACAGCCGCATCCACCCGAACTGGACACATCCCGGTGCTGGCGCCGATGTAATCGACAATTCAAGACACACCGAACGGTGCTGGTCCGGGCGCGGGAGCTCGAGCGCACGCAAAGTTGCTTTTTACGGAACTGACAAGGCCAAAATCTCAACGGTAGCTTCAATTAGTTGTCACCTCCGGAGCACGCCAGATGACATCCCAGCTCCGTGTGCATATGCTACACTGAAAAGTCGGCAATAATTTTGCGAGTCGATCGGTATGCGGCATGTCGTGCAGAGTCGGCGCGATCGTCTTGAAACTGCGCGTTTGAGTTGAATTGACGGAGTGGGATTTAAAGCTCGAGCTCGGTTTCGTTGGTTTCAGTTCACTCTCCATTTTTTTCCGGCTTTGCTTTTCGGCGCTCTTCTTTCGCTTCTGCTTCTGCTTCTTCCCCCCGCTTGCAATCTCTGAAATTTTTATATTGACTCTTTGTGATCCTTGGTGCTTGCCATCTCAAACATCCGGCTCTCAAGCGCGCAGCAACACTGTTTCGTTCCCCGACTCTCCTGGTTTTTTTTTTTTTTTTTCCGCCAACGAAAAACTTCGTCATTTCGGTCAAAGACAGAATGAACACCCCATCCTCCACGGGCATGCTTCTTCAAGCACTGCTGGGACAATCGTACCCAGTCACAGCATCGCGCACCGCATCGCTCGGCTCCATTGTCGGCATGGATGTCAGCGTCGATTCGTTGCTGAATGAATGCGAAATCCGAAACCAACAGCTCGAGCAGCAACAGCAACAGCAACAGCAGCCTTTTATCGCGTTGCACGCAAGCAGCCCAGCAGCGTCTAGTGTTTCGATGTCGTCTTCGGAAGCATCTGTTGAGCAGCAACAGTATCAGCGACACCAGATGCTCATCCAACAACAAATTCTGCAGTTGCAAGAGGTCACGCAGCAGCAACTGTATCCGCAGCAGTACCTGCAACACGCCTCGCTGCCTCAACAACAGCAACAGCAACAGCAACGGTCGTACCAGCAGCAAAGCGTTCTGTTGAACGCTTCGACTGCCGCTCAACAACAGCAGCAGCAACACCAACTTTCGCAGCAGCAAGATTCGCAGCAGCTGGCCATGTTGGAGCTCTCCCTCCGACAAGACACCGACGAAGACAGCTTCAGCACTGTCTCGAGCGACTACTCGTCACACTACGGCTCGAGCGACACGGATCACGACGAGCACGAGCATTGCGACCATCAACATGCACAGCAACAACAACAACAACAACAGCAACAGCTGGCACCTGCCATCAGTAGTGTTCTGCCTTTCGCTGCTCCGGATCAGCACTTCTTCGGCTTTGACTTTTCGCAGCACCACCACCAACCACAACAGCAACTACAGCAGTTCCAGCTGCTGCAGCAGCAGCGACCGCAGCCGCTCCAGCCTCAGGCCATGCTGAGCGTTCCGGAAGCAGGGATGTGGCTGGGCGTTGGCCAAACCCCTGCTGTTGCGGCTGATGCCCTCACAAGCCCTCGCAGCCCCCGCAGCCCCCGTAGCCCCCGAAGCCCTGTCAACGACGCCTCGCAGTCAGCCCTGCTCACTGCTCTTGGCTTCAAGCACCGCCCCAAGACTGTGCTGCTGGACGAGGAGAAGCTGTTCGTCTGCCCGTTCGACGGGTGCGGCAAACGCTACGGCAAGAACTCGCATCTCAAGGCTCACCTCCGTCTGCATACTGGCGAGAAGCCCTTCTCGTGCAAGTGGCCCGGCTGCGAGCAGACATTTCATGCGCTCCGACGAGCTCACGCGTCACAAGCAGAAGCACTCGGGCGCCAAGCCTCACGCTTGCCAGCTGTGCTCGCGCTGCTTCTCGCGCTCAGACCACCTGATTGCTCACATTCGCCGCCACATGAAGGAGCCTTCCAAGAAGACGCGCGGCCCCAAGACTGCTGCCATGCACGCCGCCGCTGCTGCCCTTGTTGCCAGCCACAGCTTCGACCATGCCAACGCGCAAGCCGCCATGATTCCGCGCCCGTAACCCGTGGCCTACAGCATGGCTCGTGTGACTGTGTCTTGGTCTCATTTTTAATCCCCCCACCACCACCACCACCCTCACCAATCCATTGAGTGTGTGATTATCAGTTTTAATCCTCCCCCCCCCCTCATTTGAGGCTTTGTACATTGTTTGTGGGACGGTTTGATACCTCCCGATTGTACTGTTCTGTAATACACATGATACAGTATTTGTCTGAATCTTGTTTCAACCTTCTGCAGAACACAAGACATTCGTCTGAAGCGTTTTCAACCCCTTTTTTTTGCTTTGCGAGTCAGTGAGTGATTGATGGGCTTGGGAAAAACGGAACAGCATTACGTTATATCGTTGGAAAACAATCTCTCTGACAAACATTCTATCGCAACGAGACGCGCAATCCAATCCGGGATGCAAACTCGGTCTCTAGCAATTCAAGCAGATTCAGCTTTGGGTTTTGCGTTGAAATCCAAGCCTGTTGTGTGCTTGACCAGTCAAAGCGATGAGGCCCGCTGGAGAGAGTTTGGAGCGTTGTGACAAGTGAGCTGAATCATCCGATTTTGGTCTCAAGCGGAACTCGACACTCCCCAAACTCACCTGGCGGGTGACGAGAGCCACATTTGCTGATTTGGTGCTTGCTTGTTGAGCACATAGGTTCCTTTAGATCCGAACGCCATCGTCATCACACCACTCTGACAAGATCAACCAAACGAAATAACAACGGGTGAGAGACATACGCATACCCATCTCATCCAGCGGCGCCCAGCCCGCAGCCCAATCATCCAAAACTCCTGAGAGAAGCACAAAGGAGTTGGCTGCTCCTCAGTTTGCCACTTGAAACGTTGACTGTCAACAGTACCTGTTCGATAATATCATAGTCGAGAACTTCATCGCCAGCATTGTCAATGGTCTCCTCCAGGCTTGCTCGCACGTCGTGAAGGGTGCTGTCTGCCAGACGATGGTACTCGTGCGCCGTGAGCGCTGAAGCGGCGGACTCGTCGCCACGCGTCGACTTGGGCGCCATGAACGTCGAGGCCGTGCCTTCGCCGCTGGATGGCGCAGTCTTGGACGTCGACGGCGCGGCCTCGGCAGCATTGAGGCGGGACGACGAGGAAGGAGCAGCTGGATGCTGTGCCGCCTTCGAGACGGCAGCCAATGAAATGGACCGGCGATGACCAGCAACAGCAGCAGCAGCAGAAGAAGAAGGAAGCCCAAACCCAGCAGACCGCGCATCCGTGCTCAATGGCGCATGGCTGGCAAGAGCTTGGCGGAGTGATGCTTGGGATCTTGGAGCAGCGGCTACGGCTAGTCGCAGGCGCACCAGGGCAGAGAATGATGACCGCAGCATTGGAGGAAAAGCTGTTGACAAATAGACTGGATGGATCAGATTAGAACAAAACAACCAGTGGATGATGCGCATCATGATGTGAAGCGAACTCGCTGTGAATCGAGGGTCACTGTGCGCCAAAATCGTTTGACGTAGATCAGTCTGCAATTCCTAACAGAGGATGAATGCGAAAGAGCGCGAATTGTATCGCGACGTCCAGAATGCGACCGAGTGGCTCTTGTAAGAGAAAGCAGAGTGTATTGTAACAGTGTGGTTGGCAGCGCATGCACTGACGAAAGGGGGGATAGAATGGGCATGAAGCAGATTGGCGATGCCGGAGCAGAGGTGATTGCTGAGGCACTCAAGGAGGTGAACACGTCGCTGACTGGGCTCAGGTCTGGCATGTTTCACTTTCACTGATGCATGCAAGTGGGTGATTCAGAAGAGTGCTCACTGACGCAGGGGACGGGCAGTTTGTACCAGAATCAGATTGGCGATGCTGGAGCACGAGCGATTGCAGAAGCACTCAGGGTGAGCACGACGGTGACGAAGGTCTTGTAAGTCATCTAAGTTTGACTGATGTAAGCAGCTGGGTGATTCTCATCATAGCTCACTGCTGAAGCGGGGATGGGCAGTTTGTACCAGAATCAGATTGGCGATGTCGGGGCGCAGGCACTAGCTGACGCACTCAAAGTGAGCTCGACGGTGAAGGAGCTCCTGTAAGGCATTTCATTTATTTAAAAGACGAGGGTGATCCAGCGTGGAGCATTCGGTGTGCTCAATGATGTGGGAGGAGGACGGACAGTCTGGGTGGAAATCAGATTGGCAATGCGGGAGCACGGGCGATTGCTGAGGCCCTCAAAGTAAATAGGACGCTGGTTGTGCTCCAGTAAGGCATCAAATCGAATGTGACTGATGCATGCGAGTGGTTGATTTCAGCCGATGGCACTAACAGTGCTCCCTAACGGAGGGATTGGACAGTCTGACTCAGAATCAGATTGGTAACGATGGAGTTCAGGCGATTGCTGAGGCACTTCAAATGAACACGACGCTGACTTATCTCAAGTAAGTTGCTGTGTGGTGCATTGCTCGTCTTGGAGGTTTGAGCCAACTAGACCCAGCTACGTGATCAGCCTGCTCATTTTGTTGCGTTTCGCGATAGTCTCCAGTCGAATTGCATTGGCAGTGTTGGTGTTCAAGCTATTGAGGAGGCACGCAAAGTCAACTGCACGAGTGAGGTTCAGTAAGTTGTTTTGGCCAATGTGAGCCATTTCCACTCATGCAATGCTCCTCCACCCCCACTTCCCAACACTGAATGAAGCGGCCCTTGTCCACTGCTTGTTTCTCGCGCTGTACAGCCTCGACAACCAGATCAACCCACTTGCATTTTCCACTTTTCCACAATGCGCAACTGCTGAGGACACTCAGACCGTGTTCAACCTGCTGATGAGCGGACAGGAGCTGGAAAATGAGTTTGCATCTCTACCGACATTACCAGCTGAGATTGCCGAGCGCATCATGGACGAGGCGTATTACTGGCAAGGTGTGCAGTTCACGAAGCGAGATCTGTTTTCAAGCAATCACCCCGACCATTTTCTGAAAGCCACCGTGCCTCGGAGCATCAATGGAAGTTCGATTCGCGTGAAAGCAATTCAAGTGCTACGTGACAGCGCCGACGCCACAAATGGCGACCTCTTCCATGTGATTGTCCGGGATGAGCAGGGTGCTGCTCGATACGAATGCTCTGCGAAACCGACGTTCGTTGATTCAACCATTGAGCTTGCGACAATCTGGCCAGCGAGTCATCTCATCATTCGACAAATGCGCGAAGGCTGGGAGGTTCAAGTTCGGCCCAGCGAGTTTCCCTATGATGTGTTGTATGAGTCTCTTTATATTGGATATACAGAATGTTGAAATTTATGGGATGAGTCACTTTTCGTAGCAACATGGAAAATTTGTCACAGGGTCGTGCAAGAAGAAGTTTTACTGCATTTCAAAGTGAAAGACACCGTGCTCAGTGACTGTGGATTTGAATATTGAGCACGCATTGGAAAGAACCAAGACAAAAATGTCTTGAGCGAAGGGAAGTCAGAACAGTCGTTCTTGTCACAATGTTGGCATATCAGTGTATGACTGACAGACAGCGCGAGGTGTATGACAAAGTCATGAATGCGAGTGGATATACCTTGTAAGAGAAAGCCGGGTTTCTTGGAAAGTGTCACAACGCAAGTGCTGACGAACTGGAGGAACAGGATGAGGGAGTATCGGCTTGGCGATGCCGGAGCGCAGGCGATTGCTGAGGCGCTCAAAGTGAACACGGGGGTGACTACGCTCGTGTAAGGCATCTCACTTTGACTGATGTATACAAGTGGGTATTCCAGCCGAGGACATTTCGAGGGCTCACTGATGAAAGGGATAGACTTGGTGAGAATCAGATTGGCGATGCTGGAGCTCAAGCTATTGGTGAGGCACTCAAAGTGAACAGGACGCTGACCGAGCTCCTGTAAGTCAGAGTGACTGATGCATGTCAGTGAGTGATTTCAGTAAAGGGACAGTAAGAGTGACTCACTGATGGGGGAGATGTGGACAGGCTGAGTGAAAATCAGATTGGGGATGCTGGAGCGCAGGCAGTTGCTGACGCACTCAAAGTGAACACGTCGCTGACCGAGCTCAGGTATGGCGTTGTACTTTCACTGATGCATGCAAGTGGGTGATTTTCAGCATAGCTCATTGACGGAGGGGGGGGGAGACGAGCAGTTTGGACCAGAATCACATTAGCGATGCTGGAGCACAAGCGATTGCTGAAGCACTCATCGTGAGCACGACGCTGAATTCGCTCTTGTAAGTGGACTGATACCTGTGAGTGGGTGGCTTCATCAGAGGGCAGTTTAGCGTGCTCATTCATGGAGGAGATTGGACAGTCTGCGTCAGAATCAGATTGGGAATGCAGGAGCACAGGCGATTGCTGAAGCACTCACAAAAAATACGACGTTGACTGAGCTCCAGTAAGGCATCTCGCTTGAACTGATGTGTATGAGTGAATGATTCAAGATTGAACTCAGTGCTCACTGATAGAGGTGGTGGACAGTCTGAGCACGAATCAGATTGGCGATGCTGGTGCGCAGGCAATTGCTGAGGCACTCAAAATGAACGCGATGGTGACTGAGATCGGGTAAAGCATCTCACTTTTGACTGATGCCTGTGAGTGGGTGATCTAGCAGTGGTTGTGTAGTGCTCACTGAGTGAGGGATGGACAGTCTGCGTGAAAATCACATTGGCAATGCTGGAGCGCAAGCGATTGCTGACGCACTCAAAGTGAACACGACGCTAAGATATTTAAAGTACGTTGACGTTGATGTGCGCTCTGCTTGTTTTGGGCATTGAGTTCTGGATCGACAGGCCTGGCACTGCTGTCATCCTGCTCACCCGTCGAGCGACAGTCTATCCCAGAATTGCATTGGCAGTGTTGGTGTTCGAGCGATTGACAAGGCCCACAAAGGCAACAACACGCATGCCATTCGGTACGTTGTCCTTGCCGATGATAGTCATTTATGCCCTGCTGACTGGTCATTCATCTTGCTTGTTCGTTGCTCAGCATTGACGGCCAGATTAGCCCTCTCGTCTTTTCCACACTTCCACGATTCGCAACTGCTGAAGAAATTCAGACCGTTTTTTGCTTGCTAACGAGCGGACTGGAGTTGGAGGATCAATTAGCATCTCTACCGGCACTCCCGGACGAGCTGGCCGAGCGCATTGTGGACGAAGCGTGTTACTGGCAAGGCGTGCAACATACCAAACGAGAGTGGTTTGCGGACGATACCCCCGATTCTATTCTCAAAGTCACAGTGCCTCGAACCATCGACGGAAATTCGATCCGTGTGAAAGCAATTCAAGTGCTTCGTGACTGGAACAAACAGCCCCGCACCACCGGTGACATTGTTTTTGATTGGATTGTCCGAGATGAGCAAGGGGCTGTTCAATACGAATGTGCTTCCTCGCCAACGCTCGTCGATTCGACCGTTGCGCTTGTGACACTCCAGCCACCGGGCCATCCCATCATCCGACGAATGCGCGAGGGTTGGCAAGTTCAAGTCCGACGCAGCAAGTCTGTCCAAGATATGCGATTCGAGTTGCTATATGTCGGATATACATGTATCTAGTGACAATCTTTGGAAAAGTTGGGGATGCCACACAACTCCTTCGTCGAGTTCGTTGAACGTTTTGTCTTTGCGCAAAAGTTGGAAGACAAGTCGCTCGAAAGGCCAATAGATGCAGTATTTTTTGGCCGCTCCCCGTTTCCTCCGACCATCTCGTTCTCGTGCACGTTCGTTCTGCTGCTGTAGTAGTGGGTTTCTTTCTTCGAGCGAAAATAGCAGCTTGTGTTGGGCAGTTTTGTGTTCTAAACTTGGCTTTTCCATTTTTCTTTTTTTTATTTTATTTTATTTTTTCGATTGTTTCCCTCATCTTTTGCCCCGCATTCAACCGGAGCAACAAGTCGTTTTCTTTTTTCCACCTTCTTCCTCCAGCAGCAGTAGCAGCAGCAGCAGCAGCAGCAGAGGCGACATGCGAGCAAGTGGTGCCGCTATTTGCATTGCGAGCGGTAGTCGCTGCGGTGCAGCGGTTTTCGCGCTTCTGTGCTTCGCCGTCCTCAGCTGCGTCTTCAGCAGCGCCCATGCAGGTACCCACCTCCTTCTGTGCTTGTCTCATCACCATCCGCCTCTAACCTGTCCCCTGCCGGGCCCCGTTGCGTTCGCGGGCGCTGCTGCTCAACGATACGATTGGTCGCCGAAACAACCAGCGGCCACGTTGAGTTGCACTCTGCCCGCGCCACCCAAACCGCAATAACTCAGCAATAGAGCATGAGAGAGAAAGTGTCCATCCCAGTCCATCCAAAGCGAGAGAGGGAGAGCGACAGAAAGAGAGAGGGGGATTATTTTCCATTGATCGTACGTTTTTTTTTTTTTTGTTTGTTTTTTTTTTTTTTTTTTCTTTTGATCTTTATTTTTGTGCTTGGCAATGCTATTTCTTGTCGGTGGTCGCGCGCATCGAGCAACTGGTGATTTGCGTTGTAGTTGAGCGGTATCGAGCACCCCCCCCCTTCAAAAACATCAACACTGAAGCGGCTTGCTTGCTCGGAAAAGGGAGCAAACCCAAAAGATCAACCAGCTGGGAGTGAGATTGCGTTCATCTTTTTGTTGTTGGGTGCACTTCTAACCTTGTTGTTGTCTTTGTTTTTTTGGTTTTGGGGGTGGGGGTGGCACCTGTCGTGGCATCTGCGCATTGACAAAAAAAAGCGCCTGGTCCTGGTGGCGGTTCGGTCGCTGTCAACCTGAGTTCACCGCCAGTCGCTGTGCCGCTGACGCCGTATTCCGTGAATGTGAGCTGGATTGGCTCCTTCTCGTCGTCCGGGAGCCTCTCGTACTTCCTCTCAGGTGCGGGTCTGTGGACTACTAGCGGAGGCGGCGGCGAAGGCGAAATCGGACGTCGCTCAGCTCTACCTGGTGGAAGCATCAATGGTTTGTCTGTGATTGTCAGTGAGCTTGCACCCTTCACCGCCTATACCTGGACTGTCACCGCACGTACGGTTAATGGAGACCAAGCGGAGCAAAGCACCGCCCTGAGGAGCACCTTTGCCGATGCTCCAGCTGTGGCGCCTGGCACCATTTCCTTCCAGTCGGGCGTCATGTCTGCGCAGTGGCCAACGGTTGTGCTGAACGGACCCGCGCCCCTCGTGAGCCGTTGCACCGTTCTGAATGGCGGCGTTATTGTCGTGGACGCAACTTCCAATAATAGCCCCACGCTCACAGTAACCGGGGTGAATTGGGCCCCGTACACGGATTACACGCTGGCTTGTCGCTTTTCCAACAATGGTGGCACCGGAAACCAAACTGGAGTTCAAAATCAGGGTTTCAAGACCCCTCCACAAACCCCCGACTTGGACACGACCAGATTCAAGTCTGACGACCAAGGCCTCACATGGCTCACGGCGAAATGGACAAACGTCCTCAAGTACTTGAACGGTCCTCCTCCCGCCCAGTTCTTTTTGAATGTCTCCAATCCAGACGGCACATTCACTCGCCCACTTTACAACGTCACCATTCCGACGTCGTTCAATGTGACCGACCTGCTGCCATACACCTCATACAGCCTGGTATTGACCGTCGTCAACGGGGCGGGCTTGTCGACCTCTGTCACACGGTCCTTCTCCACGAAACCCGCGCCCCCAGCATTCAATCCCTCCCTCGTTGCCGTGCTGTCTACGCCATCCAGTGCTAACTGTGGCGGTGCCTCTCAGTGTGTCACCGTGCGTGTGGACTGGGCGAACGCGCTGATTCTGGGCTCGTTGCCCGTAACGAGCCAAAGCATCACCAACCCAACAGTGCAATCATTGCCCGCGACCGTGCGTTCGAGGGACCTGGTGGGCTTGAGCTTTGCCACAAATTACGTATTCTCCCTGGTTGTCACCGATTCGGCTGGCTTGAATGCCACAGTCGACGTGCCCTTCACGACCCCACCTTCGCCACCGCCAATCCCGACAAGTCTTCTCGTAGATCAAGTCACCCGAACTTCCGTGACATTCAAGTGGAATGCCAACTCCAGTCCCTTTCATCGCGTGTCGTACTTGGTGACAGAGCCCAATCCCATCATGGTTGGCACCAGCGAATTTTTCCAAGTCTCCTCGGGAGTGTCTATCTGGACTGCGCAAAACCTGTCGGCAGGCGCGGAGTACACATTCAGTCTGGCCGCCTGTTCTGGCGCGGGCTCCTCGTTCACCTGCTCGGCTCCAGCCACACTTGTGGCGCGGACAATGCCAGGAAGTCCCATCTGGGGGTCTGGCATTTCACTCTCTTCGTCGTCAACGCTCGGATCCATCGCAGTCACATGGTCAAGTCCTCCTCAGTACCCTCAGTGTGACCCTGACTTGCTCACGTACTTGGTCATCTATCAACGGATTGACGTCCAACCGGCCCCTGCGGCTCAGACCGCAACTGTGCAACCGTCGAATCAAGTAGCTGTAACGCCCTCAGGAACAATTGTGCCGTACGGGCTGTACAACTTTACTGTGATTGCGATCGGCGATTCGGCAAACCCACAGCAGACGTCGTCACCCCTCCCGTCGTACTTTGTGCGCGCCAGCTCGGCGATCGCCGCTTGGGGCAACGCAAACATTTCGATTTCCATCGCCCCAGGCCTTGGTATTGCATTGGCATGGACGCCGCCCGAGTTTCTGAACGACAACCCAGCTTCAATCAGCTATGCCGTCAGTTTCTCCTCGATCTTCCCATCGATGACAGTGTCCTTCTCCAACCTGACAGCTGGACCTTGCATTCTGCTAAACCTTCTCGAGTCGGTCCAATGGATTGCCCAGGTTACATGCTACAACTCAGTTGGTTATGTCAAGAGCCAGTCGCTCACGATCACTTCTCCGACGTTTCCCCGATTTGCCGTTGGCTCCGCTTTCGTTGTGAGCGAAGTTACTTCAACGGGACTTGCACTGACTCTTCCCATCGCCACATCCCCGTCTCACGCTGTCACGTCATACACAATTAGTGTGAGCGACAACCATTTCCTCGATCCCGTGTCTCCAGCAACCTTTGAGCTCATCCCAACCACTTCCGGTCCTTCCTCGTACATTATTCGCACTTGGGCAACCGCGCTGTTGCCAAATCGGCCCTACACCTTCACGGCCATCGCGCACACGGCTGTTTCATCAACGCCTGTTGGAGAAGCGCTCGTAATCACATACCAAACACTCCCCGCACCAGCGCGCTTCTCAGCCCCTTTGCATATCTTCTTCCCGAGCGGCAAGACAGTGAAAATTTCGTGGAGCGTACCGTCCGATCGAGATTCAAACGGCCAAGTCACGGGGTACGGCGTGACTTTTGACAATCACCCGCTTGTGCTTCTGGATGCGACGGAAACCGAGTATTCGCCCGACGTGACGCTGGTCAAAGGGCGCACTTACCAGGTGACGGTGGTATGCTTCTCGGCCGCTCAAGGTCAAACATTCACCTCCGATCCTGTCACTGCCGCCGTCACGGCGCCAGCCAATGACTCAGCGTCCGGCCCCGCAACCGGAGCCATTGCCGCTGTTGTGGGTAGTGTACTTGGAGTGTTGTTGCTCGTTCTGCTCATCATCTTCCTTGTTCGTCGTCGTCGCAACAAGTCTTCGCCGAATCTCGCTCGACGCAAAGGCAAGAAGGGGTCCGTTGACGACGAAAGGTGTGTTGCTGCTAATCAACCCATTCGACTATGCTTTGAGAACCAAAAAACAAAATGGGAGGGGGGTGCTTTTACTTTTGCGCGTCTCTGACCTCACACCTCTTTTTCGATTCCCTGCTGTTGGGGTATATGCGGAACAATTTGGTTAGTTCGACAATGGAGATGAACCGAAATGACTTGACCTACACCTACATTGGCTCTGATCCGCTCTATGCTGCCGTGAACATGGTGCCAAACTCCCAACAAACCTTCTCCGACTATGCTGCTCCGGGCGTCTACTTTAACGAAGGCCATGGAAAATCGGGCGCAAAATCCGCAAAGTCGGCCGAAAGTCACTATGCCTACGCTGCAGCTGTGCAGCAAGTTTATGCCGTTGCGCACGAATCTCCCTACACGACCTCCACCAGCAGCATGAATCGCGCCGACATGGAGTTTGGCTCGGTTCTTGGCCAAGGCGAGTTTGGCCGCGTTGTGCAAGCGTCTGCTCCCGCTTGGTGGCTGGGCTTGCAAAACGCTAGCGGCAAGTCCCCCAACGACAGGATTACGGTGGCCGTGAAGAGCGTGAAACAGGGAGCCTCCGACAAGCAAATAGCCGACTTTGACGCTGAGGGTGACATGATGAAGCAATTCAATCACATTAGCGTGGTGCGCGTCCTCGCTTCATTTACGGATGTGCACCCCCATTTGCTGGTCTTGGAGCTTTTGCCGTATGGCGACCTGCGAGGACTCTTGCAACGCTGCGCTATGCTCGATCCGCCCGTACTGCCAACCTCCACGGAGATTGCGCACATCTGTGCTCAGGTCGCCTCTGGCATGGCCTATCTTGCTCGAATTCGATTCGTTCACCGTGATCTGGCAGCCCGAAATTGCTTGGTCGCTGGAGACCTTGTTGTCAAAATTGCAGACTTTGGCCTGTCTCGCTCTCTTTCCGAAGAGAAGGACTACTACAGGGTCCAGAACAAGAGCAAGCTGCCGGTTAAGGTGAGAAGGGGAGTTCAAACCCGCTGTTTGAAGTCTGTGGCTTGTTGCGGCCAATGTCTCAATGCTGGTGGTGCGGGGGAGATTTTTTTGTTGTTGTCGTTAATTGTTTGCTTGCATCTGGGACGTTTCATTTCTGGTAGTGGATGGCGCCAGAATCCCTGATGTACCGTAAATTCTCCACCGCGAGCGATGTTTGGTCGTTTGGTAGGTGCACGGGCGATATGCTCCATGCTGTGTTTGCAAAAACGTGACGACTGACTTGTGCTACAGGTGTTGTGTGCTGGGAGGTTGCTACAAGTGGCAGCAGCCCGTACGGAAATATGCCAGGCAAGGATGTTCCCGCTTACGTCGAGGCGGGAAATCGCTTGACTCGGCCCGAAACATGCCCTTCAGAAATGTACGTCAGTGCGCTTTGCAGGTGGACAAGGGGGATGCATCCTTTGATGACATTTGTTCTCAATTGTATTCGTTGGTGATTTTTAGTTGGGAGCTTGTCCAGACATGCTGGTGTTGGGAGCCAGCCGCACGTGCATCTTTCGAATCTCTGTCTTCAAGTCTTCGTGCAATGGTCGGTGCTGAAGACCCCGTCAGAGATCTCGGTGCAATGGCGTCTTCCGCAAAAGAGGTTAAAGCATCCGACAACTAAGACTTCTGTTTTGTTTGTTTGTTTTGTTTGGTTGTTTTCTAGCATTTGCGGTTTTTTTTTTGTTTGATTGTGCTTTATTGGCCTTGTTACCGACAATGCCATCTTGATTTAAAACTCGGAAACGCGCGCTATTGCGAATTTTTCCAGATCGTTTGCGTACTGTATGGCGGCACGATGAACAGAATGTGACGGGTGAACATCATCAACTTTTCAGTCAAAAACCGGTAGTCAAAATCGCTAGTTGCGTTGTTTCTATACCTTAACAATCGCTGAATCGGCCTGATTGTACTTGCGACAGTTACTTGCTATCAACTTGATGTCGTCCACGAATGATTGCTTGGTCTTGTAGTGGGAGAAACGCTCGGAAAGTCTTTTCTCCATGGTGCTGAGATCCATCGGTTTGCTGATAATGCTAAAGTAGTTGGGTGCTTCGCGAGGGTCCACCGGATTGAGAAAGGGCTCGGCAGTGTGGTGCGTTTTGATATCCCGCAAAGCCAGCTGCAGATTGTGAAGAAGATTTTTGACATGGGACGCTGCTGCGGAAGCTGCAAGCGCATCTGATGGTCGAAAGCCTGCGCGCACAATAGCAGGAACGGCAAGAGGAGAAGCCGCAGCAGCTGTAGCAGACCCGACCTGGCGCGTTTCTGTCAGCATTGCCACATGGCCGACGCCTGGATGGTAGCGGCGCTCGCGTTTGGCCTTTCCGGGTGACAAGGTGATCTCTGACTCGGTAACTGGGGCAAACGCGCCCGAAGCAACAAATTTCAGCCCTGGATGAACCACTTCCGAGCATGTGGCTGCTTGCACAATCGAAAGTAGGCGTTGGCGTTGACGTTCAACCATCCCACTGCAGTCGAGGTAGGACACAGCAGGGTAAAGCCTGCATTCCATCAGGTGCGCCCCTTGGTAGTCTTTGATGTAACCGACATACTTTGAACGGTCGATGGTGATGGAGCGAGAAAACCCCTGCTTCTCAAAGTACCCCACTGCGAACGTGTCTGCATACGTCAGCAAAAAACGAATGCCAATGTTGTGGTTGGGAGCGACGGCCATGGGAGTCGTGCCGGCGGTTGATGGCAAGGCTTGCGGTTCAGCTTGAGTTGTGGCAGTTGTGCTGCTGTTGAACGATCGCGATGAGCTGGAAGAAGGTGTCCGAATACGTGTGGCAGTCCCAGAAAACGCATTCAGCAGCAGCTTTGTCCTAGACGGTTTGCGTTGATTGGTGGTAGACGGTTGCTCAGACGAGCCTGAAGGGTCGCGCTGAAGAACTCGAGCGACTTGATTTTGTAATTCCTTCCGCTGCCGTAGCAGCAAGTCCTTCAGGTGGTTCATCATGTGCATTCCATAGCCCTTCACCTGCTCGTTCGAGGCTACTGCGCAGAAAACGACTTCGGCAAAGCCTTGAAGCTCAAACGGGCGGTAGCATATCCCGCCTGCCACCTTGTTCGCCTTGATGAGGAGCAGATTGCAATGCTTCCGATCAAAGACCAACCGGGTGATGTACTCTTTGGGCATTTCCTTTAGCTGCCGTGCAAACACGTTCTTCACGCCAGTCAGCCACAACGCATGCTGACTTGAGAGCGCGCTAGAGTTTGAGACGAGGTGAAACGAGATGATGCCTGCCATTCGAGCAATGGTACCAAAGAAACCAAACAATGCGGGAAAAGGCAAAGATCAGATTGCACAATCACCGACAGATTTGCAGTGAGTTTTGGGACGCGAAGCGTCTTTCGATCGGCTTACCGTCATTTTCTTCTTGACGCGCTCGTTGGTCGCGGGAAAACGCCGGTGCACTGGCAGCTCCGCCACTCGATGTTGAGGCAACAGCCACAGGGCCCAGCATTTGACTGGCATCTGTCGTAAATTGCGGGGTGGCTGGAGGCAAAAGTGTCGGTTCGAAGTCTCGCGAGGCCAGTCGCTCTCGTTTTGGAGAACCGTCAACCGGTGTTTCGGCTGCGCGTTTACGGTGCTTTGTGCCTATTGGCGCAGTTGGATCGGTCGAATCTGCATGGCTTGCTTGTGGATGAGCTGCTGGCACCATGGGCTGAAGAAGTGACGGAGTCGAAAAGCCTTTCACCCCCAATGCCTTTGACTCTGTGGCTTGAAGAGAGCGGGGCTGACTCGATTGCTGCAGTTTCAACGCTTGGAGATGTTCGGGGAATCTAGCATGCCAACAAATAGACTGCTTGTTGGTCAGTTCGGCTTGAAGCTGGGCAATAAAAATCGGGAAATAGCCTAACAAGCAAGGTGGAGGAAGGTGTCAGTTTGTTCCGAGCACCATCAGGTCAGCGTTTCAGAGCTGCAGCACAATCAAGTCAGCGTTTCAAAGCTGCAGTGCTGGCGTGAACGTACGAATGAGGGCAGGTTTGTGAACGAGCGTGCTTTGCACTTGTTTGGCGATTGTTGGAAAAATAAACCGCAAATAAGCAATGCCAAACACGTCACACGGCTTCGAGATCAGCTCGGGTGGAGGCCCAGGGTCTGTCGCCGGTTGCATTTCACGTTGAGCTGCTGAAGCTTTCTGAGCAGCGCGGAACACGCGCACTCGCTCGCAGTATCTGTGAAACTCGGCGGGGGTTCCCGCTCGTCCAGCATTCATCTCTATCAATGCGTCTTGCTTTGCAGTTGGATGTTCGGGATTCAGTGAGTTGACCAACTGCAGAAAGAGCTGCTGCGCGGCCACAAATCGGCGAACAAGCTCTTGTTTGCTGTCGACCGATGCGTCTGCGATCGGACCTCTTGCCATGGCTGAGGCACCAGTCGCAGCAGCAGTAGTAGCAGTAGTAGCAGTAGTAGTAGCACTAGATCCACTGCTTGTCGCATCAGCACCAACGGGTGGTTGTGGTGGAATTGTAATCTGGCCATTCTCAATCCGATGGACCAGAACGTAGAGAAAGTTCTTGACGCCCTGCAATATTGCAACAACCAAGGACGAGAGTGAGACAGCTGAGCATCAATGAATGACGATCAACGGGGAGTCCAGCAGTGAAGCACGAGCGATGGAAGTGTGAGAGTTTTGGCTGGAGCTGCATTGGGCTGCTGCACTGCCCTCAACCAGCACCACCACCACCACAGCCACACACGACCACGGATCTGGCAGAGAGGTGACAAGCATAACACCCAGGATCAGCTCTGACCTGAGCAATCGACGGCGTCTCGCCAGCGGAATCCGCCCCAACGGACGCTGCTGCTCTGGCGCTCGCCATCTGTTGCGTCTGTTGCGTTTGGCCAATGAAGCCAAACGAGCAAAGTAAGTGAGATGTGTGAGGTGGGGAAAAAACGACTGAAAAACAATAGTGATAGATACTGTGGGTGGAAGAACATCCGAAAGCGCTGGTTTCGAGTATGGTCGTGTATTGCTGCAGCTTTTTGGCGCCAAAAAGCAAAAGCAAAAAAAAAAGCCGAAACCGTGCATTCGCAGACCTTCATGGAGCAAACACCTTGTTTCTACACTCTGCAAACAACAATCATCAGCTGTGGAAAATGGAATACATTGAGGTGGGTGGGGGGTGGGGCAAACTATGGAATATGCTTGGGAGAGTACACGCGAACGGCGCGCGGCCAGACAGAAACGGTGATGGGCTGCGCGGGAATCACTTCGCCGTCAATCGCCATGTACCCTGGAGTGGATGGGAGAATGGTGAACGAGCGGCATTGGTAGTACCGCATGTGGCGGTGCATCACCACCGACCCATTGGTCATGCCATCCAAGGCCATTGCAATTTGAAAGCGGTTTTCGTCCTCAAAGACCACGGCATCGAGCAGACCATTGTGGCAGCGAGAAAACGGGGCCGCCAGAGCCTCGTCAGCAATGCATGGCGTGTTGCACACCATCACGTTGACAAACGGGCCTTCTAGCTCAACACGGGTTCCATTGTTCGAGTAGCGAGCCGTCAGAACGCCGCTTTGCACATAGCCGGGGTCTTGACTCTGGTTGTCTTGGTTGAGCGTACTCTGGTGCACTTTGAGACGGTCGGCAGGTGTCTTGAGGTAGTCGGGCTGCTCTGGAATGGCGCAAGGGTCGGGCGAAACCACCCCTTCAAACACGATTCGACCGTGTTGGATTCGTTTCATGCCAAGCAAGTACAGCGGGAGCAGTGTCCGCCGCAGCGGGCCCATCCAGCGCAGCTTGCCTTCGCCAAGATGGTCGAACTCGGCCAAAAATCCCCAAGCGACGCTCAAGAATCCGACGTTGCCCAAAGTGGACAAATCATCATGCGCGGTTTCGTCCAGCGGGCTCGGGCAGAACGGTTTAGCAGCCGTGTTGCTCGTGGAGTACTCTTCGTCCGTATCATTCGACGAGTGGTGGTGAGGGTGGTGGTGGTGGTGGGGAGGGATTTGCAACGATGTCCTGAACAAATCGAGCGGTGCGGTAAACCCGGCAAGCATTGCATCCACCACTTGCTCTGGAGTGGTGATTCCGAGACTTGCACAAAGCCCATTGCCAGAGCCAGCAGGAATAACGCCGATCGGAATTGTCAGTGGACTTGCGTTGGACGGCTGCTGAGCGGCGTTGTCGGTCTGTGGTGTGTGTTGTTGATTGGGGCCATGCGAATTTGTCGCTTGGTCGTCATCGTACTGCTGCACAATCCCGTTGATAACCTCATGGATGAGCCCGTCGCCACCAATGCACAGCAGCCCAGCGTCGTACCTGGTCCAGTCTGTCTCTCGTGCCAGCTCGAGCGCGTGGCCACGGTACTGCGTTTCAACGACCTCGACCTCGACGCCCGCAGCCACCAGGAACGGTAGGACGCGCGTGTTGCAAATGACTCGCCCCTGCCGCGCTCCGCCGATCGGATTCACCAGCACCATCAGGCGTTTCCCTGCCAGCGCTGACTTTGGTGGTGCCACACTCATGTTCCTCTTTGTCCCCCGTTGTTTGGCCTTGTGCAGTTTGAGGCTGCCGTGCGATTGTTGGGGGGGACCAATTTATAGGGAAGAGATAATTTATAAAACCTCCGCTGCTCCCTTCGCTGCAGTGATCTACCAGGATTGGTGGTCAGAAGCGTCGTGCTTGTCAGACTCGAGAGACGACGTTGAGTGGCTTTGAAACTGAGCAAACGGTCGTGTCGTGTGCTCGGCTGCGGAATGGAGAAACAGCACAGCCCGAAAAAAAAAAAAAAAAAAAAAAGAGTGGATTTTTCGATTATTTGATTTGTGCATAAACACGAGCCAAGGAACCAACCAGAATCACTTTCCTTACTTACGTCTCTCTTTCGTTCTCTCGCTCTCGTCTTTGCTCACGAGCTCACTCAGCCCAGTCCCTTGCAGTCTGACTCGTTCATTCATTCGTTCACACTCTGGCTCGTTCACCCACACTCACGCATTTCTCACTGACTCGCTTGGATTGTGCTTGATTGCTCGCTTTTTACTTTTCCCGAAATGGGTGCTGCAATCATGCGCAGTGGTTCAGTCACTAATACGCTTTGGATTGCCATCTATTCTCTGCGTTATGAACGGGAACAATCGGCTTTGTTGTGCTCGCGCGTGGTCTCGTTCGTGTTTGAATTCTCTCACTCGCTCTCTCGCTCTCCCGCATTTCGATTTTCGGTCTGTGTGGCGCTCCTCATTCGTCATGATTACAAGCGAGAGCAGCCGTACCCAAGTCCAAGCTCATCTCCTTTCTGGGGGCGAGTTACAGTCCAAACTGACAACGAAAAGACTGTTTTGTTGTTCATCGTGCGAGTTTTGCCGTTCACCCGACCTCCCGAGCTGTCCTTGTGCAACAATGAACTTGGATCCAATTTGGATCCAATTTGCTGACACTTTGGGTTTGAAAAGGGGGCCCCAAGTCAGCCTTTTGCCTCTAGACAGTTGTGCACGATCACTCAGTTTTCGCAAATTCCCAGCAAGCCACTGAAGCGAGTAATCGACACTTCCTCACTCTCTTCCACATTACACACGCACTCACTCACACACACACTGCGCTTTTCGCCTTCCACTCTTTGTTTTTTCTTCTTGGTTCTCTTTCTGTTTGAACAAATCTGGTATTCAGATTGTTCTCCAACAAACGCAATTTTCGACCAACTTTCACACATCCATCCACAAGACAAACAAAAGCTCGGTCTTTTTTGTTCGTTTTCTGTGCTTGTGTGAATGTCGGGGCGACGACCGCAGGCCAGCAACAGCGGCGGGGGAGGCGGTCGCGGCGGTGCGACTGCTGCAGCTGCGATGCCCAGCCGACTCGTCTCTGGCGGCCCATCGCACGCCTCCACCACCAGCAGCAGCACTGGTAGTCGCACTAGTAGAAATAGTGGTAGTAGTAGTAATGGTAGCAGTAGTATTAGCCACGGTGATGGCAGTATCAGCAGTAGCAATGCGAATAGTATGGCGCGTGCTTCACAAGTTCCGCGCGGCCGAATGATGATGCTGCCGCAAACAACCGACTCGACGTCCACGTCCACGTCCACTTCCACTTCCACCGCATCCGTCGCAGCTAGTCTGTCGCAGTTGTCGCTGTCGGACGGCGCCATCGCTGTTGCAAGCCCGACTGCAGCCACCGACAGTCCCCGCAAGCCGCTTCCCATTCCAACGACGCTCGCTTCCTCCTCCTCCAGTGCCAACGCAAACTCTGCCATCATGAATTCGTCAGTATCGTCGTCGTCGTCATCATCATCGTCGTCGTCGTCTTCTGTGGTTCCGGGCGCGGGTCCTGCGCAGAGTCGTGCCAATTCAACCGCAACCAGGACAAGTTCAAATCACGAATCAATCGTCGTTCGGCAGAGTCACATCACAGCGACAGCCGCTCCGACCCAGCGATCCAACAACACCGGATTGCCAGCCGCGACGATGGTACTACCACCATCATCATCATCATCATCATCGTCGTCGTCGTCGGGCGCTGGAGCTGGAGTGCTCAGCCCGTCCTCAAGAACCACTGCGGTTGAGCCAAACCGACGCGCTACCACAACTGGTGCTGCTGGTGCTACTGCTGCTGCTGCTGCCTCTGGGGCAATCCCAAGGTCAGGAACGCCGGTTCAAGCACCGAGCTCGGCACCAGCGGGTGTTGGAAGCAAGCTGGCCGCATCCTCCAATGTTCGTGCTTCAGTGGCTCCGACAAGAACGTTGCCAACACTCACGTCGGGAGGAGCACCAGGCAGCACGACTGCTGACAGCACATCGGGGTGCAGGGGTGAAAACCACCACACCTGCAGCAGCAATCTCTGGTGTGCCACGATCGCAGACAACCTCCGTCGCCGCCCGGCTGACGGCCAAACCTATGAGCCAGCCGACGGTTCTGCCAGCGCTGCCGCCTTCCCGCACGACTGGCCGCAGATTCACCTCGGCTGTAGACCACATCAATGACGCCGATCCAGCGGGCCATGGTGGCTCACGCAAGCAGCTCATCTCTGGCGGCAATACGAGCTTCAAACCGCGCTCCAAAACGATCGACTCGACTCCCACACCATCCTCGACAAGCTCACCAGTTAGCAACAGCACTCCCGTCAACGGAACTTCTGCCAATGGAACACCCGTCAACGGAACTCCTTACAGCAATACAACACCTGCCGAATCGCCAGTCACAACGCCAAGCTGGGCCAACAACGCGCCATCCGCCACGCAGATATTCACGGCCGCTCTGAGTTCTCCACAGGCGCAACTTCCGACGCAGACAGCTATCTCATCTCCGCAGTCTGCGTCGGCAATCAACGCCGAGGCAATTCATCCACCAGCTCGAAGAGTGCCTTCCGCGCCAGTGCAAACATCGGTCGCCTCCAAAGGAGCCGCACCATCCAAGCCGCTCCCGGGTCTCATTTCAGGAGGTGACCCCAGCACACGGCGGCCTCATGTTGCATTTTCGACAGAGCCGTCCAGCGCGAATGGCGCTTCGGTCAAGCCTGCAGCTGCGGCGGCAAACGACGCTATTGTGAGCTCGGGGCTCTCCCGAGTCGAGACGGACAACATTTACCGTCCAAGAACGCGCACTTTCAGCGCTTCCGATAACAAGCAAGAAAGTTCCTCACACGGTGATTCTGAAACTGTCATAGCTCCACCTCCGCGTAGCTATCGGCAGCGCGCAATGACCGCTGAATCTGCACCCGCGCCGCCTGCTTGGGTGATGAATTCGGCCAACTCGGCAGAGTCTGTGTTTGATGAGGATCTCAAAGGGCATGATTCTCCCAGCTCTCGCAAAGTTGCCTTCGCCGTTCCGTCGACCAATCCCTCAGCTCCCCCGCGACCACTGGCCAAATCTTTCAGTGTGGTGCCGCAGTCGGCGCCAGTTGTGCCACCCGCACTGCCTCCAAAACCCAAGATAATGCAGCGCTCAGCCTCCGCGGCCGCGGAGGACTTGTTGTCAGTGTCGGACGACTCGGCTGAGGCCAGTCCCACCAAGGTTTCCACTTCTGGCTTCTCGCTCGATCAACAAGCAGCGGCTCTTCGGCGCGCGAAAGCTGACTCGCAGTCTCAGGCATCGTCTCGCTCTGCTTCCTTCCGCAGTTTGCCTCCCGGCGCCTCGCTGAATCGACCGCCTGCGCCTCCACCACAGGATTCATCCCATGGCATTTCGCTGCCCCAGAATTTGCGCACTTCCCAACTCCCCGTCGCAAAACCGCAGCCAGCCCCTCGTCGTCCCCCACCAGCCATGTTGCCGTCCAGACCCAAGCGCCCGTTGCCCGTGCCAGGCACTGCGCCTCCTTCGCACCCTCTTCCTCCAGCCCCTACTGCCGCTCCTTCCAATCTTCCTCAGCCAGTGTCGGCTGCACACCAACCTTTGGCGAATCCACCAGCTCAGGCAACCTTCCACCCATCCTCTCATCCATCTTCACCGCCGTCGACAAACGGGCTTCACGCCCCGCGCTCGCGTGTGCAGCAGTATGCTGGAGACCAATTGTTTGATTTTGCGGTCGTGGTGGCGCTCCAGCCAGGTAACAATATGGTGTTATTTGTTTGAGATTGCTTTTTCCGTCTGCTGCTTCGAGGATTCTTTCATCACTCACGCGCGTTGCATGTCTCTGTCTCTGTTTGTTTTATCTTTTGATGTTGGCAGCTTCTGGATCAGACTCTTCCTCGTCCAATCGCTGCGGCTTGGTAGCCAAGATTGCGCGCCATATTCCGGATGACCTTGACGAATTGACTCGGTCACAAATTGGCGCGGTTCCGCAATTCTGCTTCCCTGACGTTGAAGAGTGGGATTATCGATCCTCATATGCGAGGTACAGACCAAGATTGTTGTGCGAGTGGTGTCTGTTTGAGGGATTTTCGGTCGTCTTTGCTCAGCATTCTTTTTTTTGCCTTTCTGGTTTGCATTCCCTACTTTAGCGAGACCTTTTCGTTTGTCCTGACGGATGGCGAAGGGCACAAGCGGTTTGCCTATTGCCGGCGACTGTTGCCGCCTGGAAACGGACCGAGGTTGGCTGAAGTCTACTGTCTCATTTCGCCAATAGGCTGCTTCTCCCTCTTTGAGGCTATTTTGAATGTAGTGGACGAGCGCCGACGTGTTTCACTCCAGTGAGTAGTTTTGCTTGGTTTGCATTTTGTTTGTTGCGCTTGTTTGTTGCGTTTGTTTCTTTTTGTTGCTTGCGTCGCAGGAGAGAACAACTAAACTCATTGTTTGATTTGTCACGTCGTTCTAGTGCGGTTGATGCATTCCTGCGCGTCGTCTCTACTGCTGCGTTTCCGCAGCCAGGACAGGCGCTTGTCATTACGACGGATAATGTCACTGGTGACGGCGAAGAAGAGTTTACCTTGTGTCCACCGGGTGACTTGGCCAGGCTGGAGCAAGTATGAACAGCAAAAAAAAAACGCGCATTTGCGTTGCTGTTAGACCGTGTTTTGCCTTTGTTTCTACTGCGCGGCATATTCGACTAACCCACCCGCACTTTGACGTTGCTAGGTCCACTACACTCCCTTGTTTGACGCTCTTGGAATCACGGGTGTGCTGCAAGTGTTTGCCGCCCTCACTCTTGAGCGTCGCGTGCTATTCTGCGCATCCAGCTTGACCACGCTTTCGGCCTGCGTGCATGCTGCGACGGCTCTTCTCTATCCGTTCAGTTGGCAGAACGTCTACATTCCTGTGCTGCCGCACGCACTGTTGGACTTTGTCTGCTCGCCCATGCCGTTTGTGATTGGCATTTTGTCGTCGTGCAAGCCGCTGCTGCAAACAATGCCCATGGAGTCGGAAGTGTTGATTGTCGACCTGGACTCTGGCAAGTTTTTAGCCCAAGTGGGCGATGAAACCCAACTCTTGCCGGCCAACCAGCTGGTGCTCTTGAAACGGCATCTCGTCAGTGCTCTTTCAACGGGCATCAAGGGGTCACCTTCAAATGCCCAGGAACGCGATCAGATGATTGGCAGTGCCTTCCTTCGCTTTTTCGTTGACGTGCTGCGCTCCTACCGTCGATGTCTGCGCAAGAAGGCCGACACCTTCATTTTTGATAAGCGCACTTTTCTATCGACTGCTCCCCGCACCGACGTTCCTGTGAGTGGGAACAGGTTCAAAAGCGGATTGATTTTATTCTTGCCGGTTCCTCATCGTTGTGCTGAATGTTGCGCTGAATGTTGTGCTGAATGTTGCGCTGAACAGTTCTTGACCCGCTTCCTCGAGTCGCAAATGTTCGACGTGTTTATTGCCGAGCGCGAGGACACAATTTCGGCGTTGGCTCTTTCTGACGGTACGGTTCTTCTCGTCGTATTGTTGGACATTTAGCGTTTCGATGCTAAACGTATTTCCTCTTTCCCTCTTGGATATCTCTGCTTGTCTCTCGTGATTTCAGGTGTCTTTGAGAAGCGGCTGTCGCAGATTGACGGTGCAGACTCAATCTTTGATGAGCACATCAAACAAATGCAAAGGTAACGTTGTGAATTGGTGATTTTGTGTGATTGCAATGCAACAAGCGCACCATCTCATTGGGACTTGTTGTTTATCGTGCCCCTCTCCATAGTGTTGCTCGAGCTCCGCTGAGCGATGTCCGGGGTCGACTGCAAACGCTGACTTCTCGAGTGAGCGTGCGACGCAAGTGAGCCAGCCATCCCTCGACCTCCGTTTTTCCCTCCTCTCATTTATACATTTTCTTTATCTTTTGGTTTTAATCTTTTAATACATGCACATAACCATTCGACTTGTTCTACAGTACTCGTTACGTTCGCAGGTCACTCTATTCTGCTTCACTTCACTTTCTTGCAAAAATGACGGAACCTCAACGCGTGGTCGCCGATCCAAACCGCAAACGGTTCACCGCGTCTGGCAAATCCGCGCCTGGTCCTGCTGCCGTGTCTGATCCTGCGGCGGCGGCTGACTTTGGCATTGACGATGTGGGCAGCATGGCTCCAGCAGCAGCGTCGGAGCAGTTTGCCGTTGTTCCGGTCGCCGGTGCTGCCACCACCACGACCACTGCTGCTGCTACTGCTGCTGCTGCTGCTGCTGCTACTGCTGCTGCTGGTGGTAGTGGTAGTGGTAGCAGTGGTAGTGGTGCTGCTGGACGAGCTTCAGGTTGGTCTCTCTCATCACACACGAGGACGCGTTGGCTGCGTGAGGGTCGAGAACGCGTCGGCTCGGCGCCCATTTGTTGCCAATGGGGTTTGGAGAACGGAATGAATGAGTCATATGTGCATCAACGAGTCTCACTTGTTGGGATCAGCCTAGCGGGAGAGCGAGATAGAGCGAGAGAAGCGAGAGAGAAACCGAGTTTGGCTCACTTTCGCACTGCTTTGTGCTCGTTGTAGCTGCTCGAGGTGCGCGCTTTGCCAACCAAGTCCCAGACGAGATTTTGAACAACGAGGCACTCAATGCGGCAATTCGAATGGTGAGGACTGCTTGTTGATCGTGTGCTGTTTTGTGAGACGGAACCAACGCCAGCAATCTCACACACGCACATGTGCGTATCCGATTCTGGATTTGATCGACACGACCTGAACAGTTGCCATCAAATTACAATTTCGAGCTGCACAAGACAGTGTGGCGTGTTCAGACAGCCGGGTGCAAACGAGGTTTGTTCGTACTTTGATTCACACGCTGGTTTTGCGATGATGTGCTTTTGTTGTTCTCAATTTTGCGAGCTGCTTCCGTTGTGCAGTTGCTCTGCAGTTCCCAGAAGGCTTGCTGATGTTTGCTTGCGCGATTTCTGACATTTTGGAAAAGTACGAACGAGACCATGGCCGACCAGCGAAAACTTGTTGTTCGTTGTGCAACTAACTAACTTTGTGGCTGAACCCCCTTGTTTCTTGCAGGTTTGCCAACGTTGAGACGTTGATTATGGGTGATGTCACGTACGGAGCATGCTGTGTTGATGATTATACCGCTACAGCGCTCGGAGCAGACTTTCTGGTTCATTACGGTCATAGCTGTCTTGGTAAGGTTTGACTGTTTGTCGCTTTGTGTCGTTGTTGCTTTCGTAGCGGATCGTGTCATCCTCTTTGGGAGTTTGCTGTTGCTCATTATCTGTGTTTCTGATCCCTTGACACCTGATTTTACAGTGCCCATCGACTCGACAAAATTGAAAATGCTCTACGTCTTTGTCGACATCAAGATTGACACTCAACATCTCATTGAGACGCTCAAGTTTAACTTTGAAGCTGGATCTCGTCTTGCGTTCGTCAGCACCATTCAGTTTGCGACGGCCCTGCAGGTAAGGGGGAGTTTTTGCGTGGTCCGGAACCAATCAGGGTTGTTGTTTTCTTCTTTTTTTTTCGTTTTTTTTTTCTTTTTGGTTTGAGGAACAATGGTCTCATGCGCTTTACGTTCTCTGTATTCAGGCTGCTCAAGCTGGGTTGACCGACCATTTCAAGGTTGAGATTCCCCAAGCAAAGCCGCTGTCTCCAGGCGAAATTCTTGGCTGCACTTCGCCCAAGCTTGTCGATAAGGACGCTCTAGTGTGAGTTGACTATTGTTGGAATCATGTTGTCGAAGCATGTTGTCGAGCTTGTCAAAGGGGGGTTTTGTGTATCCTGAGCTTGTTATTGACGTATTGTAGGTATATTGGCGATGGTCGGTTCCATCTTGAGTCTGCCATGATCTCCAATCCCACCGTTCCAGCCTATCGGTATGTGCTCTGCTGCTTCCTTTTGGTTTGGGATGGCATCGTTCCTTTGTTTGCTCATTGGTGATTGTCACGCTGAAAAAAAAAGTTACGATCCATACTCGAAAGTTTTCTCGCGCGAGTACTACGACATTGAAGCCACACATCGGGCCCGGAAAGCAGCCATTGCGTCTGCCACCAAAGCGCAGAAATTTGGTTTGATTCTCGGCACCCTTGGGCGTCAGGGCAATACCAAAGTCATGGAGGTAAATTAGGCGCCGTGTTTTGTGTGGCTTGGTCTTGTTCGTTTGACCTGACTGGTCGTGATCCGTCGCGCCTCCCCCCCCCCGCCCTCCTGTCGTTTTTGCTTTTTTGCGGGTTCTGTTCTGGTTTGTAGAACCTGCAGCAGCGATTAGAAGAGGCGAAAATCGAAACCACCACGGTTTTGTTGTCTGAAATTTTCCCAAGCAAACTGGCCATGTTTGAAGATATTGATGCGTGAGTGCCTCCTTTCGGCCCGTTGTTGCAGTGCTTCGATGTGAGGGATGGCTGTGTGCTCAATCTGCTTGACCTTTTGGCATTCAGGTGGGTCCAAATCGCTTGTCCACGCCTATCCATCGATTGGGGCTCTGCCTTCTCCCGACCATTGTTGACACCGTATGAAACCAATGTCGCTCTGCAAAAGGTTGCATGGCAAGAGGTCTATCCCATGGATTTCTATGCGCGCGATGCACTCGGTCCTTGGACACCCAACCATCCCGATACCGCGCCAGGCAATCAACCCAAGCCTCGAGCTGCACGTAGCACCGCTGCGGCTGCAACTAAGGCGGACACTGCTAATACCAGCGCGGCGACTCCGGCTGCGTCCAGCGCGCCGAGCGAGCCCAAACAGTGAAAGTTTTGAAAACATCGTGTATTGTGCCTCGAATACACTGTGTTTGATCGTTGATTTTGTGTTTTATGTCCATGGTAGTGTTGTGTGTTGTTGGTCAATGGTGTTGGAAAGGCGAAAGTAGGGGTATTCAGCTGGTTTTCGATTGTCAACAAACATTTTTCCATGGTGGGCTAAAGTCGGCTGTTACCTGGTGCTTTGGCTGAACAGGCAACTCGTTGAACGAATCAACATCACTAAAACGACCAACACAAGCAGATATGCGATACAATTATCACTGTGCTTTATCACTGTGCTTTATTTTAGTCAAGGAACAGAGCCACGAGAACGGCTGTGCTGTCGTAGCTGGCGCTCTTCCGGCAACCACTGCATTTTACGCGTTGTGTTCCTCCCCTATCCTCCCAAAGTAACATGTACAAGTTCAGAATTATATTTACGATTAATCACAAATGAAGGAGAGAGATTTATTCGGGAATGTTCTAGCTGTGCGATGATGCAAAAAGCAGTGTTTGACGGGAAATTTTCAGTTTCGCAAAACGAACGTCTTTGCTCTCTTTCTCTTCGTCACACCATGGCGCACCCCTCCCAAAAAAAAAAAAACAAACAAAAAACCATGATTGCAGTATACAGCGAACGAGGCGTGTTGCATGGTTTGATGATGAAGGGTGGGTTGAAGCAAAAATCGAGCAAAAAAAAAAAAAGCAAAAAACAGCAAAAAAAAGTAAAAAAAACCAAAAAAAGAAACGACTGCGACGAGACTCGAACTCGTGCGCCCTTGCGGGCATCAACTTAGCAGGCTGACCTCGTAACCACTTGAGTACGCATCATCTTGCGTGGGCATTCCAGACCATGAAGCAAGTATCACGGGAGTGCTTTTGCTGTTGGACGATCACGACCCGCTGACTTGGGACTCGACCGCTCCAGAGCTTGCCTTTACGGTCAGCACGATAAAATCACAGAGACTGCCACGATCGCGAGGGTGCGCAAGCCACGCCAGATCGCGCCCCCGATCGGCCTGAAACAACGTTCGTGCACCAGTGCAACTGCGTTGGAATGGCGGACAACATTGTTCATTGAGTGAATCTACAAGAACGCGGGCAATCGGAGAGCCTGTGACGGCACATCAGATGCGGGATTTTCTGTCAACACAACTTTCACTTCTCTTCACTGACCCTGCACTTGCACTTGGATGTGTAAAGTTTTTTTTTTTTACAATTTCATGCATTGCGATAAAGTCAAACACGGAACAAATGTCAAAGAATAAGCAAAAAAGGGTGTTCTAAAGCTTGGCCTTGGCACCCTGGAGAACCTTGTCGAGCTTGGTGGCAAGAGTGACGTTGCCCTTGACCTTGAGCTTTCCAGACATGAATGCCTGCACAATAGCACACAAGCAGCGCATGTGAGTGCAAAATCCGCGACAAATTGATTAAAAAAAGCCAACAAACCGGCAATGAGCCATCATCAAAACTCGCCGCCTCCCCAGATACGCACCTTTTGAGGATTGATCGTGCCAGCAACAAGGGCCGCAAAGTCTTCGTCGGAGACGGTAATGGTGCAGCCGGGCGCGGCGGCGGCGGCCTTGGTGACGGAACCGGCGCCGTTCTTGAGGTCGATCGTCCATTGCGCAGCGTCCTTGCCACCCTTGGTGATGTTGAACTGGTACACAACGTTGACTTGCTGGACGAGTGCGGGCGTGGCGGCGACACGGCGACCAATTTCGGCAAAGAGGGCGTCGGAGACCAAGCCGGCGGACGAGGATCCAGCAGATGCAGCAGGAGCAGCAGGAGCAGCGCCAGACTGGGCAGCGGCAATCGCAGCAGCGGCTTCCTTGGCGTACTGCTTGAAGATGCCCTCGAGCTTGGTGGCGAGCATAATGTTGCCCTTGACCTTGAGCTTGCCACTCATGAAGGCCTTCTGAGCCTGGAGCTTGCCCGAGCCGAGCGCAACAAAGTCGTCGTCGGACAGCGTCACGGTGCAGTTGGGCGCAGTTGCAGCACCCTTCGACACGGAGCCAGCGCCCGTCTTGAGATCGACCGTCCACTGGGCGACCTCCTTGCCGTCCTTGGTAATGTTGAACTGGAAGATCGAGTTGACCTTCTTGACGACGTCGGGGTTTTCGGGGATGCGGCGCGCAAGCTCGTTCATGAGCACCTCCGAGAGCAGACCCGAAGCGGTCGGGGCAGCGGACAGGCTGCGAGGGCAGGCGTTTGCGGCGCCACGATGAGCAAATGCGTTCGGGCACAGCTCAATGTACGAGTTGGAAAGAACAAGCTCATTTCGCTCGACAGCCTTGCACTGGAACAGCACACGGTTGCCCTCGCGCCACATCTCCGTCTGGATGGTCTCGCCCGGGTACACGGGCTTGGCGAAACGCACACGAATGTTCTTAAAGTACTTGGGGTCGTTCTGGGCAAAGTGCTTGAGAACATGGCGCGCAGCGTAGCCAAAGGAGCAGAGGCCGTGCAGAATCGGCACCTCAAATCCGGCCATGCCGGCCATCTGAGGGTCGATGTGGATGGGGTTGAGGTCTCCGCTCAGGCGGTAGAGCGCAGCCTGCTTGGGCAAAGTGGCCTCGCGCTCAATGGCGTCCGGCTTGCGCGATGGCACGGCAGCCTGTGCGTCGCCCTTGATCGCCGCAGAGGTCTTGGCGCCGCCAAAGCCGCCGAGCCCGCGGATGAAGAGCGAGAACTGGTTGAAGAGAATGGGCTGACCCGATTGATCGGTCGTGTCGACTGAAGTTGGAGCAAGTCACACACACACACGCACACACAAAACAAACAGGTGAGCTAGCATGTCGCCAAACATACTTTGCAGCCAAAACCACCAAAGAAACTCTCTCGCTCACCATCAATCAACAGAAGGGCTCCCTTGCCCTTGTCCAGGATCTCCGAGACACGAGCATTGGAGATGAGCGTGCCAGAGGTCGGGATGGGGGCCTTGACCTCAAGATACTGCTCACCGTGGAGGAGCTGAGTCAGGTTGAACTCAAAGCCGGGAATGCCTGCAAGAACCTGGCCAAGCGCCGCCTGAGCGGGGATGACGCCGAACGTGGGGAGGACTGCAAAGCCGTCCGCGCTCTCGTAGAGGAACTTGAGGTCCGAGTCGGTGCGTTCGGCACCAATACCAAGAGCGTACAGGATGACGTCGCGATCAGTGTACGCAAACGTATCTTGCGTGAACTTGTGGGCCTTGGCAGCGTTGACGTCCACGGCACCCGACGAGCTCGCAGCGTCAGAGCCGAGCTTGCGCTTCTCAAGGTGCGACATGATTGTGTTCATCGACTCGGTGATGCTGGTCGGGTAGTCAAACTGGTTAAAGTCAGTAATCTGGCCCCACTTGTCGCGGATGTTCTCGATGGTCATGCTGCCCTCGATGACGGCACCGCGAGTGCGCTGCCACCTCACTGTACAAGAGAGAGAGAGAGAGAGAGAGAGAGAGAGAGAGAGAGAGAGAGAGAGAGAGAGAGAGAGAGAGAGAGAGAGAGAGAGAGAGAGAGAGAGAGAGAGAGAGAGAGAGAGAGAGAGAGAGAGAGAGAGAGAGAGAGAGAGAGAGAGAGAAAAAAAAAAGAAAGGGTGAATGTGAGGACGTTGCAATCGACATTTTTCGACAAACTTTGAACGACTACGTACGCTTAGAAACCCAGCCGGCGCCAAGCTCAAACAGGCCACCGTTGTCGACGCAAGAGTCGTGGCAGAGATAGGCAACGACGGGGGCAACAAACTCGGGGGTGAGAGCTTTGACGAGCTCCTCGGGGAAGACAGTCTCAGTGAGGCGGGAGCCCGCGACGGGAGCAATCGTGTTGCAGTAAATGTTGTACTTGGCGCCTTCAATGGCAAGCGTGTTGCTCAGACCAAGCAGACCAAGCTTGGCCGCAGAGTAGTTGGCCTGGCCAAAGTTGCCATAGATGCCGGCAGCCGAGGCAGTCATGATGATGCGGCCAAAGCCAGACTTGCGCAGGTGAGGCCAAGCAGCGCGGGTGACCATGAACGAGCCACGAAGGTGCACGCGATGGATGAGGTCTGCGAGTGAAAAAAAAAAAAAAAAGCAGGAATGTGAGGAAGCAATGCAATACCACCCACACCACACATATACACGCATCATCGTAGCAGCTCTGCGCACCCCAATCTTGATCGCTGATGCGGGTGAAGGTCTTGTCACGCAGAATACCGGCATTATTGATCACAATGTCCAGGCGACCAAACGCATCAATGGCAGTTTGCACGACCTTCTCGCCGTCCTCGACCGAGTTGTAGTTTGCAACAGCCTGTGTTCAAGAGTAGTAGCAGCAATCCACCAAAGTGAGCACTTTGAACCTTCTGATTTCGCAAAGCCCCTCTCTGCTCGCTGTGGGTGTTACCTTGCCACCTTTGGCTTTGATCTCTGCGACGACAGCGTCGGCAGCGCTTGAGCTCTGGCCCTCGCCGCGTGCCGTGCCACCCAGATCGTTGACCACGACAGCCGCTCCGCGTTCTGCAAGCAAGAGTGCGTACGCGCGACCAAGGCCTAACCCATTCAAGCAACGACCACGAAAACAAACGTCAGGCCATCAAATACAATACAATACAATATAAAAGCGCATAGTAAAATGTCGAGTTGGGGGGTGGATGAGTGATGTGTTGGGGGGAAAGCTTGAATGATGACTTGCTTGAGTCAGGATCGGAACGGAACTGCAAAGTCGGAAACAGAGAGAAACGAACAGCTCATCACAGCTCAACAACGATTCACTGCGGGCAACCTCCTCTCTCTCTCTCTCTCTTCCACTTCGATGGACATGAGTGCATCTCCAGTCTGAATGTCAATGTCGCAAGTGAATGTGCACTTGTTGGGGGGGCAATGAAAGCCAACAAAAGGAAAAAAAAAAAGAAAAAAAGAAAGGAGAAAAATGACCAAAGCGCGTGTTTTGTCGACAAAAGCAAAAGCTCAGCGAGAGTGAGAGGGAGAGAGGGAGAGAAGAAGAGAGAGTGAGAGTGAGTGAGTTGAGTGAGTTGAAGGAGGAGCACTGAGACAGAGAGACAGAGAGAGCGAGGCTGATGGAAGAGACAAAAAGCAAAAAAACACGGGATTTTACGGAATCGGCTGATTTCAGATTAGCCGCCGGTTGTTGACGTTTGTCACCAAAATGCACACACACACAAAGGTCACAAAGCACACCTCACTCACACAAGAGTACACACACACACACACACTCAGTCCATCAACAGCATCAATGCAAGAACAGGGGGGGGGAAAAGAGTTGGAAGAGCGAAGGTGGGATTGAAGCGCTTTACCGCCGCCTGCGCCAGTGACCAGCGCGACACGTCCATCAAAGCGAACCTGCGACATTGTGTTTTTGTGATTGAAGACAAATAGGTAAAATAAAAAGAGTGAGATTTGAATTCAATACTACAGTCAATCACAGCACAAAAGTACTGCAATGAATAGAATCACAAAGGAAACAAACGGGCCAGGTTGAATGGAGAAGATTCGCTCTGAGATTTCCATTGCTTCTCCTCATCCGCCTGCCTCCTGTTCCTCCTCCTCTTCTCAAGCAACATTCTCTCTCTCTCTCTCATTTATATCAGTCGTTGCTTTGTACCAGATTCATCACTGGTACAAACCAATCGAGTCGAAATCCAGTCGTTCTTTTAGGATTGTTTGAATGGAGGCCTTTGCTGCTGGACTGGTTGCCAATCTGATTGCTGCGACGCTGCAGACTGACATTGGTCGCATCACTGCCGAGCGCGCGTCCATCACGACTACTTCTACTACTACTACTACGAGTGCTGGTGCTGGAGATGCGGTGGCCGGGAGCTCTGACGCGGTGCTCGGCGCAATGGTCGGCGGGCTCATTGCAGCGGTGGTCGCTGCGTCCGGACACGCCGCAGCCGCCGCGGTCGAGCCGTCGCTGCTGGCAGTGCAGTTCAGCTCGCAAGAGCAGCGCGCAGAGCACCTGGACAAGCTGGCGGGGTCGCTGCTGGACTCGCTGGTCGACGAGGTTGTTGACGAGCGCTGCGCGGCCTTCCTCAGCAGCACAGCCGCCTTCACGCAGCCCGAGACGCGCGACCACGAGCTCGAGCGCTACTGCAGCGGCTGCATCAACGACTTGATTGACGATGTCATTGCAGACGCCGCAGAGGAGGCAGCAGCAGAGTACGACGACGATCTTGACGACGACGCCGACGCTCTTCCTGCGCCAGTCATTGACGCGTTCGCGAATGCATATGTTCGCTCCATGCTGGACGACATTATTGGCGGGACGCAGTACTTGTCACCCTCGCCGCAAGGGCGGGCGATTCTGGCGCGCTTTTCGGCCACCACCACCGCTCCAGCCCAATCGTCGTTGGCGAACGGCAACGCTGTCTCTGCTCCTTCGTCAAGCTGCGCTCCTTCCGCGTCTGACACGGCAGTACTGCGTGGACGAAAGCGAGGCATTTCCCACTCCATCCGGAAGCGCATGGCCGATTCGCAAGTCGCCGCGTTCGCGAATGACTACATCCTTGCGCTCATGTGCGATGTGACACCGCTCGTCTGCGATATGATGGCAACCCACCAACTACCACGATCGCTCGTCGACAAGGTCACGCCGTCCACGTTAATTCAGGCCGGCACGATTGAGGCTCCCGTCCCTTCCTTGCACTTGGAAGTCAACGATTCGAGAGCCTCTGATGTGTAGAGGCGAGTTCAGCTTGAGGGTTGTCAACAATAGTCCGCAGTCAACGCTGTGCGCCATGAATGAGAATGACATGTACTGTTGCTCGAAATGTGTAGTTGAGTTTGCTTTTTTTTTTCTGTCTCGTTGAATGTACCGTTCTCGTTGCTCTCGTTGAGTTCTGAAGCTAAGGTGCTATAGTAGACAGAAAAAAAAGTGCAGCATCAATGATGTCGACAAACTTCTTGAGGCGATTTTTGGGTTTTCAAGAGAGACGAATTTATTCTAAAACGGCAGAAGCCGCAGCACAACCACAAGTCCCATTAGTAAAACAAACAGGAAGAACGGCGACAAAATGCCCCAGACAGGCCAGATCGCAATCGATAGTCTGCAAGAACGAACAAAGCAGCAGATTCACAAACGCAGAAGTGAAACGCAAAAAAAATGAGCCAATGGACACGGACCAGCAACTCCACCAGCAACTCAACCGTCTCTTTGTCCTCACAGAACTGCAGCAAGAACGCCACACGCAGTGATGATAGGAATGGCGTACGGCGCTTCCACCTCCCACGCAGCTTGGCTTTTTCGAATCCATCGCAGGTACACGACGAGGTAGAGAGAAATCAGCACATTGACACCCATCAACGCGAGTCCGAAATGCAGGTAAGATCTACACACACAAACAATCACCACCATCACCATCGTACAAAAACCAAAGTGAGCGATGACCCATACGACAGGATTTTTCGCTTGGCAATGCGAATCCAGTCAAAAACAACAACAACAACAACAATACCTGCGAATGCGCGAGTCAAACATGATGACTTCAGGAAAGTTTGTAAACCGGTAGATGAGCAACGCGAGGCCAAACCAGACGACGCCTTCAATGGTGGGATGACCGGGCGACGCAGGCGGCAGCGCACCAAGCGGGTCGTGTCGGCGATGCGACGGCTCTACCAACCAAACATTTGCACGAATATCACATTGCACACGCATCACATTTTCCAATGAGTCGCATCCAACGGCGATAGTGAGTCAGAGCGAAGGCTGGAGTCTCCCTTTTGTGTATTGAGTGAGATTAGCATTGAGAGTTGGTCAACCCCCCGGTCTCCAGCAACTCCACTTCCCTGACACTCAATCTGGCTTCCATACCGCGGAGTGAGACTGGGTTGGCATGGGAGTGGCCGTGGCCGTGGCTGTGGCTGTGGCCGTGGTTGCTGTCATCGTCATTCTGCAGCAGCCGCTCAGTCGACTCGTCCAAGTCACCAGCGCGGCGTCTGCGTTCCGTCATCTTTGTAAGTTACGAGGAGTGATTCGATAGAATAACAATAAACGCAAAAACGAATTGAAAAAAAGCAACTGGATTTGTTTCCATCTCCAAAGAATGACGAGAACTTTTGTGGACAACCTCCTTTAGAAATGTGGATAAACTGCTTTCGATGACAGTACTGGATCAACCGCACTGAAACGTTAACACTACAACAGCAACAGCAACAACAAACCTCATCAATCGTCAAAGGTAATCTTGGTGCCTTGGAAGGCACCAAAGGCGGCTTGCTCTTGCTCTTTGCGCTTGCGACTGGCCTCCCACGATGGATGGGACGCGACGGCATCCTGCTGTGCCGAGTGGGCAGCAGCCTTGGCTGGTGGCGCAGCTTTGCCAGACGCACCTTTGCCGCCGGGTGCGAGGCCTGCACGGCGCTCCGATCGTCGGTTTGCCGACTTTGGAGTGGTGCCCTTCCCGCTGAACTTGGTCTTGCCCATCGATTTGGGAGGTGCAGCCTTGGTGGCTGGACGCTCTCCCGTCCGACGGAATTCCGCCTGTTCTCGTCGCTTTTGCTTGAAAAACTCTTGCTTTTCCTTCTTTTCCTTCTCCTTCTCCTTATCACGCTTTGGCGCAGTCTCCGCTTTGATGGCTTTGCGCATGGCCAAGTAGCGCTCGGCGCGCCGTTTCGATTCCTGGCTATTGTCGTCATCGTCGTCGTCAATATCCATATCTTCGACGTCGTCGTCGTCGTCGTCGCTGCTGCCAGCAATCATATGGTCGTGGCGGTCATCCACCTCGTCATCCTCGTCATCCTCATCATCATCCTCATGGTCGTCACCGTCTTCGTCAGACTCTTCGCCGTCAGCGCTCGCACGCAGCGAGGAAACAAAGAATGAGCTGCCGGGAGTGGGCGCTGCTCCGCCCGCTGGCTTCTTCTGGTTCTTCTTCTTGTCCTTGGCCGCCGTCTTGGCAGCTGCCTTGGCGTCCTGTGGCTTGGGTGCTGGGGCTGGAGGCTTCTCGCCACGGAATTTGCCCAAGAAGGCGACAACGCTCTTGTAGCCGAGAATCTGAGACTCTGCCTTAGCGGCGGTCGGCGTGCCGGCTCCTTCGCCCACCAGCTTGACCAGCTTTGAGTGCGGCAAGATGCCACTGCCGTCTTCCGGTTGCTGTCTTGGGACGGCCGTTAGCAGCACGGTGTTGACGCGAGCAGCAAGCGCATCCGGCTTGACTGCCTTGGCAGCGTGGATGAGCTCCAGATCGCGCTGCTGCTGCTGTTGCTCCTGCTTCTGCGGCGCAGCTTGCTTGGCTTGAGGCGGCGGCTGCGACTGAGCCCGTGTGAGTCGCTGGAGCACGGCCGTCTTGGCGCGCTTGATCTCGCGCTGCAGGTGGACGACCTCATGGTGCAGCATGGTGGGCGTCATCCGCTTCGACGCCGCAGCCACTTCCTGCTCCTCCTCCGCTGCCCCGCCGGTGCCCTCGAGGCCCTCTGCGTCTGCATCCGACGAGCTGGTTGCCGTGTTGTGTGTCGGTGCCTTGCCTGGCTTGGTCTTGCTGCGTTGATCCTCGTCCTCGTCCTCGTCCTCGCTCTCGTCCTGCTGCATGGTCGCCTCGCGGTGCTTCTGGCGCAGTGCTTCCTTGCGTTCGCGCACAATGCGCAATTGCACCATGCGTGTCTGATGCTGCCTCAGTCGCAGCAGCTCGGTCGGCGTCACTGCGCTCGCGGAGCCCTTCTTCTTCTTGCTGCTGCTGCTGCTGCTCTTTGGCGGCATCTTCGAGCCAACAAACAATGAATGATGGTGATGAGAATGACCAAATTGAAAAAGAGTGATTTTTTTGTCTGTCTGAGAATATTGAAAAATGCTGAACAATCTCAGTTTTGTTTTTCCGGTTTTTCCAAACCTTTCTTTTTTATTACTGTTATTTTGCATTTTAACACGCTTTTCTTACTCTCTTCCTACTCTTTTTCATCACTTTCCCTACCTTTTCCTTGCCTTTTGACTTTTTGTTTGCAATGGCCGCCGTTGATGTGGTTGGACGGCTTGTTGCGACTGCGCTTCAGCCGCTGCTCCTGAGCGCAACCCAACCATCATCCTCATCAGCATCAGCATCAGTCACGGCGCAGGAGAAGCTCTGGGACGTGCTCAGCTCGACCGCTCGACCAGCGGCAGTGCGATGCCCAGCACAGCAACAACCAGCGACGACGACGACGACGACGACGACCGCTCACTCAGCCAACATTAGTAGTGCTACCAGCAACAACAGTAGTGGCAACAGCAGCAGTAGCTCGGCGAACGCGCTGCGGATGATGATGATGATGAACGGTCCGCTGCTGCCAACCAAAGCGTAATGCTCTGATCAACCATCAGTTTTCAATGGAAAGGCAGTCAACTCACGACGACGACGACGTTTGTTGTTGCTATGATGTGTGCGATTGGTCCTGTTTTGTTGTTTGTGCTTGTGGTGGAATGGCAGGGGCGACGATCTGCTTTCCGACGAGCCAGTGCAAGACGTTGTCGCTGCTGCTGCGGCTGCTGCTGGTGCTGCTCCGACGACCACCCAAACAGCTGCTGCGTTGGACGATACAAATTCATCCAAGAAGCGCCTGTGGGACGTCGTCACGTCAGGCGAAATCAAGCGAGCAAAGCAATGGCGGGGCGCACCCGGCGAACGAGCGCTCTTTTTGGCGTTGAAGATGGATCCGAACACGGTAAAACGTTTGCTGCAAGAACAAGCTGAGAGCATTTGGGGGAAAAAGCTGGAAGCGATTGTGACTCATCGACCCAAGTTACTTCCGGCATGCGGCAGGTTCCATTACCAGTTGTGCAGAAGATTGACATGGGAACGGTGAGTTGTTTGACATTTTTGTGTCCGGTTTCGAGCGCCATCGAAATCGCACGTCTCACATTTCAACACCTCCTTTCGACTACAGCACCAAAAGCATCACTCCAAGACCGGTTCTACTGCCACTGCTGCCGCAGCAGCCTCAGCAGTGAGTGACAACAGCAGCGGTTGCCAAATCATTTGTGACCAAAAGTCGCCACGCTCACTCAATTCTGTTTTTTTTCCCCTTCTAATCTTGCCAGACGTTCGATCTTCAAGATGATTTTGGATTCTTTGGGGGTTCTGCTGGTAAGAACAACAAAAAACCAACTTGAGAACTTGAGAACTTGTGCAATGTCTGCCTTCGCTCATTTTTTGTGCTTTCCTCCCCCCTCCACCTTCCCCAAACAGCTGCCGATGCTCCCCAGTCCAACGCTCGACCCAGTGTTCCGTCTGGTGGACTGTTGGACTTTTCCTTGTTCGACGAACCAGCAGCTCCAAGCGTTAGTGCGACGGCCGGACGATCACTTCACCGGCCTCCTTCCAGCGCGCCGCAACCATCGTCGCTCGCGTTGCTGGATGACGAATTCCTAGGTTTTTCTTCGGCCTCTGTTCCGCCTGCTCACCCGAGCGCAGGAACCCTAGTCGATCCTGCCAAGGCGTCGGTTCTAGCCAGCTTGCCAGCGTCGTTCCTGGGTGCAACAATTCCATCAAGCGCGGCTGCTCCGCCTCTCAGCGATCAAGCCAAACGTTTGCTAAGTGGATTGCCCGATTATTCTTATATGCATTCGCACGTCCTCATGTTTCCCACGAGAGATGTCCAGAACAGTATGATTTTGTGACGAAAATTGCGCTAAAGCTCATTTCATGTTGTAAAGATTACGCTGTCAGTTCTAGAAATTATCGCTACCAGCTCTTCACTAAGCATGTATTGAAAAAGTAAACTGAGAAAGTCAAAAGTATAATACAGTTCTAAGGGAAAGATGGTGGTGTGTTGATCCGGAGGTTTTTTTTTTTTTTTTTTTTTTTGTTTTTTCCCTTTTCCGACATTTTTTGTCCAATTAAACGGCGCTTTCCGAATCTCCACCCTCGGGAACATGGACGAGCAGTGGGGCATGCCGCAGCTGCTCTTGCTCGGCCTGAAGCATTTGAAGAGACTTGCGGCGGCCAAAGCCACTGATTTCCGTAAAGGCACTGAGGTTTGACGGATCGCCGCCTTGACGACGGTTGCTCTCCATTACCTGAATCACGACATCCGGGAAAGAAAGCTGAACGTGGTCAGCAGCGCTGCCATGCTCGGCAACTGATGCATCTGCTACCGGGCTGGCCTCGTGCACAGCAAGTCGAGACCCGAAAGAGACATGGCCAGCAGCAACGTCACCCACTGTTTTGCGACGCGGTGGCAGCTCGGCGTAGCCCTCATTCTCGTCAAACGCCTCGGACTCGTCACTGCCGGAGAGGCAGAGCGGTTCTGAGAACAAGTCACGGGAACTCTGGGAGCCCAAGAGGGACAAGGGGCGAGGCGCTCGCAGCCGGCCGGTCGCAGTCACAGCAGCCATGATGCGGCGACGAACAGCTCGCCGACGAAGCTCGTCGGGCTTTGCGCTCGGCGAGCTCGCATGAAGCGCAAAGGCACCTTCTCCGGCAGCGCCAGAGCTGACGGAAGCCTTCGGCGAGCCAGGAGACGACGACGGCGGCGACTGGGTCTTGTTGTTGTTGTTGTTGTTGTTGTTGGTGTGGCCACCGTCTGCGCTCGGCAGGGGTTGGGCAGAGCCGTGCGACCCGCCAAAGGATTGCATTCGAAGCAACGCTCCCTTCACTCCTCCAGTGGCAATCAGTCTGCGCCGCAAGTCCGAGCTCGCAAGCTGAGCCCACTTGGATGTGGGTGGGCGCGGCCCAAACACCTTCTTGCCCTTGACGCCCAGCAAAAAGTACGTGACGCAGTCGCCAATGCCTTTGATGTACCTCGATTCGCGCACTTGAAACTCAAACGAGTCCTTGAGAATATGGTATGTGGCCTCGCTCACGCAAATCTTGCCCGGTTCGCCGTTGCTTTCCATGCGGCTGGCAGTGTTGACCGTATCGCCCCACAAGTCGTAGGCAAACTTGCGCGTTCCGACAACACCGGCAATCACGGGGCCCGTGTGAATGCCAATACGCATTTGCAGTGGCGTGCCATTGATGCCCATGATCTCCATTCGCTGGACATTGAGTGCGAACAAGGCAACGCGCTGGACGTGATTCGGGTAGTAGGTGGGGCATCCGCAGCATGCCATATCTGCAACACAAAGTTGTCACACAAGTTTGTTGTTAGTGTCAGCGCAGAAAACAGCTCTCAGGAAAAAAAAAAACAAAACAAAACAAAAAAAAAAAAACTCCCCTGCTCTCGAAAACGTTGAACTTGACCTTCCCCGAATCACAAAACCCCCCATCTACGCAGAAGCGCCGCCTGCCAACAACTTACACGCATCACCGATGGTCTTGATCTTTTCCAGCTTGTGCTCATCGGCAAGCTTGTCCATCATGGTAAAGAGCTGGTTGAGCATGCTGACAACATCAGCAGGCGACGCGCTATGCGACATGGCGCTAAAGCCCACAATATCCGAGAAAAACACGGTCGCCTCTGGGTGCAAATCGCCGATAAAGTTGACGTCTTCTTGCAAGCGCTTTGCAACCGAGATGGGGAGAATATTATACAGCAGCGACTCGGCGCGACGCTTCTCGTCCTCGAGCTCGAGCGTGCGCTCTTCGACAATGTCCTCGAGATGGGTGCTGTACTTTTCGAGCATGAAAGCCATGCGCTCCAACAGGGACTGGCCTGCAATCCGACCCATGGCTTCGAGTTCGCGCACAACCTCGTTGAACTGGTCAAATCGATTTGCGGGCTCGGGCTCCCAGCAACGCCGCGCAATTGCAGCCATGCTGTGCAACTGTGGATCATCCGAGCGACTGACAACCTCCAGATCTGGTCGCACAAGAATGCGGTGACGGAGCGAAAACTGGCTGCCAAAGGTCGTGGTTGTTCCATAAAAGTTCCCGCGCCCGCTGGTTGTGCTGAAATTGTCCGCAATGGCACTCAGGCTCTGATGAGATGGCGAATGACCGCGAGAAGCCTGACCCGAGCGATCAGGTCCGCGACCAAGCCCTGGAAGGCTCGAATCGCTCTGGTGCGCAATGTGCGAGCGAGCCTCCCTCGGTGGTGCATCGCCAGTGTCTTCAACACTGTCGTCTTCAGAATCCAAGTGGAAGGACTGCGAACGAACGCGAGACTCGGAATCCTGGTGAGCAGACTGCGCACGGTGGCGAGACTCGGAATCCAAGTGAACAGACTGCGAGCGCAGACGAGGCTCCGACACCGAGCCGGTGGACTGACGGGCCGAAGCGGTGTGCCCAAAGGACGACGTTCCAGCAACGCTGCCTCGAAGGCTCGTCGTTGGGTGCACCGCTGCACCAGCAACAATCCGCCTTCGGAGCTGGTCGGAGGTCAGCTCGGGCAAGTGGCTGTAGGGAATGTGATGGCCATCCAGCAACTCCCACAGAATAATGCCAAAGGAGTACATGTCTGCCTTGAACCAGTCAATCGTATGCAAGTCAAGCTCGAGATAGCTGCGCTCGGAAGCATTCGAACGCGTGTCCGATGGCCGAGCCACGTCATCCTCGTCATCGTCGTCCGGCATGTCAAGCGCGAGGATTTCTGGTGCGACCCACAGAAACGGCGCTCCATGAACGGTGCCGCCGAGGTACCCGTTTGGAAGAGATGGCCCCCCGACCGGCGGCACGGAGCTCGCGCTCGCGCTCATGGCAAACGCAGCGGGGTTTGGTGAAGGCGAGCGCAGCATTACTGGAGGACCAGCCGGAACAGCCAAGAGAGACGATGGGTGCGTCGGTGTGCCTTGCTGCTGCTGCTGCTGCTGCTGCTGGGTCTGCTGCTGATGTTGCGGCGAGCCTGGCGGAGAGTGAGACACTGGAATGGCAGGCGCGCTCAGTGCCTTGTGTGCACGACCGAGAGCGGCCGCTATTCCATTGGAGCTTCGCGGCGTGGTTGGCGAGGAGGCAGATGCTCCATTGGTCGCGTCTGGACCGATCAAGTCGATGGCAAGCGACCCGGAGGGCGACGAGGATCGCTCCGTAGGCAAACTTGCGACGGTAGGCTGGTGGTTGGCAGGGTTGCCCGAGAACAGCATATCGGCACGCGACTCGCCCATGATCGAGTGGAGCCCAAATCCTGAAATTTTGCACACAAAGCGATCGTCGACAAGGATTTTGCTGGAACGCAGCCGTCCGTGTGCGATGCCACGCTCATGCAAAAATGCCAGACCTCGGGCAGCGTCCATGGCCATGCAAAATTTAAAATGAATATCCAGCGGAATGCTCGAGAATCGCAGCACGTCGGCGAGACTGCCTTTTGCGCAGTAGTCAAACACGAGGTAGCGAGGCGTCGGGGGCACACGCGTGCAGCCATGAAACTCAACCACGTTCGGGTGTCGCAGCTCTCGCAACTTGACAAAGTCTGGGGCAAGCCGGTTGAGCAGGCTGGCTTCTTCGACCTCGGGATTGGCTGAAGGTTGAGCAACCCAGCGAGCCCGTTGTCTCAAGCGCTGCGTCGAAGCTTGCATGGCGCTACTGATTTTCGCAGCCGTGGAGCGACGGAAGAGGGCGTTTTTACCATTTGGAGGGAATTGGGATCCGCCACCACCACCAGAGGAGAGCTCCTCCATGGCAAACTCCTCAGAACCAGAGCTTCCGTTGGAGGCGCTTCCATCGTTGCCCGCATTGTTTCCGCCATTGGGAGAGCCGATCGTATGGGGGCTACTTCGTCGAACAACGGCCATGGTGAGCGGCGTGTAGCGAATCAAGTACACGAGTTTGTGCTCAAACCGAGCCGTGTGAGGAACGTTGTCCACCACCTCAATGTCGGTAAGCGCATTAAAGTCTATCTGCCATTGCTGCAGGGCCTCAAGCTCTTTCTGCCGCTTGTACTGCCGCTGGCGCCACACGGTCAAGCCAACCAGCGCAACAATGACAATCGCCATGACAATGAGGCCAGCGATCGCGCCAGGACTCAGAACGTCCTCCTCGCCGGCAGCAGGATTGCGAATGTTCGGATAGGCAGCGTCAATCAGCGCCTGCTGGGCCGTTGCCAGCTTGTCCAATGCAGCTTTGGAGCTCATGTCGCCGAAAAGAGCACGAGTCACATAGCGATTGGTCATGTCGATGAGTGCAGGTGCTTCTTTCAAGCCCCACGTCCCGGAGGCGAATGGATACGCGAGCGAATACACGTTGGTGAGCATGTCGTTGGAGCTGAGCTGAAGTAGAACGATGATCGCCACAACCCAAGTCAAGTCTGCAGTGCAATCTGGCGGACTGGCAGTGGCTGAAACGGGGGAGGCGAAGGAGGCTGCGGTAGATGTCGGCACCGACGACGACGACGACGACGACGACGAGGAGGTCGAATTGTTCACGCACAACAGATCAAGCAGTACCGAAATGGCATCCTCCAAGTTTTGACCTAGCTGCAACAATGTAGAACTGACCGAGAGACCGCTACAAGACTGCGACCAAAAGGCTTGGTTTTCCCACCGCGAAATGTAGTTGACCAGCGCGGAGGCCTCGGCGACATACGGGGATCCATTCACAACGGCAATGCCATAACCACCCATCAAGTTTCGTCTCTGAGGGAGCTCTGTGCCAGCGAGCGTGGATTGCTGAAAGGCCGGGATGGCGAACACACCAAGATCGTTGTTGTTGGTGAAGCACTTTTGCCATTGAGGGCCTCCAACAATGGACGAGTCGGTGCTATTGACGTGAGGGATCGAACTGCTCCATAGCTGCAAAAAGGCGACTTTGCCCGAGCAAAACAGCTCGATATTTCGCTCAATCTCGTTGGTTGCGTCTGGAGGGGATTGGAGCCCAACAAACGCGTCGTCCGTTGGCCCAGTGGCGACAAGTTGCTTGATGAGCTCAAGAGCGGCCACGTTGACTGGAGAGTTGATGTAGCCTTCCACTTCGTAGGTGGTCGGATTCCACAGCGCACCACTTGCAAGATACGCATACGTCAAGAAGAGCGAAAACGAGCGGTCTTGGCAGGTAGAAAGCGAGTCCCCATTGTGTTGGGTACACCAGCTGGCTGAAAAGCCAAACTGAGTAATGTTGTGTTGTTGCAGAAACTCGGCTTGCTTCACCAGCTGCTGCAGCGATAGCGGAGGGCGGTAAATGTGTGTCTTGCACAGGCCGAGATATACGAGCTCCACGGGGCAAACATCAGCGGTCTGCTGAACATAGAAGAGGTCGTTTGTTTTCGTGTCGTTCAGTTGGGCGGCGACGCGTGCACCCTCAATCATTGGCGTCAACCGAAACATGATTGTTTGCACGTCGCCTTCCAGCGGATAGCCATATGCGTTTTGAGAAGTCTGAGGGTACTGTTAAACACGAGCAATCAAGCAAGAACGGGAAACCAAAAGGAGCAACAAGGAATGAAGGAGAACAAACAAGGGGGGGGGGATGGCTCCAAAAGAAGAAATCAAAAGAAGACGAAGCAAAAAAAAAGCGAAAAAAGACGACTTGAAATACTCACACTAAAGAATGCAGTCGTGCCAGAATTGACCCAGTCCGAAGAAGGGTTGCTGGCCACAGGGGTCCAGCGCGTGACAAGACTGCTGTTGACCGCATACGGTAGCCACTGCCATACCAAGCGAGGACGAAAACAAAAGTGAATGAACCAAGGTGAGACAAAATTGGACAGCGAACAGCGTCAAAGCAGAATCCATCCACCCTACCATTTCGTTGAACATGACCAAATCATAGTCTAAGATGGATGCACTTGCAGACTGATTCGAATACAGAATGTCAAACCTGCAACAAACAAAAAAAAAAAAAAAACGAAAACAAAAACAAAGTGAGATTTGCAAAATCGTACCATCTCATTTCAACAATAACAGACAGCATGGAAGCGCCAAAAGAGCGTGAGATAGAGAGGAAGGCACATCATCAGAGGCTGACGTGTATGCCTTTTTTTTTTCGTCACCCTGACAATCTGCGCAGATTTCGCATTGGAAAAGGGGGGGGGATTGCCGCTTACCACGTCGAATACGGCAGACAATCAATTTCAACCGCCGCAATGTCCGCGTCGAAAGCCGCGACGAGATTGCGAAACTCGCTGCACGAGGGCGAATCATGCCAGAGAACGCGCAGGACGGGTGGCAGAAGGTACGCGCTGCTGCTGCTGCTGTCTGAGGCGGCTGCCTCGCCCTCACGCCGCTCAGCACTGCTACGACGACTGCTGCGAGTGCGAGTGCGAGTGCGCGGCTGGCCCGCACCCATCTGCTGCTGCCGACGTAGCTTCTTCCTCTGCAAAAGCTGCTCGCGGCCGCTCAGCTCCTCGTCGCTGCGCACGGCGCGGTTTGTGACTGCTCGGAGCCACGCAGATGACAGGGCGGTCGGGTCGCTTTCGCCTCGCTCCTGCCGCCGCCGCCGCCGGTCGACGACGCGGGCAAGGGCCTCGGGTGTGACTGCGTCTCCTTCTTGCTGTTGCTGGTGCTCATTGTCTGGCACAGCACCCGCGGACGTGAGCTCGAGGTAGGCGAGAACGTGCTCAATGGCGCGCTCGCTCGGCGGGGCAGTCGCCTGCTCAGTCCACGCCTGCGCCGCTTTTGCCAGCGCCGCCCACTTGCTGTTGCTGCTGTGGTCGGCTGATGGCCCTGCCCGTCGACCCGGTGGCCGAGCGCGGTCGGAGTGTGCGTCTGCAGCGAGCACTGCGGTTGTTGCCACGAGCCACAAAAGTAGCAGCAGCAAAAGCCGAGCCACTGAACGCTGGTTCCTCATCACCCCCTCCGCAGCAACGCAGCAAAAAAAAAACAACACCACAAAAAATACAACAAAACAGACACAGAAAAAAGAGAACAATAAGAATGAAAAGAAAAGAAAAGAAAAGAAAGAAAAACACTGCGAATCGGGCAACAAAAAGAAAGAACGGAACCCAAAAAAAAAAAAAAAAAAAAAAAAAAGCGAGACTGCGAATTTCCATTGAGTTTGATGCTTGTTTTTTTTTTTTTTTTTTTTTTTTGATTTGCTGCGTTTTGTTGCTCGTCAAACAAAAAAGCACAACAACAAAAAATTGTGGGTCATTTTGTTGTTTGGTGCGTCAAATGCGTGTGCTCATCGTTGAAAAGCCGTGAAAAGCCGTGAAAAGCTGTGCGATCGGGGTGAAACGATGAAAGGCTCCAGATTTAACCCTTCACTCATGTCGTTGGGGTTTTCGCAGTTGCATCCATCCAACACCGATGGTTGAGTTTTGTTTTTGCATCATCAAAAGACAACAACACATGCACATTGCTGCTTTGTACGTGAGCTGGCTTCTCATTCTTCCTTTGTACTTCTTCCTTCTTTCTTTACCAATAACAACACACAAAGAGAACTGCGAAAAAAACGGAACCCCCGCTCCCTCAGTCACACACACACCTCACCTCACCTCATCTCACCTGCGATTGGACAATGACCACAGTGATGATGTCGATGACAATGGCATCCACTGCCGCGACACGGACGGCGACGGCACTGCGACGCGGAAGACTGCCGCTGCTGCGGTCATCAGTCGCGCTCGTCACGGCTTCGTCCTACTCGACGTCCGCTCGACCCGCGATCGCCGCTTCATCAGCATTGCTACGAGCCAGCCACACACGCTGCTCCATGGCATCGGCTCCATCCTCTGCGCAATGCAGCGTCCATACTCTCCTCATCCTATCGTCTCGACTCGTCCTTCATCGCGAGCCATGTCGTCCTCTTTCTCATCGTCGTCCTCCACTCCGACGACACCGTCCTCTATGTTACGCATAGCATCAACGAGAGCACATCAAAGTGAATTGGATGGCCGAGTCTGGCGAACTGGCTCTGGCAACTGGGAACTGGGAACTGGAACTGGGTTGTCTGCCCTTCCTTTGGATTCTGCCGCTATGGCCTCTGTGGGCGTCAAACATCCTATATCTCACACTGGCCGAACTCCTGATTGCACATCTGGATTGTTTGTTGCTTGTTTTGCCTAAAAAAAAAATCCTTGGCTTAGATCTCCGGTTGTTGCAATCGGTCGCTTGCTGGACGCAACGCAGGGCACTGCACCATTCACTTACTCGCCAGGACAGGTAAGAACCTGCCTCAAACAGTCGCGCCACTGACAATCTAACACATTGCAAACAAAAAAGTCACGTTGGCACGACGCCGGGGTGGTCTCTCTTGCATAGCTTGTGAAGAACTCACTCCGTTTCCAATTTCGTTGCTCGCTCTGCTTGACAGCTCTTCATCCACCGTTTGTTCGGATATCGATGCGTCGTCATTGATTACTGGCAGGCGGATCTTGTTGTCACACAGCCATCCTCGTCCACAAGCAACGCCACTGCGACTGCACACCCCAGTTTGGCCGCTTTGACGGCTGGGTTGCCGCAGCCTCCCATGGACGCCTCTTTTCGAGCACCATCCGTAACGCCATCCTCGCCACACGACGAAACGACCTCCATTACAGAGCCTGGTGCCAAGCACATAATTGACCTCGTTCGCTCGGCGATGCGGAAGAAGGACTATTACATTGCCGTGCCAGATTTGAAGGATCGCACCGAGCGGCATACCGCATCGTTCTTGTTTGTTGCCCCGGAAGATATGATTCCGTATCTACCAATCGCCTCACACACGTTCTATTCGCCAATTCTTCACGAGTGGTTTCACGCCCTGCCCGCTTCCCCTCCTCCCGCTTCTCAGCAGCAGTCCGGTGCGCCCAAGCAGTCACGTTTCTCGAAATCCAAGCAGTCGCAACAGCAGCAACAGCAGCAACAACAGCAGCAACAACAGCAACAGCAACAACCACCGCAGCGACATCAGCAACAACAGCCGACACAAACTCGACAATAATCTCAACCCAACGAAGCCGAACCAACAATCGTCACGGATGTTGTGCCATCGGACGCCCCTGTCCAGTCTGCGGCGCCAGCCAAATCCTCCAGCAGTGGAAAGCCTGCCATCCCGAAGATTGACTACGTTCGCTATGTGCCCACTGGCAAACTGAACCCGCTTCGAGCGCGAACAGCAACGGTGAGGCAGTATTCCAAGGTTTATGTCCAAACCACGGACAGCATCCGGGTGACTGTCGTCCCCTGGTACTTTGGCTTTACTGCTGCACACAACTCGTTTGTCTGGACTGTCAACCTTGTGATTGAGAATCTTGGGGACGCCACAGTGCAGCTGCGACGACGCCACTGGACCATCACCGATGCGAGCGGCCGCATGCGCGAGGTCAGTGGATCGGGTGTCGCGCACGGTGCCGAGCCGGTCTTTGTGCCGAATTCTTCTTCGAGCTACGAGTACACCATGGGCGTCGAGTCTACAACTAGCCACGGCAACATGAAGGGAATGTACGAATTCGACGTGATCGAGCCGAACAAGACTTCCAAGCTATTCGTCAACGTTCCACAGTTTGTGCTCGAGTCCCCACCATTCACGCACGACAACTGAGGATCGATCTGCGTGATTATCCATTGAAATATTCTGCTCCTCCCCCCCTTCCCGACCTCTGCTTTTTGGCTCGCTCCCCACTCTTCCTCCCATGCAACGTGCAGTGCCCACGCAACAGGGCGAGCGAAGGTTTGTAGTGAAGTGCAAAAAGTCTGCTGGAGGCGGGGATGGGTAGTTTGATTCTTTTCATGATTTTCTACATGTTCGTCGTCCTATCGCTTCGTTTCACAATGTTCCGTTGCCGTTGTTTTGTGCTCCTGCGTTTTCGTCATGCAAAGTAAAAGTGTTTCTTAACAAAAAAACCCCCGCCCTTGCACCCCCCTCGATCGAAACGATAAGAATGGCATGATTCTGCACTTGTAAGAGAATATAAACTAACAACTTGCATTCAAGATTCCGCGGCCGTTTCAGCAGCTGCATCGTCCTGGTTGCCTGCTTGCCACGTATCTTCGCCGTACGATTCAGTCTCTGTAATTCCCGGATCTGTGACAAGCGCTCCGTAGTACGCGGTGATGGTTTTGACCTTGTGATGCAGATAGTTGTGCTCCAGTTCGCAGTGACCTTCTGGACCAGCCAGTTCAGCCAACTGGTGGGGGAAGCGACGACAAGCAAGCACCAACAGAAGAAAACAAAGAGTCCAATCAGGACGGAATGCAGTCGAGGACGGCCAACGAGCAAACAGCCTCGCCACAACGTACCTGCTCGAGACCAGTGTTTCTTGGAACAAAGTATGCGATATTGGGCGATATGGACTGCGCTGCGCGGAAGATTTCTGCCCCATGTCGCGGAAGCATGTCTTCCAACGCAAATACTTCCTTCTCGAGGTACGATGGTCCTCCCCAGGGAGGGCTGAGAAACACGACATCAGCGCGTAGCCTTGGGGCGACGGCGAAAAAGTCGGCGACAATAAACTCAATCCGGTCCTCGACGCCGTAGAGTCGGGCGTTGTGGCGTGCACACTCAATCTTGCGAGGATCAATGTCGATAGCAATAACAAAGTGGCTGGAGAGGGCAAACTGGATTGTGTTCCCGCCAACTCCACAAAAGGCGTCCACGACCACGCCGGCGGCGCAGCGCCAAGCAATGTGGGCTGCGATGACCTCGGGCGTGACAGAGTACCAGCCTTCTTCGTCCATCATCACGCCTTCATCGAACTTTGAAAACAAGCGGTATCTTTGGAACCAGTACTTGCTATGGGGAGGTTTGGCGCAGGTGGAAGGCAGCTGCAGCGCTTGCTCATCCCGGAGCAGCTTTTCCGCATTCGCCGCAAGTTGTGCTTTCCGTCGCTGCCTTCGCTTTTTGCTCGAAGACATGTTGGTTGCGTCGATGATGGCGACATTGCTGCTCTGGGCGCATGTATCGGCGATTTCCGGCGGCTTGTGGGAGGGTAGCGGCACGAGCTGATCTTCGTCTTCGTCGTCGTCGTCAGAGCTTTGGCTGCTCACATCACTGTTGCTTCTTGATGATGACGATGATGATGATGCTGAGGAGGCAAAAGTCTGATCGGTGTGCGAAACAGTCGGCCGAGGATCGTTCACAGTGCGCACGCTCAATCCCATATCGCTGCTTGATCTGGATCTTCCGATCGTATTGGCACATTCCGTGTATGGAGTGCATATACCTCCCAGACCAACGGACCGACGGATTTGACAGCGCCATTCGATGACAACCGCCGCCTCCGTTTGGCGCGCTTGCGCCTTGGATGGCTGGATTCTTCAGCCTCCTCGTCGGACTCGGTATCGACTTCGAGTCTTCGCTTTTGCGATGCAGCAGTCCGCGGCGGCATCCGTGACGGCGCCGACTTGAACTGAGCAGGCAATCCCATCGCTCTGAGTTGGTTTTCGAGCTCCAGAGCGGATTCAAGTTGCCGCTCTCGTTCCTCATCGTTCTCGTTGTCGTCGTCGTCGCCATCACTAGACCCAGAATCAGCATCCAAGTTGGCGCCAGACGCGCTTCCAGAGTTCTCGTCCTCCTCGTCTGACTTTGTGTGAATCCGTTGTTCTTCCTCGTGGCGCATCGATCTCGCGACTCGCGTTCGAGCTGGTCGCGGGGCTGCTTCTAACACTGACGTCGGCTCATCCACATAGCTGGCAACCGCGCGCCAAGCGACAGAAACGGACTTGTACTCCTTGGCCGACGGCCCAGTCGAGCCGCTACTCTGGATCCTTCGACGGCTCATGGCGAGAGACCAAAGAAAGACTGACTTGACTGCATTGCACAACACTTCTCAAAGCAAGACACTCAGGTGCGTGCAACAGGAGATTGACACAGAAATGCCAACCAAGTCCGACAAGACGGAAAGGACGGAAAGGATGAATAGGTTTTACCAAATATGACACAAAAACACCGTTCACGAGAGACCCGAAAACGCCGTGCAGCCATGCACGCACAGCACAGCGAAACAAAGAGACAGCTACAAAAAACACAACAAAAAGCGCGAAACGACTTGACGACGACGACGCAGTCAAGGAAGAGGAGAGGGGCCATTTTTTTTTTTGTTTTTTTACATTGCAGTGCCAGCAGCCTTCTCGAGCTGCGTCTCAATCTCCCTGAAGCTGGGTCGTCGGTCAACCTCAATCTGCCAGCATGCGAGCATGATGTTGTAGATAGCCTGACCAAGCACAAGGCAAAAGGATGAAACGAAAACCTTGAAAGTTAGCATGCATATTCCGAGAAAACGAAGTGTTGCACACTACTATTGCTCTGGAGAGCGCTTACAGTGGGGCATCCCTCAGGCGATTCCATTCGGTAACCACGCTTGATCTCCTGAACGACCTCTGTGTGTGACATGCGGGGGTATGGGATGCGACCGAACGAGTACACTTCCCAGAGCACGACACCGAACGACCAGACGTCAGACTTGTTGGTGTAAGTCTGTAGACAGAGCAAAATAAAAAAAGCAGTCATATGAGCAATGCATGAGTGACAAAACCCTCACAACAAACTCGAAACAGCAAGACACTGTTGCTTTCGACATACGTTGTTAAGCAGCGCCTCGGGAGCAGTCCACTTGATGGGGATCTTGCCACCCTCAACCACATCTTGCTCGTTGGCGTTCTTGGCCAAACCGAAATCGGCGACCTAGAAGAAGAGAAAAGAGGGTGGAGTGAGAACGAGCCATTTCTTTTTTTTTTTTGGGCAAAATCCAATGCAACGTACCTTGGCCGTGTTATCATCTCCAACAAGAACGTTGCGTGCAGCCAAATCGCGGTGAACAAAGTTTCGGCTCTCGAGGTAAACCATCGCACTGCTCACTTGCTGGGCAAAGGAGAACAGGGTGGCCATCGGGATTTCTCGGCGCCCTCGCGAGCGCAAATAATCCTGCAAGCTGCCTTTCGACATGAACTCGGTGATAATATAAATGGGGGTGATGTCCAGGCAGACACCGAGCAGCTGTACAAGATTCTTGTGACGCAGACGTCTGGAAGGGTTGGCAGGGAGGGGAAAGTGAGCAAACAACAGCGACATCCACGAAATCCACGAAATACACGAAAACAACCCCCCCCCAAACTCCACAACAAACAATCAAGCACGAAAAAAAAAATACTGACGTCATGACGGAGGCCTCAGCCAAGAAATCTTCCATTGCGTTCTCGCCCTTGAGCGTCTTGACGGCAACCTTCTGAGAGCGCCAAGTTGCCTCGTAGACCTCACCAAAGTTACCGCTGCCAAGAATGTTGCCAAGAATGACTTCTGAGCGTTGAATTTCCCAGCCGGCCTTCTTGAAAATCTTGGGATCAATCTTTGGCTGCGGACCGCGTTTGACGATCGGCTGCCGCAAGCGAGTGCACAGGCCATCTGATTCCATGCGATAGTGATCCACCAAGTGGATCATATCGTCAAAATAGGACTCTTGGTCGACTGTCAACTTGCCGCCCTCCGCAACCTTTTCGACGCGGTAGTGTTGGACACCGCGTTCAAAGCTGCCAAAGCCAACATGCAACACGAAGCAATACAAGCAAATGTAGGACCACAGTGAGTTTACGGACGTTTGGGAGCGGCAGTCAAAAGATACAACCCCCCCCAAAAAAAAACCCAGATAAATCCCGTACCAGACGCAAAGAGTGTAATCGCCAGGATAGTTGACACTCTCTCGCAAAAGGAAGAGGCCATCTTTGCTACCATGCTGCTCGAACAGCTTTTCAGTTTCTTCACGGGTGATCTTGCCGTGGAACCACCGAACTTTGTTGTTGGACTCGCGGCCTTCCTCGCCAGCGCTAGGCGACGAGGCCACCGGCGTGCTCTTAGAAACGGGCGCAGCAGGCGGCGGCGCAGCAGCAGCAGCAGTCGCAGCCGTTGGTGTGGGAATGGAGCCGACGGGAGGGGTGGGCTTCTCGTTCTCGGCAGGAATGGGGACGACATAGTTGGCAGGGATGGTGCCGACCTTGCCAGTCGCGCTTGCCTTGGCCGTCCACCAGTTGGCGTCGTCCTTGTTGATGATCAGCAGCGTGTCGCCCTTCTTGAAGCCGAGATCGCCCGTGGTGGTTGCTGGTTGTATTGGACAACAAAAGTCATCAAAGTGAGCAAACACAAAGATGAAAAAAAAAAAAGAAAAAAAGAAAACCCCATTTGAATCAGACATTGATTGCTCCAAACTGTTCTCCCCGTGTCTGCCATTATAGTACACTGCCTCAAATTGCTGGATATGCATCAAACCAGAGATCAGAGACCAGAGAGCGAGAGCGGAAAAAGCGCAGAGAAAACCAAAGCAAAAAAACACCAAAATAATAAAAAAAATAAAAATCAAAAGCAACTGCCAAAAAAGCAAAATGCTGTGGTTTGCTTGGGGAGTGGCTCGCGGCTGGGACCCCCACCATGCATCAAAGGAGACACACGGAACTCCAGCAGAACACGCACAGAGCAGCTGTCGACGCGGCGTCACTTTTTAGCCGAGCAGTTGGCTCAAAAAGTACCAGATAAAATAAAATAAAAAATACAATAAAAATACACAATAAAAACAAAAAATAAAAAAATAATGTTGAGAAAAGGGTGCTGTTGACTCGAGCACACAGTGGGAACGCACCGGCCTTGCACTGGCACTCTGGGTGGACTATTCGCTGCGTCCGATCGCTACCCTACTGCCCCACTCCAGCCAGCATCACGCAGGGGAGGGCAATCGATCAAAGGAAGGGAAAAAAACAAAAAAAAAAAAAAAAAACACACAACAAAAATCCACCACCAACAAAAAAAAAAAAAAAAAAAAAAGAGAAAAAAAAGGGGCATCTCTTTGGCTGTGGCGACTGCATGCGACCACCGACTTGGGGCAGTCTCAAGCCGCAAGATGAACACTAGGTTGCAGCCTTCCACACACACACACACACCGCAGTGGACGACCAAGTGCAACGTCGAGCCCGAGGCCACTTGAACAACAATGCACGTTTTTTTTTTTTTTTTTGTAATGTTTGAGTTTGAGGTTTTTTTTTTGTTTTTGGTTGATCTCGGATGGTGGCGATGCAGGCAAAGGAGCCAACTGATCGGCTGCCAGCAATGTCGAGAACACAAGCCAGGCATGCGACCAAGGCAGGGCCAGAACGCGCGCCCAGGCAACAACGCTCGATGCGCTCGAGAAGGGCATCTCAACAAAAAGAAAAGAAGAAAAAAAAAAAAAAAAGCCCTGCCCTCGCTCGCTTATCAACCACCCGTTTCTGCAGCTCGCGTTCTGCGTGCGGCCAAGAAGAGGCGGGCCTTGCTTGCCAGACTCGCCAAACACATCGTGTTGCACCTACCATCAAAGTCGAAGAGAGCCACAAACCGTGGTGGCGGAAGCGGCGTGGCACCGGCAGGACGCGCGGCCATTGTGTGTTGGAAAAAAAAAAAAAAAAAGAATGAAAAAGAATAAAAAATATCAAAATACAGAAACAAACAAACAAGCGAAAAAAAAAAACAAAAAGATGTTCAGCCTGCCCACAAAAACCTCAAACGCGAGCCATGCGGTATCGGTCAATGTGAATCTCAGTCCCAGTTTGTCTTTGCGACTGCAGCACACACTCTTTTCTTAGCGCGAATCAGCTCCAAATCGCACAACTTTGGCAACGAAAAGCGATCTGAGAACTGGAAATGTGGACCCCGCGACTTGTCGTTAAAATGTGATAGTAATTCGAGTAAGAAAAACAAATTTCGACAACCACACGATAATCTGGAGAAAGAAAAAGTGAAAGAAAGAGCACGAGAGTAAAGAGAAACAATGAAGCACAACCCCCCGAAAAAACAAACTAAAAAACTAGGCCTAGTCCAGACGAAGCGAGAACGTGTCACCTCCGTCCGAAACTGTGCGGCGATGCACATCGGGAACCTCGTCAAAGCTTTCCAAGGGCATGACGTTGGCAGTTTTGGCGAGGAGCGTGGCAGTATCGACCGGCTTGGCCTCCGCAATGTGATGCCCGCCAATCAAGCGAGTCTTGTCAAAGTCATCGCCAGCTTTGTCAGCGACTGCCGGAAGCCCAGTGTCACTCGAGCTGCCCTTGCTGCTATCCGAGTCGGCGACGATGCTCGATTTCAAATGCGCCAACAGTTGGGCATAGCTGATGGGTTTGCTGATATATCCCGTCATTCCACACTCAAAGCACCTGGCGCGATCTTGCGGCAGGGCTTCTGCAGTCATAGCAAGGATGGGCAGTAGTCGTGCTCTGTTCAAACAAGTCCCAGCATCATCCAAGATGAGGATCAACATTCCAACAAACAAACCAGTCAAAAACCAGTCAAAAACCAGTCAACACAGGCATCGACAACACACAAAAAACGACCGCAAACTCACCCTTTTGGCTTGTACTTGGCTTCAAGCTTGCGAAGCTGAATGGTCGCTTCATAACCATCCAGAACGGGCATTTGACAGTCCATCAGGATCAGGTCGTAGGGACACCAGGATTGAGTTGGCTCGGCATCATCCGTGCTTGGTTGTTGCGACTCTAGGTCGGGATTGCTGGGGTCCTCCTCAATGATGGGGGCGGTCTCGACGGCAGCTTTGACCATGTCCACAGCTTCCTGTCCGTTGACGGCAACGTCAAACCTGTACCCAGCTTTGCGCAGCATTGTGCAGACGACCTTCTGGTTGATCATATTGTCCTCGACAACTAACAGCTTGCATGAACGGTCGGGCATGGAAGCTGCTCGGCCAGTCGGGGGAGTAGTAACGGGCGACATTTGGGTCGTCGGCATGACCGCGGCCGAGATGGAGCGCAACCGACTGCGTTGAGCGGCGCTCGATTCTGGGACTGACTCGGGCACTGGCGCCGAGGTTTTGGCCGCACCGAGCGTGGAGGGGGCGGAGTTGACCTCCAGCGACGAGGGAAAGTCGGGCGACACGACGCCGGTGACTGGAGTGATGAGGTTGTCGAGCGTCACCGGAGCCAAGTGCTCGTGCATGTCTGTTGGCAGCCGCCTACCAGTAGGGAGCGCCATGACAGTCAAAGCATTGGCATAGGCGGAATCGCGAGGCACGGAGGGCACACGATTGAGCGTTTGGTACTGGAGCATGGATTCGATAAGGTTTGCGTTTTGCTCGCCGCCACAGCACTCTGGGCACCGGAGAGCGCTGAGCTGGGAGAACAAGAGAGACTGCCGGATGGGACCAACCATGATGTGGGACGCCGGCCATCGCTTCAGCACCGTCGCCTGGGTTTCCACGCGCCTGTCGGGGAAGCAGAAGATGGGCTGAACGCCGCGCAGCAACAAGGCGTGCCAATCGACGTTCGTCACCGTCTCCTTGTCCGGGTCGGGAGTCGATTCCGTCGGCTCGATAAAGATGTTGGGATGATCCACCACGACGACAGTATGCGAGCGCGCGCCAGGAGTACCGTCAATCGTGTCAATCATTCGCTGGGCTTCCGTCCACGACCCGACACTTTGGAAGTTCACATTCCATCCCGTGAGGAAGAGTTCGAGAGCAGCCTGGAAGCTTCGGCGCGGGCTCACAACAATGGCACGAAGGTGTTCCATGCAGGACGTTCGGGTCTCGGTTTGGATGACGAGCGTGGTGGGAGCGGCTGGAGGTTGCGACTCGGGCTGCGCTGGCTGTCCAGGCACGTCCAAGCTGTTCGACTGCGCTGGGGCGGCCGCACCGGCCGCATCCGACAGCTGCAGGTTGGATCCCATGGTCAAATCGGCAAGGGAGGCCCGATTTTCTGTCGAGTGTCGCTGTTGCGGCACAATCGGGTCTGAGGCAAATGGAGTGCGCTTGGTCGTGCCCATTGAGGTGCTGGACAGGGCAATCATCTCGCTGTCGGCCACAGTGGGCTTGCGGAACTTGATGGTAAACCAAAAGCGGCTTCCTTGACCCAAGGTACTGTCGACGCCAATCGTCCCACCCATCAGGTTTACGAGCGACTTGCAAATGACCAAGCCAAGACCAGTGCCGCCGTAACTGCGGGTGATGGAGCTGTCGACTTGCGAGAAGCGCTGGAAGAGACGATCGAGCGCTTCGGCCTCAATGCCGATGCCGGTGTCGATGATTTCGAAACGCACCACCATATTCTGGTCATCGACATCTTCGTCCAGCAGGCAACGCAATGAAACGCTGCCGGTAGTTGTAAACTTGATGCCGTTCGAAACGAGGTTGACCAAGATTTGCTGGAAGCGGTTGGGATCGCCCACGAAAACTCGCGGCAGTTTCGGATCAATGTAGCACGACAGCAGCAGGTTTTTGGTGGCTGCGCTGGGGAACAAGAGATCGACAATGTTCTCGGTGATTTGCACAAAGTTGAACGGGATGGCGTCGATGCTGAGTTGGCCAGCCTGGAAAGCAGGTACGTACGACAAACAAACACACACGTGAGCCAGACTTCAAACTACAATCCCAAGCATTCGGTCCATACAAACGTTACCTCGATCTTGCTAAAGTCAAGAATATCGTTAATGACCGTCAACAGGATTTGAGCCGACACCTTGATTGTGCCCAAGTAGTCGCTCTGCTCGTCGTTGAGCGAGGTGGTCATCATGATCTGGGTCATGCCGAGAATGCAGTTGAGTGGCGTGCGGACTTCGTGGCTCTGTCAAATGATGCAAGTTGAGACGAAGCAAGCAATGAGCAACTGTTTCCAAAAAAACAAACGCAATAACCAAAGCCAACATACGCGCACAAACACATCAAACACACCATGTTGGCCAAAAAGCGGCTCTTGGCCTCGTTGGCCTGCTTTTCCTTCAATGCCTCGCTCTCGGCAGCATTCACTCGACGCTGGTCTGTGAGATCGACGATCGAGACAAGTCGCGTTGGCTTGCGATACCACCCCGAAGGAACAGGGGTGCCGCGGGGTTGGTATTGGTACGACGGCGAAATGGGCTCGGTGTCTTCATCGTCCGTGTAAATGTCAAAGTCTGTCTCTAGTGGCTCGTCGTGGCCTGCGGGCTGGGCCACGGCCTCCTCGTGTTGGGCAGCATTGCTTCCAAGCAGGCGCGCGATGGTGGACTGATTGTTGTTGTCCATCAGCAGCGGTTGCATCGAGCGTTCCGTCCCGGCTGTGACGATCGGCTGGCTTTGGAGAGGGACCGGGGGCTGCGGACCACTGTCTGCTCGCTTCCGTGAGCGATGTGTGACCTGTGGCGACTGTTGGGTGTCCGGATGCGGGGCAGGACCTCCGCCGTGCTGGACGGGCTGCGCAGTGCCCGCTGGCACACCCATGGACGAGCCAAGAGTGCGCTCGCTCGTGGACAAATCGTCCTCCAGCGTGCGTAAGCTGCTGGCCACAATCCGCACGGGGTACATTTGGCCCTCGATCGAGACAGAGTTGAGTTCGCAAGAGCGCGTTTGTGCGGTGCCCGCGGTTGAAGTGAGAACGCGCCGCAATTCACGACGCTCCTGCTTTGGGAAGAGCTCTGCGAGGCGAAGGTGAACATTGAGCGTGCTTCCAGTGCGATAATTCCGGGGAATCTTGTACTGCTCAAAGAAGGTACGGTTGGCCTCGATAACTTCGTCGTTCTTGTCGATCAGCACAATTGCTTCGTGCGAATTGTCAAAGATGTTGCGATATTTCTTTTCGTTTTTCGAAGCGACAGTGCGCTGAGAGGAGCCAACACGAACAATGCAGCCAAATGGGACACGGAGAAATGAGTGAGATGCTCGAAGGGAGAGAACAAGAAGCCAAATAAACCCCAACATCAACAAACAAACCAAAAACAAAACAAAATGCTCACCTGCTGGTCGAGCTGACGGAGATCCCAGTGATGTACATGGGTTTGAAGCAAAACGATCGTGCCGTATACGAGCGTCAGCAGAATCGAACGAGCAACCTCAATCCAGTCCGTCCGGCCGTCGAAAATGCCCACAAAGATCAGGAAGATGATTGTGACCGCAAACAGACTTCCGAGGACCCAGACCGGGCAAGTCACCGACACGAGCAGGAAGACAATGACCGTGACGCCTGGCGTGCCATAGACGTTGTTGTTGATCATCAAAACGGTCAAGGACATGCAATAGATGCACACAGCCGTGCCTGCCGCACCCCAGCTGTGCAAGCCGCTTCGAACGACCAAGTAGCCGATGATGGCAACAATAAGGTATCCGATCGACATGTAGTATGATATGTTTGCCTACAGATGCCAAGAAACATGGAAAAAAAAAGGGGCGTTCCTTCCAAGGTGAGACAATAAAAAAAGGGGGTTTCAACAATGCTCAACGAAACAAGGTCACGCTACTTACGGCGTTTACTCGAATGGAGAGTGTGTAAATGAGAATGGGCAGATAAGAGAGAAGGGCCATCGACATTGCCCGAATGCGCACTACTTCTGTGGGCGCGGTCGGGGCTGTCGGGAACGGGACCAGAAACGCAACATCAAACCAGTGCCAGAGCGTGTAAGCCCAGGCGGGTGTCCAGCGATGGAGGGCCTGAACGGCATGTCGTCGGGTTCGTCGGAAGCGGCGTCGAAGATGGCGACAGGTCGGCCCCATGCACAGGCAGCACATCTCCGAGGACGCGGTCGACTTGCTCGAGTGATACGACGATTCGTAGTCGGGGCCCGTCGAGGAATCGAGATTGACCGCGACGTGCTCGTGGTCGGAATTGGACGCAACGATCGAGCCTGCTGCTGCAATGCGTTGGTTGCTCGATGCTGCTGTCGTGGAAGGCAGCGCCGCACGCCCGTGCTGAGGGGCGGTGGCCGACGAAGGGGGCGGGTGCACGACGGAATGGCTTAAATGCTTTGCGTTCAAGTCTGTCATTTCGATGTCGTGCTGCTGGTGCAGCTGGTGTTGGTGCTGCTGCTGCTGCGGTAGAGGCACGAGCTGCTTGCGACTGCCACCGCCGGGCATTGAGTCGAGCGCAATGGACACCTTCGGCGCGCGCTGTGCTGGTGCTGGCGAGCCGGGCGCGGGATTCGGCGGCGATACTGGTGTGTAGGAGTTGCTGGTATTCGATGAAAAAGCAGCGTTCGAACCGCCTCCTGCTATCGTCTCGCCCGTCATCTTGCGCAGCGCGGGGCAAAGCTCTAGCAGCGGGCTTGGAGGTGGGGGGCGGGGAACTGTGTGTTGGTGTTTTGGGTGGGTGGGTGGTGGTTGATGGCGAAGATGCAGCGACAGTCAGAATGGGGTGGAGGGGGGAGGGTCCAAAAGAAAAAAAAAAAAAAAGAAGGTGAGAAGGAAACAAAAAAAAAAAAAAAAAAAAAAAAAAAAAAAAAAAAAGGATGAAATAATAGAACAAGTAAATGGAAAAAGAAAAGAATGAGCCTTGTCGGGGCATATTCAGAAAAACAAAAAAACAAACAAAAAACACGATCGATCATGCAAAAAAAAAAGAAAAAGAAAAAAAAAGAAAGGCGAAAAAAGCCCGAAATCCACCAAAACAATCGAGCAACTACCACCGAGAGTCAACATGAAAGGGAAGAGAGATCGCAGAGCAGAAAGGCGGTTGGGTTGGAAGAGGGGGGTAGACGCAAGCACGGGAGAACCAACAGAATGACCCTGGGAAACAAAAGAGGGGAACGACCTCACCCACTACCCACAATAAAAAAAAAAAAATTCCAAAAAGAATCTCGTGTGATATCCAAGAAAAAGGAGAAATCCCCGATGTTTTGGCGCTTGCTGAAAATAGACAGCCATCACATGGCTTGGCACTGGGGATGATGGCGAGTGTGGTTGTTGTAACGACGAGAGTGCGTTGAGCAAGGGGAGCTGGGCGGGGGGGGGCGTTTGGCCGTGTGGCAGGCCGCTCGGCCGATACCAACAGGTGGAACAAACAAAAAAACAGGAAAAAACAGGAAAAAAACATCGATAAAAAGGGAAAAAAAAAAACCACCAACTCTTTCGTTTCCTGGCCCCATCAACATGCTCAAAGCAACCTCTGGACAACCAGCAGATCTCTCGAGTCAGGGTCTCTGGCGAGAGGGATGGGGCGCGCGTTCGGGAAGACAGAGAGCGCGCGGCGCAATCGTTCAGTCTGGGAATCATGAATAAAGCCCGACAATGACTTTGACAGGTCTGACGCGTTTTTAAAAGGAGTCTGGGGGGTGGAAAAGAGAGGGCAACAACGATTGCAAGGGTTGTGTGTGATGGTGGGTCGACTGGGCTGGATGGATTGAAGCCTGCATGGAGGAGCATACCAAAGCAATCCGCTGCTCGCGCAAAAAGACGAACAAAAAAAAAAAAAAAAAAAAAAAACCCCGGAAAAAAAAAAAACAGAAATAAGGAAAGGCGCTGAAAAGAGGCGGGGCGGAACAAATAAAAAGAAAGAGTGATAATGTGAGGGGTGTCTTGCTTGAATGGAGAAAATGCAGGAACAGCCCGACGAGTGATAAAGCGCGAGGAGGGAGGGAGGGAGGACGTAACACGCGGCCTGAACGGTCGAAAAACGAGCGAATCTCAATGGTATGCGCGTTAAACCTTTCATTTCGAGGGGCGTAAATTGTTTTGAAAGCACGCCCATTTTTCAAGGGAACGCATTAGTCATTCGACAAAACATCACACTTGGGAGGCGTTAATGTCAGAAGACCAAAATAACGACGTGTCAAACAATGCCAAACGCACACGGACAAGCAAGAAGAATGCGATTTTGGTGGTTTTCCGTTTCGTTTTGGCTGTTTCTTGTTGTACATCGCTCCGCGTACAATAATCTACTTTGGTTGGGCGTACGACTCTTCGGCAATGTTCGAGAGACACTCCTCCCCACCACAAAAAGCTCGTTGGAATTTTCCCCGCGCTTATTGAAAAATCGAAAAAAACGCAATAACAAACAAAATTACACATTGAACAAACCAGTGTTTGCACTCAAAAACAAGCTACTGTACTACTTGCCGACAGCTCCAAGACTAGAATCCGTCTTGGGATCTGCCGTCAAACCTTGAACCGACACGATCAGCTCGTTCACAGAGGTTTGGAGCTTGCGCAATTCGCCGATGTGGAGAAGGCGCAGAATTTTGGCAGCCTCGTCGAGCAAAGCGTCGTTGGTGGAAAAGCCCAGCGGGACGTGCTTGAGATCGATAGAGTCAAGAATGGTTGCAGCGCGCGCCTCGGGCGGAGACTGCGCTTCGGCCACGGCGGCAGGCGAAAGCCGGTCTTCCACCAGAGCGCTCACTGCGCGCAGTAGCTCGAGCGGATTGTCGGTCGGAGGGAGTTGCAATGCCGCTGCAATGCCGTTCAGCACCTTTCGCACCGCAGTGTCCATGAGCAGCGATGCTGGGACGTGGTACGCCTGCAGCGCGGGCGCATCTGGCGTTGTATCCATTGCCGAGCTACCATCAGCACCAGCAGTTGCTGCGCTCGCTTTGTCAGAGGTTTCATGCTGGTCTGCGTATTCGAGATTCACTGCGTGGTTGAGCAACCAGTCGACCATCGTTGGGTTGGAGGCTCGGGTCTCGCCTGGGCAGCCAATGTCGTCCAAGTACTGCAGCGCGGGCAAATCGCCATCAAAACAAAGCAGCAACGCCGCACAAGGAAGTGAATAACAACAATGCCAGCACGATCTCATCATCAGCGACGGCAACCAGCAAGTGATTGTCAAATGGTGGATGGTGTTGTGCAATGAATCATGACGCAAGAAGAAGCAGCGACGACAATCGAATCCCAGTTCCCTCACGCCGCAGCCATTGCATGCGTACAGTTGTCCAACAACGTCTCTTCATGCTTTGGTTGGCATTTGTTTGCAACAGCGGGGGGGGGATTCGCGAGGAGCGCAAGCAGGGAAGGCGATGGAGCGATGACCAGCTCTCACCTTTTGCCCAGCAGCGGGCCATGTATCGCTCTTGACGTCCCGCAGCAATGCGCGATCTTCCAACTTGTACAGTCGAATCCGTGTGTCCTCAAGCCATGCGATTAGCTGGCGGACTTCGTGCTCGTCTGACGCAGCCCCCCCCCCAAAAAGTTTGCACAGCTGTTGAGTTTCGAGCTCATTTTCTCAACGTTGTCTCTTCATCATGAACAATCACAAAAAAAGCTCCTGAAACTGCAGGCGTTAACTACATACCATCAACGTTGAATGCAGGTGCTCGAACATAGTCGAGTGCTTGGAGCTTTCGCTGGAACGGTCGCATGTAAACAGCCAATTGGAGGCACAAAAACCAAGAGTAACTTTGGAGACTGCACTCTGTTGAATTGCTAAACTTGACATGGATGAATGTGGCACCACGGTCAAGTGTTGAGGATGACGGTGACAGCGGTGACAGCGGTGCAGCAATGTCAAGTCAGAGGCCTGGCGTTCATTCAAAAGCCTGCCAAACCTCAGACCCAAATCGTCCTGTCCAACTTCAGTGACCAACTGTTTGTAGTAAATGCTTATGGATTTGACAATTCAGTTTTTTTTTTTCCCACTTTTTTTTTCACTTTTGTGTTCTCTCCTTCAGTCTGCTTTGTGTCGGTCCCCGCCAGACACCATCCTCGTTTAATTACCTTTCCTTGCCTCAGGTCTGTACGGGTTGAATGAATGCGAGTGAACTGAAAGACATGACAATTGTTGGACAAAAACAAAAGACTGACTCTGGAAAACTGCTCCTCGTGAACAGCGAAATTCTGATGTCAGGCAACGACGTTCTGGCCACGGTCGTGACGCAGCTTATCGGCAGCGAACAGCTCCGAGCACGTGTCCGCGAGCTTGAAACTGAACGTGACGCCCTGAAGCGAGAGCTGGCGGACGCCCGACGCCAACATGCGCAAGAAATGGAGGCTGCCCGACGCCAGCATATCGATCGACTTGAGCAGAAGCATGCTGAGCAAATCCGTGCTCTCAACGACAGAGTCACTGCTCTCGAGCAGCAACTGGAGCAGCATCGTCGTGTGGCGGCGGAAGAGCGTCGTGTGGCGGCGGAAGAGCGCGCCACCATTCTCGCCAGGCTCGACAAAGTTGAAACCAAGTACGACAAGGTTCTAGCCAGGCTCGACGCGATGGAAGGCGCTCTCGCACTTGGACAGATCGTCTACGACCTCGAGGAAAAGATCGTTCTCTGGGTTCTCGCCAACGACAAGGACAAGAAAAGGCGCCTCCGTCTGAACACGGTGAGGTCCTTGACCGATCCCTGGGTCAGTACTCACGTGTCGCAACTGAACGAGAAGGAGCAGCAACGTGCCAACTCCGTTCAGTCTGCACTCGACCGCTTGTTTGGCAACTTCCACGCTGTCTTCAAGGAAGCGAAGAAGATTGGCGTGGCCACCGCGCGTCCACCGTCAGAAATGTCGCAGGAAGATCAAGAAAAACTGGCACGCGCACATGTGAAAGACGAGATGCTTCTGAAAGACATGCTCAGAATCATTGAATTCTACCATCTGGATGTCCCCACCATCATCGCACGATGCGAGGCGGAGCAGGATTCTTGGCAAACTGCGTAACCTGATCGTCATTGTATTCAAGTTTTGTATCGAATAGATTCACCTTTTTCAAGTTTTATCCTTGTCCTATCGATTGGAAGTCTCCCATCTTGATGCCACACATCATTTGCCGAGATATTGCTTGAGCGCGTTGTCCGGCTGCTTACTCTCCATCGTCTTAGCTCTTGCCAGCAACGCTCTGTTGTTTGCCCCACTCCCCGACACAAGTCTCAGTGATTCTGGGATGCTCGCTGCAGGGACTTTTGCAGCTTCCCTCGCATCCGCACGAAAATCAGCCAGCGACCGTTGATTGGCTCGGCTGAATCCGCCGGCAGTGTACAAATCTGATTGTTGATATGGGGGAGTAATGGGAAGGGTGGCGTCGTTGAACGAGGGTGCTCGAGTTTTTGTTGTCTGGGTTGGTCGTTTTTGCTCAACCCAAACCGACCGTGACGTTCAAAAAATGACTGCCCCGATGATGATTCCTACTGAAACTTAGAGTTTATTTGAGCTCACTGGAGCAAGGGGGAGGTGATGAGGAGGTCGGGAAATGGGTGAGGGGAGGAGAGGTTTAGACCGCCTGAATGGGGTTTGAGCGGTTTTTCAACGCGAGCAAGCCGGTCCGAGCTCACTACCGTTCCACCAACCCTCAAAGCACATTGCGTGGACATCCCAACCTTCTAATCTTTCATGAAAAATGGTTGTAGGAAGCATACGAGAAAAACCGATGAAACGACAGAAAACATAGAAAAAAAACTTTGAAAAAAAAACTTGAAAAAAAAAACATCTCAATGAAAATTTTGTTTTTGGGAGTTGGTTGCTCGCTCTCTCTATTTCTTTTGCCTCTCGGTACAGCATGCAATCTGCTCGACCCCCGCGCTCCGCCCTTGCTGCATCCGACACAGAATGATACGCTTTAACGGATTAGGTTGAAGGGAGGGAGGGCTGCAATGCGATGGGGGACGAATCGGCCGTAGCAAGAGGACGCCGTCGGTTTTGTTGGAGTTTGGGGGTTGGCGAAAGGATGCTTTTTCCGTTCGGCTCGCCTGCGCTCCTCGTTCCCCGACGGCAGCCGTTGACGCTGTACATTGAGCGCTGTGTGGCGGCATCAAGTTTGACACCGCAATACTGCTCATGATGGAGCGCAGCGAGCTTCAGAAAGGGTTGACTTTGAGACAAGTTTTTTGAGAGAAAAAGTTTTTTTTTTTTCGTGGCTCCAACCCCCTCCAGACTGCTGTTCGACACCGCGACTCACACTCTTGCTCCTTGCACGCCTTCCACTCACACCAGGTTACAATGGCTGTTGGCAAGAACAAGCGCCTGACCAAGGGCGGCAAGAAGGGTTCCAAGAAGAAGATGTAAGTTTTTTTTTTGCTCCCTTTTCCCTCTTGTTGACCCTCCCGCCTTTTCCCCCAATCGCTGCCATCCCGTTCGTTCGCTGGCAGCGCACGTCTCCTTCTGTGCCATCCATTTGTACGCCGGTGCAGGACCACACGCCGGGACGTCGTGCAATTGGAAAAAAAAATGGCGATGGATTGCGTTGCTTTTTTTTTTTTTGCCAGCCCCATCCACGAGGATGTTTTGTCTTTTTTTCTTCCTCGCTCCTCCCACCTCCATTCCACTGGCCCACCACGTTGCTAATATTGCATCCACCCCTTTTTCTCCACCACCACAGCGCCGACCCCTACGCCAAGAAGGACTGGTACGACATCAAGGCCCCCTCGATGTTCACCACCCGCCAGGTTGGCAAGACCCTTGTCACCCGCACCACCGGTACCAAGATCGCCGCTGATGGTCTTAAGGGCCGTGTCTTCGAGGTTTCCCTCGCCGATCTCCAGGGAGGCAACGAGGAGGAGGCTCACCGCAAGATCAAGCTTTGCGCTGATGAGGTCCAGGGCAAGAACCTGCTCACCAACTTCCACGGCCTTGACTTCACCACCGACAAGCTCCGCTCGCTCGTCAAGAAGTGGCACACCCTCATCGAGGCCATCGTCGACGTCAAGACCAGCGACAACTATGTTGTCCGCGTCTTTGTCATTGCTTTCACCAAGCGCCGCCCCAACCAGGTGAAGAAGACCTCGTACGCCCAGCACGCTCAGATCCGCCAGATCCGCAAGAAGATGACCGACATTATCACCAAGGAGGTCAGCTCTGCCGACCTTAAGGAGTTTGTCGCCAAGCTCCTCCCCGAGTCTATTGGCAAGGAGATTGAGAAGGCCTGCCAGGGTGTCTACCCCCTCCAGAACGTCTTTGTCCGCAAGGTCAAGGTTCTCAGGAAGCCCAAGCTCGACATGGGCAAGCTTCTTGAGCTCCACGGCGACTCTGGCGCTTCGTCCGAGGACACTGGTGCCAAGGTTGAGCGTGGCGATTTCGTTGAGCCCGCTATCCTGGCCTCCGTCTAAACGTCCCACCGTCCCATCTTCTAAAATGGCAGTTGTCTGAAAACCAGTCTCATGCTTTGTGTTTCCTTGACATTTGTTTCGGATATAAATGCTCTTCTATCTTGATTTTTGGTCTTGCAACTTTTTCAGTCGGTGTGCAGTGTGCAGGAGCATGTAGCAAAAGGAGAGTTGAGTGTCGTCGTCCAGACGTTGATTGTTGTTGGAGAAGTGTTTATGCTGGAAGTGGAGAAGTATTCAATGTTTCGCGCTTTTAAAATTTTGGCTTCCATTCAAACCTGAGAACCAGGCGCGAGCCATAATGAGAAGGCATAAAGTTGTGGTTGTCGAGGCAACGAGCTTTCACCCAAACAACCCTAATCACAAACCAAAACACAAGAAAGAAAAGAAAAGAAAAGAAAAGAAAAAAAAAAAAAAAAAGGCGTAGCCAAAGCAAAGAAGCCTCCATTCTCGTCGCCGCTGTTGCTTCGTTGCACTCGCTTAAACTCGCCTTTTAAAATTCAGCAAAGCTTGACTTTTTGTAACCAAAGTGTCAAGTTTAAAAAAAAAAAAACCAAAACAAAACACCAAACACATAGGATTGTGAAACCGACAACCTCATCCAAATTCGGCTCAGTCCCCCCTCTCCAACAAACCCCCTCTCTCTTTGCATTTGATGCCCACCACGGAGACACGCAGCGCGAATGGCGTGGGCACAACTGCGGACACTCCACTGACACCGTCGGCCTCCGGTTGCGCAGCGGAAGAGGGCCACACTGCGGGCGCTCGAGTGGTTACGTCAAGTGGTTTATGCCCCAGTCAGCTCATGGAGGCTGCCACCCTGCCTGCCGACCCTGCAGCAGCAGCAGCAGCAGCAGCACAGGCAGTCATGTCCCAGCAAGGATTCTTCCCTCGCTTTGCAGCGCTGGCAAGCGTGCCATCGCCCGCCCTGACCCCGGATTCACGGTTGCGCGCATCGCCTGGTTTCAGCGCAGCAGTCCGTGCGCCACCCGCCGCCTCCGCCCCTTTGGGCTCAAACCAGGTCCAGGTCCAGGCCCGTATCTCGCGTCGTGCTACTGTGCATGGCGCTGTCGCAGGGCTCGAGGCCGATCATGCGCTGGCCCAGCTGCATTTGAATCAAGATGCGGCGGTTTCGGACGAGAAACCGCTGAATCCGAATCACCGAACCCTGCCTGTCTCGACCACTTTCAAACCATCCTCCGTTGCGGTTTCCACCCCAGAGACCGCATCCGCTGCTTCTCCTCAAGGTGTTCAGTGGGGCTCTTTCGCCGACACCTCGGGCTTCCAGAGAGGCTATCCGGCAGCTTGGCAAAGCCCGTTGTTGCAGGTCGCCTCGACTTCCTCGCCGCCACTCCCGTCGTCCCACCACAGTTCGCGCAATGGTGGCAGCCACGACTTTTCACTTCTGGCACGCGACACGTTTATTGAAGACATTCCCACCGAAACCGGCTTCCAGGTGCTCGCCCGAGACTCGTTCGTCGAAGACATTCGCGCGACTGGCTACCTCTTTCCGCCGATTGCCCATCTCAATCCCACCGGTTTGGATTCGAACAGACCCGCTGACACGACCCCGACTCCTCCATTCGTCTTCCCGTTTGGAGATGATTTCTCGCGCACCGCAACCCCCGCGGTCTGCGCGCACGCGATTGCACGCGACGAGCTCTCCGACCAGAGCTCGTACGACTCTCTGACGCGAGATGCCTTTGTCGAGGATATTCGGAGCACGGGCTACCGCTTCATCCACCCCAGCATCTTGCGTGCAAACTCAACTCCGGATGAACAGTCTGCCTCGATGTTGCCGCGGGCTGAGCACGATTCGGATTCCTCTCTGACCGATCCTGATGATGAGAATGACGACGACGACGATGATGATGATGATGATGATGATGATGATGTCTCTGACAGCGATCTCTTCGAGGACGGCAACGCCGAGCACGCAGAAGACGACGAAGCCCGCTTTGCTTGCGTGTACTCGAGCAGCCACTCTCTCGCGCGCACCATCGACGATAAATTCTGCAACAGCGCGTCCGCTCCAGCTGTTGCTCGAATGTCGGATGCGCGGAGCATGTTTTCAGGTTCTGTCACGCGGTTTGTCAGCATGCGGCAGGTGCAACCGCAGCGTGGTCCTTTGCTGTCCCAGCACTTCACTCGCAGTTCCTCCCTCAGCTCCATTGTCAATCGCAAGCTTCCGAACGTTGTCCAGGAGCAGATGCTCAAGGTACAGTACCGCTGTGCCATGTCGTTTTGAAAGCAAAAAAAAAACAAAACAAAAAACCAACAAAAAGTTGTCGACTCACCTCTGCACTCGCTCAGATCCCAACTGGAGACAAGCTCTATGTCTGCCGCTGGATTGACGATATGCACATTTTGTTTGGGAGCAAAGACAATCAAGTACGTACCGCGAGCGTCTTTCCGAGTGGTTTTTTCTTCTTTTTCTTTTTGCGTTAGTTTGTTTTGTTTTGCGTTTTCCATCCTGTGCTCACTTGACGCCTTCACCGCTCTAGTTGATCTTGTACAGCCTTCGCACCCATGCTTGTCAAACCATCCCGACGCTCAACGGCAGCGCGGACAGAGCCGACCAGCCTGGGATGCACGCGATCGCACTGAGCCCTTCTGGCAGGATGGTTGCGACAGGTGCCTCGGACTCGAGCAATGTGGCCGTTTATCGCTTGCCCGACTTTGCCCCGGTCTGCGTGTTTGAAGTGAGTCGGTTGTCGTCGTCGTCTAACGAATGATTGAACTCGCCTTTTTTTTTTTTCTTTTTTTTCTTTTTTTCATACTCGATTTCTGATCTCTCACTACTTTGGTTCTCACTGTTGATATCGCCTACTCTTTTTCCAGGGACACACTGACAAGATATTTGACTTGCAGTGGCTGGACGATACCAACCTCCTTTCGGCTTCCCGGGACGGCTCGCTTGCTCGTTGGGCCATTCCTGCGCCCGACGCGTCGCCTTGCCGCTTTGGCTCAATGATGATGGATGGCCACCAACCGTCCACCTATCCCATCATTGCGGATCACGAGGTGGTGTTCGACGATCCCAACCAGAAAGTGCGGGCACTGGCATTCAATCCGGCCACCAACCATTTGGGTGTTTTGACGATGGAAGGCGGCGTGCATTTCTTCTCGACCTCAGAGTCCGGTAGCACCGCCTCGACTGCCGGCGTATTTCAGAGCCTTTCTAGCTTCCAGCTCGACTACGAGCACACACCGGCCATCGCTGTGCACCTTGAAACGAACACCTTTGCCGTCGCGGCGGGCGCTCGGGTCATGTTCTTTGATCCTTTGGCAGACAACCCTCTCTTTGAGCTGGAGGATGTCGGCGCCGACTGGGGCATCCGCTCTCTTGTCTTTCGCGGCGATCAGCTCATCATTGGCGGCGGCTCTGGCTTTGCGAGCCATTTCGACTTTCGCGAGCAGGCCTTTGCGCGCGTCCGCCGTCATGGTCGCGCCATCATGAACGTATTCAACCTGTCGCGTCCTTGCACACTGCTCCAGTATGGCGACGTTGAGGATCAGCACGAGTACCTTCTCGATGTCGCGTCCGGTTGGCGCAAGCAGGAAGCGACTCGCTCGGACAGTGACTTTGCGGTGCTCTCCGTCGCATTGGACTCGACCCAGCTGCGAATGGTAGTTTGTGGCGGGCCCCTCTACAGCGCCGCATCTGGTCGTTATGCCTCCATTTGGATGTGAGTGCATGGATGATTGTGTTTGTTGTTGTTTTGCGAGCAATACATTCGGGCGTCTCCAATATGTTTCTATGTGTTTCTTCTTCTTTTTTTCCAATGTTGTTGTTCTGCTCCAAGTCATTCACCACCAGCAGAACATTTCACGATAGCATCTCTTCATGACCGTGGGACGGCGATCATCACCCATCCTTTCACTGTTTTTGTATCTTCGTTCTATTCCGTTTTGAAAAAGCCCGCATCTCATCCAATCCAAATCCGATGTTCGCCCTGGTACACAAAAAAATGAGTTTTTTTTTTTTTTTTTTTTTTTTTTTGGGTTGTGCACAGCGATCGTCGTCTCGTTCTCGCTTCCAGATGCCGCCTTCGTTCTCCCTCCACAGCGGCAACACTGCTCATCCCACCACATCCAGCCCATCCTTACGTCCGCTTTGTCTGCTGCAGACGCCCCTTCAAACATGGCTCCACTTTTTTTTTTTTTTTTTTCCCCTCTTCTTCTTTCCCCTCTTGTCCTTTATGCTGCTTGTGCGTTTCTGACTGCGCTGGTCGTTGCGCAGTCGACGCTGCTGCGTAGAGTGTGCATCGTGCTTGCTTGTTTGTGCCCCATGTCGCTGCTCCACTCACCTTTGCCGTGTCTCTCCACTTTGGATGGCAGACCTCTGCTTCGTCGCGGGCTCTCACGGCCGCCGCCACTCGTGCGTTCGCCACCAGCGCCGCCGCCCCGTCCTCCGCTGCGGGCGTCCGATTCGACTTTCCCGTACGTAGGCTGTTACCCTCCAGAAATCATCCTCTTCCATTGTTGCCGCTGTCCACACTCGTTGTTGGGGTTTGGCGCTTCAGTGCGTCGATTGCTGTCACTGCCGTCAAAAAAAAAAAAAAAAAAAAAAAAAAAAAAAAAAGCTCAAGCAATTTTTTTTTTGTATCAACTTTGTGTTTGTTGAACGCACGTTTTCGCGAGATGGACATCAGCAAGAATGACAAGTGCACAGTTGAACGTCCTTGTCTCGTTGGCATGGATGGATTGTTGGCAATCCCCTCCCCCTCTTCGTTCTGTTGTTTTGGTGGAAAAACTCAACCACATGCACATGCCGCTCTTTGTCGACTCGTTCTTTGTTTGACGCTTAGGTCCCGTTCATGACCCACAAGTGCTCGGGCCTGCCGGATCACGCCATGGCCACCAAGGAAGAGCTGCTCGACTACTACCGCACAATGCAGGTCATTCGCCGAATGGAAACGGCTGCAGGCGATCTGTACAAGTCCAAGTTCATCCGCGGCTTCTGCCATCTCTACTCTGGCCAGGTATGTGTGTCACTGCGGCAGCAAGCATGTGTGTTGCTTATTGACGTAGAAGAGAGGAAGAGAAGGCTACAAAACACCCCCGTCGTTGCCAAACCCCAAAACCCAAACTCAAATTCTCCAATTCCATCCCATCCTCTTTTGCCCTTGGACTTGCAGGAGGCCGTGTGCACTGGCGTCGAAGCTGCCATCACCAAGGAGGACTCGGTCATCACCGCATATCGCGCGCACGGATTCACCTACGTCCGTGGCGTGTCGGTCAAGGGCGTCTTGGCCGAGCTGACCGGTCGCCAGGGCGGCTGCGCCAAGGGCAAGGGCGGTTCGATGCACATGTACAACCACAACTTTTTCGGCGGCAACGGCATTGTTGGCGCGCAGGTGCCGCTGGGCGCCGGCATTGCGCTGGCCCACCAGTACCAGGGCAACAAGAAGGTCTGCATTTCGCTGTACGGCGACGGTGCTGCCAACCAGGGCCAAATCTTTGAGGCGTACAACATGGCCGCATTGTGGAAGCTCCCTGCCATCTTCATCTGCGAGAACAACCAGTACGGCATGGGCACCGCGATTGGCCGCGCTGCCGCGTCCACCGAGTACTACACTCGTGGTGACTACATTCCCGGCATCAAGGTGAACGGCATGGATGTTCTCGCCGTCCGCGAGGCCACCAAGTTTGCCGTCGACCACGCTCGCGCAGGCAAGGGCCCCTTCGTGCTCGAGATGATTACATACCGCTATGGCGGCCACTCGATGAGCGACCCCGGCACCAGCTACCGTTCGCGTGAGGAGATCCAGCAGATGCGCTCCAACAACGACCCCATCAACAATGTCAAAAACCGACTTCTCTCGACCAACCTCGCGACTGCCGAGGAGCTCAAGGTTTGTCGAGATTTTTGATGCTTGAAGTGTTATTCGAGACGATGATTGCTCGTTGGTTTTGCCTTCTTTCTTTGAATTTTTCAAGTGCTTGCGACTGGGCTGACTCTTTGTGCTGTTTTTTTTTTTTTTTTTTTTTTTGCCATTCGGATCCACAACAACAGGAGATTGATCAAGCCGTCCGCAAGGAGGTGGACGAGGCTGTCGAGTTTGCCAAGGAGGACGCCGAGTTGCCAGTCGAGGAGGCTTACACCGACGTGTATAAGGACACTGTTCCCGAAGCCATCCGTGGCTGCGATCCCTTCACTTGGGCTCACCCCAAGCATTAAATGGCTTGCATTGCTTTTTTTTTTTTGATTCCCACCCCCTTTTGTTGTTTTGAAACACCTGATTCCCCACTTTGGATTTCCCCCTCTTTCGTGGTCCATGTGGTCCATGGCTCTTCACAACTTCCATTAAACATTTTTTGTTGTAGTTGTTCCAATGGCCTGATTTGTTTTGATTTCGTGTGCAGCCAGTCGTTTAATTCAATTTGGTGGGTAGTGACAACTTTACCTCCAAAAACGAAAAAAACAAAACAAAAACCGAAAAAAAAAACACGAAATTCTGCAACGTCCATTTTCAGCCGATCGTCCCTTCCCTTGAGTCAAAATTGTTGCTGTCAACATCGGACCAGTGACATGCAAAGCAATCGTTATGAGGGAATGACAGAGTTGAAGTGCGAGGGTCACTTGTGCGAAAAACCAAACAATCAACGCCATCGCTCAAACGTCGCTCTCTGCCACGTCGATGTGCGCCTCGTTTGCCCTTCCAACGGTTGGCGCGCGGTTGTCACAAGGTTGCGACGCATGCTCTGTGCGCTCCGAGGGTGCCCACCTTGCCATCGGATGCTGCGCAGACAAAACGCCACACACGGCATTGACGCACAATTCAACTTGGCAGGACTTGCCATGTGCAGCGGGCGTTCTCTTTGACCAAAAATCAAACAGTCCCGCGACATTGCCGCATTCGCTGGTGTGTGACAATGGAAAACGTCAACTGGCACAAGCAGGAGCAACCTCGATGTGTCATCCTGTGAATGTGAGGCGGACACGAATGCAAGTGACAGACAGACACGGCTTGGCTCACTTGTCCTAAAACATTCAACCATTGCGAATTTGGACAACTACTCGGGTAATTTGTCGAACGATGTGACGATGCGGTGACGATGGAAGCGATCACGTCCCACCGATCTAGTTGAGGGGGGTTGGGGTTGTCACCAAGCTTCTGATACAGCGGGGCAACGCGCGAGCGCACAGAGATGGTGCGATCGAAAATCGACACCCAGAATTTTTTTTTTTTTTTTTGTAAATATCGCCTGTTTTTGTCTGCCGTGTTTGTCCGCGAAACTAACACTTGATTGGGTTGTTGCATGTGGTGTAACTTTTAGATTTGCCAATAGCTTGAATCCGATCATCGAAAATGCCCGCCCCAGAACCCACCCAAACGGCCAGCTCGTCGACAAGCATCGACTTGACTCCGCGCCGGACTGTTGCTGGACCCGGCTTGTGTGCTTTGTATGCCCAGCCTGCAATCCGCAACAAGTACCCGAACAAGCAAAACCTGCTTCCGCCTGATCTGGTGATTGCATGCAACGATCCCATCAACCAGGTTCCGCGCATCGACAGCACGACTCGCCTGTCGTTGGCAACCACGCCGCTTCCTGTGACGAGCCAACCAACCACCCCGAGCACCGCAACTCCGCAGACCCCGCAGACCCCGCAGGATCCGAAAATCACGCCGTACTCGCCTGATGGTCGGGTAGCCACCCGCTTGCAGTGGATGCACGAAGGCAAAAATGTCCAAGTGTCGGGGTCGTACGACGACTGGCAGAGCTTGACGCCGCTAAAGCGCAACCCCGCCACAGGATTTCTGCAAACCGTGCTGCAGCTCCCACAAGGCGTTCACCAGTACAAGTTCATGGTCGATGGGCAGTGGAGGTGCTCCTCCTACCTCCCGACTGCGCACGACCCTCGAGGCATTGAAAACAATGTGATTGAAGTCTGCCCGACCTTGCCCGTGAAGAGTCAACAGCAGGAGCAGCAACCACAGCAGCAGCAACAACAACAGCAGCAACAACAACAGCAGCGACCACGCGCCACAAACCTGGTGGTGCACATTCAGAAGCCCGAGCGGGTTTTGTAAATCTGACGTTTTAAATGTTTGACTTTTCAAGGTTTTGTTTTTTCCGTACCCAATGTAAATAGACGCGCAAACACGCAATGTTTATTTTCTTGCATTCATTCATTATCAAAAACAAAAGTAGCATTGCGAAACGAATGCGAGGTCGAGCGCAACGAAACGCGACGCAACCCAAACTACTCGCTCGAATGGCGAATCAGTTTGCGGACAAAATGATCCGTTGCCATGGTGCGTTCGATCTTGAAGACTAGCCGACGCCTGGTGGGCGAGGCGCTCGCGCGAGCAGCCACGACGGTTTCCAGAACAAGGGTGGAAGATGGTGTGTCAAAAACGGCGGAGACGACGTTGGTAAGAGGCTGCTGATGCCGAACCGTGTCGTGCAGCAAATCCACAACAGTGAAATGATCCTTGGAGAGAAGTAGGAGCAGAGGTGAGTAGCCACTGCTGGACAATTCCCCGCCAACGGACAGCACCTCTCGGAGTCCGCCCGTCGAAACAACTTCCAACACAACCATGGACAGGGCAGAGTGGGTCTTCAACGCGGCCGTCGGCGAGTGCAGCAGGGTCATGCGGTACTTGTCCAGGCTCGGACGGCGTGGCAAGTCCTTTAGCGTTGCAATCCAGTCATCAATCAGGCCGGGATTGGGTCCAGCAGCAGCCAAAACGGCCAAGGGCGGCTGCAACGGGCCAACAGACTTGTCCGTCGAAACCGTTTCCAAAAGGCCGCGCGACGTATAGTTGATGAGAGCCATGGCACCTGTCAATGGAGAGGCGATGGCTCCAAGCAGGCCTCGGCCAAGACCTAGAACCACGGACGAATTGGAGTTGAAGGACTGGCGTGGCTTTTCGACAATGCCAGCAATACCACCAATCATGGCGTAGCCAAACGCTTGCAAGCCCTTGCTAAGCCCATCCGCAGCACCAGACGGACGGAGTCCGGCGCCACCCGTCACACGCGACATGAATGCGCCGTAATCATCGAGCGAGGCAGTCGCAGCCGCCTGGACGACTGATCCCTGGTTGGCCTGGGTCTGGAGGGCCTCAAGATCGAGATCATGCCGAATGAGCTGTGCCTTCAGCATCGCGAGACTGCGGCTTGCAGCAGAAGTGGATTCGCCGTCAGACCCCTGGGCGAATGGAACGAACGAGGCGCGATCGTCGTCCGTGTAAAACCGCTTGCGCGGAATTGTCGTAATGGCCGACGTTACGGCGCTCGAGACGGCATCGTCCACATGGAGGCGAGTAATGTTACGGGCAACGCTCGAGCTAAAGCTGGCAATCGATGAGAGCGAGCCGGCCGCGACATGTCGCACAAACGAGAGCGAGCCCTCGCCCAGGCCAGCCAAGAAGCGGTTGGGGCCGGCACGGTGGCCTCGCAATCCGGCAAGAGGAAGCGAGACCAGGTCACTCACACCAGCGCGAATGCTACGAATGAGGCCCGTCACATTTCCGAGTAGCTCGAGCGAGCCTACAAGCGAAGGCGCGCTGTACAGGAGGTTGGACTTGTACTTGGACGCCACGACGCTGGAGAAGACGCGGCTGGTTTGAGCGTGAACATGGCGCAAGACGATCGGAGACAGGTACAGCGGCATGCGGTCGATGGAAATAAACACCTTGATGGACGCATGGACGGTGACAACGATGCAGACCGGGGCAATGTGGATGGTTTCGGTAAACGTGGCCGGCGCCTTGGTCAGCTGCTGTTCGAACGACAAGAAGGGCGCCGCGAGAATGGCGGGAAGCATGCTGGTTGGGCGAGCAGGCATTGGTGGAAGCATGGGAGGACAGGCGCTGACTCCACCGTTGGCACGAATGGAAAATTGTCCACCAACCGCACCCAGGCAGTACAGCATGATGTCTTCACCGCTAACAGCGAAAGGTTGCAGCTGCACAGAGAAAGCGGACACCCCGGAAAGCGCTAGATTGGACACGTGGTGAAGCAACGCGCTGCCATCAACCAACTGGGCGACTCCGCTGGATCGCTTGCTTGATCGATGGCCGGCATATCCCGAGACCGAGGACACGCGGGAAATACTGACCATGAGCATGGGCATGTGCTCCTGCTCCGGCGACGAGCACCACTGACGATCTCGCAAGCGGTGCAGCAGCACGGGGAACGAATAAGGGCGATCGATCAGCTGGTTGTCGAGCTGAATGTCTCCGACCACCAGCTGAAGGCTGGACACTTGACCGGGCGAGCAGAGTCTCTGAATGGGCGTGAGGTGGTCTTGGTCGCCCGAGACAATCAAGCTGCGTGCATCAAAGAAGAGCGGGAAGGAGTGGTGGTGGGCATTCCGGTCCGGGGTTGAGTATCGTGTCAGAGCAACTCCTCGGATGGTGAGGCGCAGCACTTCAACAGACACTGGCGACGAAGAGGCAGAGCGACTACCAGCATTCGCAGGGGCTGAGGTGGCGCTTGGTGTGGACGCTCCATCGGCTTGCGGTTCGGAGTGAGCCGAAGGCACGTCGCCTGACGACTGCGCCTTGCCAAAGGTGGCAAAGAGAACAACAGAAATCCTGTCAAGGCTCAGCGACAGCGATTGCTGCGTTGCGAATGCAGGGGGTGACAAACCCGCGGAAACGGCGCTATTTGCGCTCGACAAAAGACCTTCGGCTTGCGGCAGCTTAAAGAAGACATGGCGAACACTTCCATTGAGGATGGTTTGGATTTCGATCGAGTGGTCGTCTGACGCGCCATCGGCTTCAAGACGATTGACTCCCATTCGGCTGCACGCACCAAGCGACATCCATTTGGAATCTGCAGAAGTGCTGCCGAGCTGCGATACGCGAAGCAGCAAAGCGGTGGCCGGAGCCGTGCTGACTGGTGCAGAGTCGACGGAAGCAAACGAGGCGCTGCTGGCCCCCGAGGACTGTCGCCGCGCATGCGTGGCGCTTTGGTCGTCAAGCTCGAGCGGTGGTGCGATAGGCGTGAAAAAGACGCTTCTGCCAGACGTGATCCGAACAAGGTTGCGCTCACGCCCGCGCTCACACACTTCAACGTCGTACGGGAGCGCGTTTCGGAGCAAATAACGCGGTCCATAGTTGCAAGTGATGTTGACCGACTTGACACACGATCCCTGTGAAGTGTCGATGCCCACGAGCAATGGCAGCGAGATTCCCTCAGCATGCACGCTCAGACAAACAGGCAGCTCGGCACCAGAGTACGCTTCGTCGAGCGCAATCCAAGCACATCGCTCAGGATGGAGGAGATCTGCCTTGTCCACAGTGACCTGCAGGAAGCGACGGATCGAGGGGCCCGCGGCCGCCACGAGAGGATTGAGGCCGACGCCCGCCGATGAGCTCGTCTCCTTGTAGTAGAGCTGCACAGTGCCAATAGAGGGAAGCAGCTGAACCGGACCGACAGTGAAGGATGAGCTTTGGTTGACATGACGAGGACCATTCCAAACGGGGCCATCGCAATGGTACGCGTCTGCCGCGATCGCCACCGTCTGGGCACACAACGGGAAGGGAGTGCCATTGTACACGACAAACGCATCCGACAGTGCCACGGTGGTCAAAGTTACAGTGGCGACCAGCTCGACCACGGCCCCTCCTGGAGCGGTGGTTGCAGTTTGAGGCGCCGTCTCGAGTGTGGGCAAAGCATCAAGAGTTAGCCGCACGGAAATTGGCGAAGGTGCGACGACAAAGCCAGGCGGTGCAAAGTCAGGTGCTGGTCTCTGGCCATTTTCGAACGATTCCTTGAGCGAGCGCTCGAGTTTGCAAGCAAAGACCTCGTTCGTGAGAAGATTGCGAGCTTGAAGGGAGCTCACTGCGGCCAGAACCAACTGAGGTGCCACCACTTCAGCTCGATTGAAAAGTACGACCGTCGGTAGAGTGGTTTGAGTTTTAGTACCAGTACTCTCGAGCGCCAGTTCAAGCGAGCTTGACCCATTCGCAACCAACAAGGACGGGCGCACACAGATGGTGCGAGTTTGGTGCGAACGCACCACGGGAGCATGCAGAGAGCAGCCGCTTGAGACAACGCCGCCAGCCACATCAATCAGCGTCGACGGCACTGCTGCCATGGCCGTAGCGTCTAACGTGGCGCCGCTGGCCGCCTCAGAGACGGCTTGCAGCGCGTCGCCAAGCACGTCAACGATCGGAGTTGCGGTATGAAGCTGTGTCATCCACTGACTCGCCGGGCAATCGGCATGGGCCACAAGCACAGAATCGCGAGGCGCTTCCGGGTCAAAGTGCGACAGTGCCGTCAAAGCACCAGGGGCGAGTCGCTTGACGCGCGGGACCACCACCTGATCCGATTTGGCACTTGGAGCAGGCACCACAATGAGCGAAATCGCGTGTGGCAGCTCGTTGCGCACAAGGAGGGTGTCGGAGGTGATGAGGCGAATCAGTGGCGCAAAGGCAGCAGGCGCACCAGCAGACGCAGCGCTTTCTGTCGCAGTGGCAGCCAATGACACTGTTGGCACAGGCTTGGCGCTGTCGTGGAGCGGTCGCTGGGTGATGTGACAGCTTACCATCGTGGAGAGCGGCTCTGCCGTCGCACCTCCATGAGTGCCGCTGTGGCTGGTGGTGTCCAGCCAGCGCGGGACCCGGACACACGGAACGGCCAGTGCTGGCAGGATGCGCACAATGGGCCGGGGATGCAAAGTCAGCGCGCCGGCAAGTTCCACTGGGACTGACCACAACGCCTCAGTCAAAGTTCGCGCCGTGACATCGACTCCGTGAACAGAAGCGCGCAGCATTTGCATATCGGCCGACTCGGGAATCACAAATGAAAGCGTAGAGTTGGGAGAGACTCGACCTTGTCCGTAGCACTCGCTCTTGACCAGCTCGTCAGAATCTGGCCGCGCTTGGATGACGTCCGCCGGCATGGCAAACGGGAATAAAGGAAGCTGTGCTTGCTTTTCACTGTCAACAGCGACAATGGCGGCCGCGTTCAATGGATCAGTTCGGCGAGTGCTGCCAACAACCACAGCTTCTACAGACCGTTCCGACCACACCACATAGTCCAACGGAATGGACGCTCGGTTGATCATGGATGCGTGCCCCCGAATTGTCACCTCGACTCGCCCACCGGCAAGAACATTCAAAAAGACTGCAGCGCGGCAGCGCGCTCCACCAATGTACAGCGTAAGGGGTAGTTCTGTCGGGTGGGCTGTATCAATCGAAAACGGGTCAGACCATCGCCAGTCCGCGCCGAGCGGGCCCGCCGTGCAAACGTGCAGCAGACGGCGGGGCTTCAACGCAGCGGGTGAGTCGGACGACGCGTTGCTCCGCTGTATTTGAAGCTGTTGGGCGAGCGACACTGTCGTTTGACGCCAGCTGTAGAACATGGCGTGACCCGAGTCCAAGATCAGGTCTTCGTCCGTGTTCAGCTGGCCGAAACGCAGCGGCACTTGAGTTTCGTTGACAATAACGTAGCGATAGTGCATCACTGGCACCTGACTTGACAAGGCGAGCGCGAGTGCAGCAGCAGGTGTCAAGTTTGGGTCGCGAAGCACAGTGTCCTGCGATGACGACACGCGCGTCACGCCACTAGACCAAAGATCAATGACAGAGACCAGACCAAACGCAATGGCCGGAGAGAGGGCGATGGCCAGGTGAGGCACGCTGGCAGTCGCGTTGATGGGACTGGCAGGCCAGGCTGGGAAGGGACTTGCGCTCTGTCGAAGACCAACGTGCACGCTGGTTGTCGGGATGACGGTCGTCCAGCAGAGATCAGAAGGGTCTAAAACTTCCAACGCCACACTGGTGGACACCGTGGCGTCGATCTTGAGACCCCGGGGATCGCGCGCTGCGCCGGCAAACCATTGTCCACGGGCGCAGAATCCAGTTGGAAGCGAAAACTCGACCACCTCCTGCTCGATCGGAAGCGAGCCTCGCTGTACGGGAAGGGATAGCGCATCCAGCGTCATGTACGCGAAAGGCAAGTCTGAGCGATGCTCGGCATGGCTGTGCGAGCTACTGCTGATGGACTCTTGCTCCCCTTCTGGCTGGGGAACTTGCGGCATGTTGAAAGTGGAAGCTGGATGGTTGACAAGAAGAATCTTCAGCTCGGGCAGACGGAGGACAGCTTCGAGATTCGGCGTCGCAAGCGGAACTCTGCACGACGAGATGCTGACGGCGCCAGCAAGGGCGAGTGACGAGAGGGCTGGCGCTCGCGATCGATCTGCAGCAATCGGCTGGCGGTCTCGCTGGGTGAGGATGGTGACGCGATCGGTTTCAGTCATGCCTTCGACGAGCAGTCGCAATCGCCACAGCCGCGCCGCTGGCGCGCCTTGTAATGGGCTCATCGCCGTTTCTTGCTCGGACAGCGCAAGTCGCTGGAGGGGCACGAAAGCTTGGCGAATCTCATCAAACCACGAAAGCTCGCAAACAATAAACGGGCTGCTGTTAGTGTCTGGATGCTGCACCACGCACAGCTCCGAGGTGTCCAGGTTGGGCGACGCGGGAAAGAACGCGACCGGCAGCACTTTGACTTGCGAGACGCTGCGCCGGTGGCCGTAGTTCCACGTTAGCATTGTGGGATGGAGACCGACGGAATCAGACTCTCGCGAAAAGCAGACTTGGCCGGGTTGGGGCAGCGTGGCAGCAGGAAGAATCTCTGTTTGATACTCGAAACCTTCCCGTCGTATGTCGTCCACCGTTGGGTCGATCGCTTTGAAGGCAGGCCAAGGTGTTGTAAGCCGGCGGAAGCGCAGCGAAGATTCGTGCTCATGCGCCTCGCACGCTGCACGGATCAGCTTTGTGAGATTTGGCGAGAGAGCGCTTGGATCGGGCTGAGAAGTGGTCGTTTCTGGTACGGCGGGTGCCGTGGATGCAGCGCTCACAACACGAGCCTGCACTGCCGTCAAGAATCGATACAGTAAGAGGCCGGAGACTTGGCCAACTCGGACGGTGACTGGCGTTGGGATGCCGCACGAAAGTACAACGGAAGCAGCACATTCCGGATGCAGCAGATGCACGACGTCGACTGCAATTCCGAAATCAAACGGCTCGACGATGGGAGCAAGATTTCGCAAGATTTCCGCCAGTGGTGCCAGCCCGCGACGTGGTGGTTTGGCGGCTGGAGTGGCCAGTGTAACGCTCACTTGCGACGCAACCAGCGTTCCCGACCCACCAACAGCCGGAATGGAAGACTTGACGGAGGGTGGAGGCTGCGGGTGGTTGGTGTTGGCGGCGTAGCTGCCATCAATGCGCTTGATCTGCATCACCAGACTCTGCTCCAATTCATCCCCCTGCGCCACACCCCCGAGGACCACTTGCAGACGCTCAGCGGACAGATGCACATGCACCAGTAGCGAGCCAGCAACGACAGCAGAGGAGGGAGCTGCATAGCTCGGCAAGCCGTAAAACGAGGCGCCTGTGGACTCTGTGATTTCCTCCATGTTCCGCTGAATGCCTAGCATCGCGTTCAGAATGCACGCAACGCTCATAGGAGTCAGGCTGAGCAGCAGGTGGCGATGGATATGGCCTTGTACACTCCACAACGCGTAATGGCTCAGATTCGACCACGTAGATGCAACGCGCGAAGCACCCACCGAGAGAACTGGAGCGTCTTCCCGATCCTCGGCAGTCGACGATGACAGCACATTTTCACGGACGGTGGACAAGCCAGCCTTGGTCGTACTAACGGGCGTTAAAATGGCGAGATGCACATCGTCCAGTCTGGCAGTCGCGTCACGCCATCCGACAGCGCCTTTGATCTGGCGTGCCTCGGAGACAAGCTGGATCAGTTCGCCAAGGATTTCACGCGAGTCGTCGGCAGGTGGTGTCCCTGGAATTTTAGATGCAGACGCTGCTGCTGGTCTTGTTTGTGCAGAAGAAGACAAGAATGCAGAGTCACCAGACGTTGCCATACTGCCGCCGGTAGCCGAGAACAGCAAACGAACACGAATTCGGGGCGCGCTGGCACGCAACCGAAGCGTTTTGGATGCTGGAATGGATGGAAGCGAGGCCGGGCCTGGCAGGGAGGGGAGCCCATCAACGACTGAGCTTGATCGCGTGATCGGCGAGGAAAGAATGGGCGTGGTGGAAGCGCCCATGATGGGTGCAGCCGATCCGAGCTGTCGATCTGGTGGCGGTAGTGGTAGTAGTGGTGGTGGTTGGCTCATCGAGATGCTTTCGGCGGCGGCGGTTTGCGACTTGACCACCAACACAAACTCTGCCAACAAGCGTTCCGTCAACAAGAAATCGACTGTTGGAGGGAAGCGCAGCTCGACAAGCTCTTCCGCGGCATGGGTGGAGGAGGCCACGACCACGTCGCACGGAGCAAGCATCTGACTGCCCGCACACACAGCATACAAGCCGTTCAGATGAAGCTGGGCAGTGTCGTCCGTCGGTTGCACAGCATGGACGCTTTGCAACAGAATCGAACCAAAGCCAAACGCCAGCCGCGAGTGCACGGGCAGTTCCAGCTGAGTTCCGGGATCCAAGGTGGGAAGCACGACTTGCAGTGGGTGCAAGTAAACATGAATGAGTGGTTTGCTCAGCTGGGCAAACCCGGGTAGCGGGAATGTCGGGGTGGAGGTCGAAGCGAGCGGCATGGCCATCGTAGTGGGACTAGGGCTGTCGGTGTTGCCATTGATGCCGCTGGAGCGAGTCCACTGAGATAGCGGTGACATGAGAGGTGCAAGTGGATCCTCAATCAATGAGGCGGATCGCACGGCGCGCAGAGTCGTGAATGCATGGTCGGTGGCCATCTGGCCCAATGCGCGCAGACGTGGCGATGGAGTAAGCGAAAGAGTGCATGCTTTCAGCACGCCGCCATGAAGCGTCAACGTGACGGCGCCAACGCTGCCGCCAACCAAGGCAATGCGTTTGTGCTTCCAGCCAAACACGCCCCATGCTCGACTCGAGTCGATTGCAGATCGAGCAGAGGACGGGTGTTGATGGGTGGCGTTGGAAACACGGTCTAGACCTGCACTGAGATTGTGGCGTGCCAGCACGAGCTGATCGAGTTTGATCGCAGCCGTGTGGGCGCAGTGCAAGTCGCACTCGGCGGCCAAACTGGAGAGCCTGGAGGAACCCGGCGCCCCGGCATTTTTCGACACGTGCTCATCCGCCTTGTCGATGCGCACATGATGGATAATGTCACGCAAGGGGGACGACGTGGCGGACAACCCGCGCGAGAGAGAACTACTGGCGCTGATTGATTCCACACAGGCAGCCACGCAGCTCGCTTCAAGCACGCTGTGGTCGTGGATGGCAGCCATGGAGAGACCGGCGATTCGCAGCGTGGTGCTCACAATCTGGACATGTGGAGCAAGGCGTGGAGAAGCCGGAGGTGCGACCTCGGCAACGTGATCCGGCACAACGGTCAGCTCCAGGGCCTCGACGGAGGCGCAAATGGTGAGGTGATGCACAGATCCATCGCTTCTCGAAGGGATTGCTGTGGCTGTGTTCGACCGGTTGGCTGCGACGCTCGAAATGGGAGGATTGGCGCCTCGTGGGGATGGCGGTTCAACAAAAGTGGAAGCCGTCGCCGGAGGCACATGCACCGCCCCTGGCAGTATTGACGAGGGATTTCGCAGCGCCATGGCAATGTCCTGGCCCCGTCGAAGACCAGTTGCGAGAAGGACGGCTGGGAGGGCCGAGAGCTGCAAGTGGACGTGAGACACTCGCATGGACAGCAAAGCGGTTGGCGACAGACTGGGAAGCAAGTGGCCAAACGACGCGGCATCGCGACTCGTGTCAATCGCGACAGAAACCTTGTTTGGCATCGCAGTGACATCATAGCCACATTCCACAACCAGCTGCACGGGCCGTAGCACAAGGGTGCTTGCTCGGTCGTGGAGTGCGACAACGGCCACGCCATCTGCAGTCACGCGGAAGGTACGAGTCTGCTCGGATGCCTGCGAATCCGACACGAATGCCATGGGATCGGCGGTCTTGACGACAGGAATTGCCAAGGCGGGGTCCAACACCCAGTTCGGCACGGCTTTTCCATCGAGTGTGGACGTAGAGGCGTTCACACGGGGCGAAACAAACACAACAGTCGGAGAAAGCGCTTGCCGGCTTAGCAAGCGAGCGACATGTTCGCACGGCGACCCAACCAGCTCTGCCGACACGGGTGGAGCGTTGGGTGACGCGGACTGTGCGCGCCCAATCGTCTCAACGGGCATATACAACATCACCGGATGTATGTCAATGTGGCTGATCGAGGGGGCAAGCGTGTCTGTAATCATGGTGCGGGTCCGCTGGGAGAATGACTTCAAATCGGTCGCGGGGGGTTGCTGCTCGGCGACAGGCGCGGTGGTGCTTTCCGGCTTGTACTCCACCATGGCTGGCGGTACCATGCGCGTGTTGTGTAGTGAGTCTGTCAGAAGGGCCGGGTTTGAGCGCTCAAGTTCTATCATGCGCGCGGCTTCGTAGGCGCTCCACGCGTGCAGCTGCGGGTCAAAGCACGCACTCGTTCCTCGAACTTCAACCACGAGGATGGGCCGGGCGACAGGCGTGCTGAGCTTTGTGCCCATAGCAACAACCGACCCACTCGCGCTTGGCGGCGCTTTGCGCTGCAGAACGACACGGAGGTATGGCTTGGCGAGGGCGGACGCATCCAGCGGTTGTCGTTGTTGCTCAGCAGGTGCCGCGCCCGAGGCGTCCAGCACGGACTGGCGCGACTCGATGGTGCTTGCAGGGGCGTGGACGAGGACGACGGTTTGGAAGCCCGGGTCCAAGGTGGCAGCCTGCTGTACCAATAGTGGGTTGGCTGCGGGAGCCGGCGACGTCGAGGTGGCTTGCGGATGATCGAGCGTTACACGCACGCTGTCCAACGTAGCAATGGTCGCAACGACATCGCGAGTGACACACTTTTCGAATTGCACCCCAGTCACCTGAACCAGCAGGCGCTTGAACGACGCAGCGGTTGGCCGAGGCTCCAACGAAAGCGCATCGGCAAGAATGACTGCCATCGGTAGCTGAGGCGCGCGGATGGTTGGCTCCGTTGACGGTGTTCCTTCTGACCAGGACTGCAATGTGCGCGTGAGCAGCACACACTGCGGCATCGTCATTCCCATCGTGAGCGAGCTCATGGTAACATGGCGCTCGCTCTGGGACAGAATCTCGTGCCACTCTGGTAACAGAAGAGAAGAATGGACGTGCATGTTGACCGTCGTCGGAGAGACGAGGCGCGCCATCTCGGTTGGGGGGCGGAGAGAATAGACTCGATTGCTGCCGGCAGCGGAGGTTTCAGCCAACAGCTCTTGGGTTTCCAGGTAGACAAGGTGTGCATCCATATCTTGAAAGCGAAAGAGGGTGTCAGAGTAGAAGTGCTGCACCAGCGTGAGCGCCGCTGCAGAATGTACTCGTCGGAAGGCAGCGCCGTCATTGGAGGGGTACGCTTGATTCACGACGCGAGACAGCCTCGAAATGTTGGCCAGAGAAGACAGGTGCCATTCGAATTTCGCAAAGCGCAGTGCAAGACAAGGGGCGACGTTTGCAGGGACGGCGACTGGGCCCAGACCTCGCTTGTCAAATGCAGAGGTCAACTTGAAGGCGGTCGTCGCCACGCGTCGGTTGAGTTCGCGCGGCACTGTCACATGGCGAGATGCGGGTAGCAAGACGAGCAGTGACGAAAAGGACACGTGAAAATGCCGCTTTGGAGCCCGCTTGATGACGGAGGCGAGCTCGTGCAATGGCAGGGTATGCTTTGGGGATACGGGGACTGGGACTGGGGAGCTCTGGGCGAGAGCGAGCTCTTTGCTCACAGATGCAAAAGCCGACAATTTGGAGGTGAGCTGGTTTGTAAACAAGATGGTGAGGGGACCGAAAGCCAGCCGGATTTTCGTTTTCAGAGTGCGCTGCGAAACGCCAGTGTGCGTAACGTTGCGATCCTCGTTGCGCAACAGATGAGACAAGCGCTCGACAGCGCCACGCTGGCCGCCAGCATACAGCACAGAAAAGGCGGAAAAGCGGGCTGGAAGAGATGGATCAGAGCCGACCGTCGCTTCCGGCGGCGCGAAAAACGAGCCTTCAAGGAAGGCGTGGGGCGGGGCGGCCCCAACTGCGGAAGGTGCCACGCCCAACTCAAAGAACGGCTGGTCGAGGTCGGTTTGCGCGTCACCGCCACCCAACGAGGGAAGTGACGTGGAAGAGGCGCCTGGTGCAGAGAGTGAGCTGGTGCCCGTCTGTCCCGCATCGCTCGGCCGCCGCCGGCCAGAAGGAGGGCCCAGTTGGATGGCGGGTCGTTGCGACAGAGGGCCATCCAAGGAAAACTGCTGCAAGGAGGAGAGCGCTGATGTCGAAGCTGTCGAGGCAGGGGTGGCTATGCCGCTCAAAGCACCAGTCGACGCTGAAATCCCGGCGTCTGGCGCGACAGCCGTGCCAGAGCTCGTGATGGGCGCAGGGCACGGAGAAGCGGAGGAGCTGCAGCTGCCTACAATGTATTGAGCTCCCATGCAGACCGAGAGCAGACCCGGTTTGTTGGTAATTTCCAGGCCGCAGCCACTCATCGTGAAAAGCATGATGGGGACCGCCAAAACACGCGAATGCGCAGTCCGGAGTGGAACGGGTTTGGAAGGTGGAGCAATAGGGCGGCCAGCAAACGAAGAGCCAGCAAGGTCGACGCCAGGTGATGCTGGTACCTCAGTCGATGCAGCCGCCGTGTCAAGAGGCGTGCTCGGAGGGGGTGACGTGATCATTGCAGTCAACGCCAGGGTCAATGACGGAACGTAGATACCAAAAGTCAAGGCCGAGCTGCCGGTTTTCCGGGGGATTTGAAATGTCTTGTCAAACGGTTGTGCTACGCGTGGATCGGAAGGAGTGCCGAGGGGAGCAGTAAACCAAGACGATGCCCAGCCCAACCACCCTGCTTGTTGATCTTGCTGCTGCTGTTGCAGAGCTAATGCGCTTGCCTGCCGTCGTCGTTCTTCTTCAAGGTGATTCTGTTGCCGCTCAAATGCCTGATGGGCGGCGTGTTTCCGGGCAGCAGCCGACCCATGGCCAGGACCAGAAGAAGGGTCAGCGTCGTCGTTGTTGTTGTCGTGGTTGGCTGCGACTGTTGCATTGTCGCTGTCGCCTGCAGAACCATCCCATTCAGGCACCAGCGGAGTGTTGCGATAAAAGTCGTAATAGACATCCCAGAAACGGTTGTAGAGCCAGTAGAGCATGGGAATTTGCTTTTCGGTCAGGGACCAGCGCATGGACTGACTAAACAGGTTGATTGCCGTGGCCACGCTGACACTTGGGTTGGTGGCATCGTAGTCTGTTTTGATTCGTGCGGCAATGGTCGAGCGATACAGCAGAGGCTCTTGGAACACGTCAATGGAGCCCGAGGAGTTGCGGTGGTCGAGGCAGAAGGTCACATCCGTCAGCTCCAACAGCCGATGCAGTTCGAGCGCAGAGGCTGGCAGGACAAGGGTGGCGCCAGTGGGAACGCCAGGCACGGCTGGACTGGCACCGCTGCTTGTTGGAGTGGCTGATGTTGCGGAAGCCAGCGACGAAAATTTGGTAGGGCTTGGCGCGACTTGCGCCATCGATGTGGCTGAGAATCGCGCACTCCCATCTGTAGTTGCACCATTGGCTGATGCCGGTGCTTGACTCGTGGTGGCGGAAGCATTGCTCAACAATCGCAGCTCTCCCGCCACCCGATCTACGAAGGCTGGCAACCAATTTGCCGAGCAGGTTCGCATTTGCACGCCTTTCGACGTGAGCGTCAAGACAATGTCGCCCTCGACATACTTGATGATTAGGTTGTTAATGCATAATGAAATGTTTTCTTGAATCTTGGCTATCAGCGCTCCGAGATAGCCCGTTGTTGTCGCAGCACTCGCAGTAGTAGTCGAAGCGCTGGGGTTTGGATTGGTTTCCGACGAGTCCGCGGCAGCATCGCGTGCGCCAGCATCAGGGCCCGTACTGGGCATGCCCAGTGCACTACCAGCCTCGCTCGATGGGTTGGAGGCCCAGGCGGCGGTGTCTGGGTTGAATGCAATTGAGGACGTGGCCGAAGGGCGATCGGTGGCGGCAGCAGTCGAAGCAGCCGCAGTAGCAGCAGCAGCAGCATCGGCGGCGTCGTGTTGCACGGACGTTGCAGATGTAATGACGAGCTCGACCGTGTTGAAGGTGAGGACGACTGGCTCCGAGGTCAGCCTGGTCCACGGGACGTGCACGCGCAGCTCGGCGACGCGACCGCTCAGAAAGCGCACCGGCATGTGCGCCTCGCGCTCGAGGACATCGAGACGCAGCTCGAGATTGCGGAGGACGAAATCGCCCATCCACACGGAGAGCTTGAGATCGGACGCCTGCAGGTTTTTGACATACTTGTCAATGTACGAGCGCAGAATTGGAGTAATGTACCCCTCCAGCATCCTTTGCAACGGAGATGGGAGGACTGAGCTACAATAAACGAAGTGTGGCGTTGATGGTCTGCATTGTGTCTGCATTGCCGTGAGTAATGAGGTGATTGTTCAGGCTGAGTTTGCCGATCAACTGTGAATTTGGATGTGTTTTTTGACGCGACACACGCACAAGGCAGGAGCATCCCACGCATATAGTACACTGGCTGCAAATCACAAAAACTAAACTCTCCTCCGATCTAGGGAGAGGCTCGGCGACAGTAGTCGGGCGTGGCGTTCTCGTAGTTGCCAGTAAAATTGCGATCGAAAAAGCGCAAAAAGCTATCAAGGTGGGCGACCAGCAACCCCGCAGAGTCTTCCGAGATGGTGGTGTGTGCAAGAAGAGCCGGTAGCTTGACTAGAATTTGGAGGGGGAGGCGCGAAAGACGTGTGAAGGTGAGGAAAGCGAAAAAACCACACACACACACACACACAACATCAACATCGCCTTACCAAAGAGCCGAAGAAGATGCTCACAACCATATACTTGCGAAGCTCGGAATACAGGATGGTCGACGGAATAGTCCGCGTACTGGGGTCGTTCAAACCGATAGAGCAGCAATTTGCTCAATGCGCGATCAAAGTACAGCGTGAGGCCATCGATGACTTCGTCCAGCACGTCGGCCGAAGTGTTGCTGTGGTGTATGGAGGAACAGCGCAAGTAACGAAATGTTGGTGGATGAGGAGGCAAGGAGACGAGCAGCCAAACACTCGCCAAAAGGAAAAAGGTAGAGAAAAGCTTACTCGTGCTGCTCTAACTGGGTGGCCTTAAACTTTTGAAGAATCTGCTCAACAGTGGGTGTCCGTGGAAGAGTCACCAGCTATCACAACGACAAGAAAATGAGACTTGGAGACTTTTGACAGCACACAGCGTCGAAACGTCGCGCGATACCTTCTTTTGTCGTGTCACATAGTCCCAGTCATCCACCAGCAAGCGTTTAAGGTTTTCTGGAATAGTGATTCGGATTTCAATACGTGTAGCAGCCTCGGACTCCTATTGAAGAGCAATTGGAAATCGAGAGAAAGCGCGAGAGTTGGAAATAGAGCATGTGGGCAGGCCGCCGTAAGCAACTCAAGCATGCGCTTACTGCCTCGAGTGTGTCGTCAGTACGCGGTTTTCGTCGAGCAGCTCGGCTGGAGGTGGACACGCTCGCGGCGGCGGCTGTCAGGATCATCATGCAAAATACAAAGCGTCAGTGAAAACCCCCATGCGATGCACTAGACGACCAGCAACAGAGCGTTCCAGCACTGACTTCCATCCTCCTTTCGGATTTTCTTCTCGACCGGCTTGACCGCGGGCTGCTCGAGCTTCTTCTTGCTCTCCTGGCTGGCTGCCAGCGTGCGCTGTCGGGCCAAGTTTTCATCGTTCCACTTGAGGATGCGCGTTTCGTCAACCCAGTCGTCCCACCTGCGCCATCCCACAGACACACAAAGACGTTGCAGAACAGCAAGTTAGTTTGTTTCATGAGTGACTTTGACCTTGTATCGGCGCACTTTTTGTTCCAGCCATTGTAATGGACGAGGTAGTGCGGCGCTGGCGAGCCGTCCTTGTCGCGTAGTTTCGCCTCCAGGCACTTGAGATCCGAGTCCAAAGGGACGAGAGAGGGTGTGAGAATCAGACCAAAAACAGGGGGTTAAGGTTTGTGAGCCACAGAGACGGGGGGTGCAAAGGGTTGGGTGTAGTGGAAGAAGCATTGGATGCTCAATGCGAAGGCCAACGCATCCCCTGTCGCGCAAGTCACCAAGACAATCCATCGTCTTTGGATGTCCATTCTGCATCGACCTTTGATGTGTACCCCCCCCCCCGAGTCTGTGCAGTGCTGTGTTGGGAGACGGCACAGAGCAACGATTCTTTTGCAACGCTTGTTTTTGGCGGGAAATGCTCATTGTTTTGGCTTCCCTCCCTTCGAATCGCTGCCTGGCTGAAGCCGCCCAAATTCACGCAATCAAGAGAGCAGAGAATGATCAACCAATGATGATTGACTCACCTTGGCTTCGTAGAGCAAGGGCCCGTGGAAACACAGGACTTTCTCCTCGGGATTGAACTTGTAGGGAAACTCCTCTGCGTCCGTCATTGAGCAACAAAGAGAGAGACTGCCCTCGGAAAATCCATCAACAACCCAACATGATATGGTGTAGAATTGTTTGTAATGCAATGCGAACTAAAAAAGCACCGAATGAACCACGCAGGAGGTCGTTGAAGAAGGTTTTCAAACTGCTCCTTTTTTGATGATGCCTCCAACCCTTCTCGTCGCCCAGCCATTTGTCCATCCTGACTTTTTCCCTTCCTGTTCCCATCTCTCAATTATAACTTCATTGATTATCCGCCTTGGTTGCCATTCTCGGCAGTGTGTCACTTGTTCTTTCTTTGTGTATTATTGTTCCACTCACAATCATGCGGTGTCTGCTCGCTGTTGTCGCTGTCGCTGCGCTGCTCGCCACTGCCGCGTCTGCCAAGCCCGTGCATGTGCAGGCCAACACCTACGACTTTCTGATGATGGTCTACCAGTGGCCTCCGAACGTGTGCGCCACCGAGGCCACTGCGCACAACTGCGTGATCCCTGCCGACTCGCATCTCTTCACCATCCACGGTCTCTGGCCCTCCCGCAACGACACGACGTACGGCTTCTTCCTCCCCACCTGCATCATCTCTCTCTCTCTCTCTCTCTCTTCCTTCTTCCTTCTTCCTTCTTCTTCATCCTCGTCTTCATCTTCTTCACGTGTGTGTGTTGTTGAGTGAGGTGGAATATTTTTTTATTTTTTTCTTTTTTTCTTTTTTTTTCTTTATCTTTCTGTGACACGAGTCGACCCAAAAAACAACAAAAACATGACATTACGATCTTGCAGCGTGAGTTTTTTTTGTGTCGCTCCTTCTCGTTTTTGCTGGATTCGATTCTATGCGTAAAACATTGCAGCTGTGTTTGTATGCTTTGAAGGGAGAGCGGACTGCGTGTTCTGATCAGAGAAGAAAGGACAAGAAAAACCAAAAAACCCGCGAAACAGAACCGCAATAAAAAACGCGCGCTTTTTTTTTCTCTTCTTTTGACACGTTTTACCTGTCAAACTCCTCTCCAAGTGCAAGTAGTGAGTGCGTAAACGTCTTCGATGCGTGATGAATGTCTGGTGCATCGGATTCCAGCATGAAAATTCATCAAAACGGAGACAAAAGCAAAACAAAAAGATCAAAAAAAGATGAAAAAAAACCGCGAAAAAAAAAAAAAGACAAATAATCGACGTTCGTTCTGCAACGTGCTCTGCTTTTTGAGCTCAATGGAAAAGCACAGCAAAATCAAAAGAACAAAGATGAAAGCAAATGAATCTGAAGGAAAAAGCTCATCACATTGTGCAACTTTTTTTGTTCTTTTCAATCACCCGTTCATCAACTTCTGCAGATACCCGCAATCGTGCTGCTCAAGCTGCTCGTTCAACGCCACCGCTGTCCAGGACCTCTTGCCCCAGCTCAACCAGTACTGGCCCAACCTCTTTGCTGAGGAGGCTGCCACCGACTTCTGGTCGCACGAGTACCTCAAGCACGGCACCTGCGCAACCGATGTCGCGTCGCTCGACACTGAGCACTCGTTCTTTGCCACCACCCTCGGCCTGTCTCGCCAGCTCAACGTCGATGCCGCGTTCGCCAAGCTCAAGCCGTCGACAACCACTGGCTACTCGCTCGCGACCGTGCAAGCCGCCATCAAGGCCTACTTTGGCGCCGAGGGCTACCTCACCTGCGAAACCTACAAGGGCCAACAGCTCGTCACTGGCTTTGGTCTCTGCGTGACCAAGAACAACTTTGCCGTCTTCCAGTGCGATCCCCGCGTCTATGGCGAGAACTCGTGCAAGTCCACTTCCGACCTCTTCTTCCTTCCATTCTAAGCGCGTTCTTGTCGAGTTTGTCGAGTTACATTGTTTGGTTTGGAGCTTGTATTCGTTTTCTACGAGCAAGACATGGTTTCTCCTTCTTAATTCTGTCGATTGGCGCTTTTTGCTGTGGTTCGTTCTTGTCTCAACGTGAGGATGCAGGAACAACAAAGATAATCATGAAAATACATCGTTTTTAGCCATTCGTGCTTGCCAAATCGTCATCATCTTGTTGACTTTATCATTACTGTCACCATCATCATCATTAATCTCGACTTTGGATTGAAGGGGGGTCAGTCTAAGAAATCTGCATGTCCGCGCAACAGCCTCCGACAAGCACTGCTGGCCAGTGGCGATCCTACTTTGACGCGCTGATCGATGGCTGCTATTACTACACTGGCTTGCCACTCTCACATAATCCAAGCCATCAGGCACGGAAGCGCATTGCAGACGAGCGACGCGAGCGGCTGCATGGTGCTTCCATAGCCGCGCCTGGAACATCGCAGCCACAGACACCGTCACAGTCACCGTCCACCAGTACTCCCGATGCACTGAAACAAACTCAATCGCCAGTGCGGCAGTGGACGACAGAAGCCGATTTCGCGCGGCGGCTGCACGAGTCGGGCAAACCAGCGATTGTCGTGCTTTCCGTCAATGGGTACGGCAGCCAAGACCAAAAGTCTCAAGCGAGCACAAAGCAGAAAGGGCCTCAAAGAAATGTGTCACCATGCTCACACACTCACACTTGTTGTCGCATTCGGATCTGGTTGGTCCTTTGTCGTTTTGGTCATTCGCAGTGATGCATTTAGCGAGCAGTTCAAGCCTCATTTCTACCGCACTGCGGCCGAGTTTCATGAAGCGGTAGATTTCGTTTGGGTATGGAAGGTCATGATCATTGGTTTTGTGGATGGTAGAATTCAACTCGGCAGCTCAATTTGGGCAATCCGTGCAGGTCAAGTGCGTGAATGCCCAAGCGTTTTGTCGTTCTCGCCAGGTGATCACTTTCCCACATGTCGAGCTTTATGAATCACGCCCTGAGGTAGGTTTTCTTTGTTTTGCTCGATGATGGTGACAGATGCGAGCAGAGAAAGAGATGCTCAACCTGAATCTGATGTCTGATTTCTGGGAATCGCTGCAACACACAGGGCGAGCACGTTCCAGGACAGCCAAGACGATACCGAGTTAGCATTACACCATTCCCATTACACATGAGCTACTACGGACTGCGAGAAATGTTGCGGCAGAAGGACATGCTTGGTTCTTTTGGGTATCGGTCAAATGGCGCTGCAGACGACAGCTGAAAGTTCAAAACGGAGGTGGTGCGAGGTCTAGAGAGCAGTTTTCCATAGATCCATACATGCAAATACATACACGATCGTTTTCAAAGCAAAAGCAACAGGCACTCCATTTTTTGTTTTTTTGTTTCATTCTGCCTTTTGTTTGCGAACCCTCATGTCTTCCACTTCAACCTCGATGACGCGCGACAGCGACGAAGTGAGGCAGAAGGAGGTCAAGATTGCTGCTGGCGCTCAGCGGCTTGCTGCTGTTTCCGAGTCACTAACTGCCATTCCCCCGCCAAGACGGATATGATCCAACGCTACGTGGCGACAAAGAGGTCCCTGAGTGGTTTGCCAACCTGCCAGGTCCTGAATCCAGAGCTCAGCGGCAGAACGAGAAGCTGGAAGTGGATATATGACTCGGAAATGCACATAATGCAGTCTGAAAATCGGAAATGCACAAATGCGGGATGGAGTTCTTGGCAGTAGCGCTTCTGTCAGGCATGTCGCGCCGGCAAACAGAGCAATGTCTGCACGACGGTTGTGAAGTACGGCCGCATACAATTCGTACGCTTCAGTAGTGATTCGAGGTCAAGTTCCGGGTAAGGTCGTAACAAGATGCAAGGGCAGAATTCTCGGAACCCATTTTGTCAGCTTTTGCGTGTAGTAAATAATGAAATCGGCAGATCTGCATGCACCGATTTGAGACGAATACAGAAAATAAAAGTCAGTCCAAACACAACAAAATCACCATTGCATCCAGAACATGTGTGGCATTGCAGCAATTCTCAATGCCGCGGAAGCCGACCCAGCAGCGTCCGAGCTCTACGAGAGCCTGAACATTCTCCAGCACCGCGGCCAGGTACCAAACTTCGCCCTCTCTCCTTCTCTGATGTTCAACGAGTTTGAAGAGTGAGCAGCCGAATGACTGTAGTGTGTGTGTGTGTGGAGAGGGGAGAATCAACCAAATGAGACGTAGAAACCAACCCCCATTTCGACCGAACCAGCGACAAGCGAGCGAGTTCCGTCGCTGGAGTGCGAGTGAGCACTGCTGATACTGAGTTTGGAGTGAAGTTCGAGAGTGGGAGAGAGAGCGAGAGAGAGGGAGAGAGGGACTTTGGGAGGTGAGTGAGTGACCTGGACTGAGTGAGAGGGGCTGTGTGCTGGCAAAAGCGCACATGTCGCACGAAATGCTGGGATGCAACGCGATTGGGAGCGGGGAGCAAATGCGAGTGCTTGGGTTGGCACTGTTGGGGGGGGGGGGCGGAAGTCCATTTGGAACTCGACCACACAGTGAGATCTGGAGCGAGAGAGCCGAGGGGGAGAGAGCGAGAGCCGAGGGGGAGAGAAAGAGAGAAGAGAGTTTGGGACAAACGCCGATTCCCCGCTGCTTCTCCTTCTCTCCTGTCGACTCCGGACTTGACACTCCACTCCAGCCATTCGAGTGCCGTCACTGCAGTCTCTGTCGCGCTTTCACGCAGTCGATGCCATCGTCAATCTCGTTTCCGATGGTTTCCCCAACAATGACTTTGTACTAATATTTTATTTCTTTTCGTGATTTTTTTTTTTGTGATTTTTTTTTTTTTTTTGGCAGGACGCAGCTGGCATTGTGACCTGCAAGAAGGGCAAGCTCTTCCAATGCAAGGGCAACGGACTCGTCCGCGACATCTTCTCCGAGAAGCGCATGCTTGGCCTCAGTGGCAACATGGGCGTCGCGCATGGTGAGTATCAACAGCAGATTTTTTTTTTTTTTTTTTTTTGGGTTGGACGGACACACACTTTGTGCTTGTGGTTTGGGGCGTTGAGTACCTCTCATGTTCAGCTCTCCTGATGTTGCTGCGAGGGTAAAATCTGACCATTCTTCATTTCGTGTCGCTTTTTTGGTTTAGTTCGCTACCCGACGGCCGGATCGTCGTCCGTCAACGAGGCGCAGCCCTTCTATGTCAACAGCCCCTACGGCATTGCGCTTGCCCATGTGAGGATGACCAAATCCGATTTCTGAGCATTCGGTTGTTGCAGGCATCAGCGCGTCAACTCACACGAACTTTTGCTGTTGCGCTTGTCATTCATTCTCTCGTGTGGTCGGAGCAGAACGGCAACCTGGTCAACACGAACGAGCTCAAGGACTTTCTCGACTCACACGCTCACCGTCACATCAACACGAACTCGGACTCGGAGGTTTTGTTGAACATTTTTGCCAGCGAGCTCCAGGCCATTGACAAGTTCAGGTTGAGTTTTTTTTTTTTTTTTTTTTTTTTTTGTTTTGTTTTGTTTTTTGAGCTCATCTTGACACGTTTGTTGGGACAACAGGATTGACCACACTGATATTTTCGCCGCCACCTCCCAGCTCATGAAGAAGTGCAGCGGTGGCTATGCTGTCGTGCTCATGATCACCGGTATGTTGAACTGCGTTTCATTTTGCTTTTTTGTTGTTCGACAACTCGTCTTCCACTCTTCTCACCAACCCTTAAACCTTCTTCTTCTTCTTAGGCTACGGCATTGTTGCTTTCCGTGACGCACACGCCATTCGACCGATCGTGTACGGCAAGCGCGACAACGGCCGTGGCGGCATTGATCGCATTGCCGCTTCGGAGTCTGTTGTGCTGGACGCATTGGGCTTCACCACCGAGGCGAGCGTCGCGCCAGGCGAGGTGATTATCTTTACCAACAGCGGCCAGGTTCACCGACAGGTGTGCGTGGAGCAGGTCTCGTACTCTCCGTGCATTTTCGAGTACGTGTACTTTGCTCGCCCGGACTCTATCATTGACGGCATCTCCGTCTACAAGGCTCGCTTGGCGATGGGCGAATACCTCGCCAAGAAGATTAAGCGCGACTACCCGGCTATTGCTGATCAAGTCGACGTTGTTATTCCGGTGAGGGAGTTTTGTTTGGCTTTTTCTCTTGGGGTTTTTGGTTGGTTTGTTTGTTCGAATGCTGTTCTCGTGTTTCCGAGTTGTTGACCCTTCTGTTCCTCGCTCGTGTCGCTTACAGGTTCCCGACACTAGCCGAGTCGCAGCTCTGCAACTCTCCGTGGAGCTCGGCAAGACCTACCGCGAGGGCTTCATCAAGAACCGGTACATTGGACGCACTTTCATCATGCCCGGCCAACAAATGCGGTATGGTTGCGCTCATACCAACAAGAGCGAATCATTGATTCGATTTTTTTTTCTCGCTCACTTTTTTTTTCTCTTCTTCGCTTTTGTGGCCGACAGCGTCAAGTCTGTTCGACGAAAGCTCAACCCGATGCCCATGGAGTTTGCCGACAAGAACGTTCTGCTCGTTGATGGTATACACAACAAAATAGTGGTGTTCATCATGATTGCTTTTTGTTGTTGCTCACTCCGCTACTACTTGCACTCGAACGCAGACTCGATTGTTCGTGGTACCACTGCTCGAGAAATCATCATGATGGTTCGCGACTGCGGAGCAAAGAAGGTGTTCATGGCCTCGTGCGCGCCAGCAATTCGCTTCCCCAACGTGTATGGCATTGACATGCCCTCGCCCGATGAGCTTGTGGCGTACAATAAGGATGACGCCGGCGTCGCTCAAGCGATTGGTGCTGATGGTGTTATTTATCAAGTGAGTCTCGGCTGGTTTTTGTGTGTTGACATGGTTGATTTTTGAGCCAACTTGTTTGGATTTTTTTTTTTGCTTGTTTGCTTGCTTGCTGCAGGACTTGCCCGATCTCATCCAGTCGTGCAGCAAGTTCAACCCTGCCATCACGACGTACGATACCTCCGTGTTTGACGGCAACTATGTGACCAAGGATGTGTCAAAAGCCTACCTGGACGACCTCGCTCAAAAGCGCGCTGATTCTTCCAAGTCTTCCTCATCCTCTGCCGCTCTTGAGGTGACCGAGATGCTTGGCTTGCACAACGACACTGCCTCTGCCGTTGCATCCAGCACTTAAAGCTGCAAGAGCTGATCTTTCATCCACTTTGACTTGTCGGTTCTCGCTCTTTCTCTCTTCTCTCTCGCTCTGTTTCTCTCGCTCCCTCTCTCCCTCTCTGCTGTCGGCCTCGATGCTCAATTCTTTTTTGCTTTTGCCACGGGGTGGCAATTTGGTTGCTTGTGTGTTTGTGTGTAATGATTAAAATTGACCTTAACCCTAAATCTGAATCAAACGGAAGAGATTCTCGGACAATCAATGACTTGGTGCACTTGCAAGACACTTTCATTTTTCCCCATTTTGCTTCATTCAAAGAGCTTTGCCAGTCTTTCTTTCACTTTTCAGCAATGCAAGTGGGAGACGACTGCCGCTTCTTCCTAACTGCCACTTGTGCCAAGGTAACGAGAAACATATTTGGGTCGTGTCGCCTTCTGACTGACTTGCACCATCCCTTTTTGCTCACTCGCTCTCCGACCGCTGTTTTGTATTGTTGTTCTTGTTTCGATTTAACCACAGGGCGATCACTGTCGATTCCGCCATAGCCAGGTAAGCTCACGCAAAAAAAAAAAAAAAAAAAAAAAAAAAAAAAAAAGCTGGTCTTGGCTGTTGCCCGCGCTTTTGCCTGCCTTCCGAGGCTCTCCGACAAGACAATTGCTCGCTTTGTTGTTCTCTTTCACACTTCCCCCCCCCCCCGGGGTCTTTGTTGAACGCGCGCTGAGAGTGATCCTCCGTTGGTCACAATCGATTCTTGAACGTTTTTGTTGCCCAGACTGACCTTGCTCCTCACTCTGCTGCCCCTTATCTGCTGCATCTTGGATCGATTGCAGGCTGCCCGTGACCATGGAGAACCAGTCACCTGCCCAGACTGGCTTGCCGGGTCGTGCATAGACGCCGCTTGTCTCAAGCGCCATCACCACGCTGCCGTCCCTCAACAGCAGCAGGTAGGGTCACCTTCCCGTTGCTCGGACGCTCCGGATGCCACAAAGGCACGCACAGACCTAACCGAGTTGATTGTTCTTTTTATGTTGTGGCAGGCAACCGCAGTCGCCTGCTACTGGGAAACGCAGCCTTCCGGCTGCCTCAAGCCATCCTGTCATTTCAAGCACTCCCTTCCAAGGCCGCATGCAGCTGCTCCCGCTCAAGATCATGGCAATGCACCAGCACAGTCCCTTTCTTCGACGGAGCCACGAGCTATTCCAAGTTCTGCTGGACGGCCGCCATCCAATTCTACGCTGCTCGAAGGTGTGCATCTCTCCGTTTTCGTCGCCTGCGTCGTATCGCATTGAGAGGCGGCGCGCTCAGCCACACTATCCAAGTTTTTTTCATCTTCCCCAACCTTTTTCCTTTGCTGCGAGTCGTCGAGTCGCGCTCATTTGAGTGCCGACTGGGCTGCTCCCGCGATCTCGTTGGATTCTTTCACGCGAACGTCACGCCGGTTTCCAAAAGCCATTGGCGTCTTCTAGTTTCGAGTTCATTGGTGGGTTTCATTTGCCGGAACGCATTCGCCCGAGCGACAGAACAACGTTCTTGCCTACTGGTTCGATCCTGCTCAACGCGACTGGGTCCGAAATCTTGCCAGTGCCAGCGTTCCTTCCCACGTACAACTCGTTCTACGAAACACTTCTCGTGTTGTTTCCCTCCCTCCCCCTTCCAATTCTGCTTGGTGTGGCCTGCCCCTCGCAATCCAGCCTCGTTCCACAATTTGATGGCTGCGTTGTGCGCGCCGCCTCTCCTCCAAGGCGTTCATTGTTTCGTCCATGATCATTCACCTTGTTCGTCTCTGCTTGATTCTGGCGAACTTTGTACCAACCGGTGACACGACCTTCGGCGCTACTTTCGCTGTTCAACTTCCTTTTCTTTTCTTTTTTTCCAACTTTCGCATTTTCTTTTCTTCTCCCTCGTAACTACTTTCTGTTTGTTCCTCTTTGTCCTGCTGCTGCGACTTCTTGTTTCTTAATGATTTTGCATGTCTTGTATGTTGTTATTCTTTGGTTGCTTTTTTGGTTGGTTGGATTTTTTTTTTTTTTTCGTCTTTGGTTTTTGTGTTTCTGAATTCCTACAGGTTCTCCTTCAGCTCCACAGTCCCGTCCTCCCTCAAGCGAATTTGAAGCCCTTCGGAACCAGCCTCCTGTGATGCTTTTCAACGGAGCTGGGCCTCGCCACGCCGCTCCGCCCCTTCGGCCACCACCTGCACCCTCTCATGCGGCTGTCGCACATCCACCATTTCGAACTGACGTCGCATCAAGCTCGCATGCAGGGCATGCCGCACCTATTGGTCCACCCGGTGCAACCAGTCTAATGGGACCGCCGCCTCGCATGCTGCCTCCACCTCCTGGAATGGTGCCTCCTCCGGGCATGATGCCTCCTCCTGGAATGGTACCGCCTCCTCCTGGAATGGTACCTCCTCCTCCTCCTGGAATGGTACCGCCTCCAGGAATGATGCCTCCTGGCATGGTTCCTCCTCCTCCTCCTGGCATGATGCCGCCGCCACCCGGAATGCGACCGCCTGCTGGAATGATGCCGCCCCCGATGATGCCTTCAGGATTGGTACCACCTCACCTCAGACCGCCGCACATGTTGCCGCCGCCACCTGGTATGGGCCCACCGCTCCATCTGCGCCCTCCAATGGCCGGTCCTCCGATGGCCGGCCCTCCAAGACCTCCGCCAGCCCTGCCCCCGCAAATGACCGCCGCTCAACAACAAAAGATGATTGCCTCACAAATTCCTGTGAGCTCGGTGCCCGCGTTGGGACGCACAGCCAACCCGTCTGCCGCCGAACCCGCTCGCGAACCTGTTGAAGCGACACAACCGCCAACCGAGGCCGGTCCGACTGCAATGCCGCCCCCTTCCAAGCCGCTCGCCCCTCCGACGAAAGCGGCCTCTGCAGCGGCACCAAAGCAGGCCGCCGAACCAAATTCCAAGATCGCTCCGACCTCCAAACCTCTCGCTCCGACCTCCAAACCTCCATCATCTGCAGTTGCAGCCAAGCTGGCTATCGATACCGGGGCGATCCATTCCAGCGCGAGCGACGACGAGACCCAGCAAGTTTCCTCGCCTCGACTCAAGGTGGCTCCAAAACTCAAGTCGCGCGTTTCAGCGGCCCCTGTCGCACCCAGCACGTCGCTCGATTTTCAAGTCAAGACTTTGGAGCAAATTCGGCGAGAAAAGGAAGAGCAACAACAGCGAGAAAAGGAAGCCCAGTCCCAGCCAGCCGCCGCGCGCACCGCTGCTGCGCTCAAGAAGAAGGCTACTTCTGCTGCACCCGCGGCTGTCGCGACACAGCCTGCCCCCGAACCATCACCGGCGGCAGCGGTCGCCACAATGGCCACTGAACCAGCGCCCGCTCCCGCCGCTGTCGTCGCTGCTGCAACTGTCAAACCCGTAGCCAAAGCGACTCCCGCTGCAGTATCTGCGCCTTCGTCTGGAGCTGACGCCATCGTCATCAAAAGCTTTGAGGAAATTATGCGTGAGAAGCGGGCCAAGCAGCAGCAGCAGCAGCAACTTCAATCGGCTGCTGATGCCGTCGTCGTTTCGCCTGCACCTGGTTCGACTGCCACCAATGGCAAAGCCAAACCCGCAATGAAGAAGCCAGCCGCTGTTCAGAACACCGTTAACGCCATCCATCCTCCGGTTGTAGCACCTGCGGAGCTTCCAGTACCGGCGGGAGCAGCAGAAACCTCAACTGCGGTTCCCATGCAAGTCGATGCTGCGCCGATCGCCGTTCCGGCTGCCAAGGCTGTTGCGGCACCAGCACCAAAGCCCGCCGCAGCACCAGCACCAAAACCCGCCGCAGCAACGGTAACGAAGCAAGCAAAGCCGGCATCGACGGTCGGAACCCCAACTTCTGTCGCCAAGCCCGCTCCCGCTCCCGCGACTGTTGCTGCGGCCTCTGCTACATCCCCTGCTACTGCCAAGCCCAAGCCTTCCACGCCCGCTGCAGCGGCAGCACGCAAGCCGATCGCAGCCAAATCGCCTGCTTCCGCGACACCGACAGCGACATCGACACCACCACCAACAATGACTCCCGCCCCTGTTGCTGCAGCTCCGCAAAAGCGACCAGCCGAGGATCCGATTGAACCGACAGCTCCTGCCAAGATTGCCCGGGTTGACAGCGCAGAAGCTTCGCAATCCAACAACGCTTCGGCCAACACATCAGACTCGTTTGTTCGGACTGTGTCGATGGATTTGGATCTTGGCAATATCGGCACAGTGGTCGATGACGACATGTTTGAAACGCGCATGGCTCAGCTCGATGCTCAGAAGCGCACCCCCGCGGTCGATACCAAGCCGGCCGTTCTCGCAACGACATCAGCAGCCCCAAACCCGACTGGATCCGTGCCCGCGTCCGCCGTCCTCAGTGACTTTGAACTGGAATTGGCTGCCTTTGAGCAAATGATGTGAGCTTTTTCTCTTTTTTCTTTGCTGTTGCTGCTTGCCGTCTTCCTTGTTACAATTACATTGTACTTTTACTTTTACTTCCTTCCATGCGTGTCCTCCGTATGTGCAACATCCCGTTTGACCCACTCTTTCTGAGAAGAGATGACATGCTCAGTCTTTTCGTCAACATCTCAAAACATGCAGCCATATTTGGACGAATTTGCGGATGCGTCTCTCTCGGCCACCGCACTGCCCAACGCAACACGCTGGCTGCAGTCGTTCTCTACACAGCACGCCGGCTCCTTTTCCTTCGGGCCGCTCGGGTCGCCGTCCGTGAAGCAGGTTTGTGTGAACATTGGGTTGTCATCAAATCTTGCTTCATTGACCCGCTTTCGCTCACTTTCTCCCGTGTGTAGAGCTTTGTTGCAGCATTGCTCGCTCAGGTCGCAGCTGCCGTCGCGACCGTTCGCGCGCGGGTTGGCGAGCCGACGTCCGATTTGGCTGCCGGTTCGCTGCTTGTTGTGCTCCAGCACGCACGGCTCGCGTTGGACGTCCTGCGGCTGGTCAGTCGCGAGCGCGTTGCTGTCGAAGCGCTGCAATCCCAGCAAGGGCTTCAACTCTGTGTCGATGTGGTTGAGTTTGCGACGGTCGCTGGCAAGTCAGCGTCTGGCGCGGTCGCTTCTGTTGTTGAAGCAGCAGGAAGCTCGCCGCGCCACTTTTACCACTGGGTCTGTCAGCCAACGTCGTCGTCATCATCCTCACCGGCATTGGACGCACAGACGCGCGCGGCGTTGCTGGCTGCGATGGACGCGTGTGCAGAGGACGCCGTCAAGTGCTGCGTCAACGCCATCTTCAACAACGCGCCAATGCAGGCAGCGTTCGTCGCCGTCAATGGTCTGGCAGTCGTCATGAATGTACTTGCACGCGTTGCCGCCTCTGCTGCGACTTTGACCTCTGGCGACACGCCGGACGCGGACGCGGACTGGCCAGTCCCGTCGACCCTTGGCTTTTACGTTTGCCGAATCGTGTTTATGATGACCGCCATGGATCGCACCCAATACTTGCCGATGGTGCGCGACACCTACCATGGGCTGGATGTGCTTGTTCAATTTACGCGCTCGCATGTTTCCACGCAAGCACCCTCGGTCGCAAACCCTCCTCTTGCCGCGACTGAAACCGAAGCCATGACCACGTTCGACGCCATCTCGCACGAACAGCTGGTGGCGCTTTCTGCCCCTGCAATCAACACGCTTAGTGAGGTGTTTAAGCTGCTGTACAACTTGACGCTTCACTGGGAGTCGGCGGAAGACGTCCACACTCGGTCTGACGGGCATCGGCGCGCTGAACGAGCACAATTCGCTGCGCTCGTTTCCATCGTGCGGCCCGTGCTGCACATCACGACCATCCCCACCGGGCGGCTCGACTCGACGGAAGACGCCCTTTTCACTCTGCGCACCCATGCCGTCAACATTCTGACAAACACCCCGCTGGGCTGCACAGACACGATGGTCCTTCGCAGCCCGCAAGATCCCGCCCTTCCGCAGCTCAATCGCCTGGCGCAAGAGCGCAGCTTGCCCGCGCTCAGCAGCACTGGAGGTGCAATCTCGGCGGCGTCTTCTTCTTCTTCCAGCGCCTCGACATCCAGCAGCAGCAGCAGCGGCAGCAGCAGCGGCGCACCCTTGTTTGATGTTCTCGTCGGCGATGGCGTGCTGCGGTTTTTGGCGTACCAACTGTGCCAGATGGGCTCGTCGCCGCGGCTCGGCGCTCCTCCTCAGAGCAACTCTCCGCGCGAGCTGCTCACTCCAGTTCTGATGGCTCTGCGCATTTACACCCGAGGCTCGCGACTGGTGCGTCGCTACACGAAGGCCGCGCTCGCAACCGACCTGTCGACCGTGTTGCCAGCCGAGTTGGTGGCTGCGCTGCCGGCAGCTCTCTCCTCTGCTGGGGCAGCACCAAGTGGTGGAAGCAGCGGTTTGTCGCCGGCAGATGCCTCGTCGTCCGCATCAAGCACTCTTGCGCCGGAGGAAGGCACGTCGCTTCGTGCCGCGCTCATCCGACTTCTTACCTCGCATGTCTCGCAGGTGAACGCGCTGGCTGGGGATGTGCTTCTCATTCTCTGCAAGGGCAACTTGGCCAAGCTTGTCCGGATGACCGGCTACGGCAACGCCGCTGGTCTACTTGCCAACCGCGGTCTGTTCGGGCAGCCCCTCGACGACCGCAGTGCCGACCCGTACTCGTCCGAATCGGATCAGGAGGGCGAGGGTGACGACGTTGAGGACGAGGAAGCTGGGCGGCTGCGTGACGATCGCGCCCGCAACATCAACCCCATCACCGGCAAGCCATTCGATGATCAAGCACACGACAAGATGCAAAAACAACTTTCAGAAATGACCGAGGAGGAGCTCGAGGCCGAGGCCGCCCAGCTTGGTCTGCTCTTCGAGCGCCTCAACCGTACCGGCGTTATTCGCGTGATGGGTGTCAACGAAAACAACGAGCAGACGCCGCTCAATTTCCCTCCCGAAGAAGATCGGCAAGATGGACCTTCAGGGCCATAGTCGCGTGCTTCATTTGCTTTCAGTGCTGTCAAACCAAAAACAAATACAAACAAAAAAATGGTAGATCTTGCAGTTGTCTGGCAATTTTCCTTCATGCCTGCTGTTGGTGCTTGCTGTTTCGGTGATTGTCGGATACCCACGAAGCTGCATCATGAGCCAAAAAACCCCCGAGTGATTGATTCTGGAATCGATGATTTGCATGATAACTTGACGGAGGGTGCAACGAAAACAATGTTTCCGCTAGTTCTCACAAAAAAATCGATGCCGACTACAAACATGAATGCCGAGCGCACAACCTGGAAAAAAATGGTTTGCTCTGAGACTTTCACAAATCAGTCCTGTTTGTTTGTTTTGTTGGTCGAAAATGCTGTCTTATCAGAATATGAACGAGAATCAGCGTCGGTTGTATGACGAAGCCAAGGAAGCGAATCGGAGTGGATGGCTCGAGTAAGCGAAAGCCGAGTTTACTGCGAACACAACAACGCATGGGTACTGACGCAATGGCGGGGCAGTTTGAGGCACAACGAGATTGGCGATGCTGAAGCGCAGGCGATTGCAGAGGCACTCAAGGTGAACACCGAGACGAACACAATTCTGCAAGGCACCTTACGTTCATTGATGATGTGTGATGTCCAGCAAGGCGCGGGGGGTGGGGAAAGGCGTTTCAGAGTGGCTGACTGACCGAGGCGGAATGGTGCAGATTGGGCAAGAATCGGATTGGCGATGCTGGAGCGCAGGCGATTGCCGAGGCACTCAAAGTGAACAAGAGTGTCATTACACTCTAGTACGTCATCTGAGTTTGTGAGTGATTTTCAACAGAAGGCGTTTCAGGAGTGCTCACGAACGAAGGATTGATTAGTGTGGAAGGGAATCAGATTGGCGATGCGGGAGCTCAAGCGATTGCTGAAACACTCAAAGTGAACACGACGCTCACTGTGCTTGAGTGAGTCATTATCTTACTTTGATTGATGCATGTGAGTGGGTGATGCAACAGATGGCATTCAGAGTGCTCACTGTTGGAGGGGACGGACCAGTGTGAGCGACAATCAGATTGGCGATGCTGGAGCGCAGGCGATTTTTGAGGCAATCAAAGTAAACCCGACAGTGACTTTTATCGAGTAAGGCAGGTCACTTTGACTGTTGCATGTGAGGGATTCATAAAAATTCCGAATGCTCACTGATGGAGGGGAGTAGTTTGCATACGAATGAGATTGGTGATGCTGCAGCACAAGTGATTGCCGAGGCACTCAAGCTGAACAAGACGGTGGCAAAGCTCCGGTAAGCCATCTCACTTTCATTGATGCTTGTGAGTTGGTGATTCAGCAGAAGGCATTCAGAGTGACTCATCAATGGCGGGGACGGACAGTATGGACCTGAATCAGATTGGCGATGCCGGAGCGCAGGCGATCGCTGATGCACTCAAGGCGAACACGAGTCTCACAGCACTCTCGTAAGTCATTTCACTTTGACTGATGCATGGGAGCGGGTGATTCCTCCAGAGGACGCTCCAAACGACTCACTGATGAGAACAGGTTGGGTCGGAATCAGATTGGCACTGCTGGTGCGCTGGCGATAGCTGAGGCTCTTCAAGTGAACAAGACGTTAACTAGTCTCTAGTAAGCTGATGTGCGCTTTGCTCGTTTCAAGCGTTGGAGGGGGGGGGAAGGGCATTCTGCTCACCAATTGAGCGACAGCCTACAGTATAATTGCATTGGCAATGTTGGTGTTGAGGCGATTGATGAGGCACGCAAAGTCCACGGCACGAGTGAAGTTTCGTAAGCTGCTGTTCTTGCCAATGAGAGCCATCGCTGCTCGTGCAGTGTTCCTCCGACTAACACACAATGATAAACTGGCCTGCTACTGACTGCTGCTTTAACGTGACTGCTCGGTGCACAGGATCTCCGACCAGATCAACCCTCTCGCATTTTCCTTGCTTCCACGATTAGCAACTGCTGAAGACCTCCAGGCTGTGTTTTGCTTGCTCATCAGCGGATCAGAACTGCAGGATCAATCCGCATCGCTACCAGTATTACCGCCCGAGCTTGCCGAGCGGATTATGGACGAAGCGCATTACTTTCAAGGCGTACAGCATACCAAACGATCGCAGTTTTCTGCCGCTTTCTTCGGCCTTGCTCTCAACGTCACATTGCCTCGAAACTCGGTCCGTGTAAAATCAATTCAAGTGCTTCGTGACTGCAGGGCTTCGCTCGACGAAATCGCCTTTGATGTGAATATCCGAGACGATCAAGGTGCCGTTCGATACGAATGCGCTGCCAAACCGGCTTTTGTCGAATCGACCATTCAGCTTGTGACAATTTGCCCAGCGAGTCATCCCTTCCTCCGCCAAATACGTGAGAGTTGGCAAGTTCAAGTTCAACCCAGCAAGGTTTCCGCAAATTTGCGTTTCGAGTCCCTTTATGTTGGATATGTCTAACGGCAGTACAACCACCAAATTCCCTCTTTTTTTTTTTTCTTTTTTTTTTTTTTTGTATGCTTCCTTTCGAAACGAATGCAAGCCACTGTATTAGATTTCTACCACAGCAAGAATCGTCGAAAGAAATTTGTGTTACGCAGACGCAGACTCTTGCTTGGCCTTGACCTCACGAACAATCTTCTCTACTCCTTGTTCAAGCGTCAAAAACTCTCCGCTATTCTCAAAGGCGTGCATGTCCAATGCCACGACGCAGCTCTCCTTGACAACACGTTGGTTGTCTTGCTTGTAGCTGTATGAACAACAGAATAACGACACAAATATAAAGTAAGATGATGAGCTTTTGCAGCAGTGAGGTGTGCCCAATTCCCCACTATACCCGCCAAAAATGGATTGAGCTTACCGCTCCAGGACGGGCAGGCACTCATCTGTAGCAATAGAGCCAAGAGCTTCGGCGCACTCATGACGAACCATCGAGGACTCGCTTTCGCCACGCTCGAGCACCTTGATCAGCCCGGGCACCGACACTGGGTGCTGCATTTGACCAAGAACGTACGCAATTTCGTGACGGAAGAGGGCACTCTTGTCATCAAAACCATCCACAATAGCCTGATCAACGCGATGACGAACGAATGGGGAGGGTGGTTAGTTTGAGAGGAGGAGGAGCAACAGCCAAAAACCCAAATGAAAACCAAAACCAAAACCAAAACCAAAACCCCAAAAGAAAAACGCACCAAAACAGACTCGGGATCTCCCTTGTTGCGAAGCGCGAACAGAGCGCGATAGCGCTCAAAGAGGGTGAGCTCAGTGTCCAACAGGCGGCCACGGAGTTCGGCAGCAGTCGCAGGGGCGGACGGAGGGGCAGGGTCGACCGAATCGTAGGGATTTTCGCTGTGACGGCAAAATCGCAACAAATGGTTTGTTTGATGGCGTGAGAACAACCCAATGATAAGCCAGGACGAGCGCCGTTTTCCCTCGTGACGGCGTCGCTGCTGGTCGCCGCTGGTCCTTGCTTACCTGAAATCACCGGTTTGTTGAGCAGCCTGCTTGCCGCCGTTTTCCCACTTGACGCGGGCAACAGCAATCTGGCACGTCTCTGAAACTTCGACAACGGGATCCTCGAGGTGTGCGACCAGCGTTGCGAGCACCTCGGGCGTGCCAATAGCGCCAAGAGCCTCTGCAGCCTAAGGATGCAATGAATGCAACACAGGTGAGCACAACTGTTTGATGAGATGGGTTTCGATTGCTCAGAAACTCGTCGTCCGCCGATTTTGCAACAAGTTTTGCATTCATGTGAATTTTCTGTTGTTTCTGCGCATGGTCTTGTTGTTTTGTGTTTTTACCTCATGTCGGACCATTGGTTCCTGGTTTGTGTCCTGCAGCACTTGTGTCAAGCACGGAATGGCGTGCGTATCCTGGAGCTGACCGAGGCAGTAAGCGAGCTCGTGCTTGAGCAACGCCGAGTCGTCCTTGAAGCCTGTGCAGCAAGAGAAACCCCAGGAGAGAGACAAGAGTGAGCTGAAGACGGTTTTGCAGCTTCGGGTTGGGAGGGTGTGTGTGTGTGTGTGTGTGTGTGTGTGTGTGCTTGTGGTCGACGTGGATGGCTGAAGAGTGCATGTGGAGCACTGCCACATATGGCGCCGCTCTCACACACACACGAGGACCGACTTACACTCGGCAATGGCGTCGATGGCTGCAGCGCCGCCAATGTTCTTGAGGGTGAAGAGAACGCGGAAGCGCTCGTGCAAGGGACGCTCGGGGTCGTTCAGCGCAATGCGGAGGCTGGGGACGTGCTGGACGAGCGTTGCGGGCGAGTCGCGGAGTTCGTTCATTGTGCTTGGAAGTGTGTGGTGTGTCGAGTCGATTTTTTTCTGTGTGCCTGAGTAGTGTGAGAAATGACTGGAGCAGAATGAATCAAACACTTTCGGCTTGTGTGCAAGGTTTAGCAGAGGGAGTGTGCGAATTCGGACGAAAAAGCCGAAACCAAGCCGACGTGAAGAAACACAAAATCTCAGAGTAACAATCATAACAATAACAGTACTACTAATGATGTTTCACGTACAGTACTGTACCTTCTTTGTCTTTGTTTTGTATCAGTCTCACTTTCTCAGCGCACCCGCCGAAAGCAAGCATGAACGTGCGGAGAGCGACGATTGACGATCTGCAGAACATGCAGCACTGCAACCTCATGTGCCTGCCTGAGAACTACCAGATGAAGTACTACTTGTACCACGCCTTGTCATGGCCTCAGGTGCGTCGGCCGCCGCCCATTCATTCAGATCTGCCAATGCCAAGATCGCCAATTTTTTTTTTTCATTGGATTTCCATTGGATTTTCCTTCCATTGGATTTTCCATTGGATTTCCTTCCATTGATCGATGCTGACACGCTGCAATTCCTGTTTGTCCCACTTTTCACTTTTGCTTGTGGGGGGGTTTTGTTATTGGCTTCTCGCAGCTGTCGTACGTTGCGGAGGACGAGGACGGCAAGATTGTCGGCTACGTGCTGGCCAAGATGGAGGAGGAGCCCAACGACGAGCCGCATGGACACATTACATCGCTCGCAGTGCTCCGATCGCACCGACGACTCGGTCTTGCTCGCACGCTCATGAACCAGGCGTGCCAATCGATGGTCGAGACGTTCCGAGCGCACTACGTCTCGCTGCACGTCCGCAAGGTAAAAACACAAACCCAAACAACCATACAAGAGCAGTTGGTTTTGCTGTTTCATGCTGGAGATCAGCCCTCGTTCGAGTCTCCATCTCGCATGATTCGCGTCAGCGTGGGGGAAAGGGGGGGGCGGAGAAGGAACTCCCCTTTGAACGAATGGAAACATTGATCGAGAACGAAACACCCCCCGGAAAGCTTTGCCTTGAACCAGAAACCAAAACTCAGCCGCTGTTTCGCTGTTTCACTGTTTGGACTGCTGGACACGAACAGAGCAATCGCGCTGCCCTGCACTTGTATCGCGACACGCTGCAATTCAGCGTCTCCGAGATTGAGTCAAAGTACTATGCGGATGGCGAGGACGCGTACGCCATGAAGCGCATGCTCAACGAGTTCTTCCCAAAAGAGCTTCTCCAGGAGCTCAAGACCAACAAGACCGATTGAGCGGTCATCTCGTTCGTTTAATTTTGTGTGTTCCGGTGTGTCGAGTCAAAGAGAAACAACCCCCCCCCCCGTTGTGAATCAAAAGAAACAGAAAACAAAAAAGAAAATGAGAAAGTTGCTTGTTGTTACGCTTTTGAACTGCATTTTAATTGAGACTACAGTTGCAACCTGCTGCACAAACCACGGAGATGTGTTTTCGTGAGCGCCTCGATGGCAGTGAGCCGGACGCTCAGTGCCGTGTTGACATTGAGCTCGGGACGGTTGAGAGCCGAAGCCAAAAACGCCACTCGGCCTTCGTCGCCGGTGAAATGCAGCACGTTCGCGACAGCCTCCAAAAGCTGCACATGCCACACGGAGGCAAACAGTTCCGTGGGCACGTCTCCGAGCCGAACTTGGCGCAAGCACCAGAACGCAGTGGACAAGCCGGCAATGTTGGCGCCAAGTGTGTCGCTGCTCGACACGGCGCCAAACGGCTCGGAAGACTTTTGGGTTGACTCGGGCGTCGAGTTTGCAGGACGCGATGATGGAACATTGCTAGGGACGGTACTGGACGGGGCAGGGCCGCCAAGCTGCAACGGGAGATCTGCCAAAGTGTTCATGGGGGTGGTGGCACCTTCCACGAGAAACTCGCCAAGAGCGCGGAAGGCAGGGCCCAAGTAGAATCCAGGAGTGGCAGTGTTGTCAAAGAGGTAGGGAGTCGAGTGCTGCGACGGATAGTTGGAGTCTGGCAGTGCACGACTCGCACGAGACCGCTCGTTCTCCCGAATCTTTGTGGCCGCCTCGGGATGCAACCACGGCCAGGCCAGAGGAAGCTGGCAGAGAATCAAGGCATCCATCAACCAGCCGAGTGAAATGCTACAGAGAACCATCCGTCCGAGCACACCGCTCGACCAACAGTTTGGCGGCAGGGTCACAAAGTTGCCGGAAACAGCGCGACCAGCCGCAAGGTACAGGCTGAGGGCAGAGTGAGTGCGACCGCGCGCAAATTGCACATCGGCAAGACCAATCAAAAAGTTGGGATGGCACGGTGAGCTGGCGAGACCAGCATGCAGCAGCGACTCCATCGCGGTCAGCAATGTAGCGCCAGTCAACTTGGAGGAGGCGAGCGGCGGCGAACTGTCGAGTGCGCTCGCTTTCCGAACAGGTTGCACTCGAGCGCTTGGCAAGCCTTCGGCAGATAAATAGGGCCGGACGGGCAGCAATGCCGGCAGTGGGAGTGTGCCAATAATGGCGCAGACGGATTGCACTGGAGTTTGCTCCTCGGGCGCGGCACTTTGTTGCGCGTGCTGCAGGTTAAACTCACGCGCCACGGTCAAGAGCACCCTGGAAAGAACTGGCGCCGTCACGCACGCCCCAGTCACAAACCACGATACAAGCGGCAAACAGGACACAATCTCGGTGTGCAGTGCGTTCAGATCCAGCGCAGGAACTGGCTGGGTGCGTTGCTGGCCTTCGAGGAAACGTACCATCCGTGCTCTCGCTTCGCGAGCGCGAGCGTTGTGCGTCTGGGATGCCTCAGAGTCCAAGGCGGCGGAGAGGGCGTGCCAGGAATGGTGGCACAGCACGCGAAGGGCTGGAAGAGCCGAGCGGAAGGAAAGTGCTTCGGATGAACGGTTGACCACGTCTTCGAGTTGCCGAAAGACTCCAATCGCACCATGATCCACGGCATAGCCCAGGAATCCAAACACTGCTAGTGGTGAGAGCGCCATCGTTGACTGCGGGCTCGACATTTCGTTCACCACAGCAAACACAATGCCCGCAGCGCTGTCCGGCGTGTTCTCGTGATCGAATACGAGCTGTGACCCACCCAGCGACAGGCAGCAGCGACAGCACCCCGACGATGCAACAATCTCGTTGGCGTGCGCCAGGCGTAATGCCAGCGCGCCGCATGGGTGTTGCTTCAAAGTACACTCTCGCGAAAGCATAATCCATTCCACAGCAAGCCAAAGCTGGAACGTGGACGCAGTCGAAGGACTGCTAGCAGCAAAGGACCATTCGTTCGCGTCGAATGAACAAGCTCGCGGTGCGGCTTGAACAAGGAAACGGAGCCAAGCCAATACTGCCGAGTCTGGTTTGTTCTCATGGTTGACGAGCATCTGCGTCGCAAAATTCAAAAGCGCGGCAGCCGTAGACAATGAACCAACCGCGCGCGCCTGACCGGCCTTGACGACGAGGACGAAGGCTGCAACGGCGTTGGCTTGGGACTGCAGCGAGCTCCAGCTCGGTGAGCCACCAAGAAGCCCTGCAAGTGTGAATTTGGGGCCTGCGGCATCGACAATAGACTTTGTAACAGAGTCTGCGACCAGGGTGTCCAAGTAGCTCAGCAGGGCTACAGTCACACTGTCCGAGTCGGGCAGCCTAAAAATGGCGCGCAATGAGCGACATGCAACCTCCGGCTCCATGGTGTGGGTCAAGTCCCAAAACGCACGTGCCTGGGCAACGGGCAGGAGCAGATCGGAACCGATTTCTACGGGTGGCAATGCTTGGTCCTCCACCCCTTGGGTGCTTGTTCGGTTTGAAGCGATGAGCGCTTGTCGCGCCAAATCTTGACGCAGCTCGACAAGACGTTTCCGGTGGGTGGCTGCGGCCCGCGCTCGCTCTTGAGCCGACATGCCCTTAGTTGCGTGGCCATTGTGTGAGTGCGACGACGACGACGTTGACTGCGGAAGGACCCGACTGGGGCGAGCAACAGACGGCTTGGTAGTTTCAATCGCTGGCGAGCGAGAAAGCAGAGCCAGGTCATCGAGACAGCTGAATGGCGCAGGCTTGTCCTCGCTTAAAAAGTCACGCAACCCGTTGGCAGCGCCGGCGGAAGAGAGGAGCATGCCAGAAACAGCTTCAGCCAGGGAGCTTGGTGGTTCCGCTGATTGGGTCGAGGAGAAGGGCGACAAGTGTGACTGTGCCAGCATGGCTTTGCACGCAGAGATAAAACCGTCAACTACAGCTGCATCCGCCGTGACGAGAGGCCACGCAAAAGGGAAGGCTGTGGACGGCAACTTTGGCCGGGCTCCTTCGCCGCCTACGAGCGTCATAGCAGTCTGGCCTTTTCGTCTAGCGCGCAGAGCATACGCTTTGCTATCAGCATCACTGGCAATGCGACCAAGAGACATGTATGAAGAAGCAGACAAGCCCGAAAACAGGTGCACGGCGCGGCCGAGAACAGTGGTGATGGGGTCACCGCTGTCTTCCCGATCAGCATCGCTTGGGCTCCGTTCTTGTCGTGAAAATGTGAGAGCAAGACGTGCGCGAATACTGGCCGAGTCCAGCTGGGCAAAGTCGGCAAACGAGGGCAAGCTAGCCACAGTGGCGGCTTGCACAAACACCTTCAAGGCGGGCTCCAGGCGCGATTGCTGAAACCGGAAAGACCCGAGCTCATACAAGATTTGAAAGACGTGCAGTGTGTGGAGTGCTTGCAACCGCTGACAGAGATGGCTTCGCAAGACCGACCAGAGTTCGTGTCCCGCAATGTTTTCAGGAAGCAGATTCCCGAGCTTGACGATCGCGCGGTCAAGAATAGTTTGCACCGCCTCGTCGAAATTGGGCTGTGTCGAGTACCAATAGGCGTCGAGGTAGGTCTCCAGCGAGCTCTCGGCGACCCGGCAGGCCCGAGACACGAACGTGGCCGAGTTTGGATGCCCGCTTGCCCCAACGCGCACGGCACCAACAGGAGCCGGTCCCATGGGTGGCGTGTCCTTGAAGATGAACATTGGCGACGCAGGATCGTAGAGGGCGGGGAGCGCCGAGAGGCAGTCGAGCGTCAGACGACGGTTGTTGCCGAGTTTGAGCATCCATCGGTGGGCCAGCATGTTTGGATACTCTGGCAAGAAGCTCGTCAGGGTGGAGATTGGCACGGCTTCGAGCGCTTCGAGGAATTCGCTGGCTGATAACCCAAACAACGCGGTGGCGGAAGGATTGGGCACGGGTGGCAGAGGTATTCCAGGAGCAGTGGAGGACGATGTTGGAGTGGTTATGCCGGTTGCTGTTGCTGTTGCTGTTGCTGTTGTTGTTGATGTTGCTGCTGCAGCGGGAGGAATGATGGAGACTGAGGGCGCTGGAACGGCGGCCGGCTTGACCAAGAGCGACTTGGCGAGCAACGCAACGGTCAGTGTTTGCAAGTGCTGCAACTGCTCGGGCAGAAAGTGTGCACATTCACCCATGAGTCGCGCCTGCGTCAGCGGCTCGATCGATCCGCAAATGTACTCGAGCGAGAGGCCCAGATGGAGGACGACATGCACTGCCAAGGCGCGTTGTCTGCGTGCTCTCCGTGTGTCAACGATCGCCGGGACCTCCTGGTCGCCCAGCAGCACGCTGGAGACGAGATCCGTGTAGGCCGACTGTCGGTGCTTGATTCGCGTCGTCCCAGCCACGCCTCCGATGAGGGACGAGACGGACAGTGACCGGGATAGTAACGGTGTACCCATTGTCATTGCGCCTGCGGTAGCATCATCCTGGTGGTCAGTGTCCATGGGTACGCTGGGTGTTGCCGGTCGACTTGAACCTGGCGATCGGCCGCCAATGTCACCACCGTCGTCGACGTCGGCGGCCGTCGACATGATCAACGCGGACGCCCATGATGGATGCTCATCGCTCAGATCTCCGTCTTGGCCCAATCTTGGTCGCTTGCTCCGGGTGAGGTCGGACGATGATGCAGCACCAGCCAAGTCAATCATGCCAAGCTCGTTCGCGGCAGTCGCAGCCGTCCACGCCGCGGCAGCGTCTGCAGTCGCCATCCGCCACTGGTTGAGATTGTTGAGGACTTCCTGGCGGGACGATTCGCCGCCGTCCTTCAGTCCAAACCCAGCAGCAGCAGCAGCTGCAGGCGATCCAGCGGCGCCGTTCGAGCCCAGTCCCGTTGAGCCAGATCCTCCAGCAGCACGGCCACTCGACTTGTGATCGCCGCCGCCGCTGTTGCTCTGATCCAGCGTGGTTGCGGATGCCGTCGTCGCTGATGCTGATGGAGGGGTTGGTGCGAGGAAGGCCGCCGTCCATGCTGCTGGAGTCGCTGTCGAGGCAAACAGCAGCGATGGCAAGCTCGACGGGTGATGCACCGCCTCAGTCCCAGCCCACGGCAGCAGCGACGACGACGACGTTGCGTCGCAGCAGCCATTTTTGCTTTTGTGAACAGTAGTGGAATTGGAACCAAAAGAAGGGCTGAATGAGAAAAAGTACAGTAACAAAAAAAAAAAGTGACCAAGAAACTGAGATTTAGAAGACTGAGAAGACAAAAATAAACAAAAAGCAAAATAAAAAGCAAATAAAAAGCCCATTTCTTATTTTCTTTCCTATTCCGATTCACTCAATGTCTGGAGCGGCTGCCATCATCCACGCGCTCACAGCCGTGCCTTCAGCACACAGCAATGGCAATGGTAAGAAGAAGAAGAAGAAGAAGAAGAAGAAGGAACAACGACAGTGTTGTTGGATGAATGAACGAACAGTGGTTCAAAATGATGGAAACGAAGTCGTCCCTGACGAATGGCCTGGTTCCCCCCCCCCCTTGCAGGCGCTCCTTCGACGCCGCTGGCAATGCAGAGCCCGACCGCTGGTGCTGGATCTGCGGCTGTGACTGGAGGTGCATCGAGCGACGCGGTGGTGCCGGCGTGGGCGACCGATCCCGAGTGCGCTGCGTACGTGGACGAGCTCACTGCGTTCAGCGTCGAGCAGCTCCAACGCCAGCCGCTGCTCCTCGCCACGCAGCGCAGGGACCTCATTGCGCAGACGCAGTCACTCGCAGTCAAGAACTACAAGGCGTTCATCCAGACCGCAGAGTGCTCGCGAACAGTCTCCAGCAATGTAAGCACAGCTGCTCAATCAAGTTCTCCATAAGAATCTCGATGATGAGACCATCAGCAGCATACGACAATGGTCGACATAACGGCAGGGAAGGGTTTGAGGAGGAGGCCGGGGGAAACGAGTCTTTTTGACGAACTGGTTCTGATGGTGAAAACTTTGTTGTGAAACACTTGCTCCACAGTTCGACTACATCGAGACCCGCCTCGGAAACTTGATAGACACGCTGCCACGGTTTACGGAGGCGTGTGAACGCTTTGTCGAGGCCTCGAAAGAGATTGCCGTGCGACGGAAGGAAGTCAGCCTCACCCTGGACCAGCATGCCCAGCTTGTGGACATTCTCGAGTTGCCGCAGCTGATGGACACTTGCGTGCGGAACGGGTATTACGACGAGGCCCTGGAAGTCGATGCCTATGTACAGCGCTTTGTGCGTCGCCACCGTGACATCAAACTGGTCATGAGCATCGCAGACGAGGTTGCTCGATCCAAGGAGCTGTTGCTCTCGCAGCTGCTGTCACAGCTTCGAGGCGCGTTGCAGCTGCCGGCGTGCCTGCGTGTCGTGGGCTATCTGCGGAGGCTGGGGACGTACTCGGAATCCGATCTTCGAGCCACCTTTTTGGAAGCCCGCGACCACTTTTTGCACGCCTCGTTGCCAGAGATCAAGTCCCCCAACACGGATCTGAGCCGATACGTGGATGCCTGCCGCGTGCACCTGTTTGACATTATTACGCAGTATCGTGCCATTTTCACAGATGACTGGCAACAACTGCAACAGCAACAACAGCAACAACAGCAACAGCAGCTCTCGTCGTCGCCCAACATTGTTCCGGCGTCGCCCCGCCCTGGCTTTGGCAATCTCCCCACGTTCCTCCCTCTGTCCATTACCGATCCGCTGACACAGCAGCAGCTTCAGCTGTTTATTCAAAAGCAGCAGCAACGACACCAACATCAGCAAGGGCGCTTGCTTCTCGGCTGGGTTGTGGAACGCGTCGCCTCGTTTGTCGCCACGCTCGAGGCCAACCTTGCTGCTGTCTCTGATGGCGCAACAGTTGCCTCGCTTCTGGGCCAGTGCATGTATTTCGGAATGTCCCTCGGCCGTGTTGGCATTGATTTTAGGACGCTACTCGTGCCGTTATTCGAGCATCGCGCACTAGAGTTGTTTGCTGGACAAGTTGCCACTGCCACCGCCAAGTTTGCCGAGACAATGTCGTCGTGCAGTGCCGCCGTGGCTGCCGTGCAGACGCAGCCTGGCCAACCCGTGGTCTATGCGGGCGCCGCCGGCTCCGGCGCTGGACTCGCAGGAGCGAATGCTGGAGCAACGGCAGCAGCTGCCACACTCGTCCCGCCATCTGCCTTGATGGAATTCCCCGCGGTTGCGCTGCTCGCGAACGGCTTCACGGCAGCCTTCAACGAACTGCGACACTGTGCCCCACTTTCCATCGCCACAAGCGTGCACAACCTTGTGCAGATCAGTGTCCAGGAGGCCAGCAAGACGGTGAGCACGCTTGTGGCGGACGCTGCCGCTGGCGGGGATCCCAGGGAGCAGCAGGCATTGGCCGCCATCACGGCTGCGATGCAACAAGGTCTGGTTCCGTACGTGACGCGCTGCTTGGTTGCTGTGTATCCGGATCTCAAAGGCTTGCGAGGGTTTCCAAGCCATACAGTTGGCTCTGTCGTTGCGGGTGGAGCGACTGCGGGTGGAGCCATTGCGAGTGGAACCATTGCGAGTGGAGCCATTGCGAGCGGAGCGGAGGTGGCTGCAGTTGCGCCAACGCTGGCCACGCCCCATGCAGCAGTCTCCGCCCTGGAGTTGACAACACCACATGCCAACGGTCTGGCCCTCGATTCCACCATGACGCCAGTGCAACCCTCTGACTGAGTTGCGCAGGACCTGACATGTTGACTCGATGAAACACAAATTAATATTATTCGTATTTTCACATTGATTTTTCAAACAGTTTTTATGTCCCCAGAGGCCTTCACAGCGCGGTTCAGGTCGGCAGAGCTCTGACCCTCCATGGCGAAACGACAAAACAACGGTAAAGCTGGTAAGGAATGACTGAGCGCCAAGAACAGCACCTTGCCACCACCAAAACGCACACCCAAATCAGGCCAGTCGCTTCTATTGCTGTTGCCCCACTACTGCATTTCAGTTACGGCCATATCTGGTGGAATGCACCGCATCCCGTTCCGCTCTGCGAAGTTAAACCACCATGAGAGTAGTTAGTACTGCGGTGGGAGACCACGCGGGAATACTGCTTGTTGTAACTCATTTTTTTCTGTTGCATTCATCCTTCTTTTTTTTTCGTTTTTTTTTTGTCTGAACATGATTGACAGCCTCTTGACATGTCGTACTGGACCGTCAAAGGAAGGACGACGGCACAGCACACAGAACGCCGATGTCCGAAGATTTTCAAAATGAAGCCGATTTTCCGCACCATTCACTTTGACGCGTCCGTTTGACCCCCTACATGCCCCATCCAGCGCCGCCTGTGACCCTGCGTGTTCAATGCCATGTGTACTTTGTGTTTAGGGCCACCAAAGTGGGAGGGCGTCGCTCTAAATGAGGGGTGTTTGTCGACCTTTTCCATACATTTGCATTGCGAGGTTTTTCCTTTTTTTGCAGAGTTTTGGCGTTCTTCCAACCATCGGTTTCCTGAGCTCCAGCGAGCAACCACTTGCTTGGCGTTTCAAGAATTTCGGTAGTCTGCTTCGAGAACCGTATTTGGTAAGGTAGGTACTATGATTTTCTCGACGGGAGAATGGAAAATTCCGGTCGTTCAGCGACGTGAAGGGTACTGCGCTTTGTTTGTTTTGAAAGCGATTGTTGAGCTTGTCGATCTGGCGTACGCCCTCCTTCGTGATTGCAAAACAAAAATAATCATATTTAGAGTACAATCCGAAGTGACGCGGCCCAGATGTGCGATTAGGGGCTCGGTGGTCGAGCTCCCAAAATGAAGGTAGAAAAAGGGAAAAGTTGATTTTTTTTTTTTTCGCGACGAAAGTGGTCTCGACGATGAGCAACCCGCTTGCGGCCTCGTCATCTCATTTGATCCAATAACCAATTACTGCACATCGCCCCCAACCCGAACTGGCTCGTTCCGTCTTGGTCTTCGTGTCAGTTCTGTTTTGTGCAAATGCTTGATTGTAAGCTTGTCGGCAATGGTTTCTTGTCAAGCAGCAAGTCCCCCTGCGTTGAGCGACACCCCCCCCCTCAATCCAAGCAGTTCTCAGAGACATGTTTCCTACCCCACCACGGCGGCGGGAACACGGCTGTCTAGTGGCCATGCCGAGCGAGCGGCCTTTTGGTGCATTTTCCATCCAATCGAAAGCACGCTTTGGCATGTGTTTTTTTTTTTTTTTTTTTTTTTCGGTTTTTGGCTCTTCCTCTTCCTTTTTGTTTTCGCTTCTTCCTGGCTCTGCGCTCGCCTTCCGGTCTACCCATACATTGCCATCTGCACTCTGCGTGTCTGCTGTCCTTCGCCCATCACCCCCCCCATCACAGAGAGAGTGCGCGCCACCTCCTTTCCGTCATTTTTGTATTTCTTCTTCTTTGATTGACTTTCTTTTTTTTTTTTTTTTTTTTTTTTTTCGCGCGCTCTTTCACTGACGCTGTCGTCTTTTGCATGACATGTCATGCGCACATTCCCTCCATCTCCCTCTCTCTCTCTCTTCTTCTCTCGCGATGTTGTGCCTCGCTCTTGACTGTCGCTCAACCGTGCCTTCGTTTCGAGGTGCGTTTTGATTCATTAGTCGGGATTTTTTTTTTTTTTTTTTGGGTTTCCCGTGTGACTGACTGTTTGTGTCTCATTCGGAGCTCCACTTTTGCACCTGGGCCACTGTCGCTGTGATTACATGCATTCTCGTCTGTGTATTCATGCGGCGGAAGCAGACGCTCGCATGGAAAGCGGCAGCGTCGCAAAAAATACCCAAAAAACCCGATTCAAAACGCAAAACAATAACAATAACTTCAATGCAATGGACAACGCAACTGCTCACTCACTCACTCAAAAGGCTGACCCTCGGCTTCAACTCGAGCGTCAACATTGTTGCAAAAAAATTCTGCTTGCTCAATTTTCTTTTATGTTGTTTCTGATGCACCAGATTTGCTCGCTGCGGCAGTGACGCTGGCGTTCTGCGTTTTGGCGGCGTGGCACGTCTCGTACTCGCTCAAGAGCAACAGCAAGAAGCAGGCTAGCAAACCGAGCCACTATGCGACCAACAACTACTACTTTGGCGCACACAACCCATCCAAGCCACAGGGAGCCATGACGGGCACCGAAAACATGTTCATCAAGTGCGAGCACGAAGAACGTCTGCAGACCATTTCCGGACTGCTCTGCTTTGACGAGCTGCTTCCAGTTCAGGCCGTTTTCAAGAGTATGTTTTTGCATGGGTCGAGGCGATCTACGGGCGCGCCTTTTGGTGTGTTTTTGATTGTGGATTGCTCACGACTCTTTTTTGTTCTTGTCCAAAAAAAGTCTTCTCGGATGCGTCGAGCGAACACGTCCGTCTCAAGCAACGCGTTGTGAGCTCGTCGCTCCTGTTGCATTCCTTTGAGGACGCAGACAACTGGAAGGTGGCCGATCACATCAAACTGGTGCGGCTGCCCGACGGAACCAAAGAAGCAGACTTCCAGCGCCAAGTGCAGAATGTTATTGCCGAGCCTCTTGACAAGGTAGGAGAAGCTGGTGTCCGGCTTTGTTGCTATGCTTGAGGAGAAAGGGGGGGGGGAAAGTCGCGCCGTGTACTGATTGCACCTGCAATTCTTCTGTTCCTGTTCCCTGCAGTCCAAACCCCTGTGGCAAGCTACACTCTTCCATAACGTCAGAAACGGCTCGGGCAGTGCTCTGCTCCTCCGCATGCATCATTGCGTTGGTGACGGCATGGCTGCAAACGTCCTGCTGGCGTCCGCCGCGGTCGATGCCAAAGGTGTCACGTTTGCCCACATGATGAAGGAGGCCTTCACCAAAGCCACGAACGCGTCGAAAAAGTCGGCAAGCGGAGACAAGCACGACAGTCGCAACTTTGTGCATGCGTTTGTGAACTTGCAATCGTTGGGCATCCCATTCAGCTCGACGTTGGCGTCCCTCGCCTTCTGGCTCATCCTCCGCCCAGTCAAGATGATTGGCCAGGCGTTTGCCTCGCTTCGCAGCACGTACCTTTCTCTCCGGCTCTTGATTGTCGACTTGTTCCTGTGCGTTGTCGAGCGCAAGACTGCTCTGAGGCGCGAGGCATCCACGCGCAAGTCGGTGCTGTGGAGCTCGTCGCTTTCCCTGGATGATGTCAAGACTGTCAAGGACGCGTTTGGCGTGACAGTCAACGATGTGCTCGTCTCTGCCCTCACTGGCGGCCTGCGTCGCCAAATCATTCAGCGCGGCGAAACCGTGCCGTCGAACGTTTTCTGCCCCATTCCCGTGACGCTTCGCAAGACTGTCGCTGACATCGAGTCGATTCAAAACAACATTGCTGGCGTGTGGCACTTTTTGCCCACGGGCATTGCAGATCCTGTCGAGCGCTTGGCAGAGGTGCACACCCGTCTCGAGGAGCGCAAGCGCAACAAGATTTACATTGGCTTTACTGTCTTCAACATGTCGTTCTGGGGCTTCACACCGCGCCGGATTACTTCAGCGATCGTCAACCACTTCTGGGGCAAGTCCGCTGCCATCATCACGAACGTGCCGGGTCCGCAAACAGCGCTCTTTCTGGGCGGCCACAAGATTCGCGAAATTCACATTTTCGGCCTGCAGTCATGCTATGGCGGCATGGCCATCTCGATCATGACCTACGATGGTCGTGTCAGCATTTCTGTCGTGTCGGACGCAAACGCCGAGCCAAACCAAATCTGCGACACCAAAGTGTTGGACGAATTTGCTCTCGAGTTTGAAGAGTACCTGAAACTTGCCAAGACCATGAAGTCCGACAAACAAAAGGAGGAGAGCCAGCCAACACAACCAGTTGCTGCTCGCCCTGCCGCAAAAAAGCAAGCTGCTGCCTGCCAATAACTCGGGGGTTTGGAAACAAACCAACAAAAACAAATTTAATGTGTGGCTTCGTTGATAATTCATTTTTTTCCCTCTTTGATCTTCTCTGCCATCTTATGGCTCCTGTTGTTATTTGTTCGTTATGGTGTTGCGAATTGTGTGGCTTTGAAATCGAGTTGCTCTCGGTTTGTGCGTGTGAAAATATGTTGAAAGAAACTTAAAAAACAAAAACAAACAAAAAAAGCAAGTCTTGAAATACTACTGCTATTGACAAGGTTGGCGAGTTGGAAAAACAAAAAAAAGGCGCTATCGAGTGAATACAACAATGATGGCAACGATGGCGGCGAGCACTAGGAATGGCAACCAGGTTCGTAGCAAGGCGCCAGAACTGTCCAACAAACAAAAGATGCCCAGACCAAACCAAAGAAACCAGAGGTGTGAGTGTCTGCGCTGCTTCGGCTACATCTGATCTGGGCTCATGCGTGCATGGCAACCACCGCGACATACCTGACATAGCGCCCATGAACGAGCATCAGAAGCCCGATTTTCCAGGTGCTCCAGCTCGAGCTGCCGCCATATTCCATCAGATTGAGCGCCATGGCGACATGCGAGTGGCAATTGTCGCAAAACAGGTTGTGCATGCGGCACGCGTACTCGTCACTCGCTTTGGCCACCGCGCGGTCCCAGTCGTGCTGCTTGGACTGGACACGACTTGGGTCAAGCACCCAGTACTTGGTTGGCGTGCCGAACGCCATGTTGTCCGTCGACACGTAATACGGTCCCGCAAAGTCGCGGATGATTCCCTTGCTTGTGCATATTCCGACATGGCCAATGAATGGCAGCAATGCTCTGTATCGTCAAATTGGGGGAAAAGGGTTGAGAGAACGCGTCATAGAACTGAAACCAAACTTGGGTTAGCGAGGCTTTTTGGTTACGAGATGCATGGCAATGGCGTCCAGACGACGCAGTACGGATAGCGTGACTTGATCACGTCCATCTTGGCTGGCGCCGACGAGTCCGAGGCTGTGCTTGAGACCGACACGGTCGAGTGCTCGCCATGATGGTGGCTCAAGATTGAGGACGAGGTCGAGAGGCTCGGGTTGCTGCTGGCCGACAAGCTCTGCTGCTGCGTGGATGCTGCCATGCTTGTGTCGAGGCGTGTGTACCCGTACGCGGACGGGGATGGCGATGCATGGGCTTGCGGGGCAGCGTCCATCCAGCTGGTTCGGTGCATCTGGTCAGAGACGCTCAGATCGAACAGTTCAGACAAAAAACAAAAAAAAGTAAAAAAAGTAAAAAAACAAGTAAAGGATTCTTGGACTGAACATTGCATTGAAATGACGACGGCAAGTCACTAGAGAGTGGTCCAAGTCTTGATCAGTTAAGTTGGTACAAGGGGCTACGCTTGGCTAACAAGCTGCGAGTACGATTTTCTAGCGGTCCTTTGCTAGGATTGTGTGAGCCCATTCCTTTTTTTTTTTTTTTTTTTTTCTATTATTCCATTGTGCTGATGATCCAGCTGTCTGCCGTCGCATCGTTCCGCAACCTGGCCAAGCGCGCCGACCGCGGGCTGTACCACGGCGTGCGGATTGGGTATGGCAACCAGATCTCGCACTCGCACCGCAAGACGCGCCGCAGGTGGCTGCCGAACGTGCATCTGCGGACGCCGTACTTGAGCCTGCTGGACAAGCATGTGCGCCTGAACACGACGTCGAAGGCGACGCGGACGATCGACCTCGCCGGCGGCATTGAGCGCTACCTGCTCAACCTCAACCCGGAGCGCGTTGCCTCAAAGCGCGGCGACGAGCTGCGAGCCCAGCTCCGCCAGCGCGCCGAGCTCATCGCCGAGGCAATGGACGCCATGGGCATCTCGTCCTTCCATATGCTGGCTGCCAGCCCGACCACCTCCGTCACAAAGCCGCGTGGCGACCTTGCACGGCGCCTCACGACCACCTGGATGCTCGAGCCAGAGCTCCGCTCGCTCACCGTCCTCTCTGTGCCGATGGATCGCAAGACGGCTGCCCAGGCCACCGCCGACTACATGTCCCGCACGCTCGCGCAAGAGGCGTCCGGCGGCAATGCTGCTGCTGATGCTGCTGCTGCTGCTGCTTCTTCGTTGAGTGCAAGTGCTGCAGCTACGGATAGATTGGAGAGCATCTTGTCGTCCAGCGACGCTACTGAAGGCGACCTTGCTGCTGCTGATGCTGCTGCTGCTGATGATTCTGTTGCTGCTGCTGCTGCTGATTCTACTTCCTCGGCGTCAAATGACGAGTCGTCGGCGAGTGACAGCGGTGAGGCTGCGGCTGCGACACGCGCAGCTCGCGCCAAGACGTCCATTGCCGCCATGAAGAATCTCATTGCACGCCTTGGCGAGCGTGTGCCTTCTCTGTTGAGCGGGAAAGATGCAGCTCTGATGGATGCGTTCAGGGGCCTGATCTCGGAGGACTTGTACAAGACGCTGCTCGCCGACGAGGTCAAGAAGCTGCGCGGTCTGCACGCCAACTTTTTGGGCAAGCCGCTCAACGACGAGGACGTTCAATGGCTCACGTCAAAGAAGAACAAAAATGCAGAGACCTTCGTGGCGCTCTTCACCAACCTCGGCAACACCATCGCCGCCGAACTGCTCAAGCGGGACTCGCTCAAAATGCGTCGTCGGGGCTTCCTCGGTCTGTTCGACCAACCACTCCTCTGCGAAGTCATCCAGCAGCGTGACATTGCCTTCCAAATTGCCGGCACCATTGTCGCTCGCTTGGCCGAGCGCATCCAGGTGCCCGATCTCAAAGGGCAGCTTGACGCTGTGCGCGCCGAGGCGATTGCCCAGTTCGTGGAGGCCAACCCACCGATTCCGCTCGTCAGCCCGTTCATCCATGACGAGGCGGAGATTCTCATCCGCAATAACCTTGTGCGAACCTTGCCTGACGTGGCCACGCCCGAGTCCCTGCAAGAGTGCCTCAAGACGCACTACCCGACCCTCCTCCCAATCCTGCTGAGCGATGGTACTCGGTTTGTGCTCACCCCAAGCGTGACGCGCCTGGTCGAAATCCAACGACTGCAGCAACGTCGTCCGCTCCTTGCGACGTTTGCAACGCGACAGGCCCTCAACGCGCCTCCGCTGACGCTGACCGAGCACGGCCAAAAGGTCGTGAGTGCTGCCCTTGCGGCCAACTCTCCCGCCAATGTCAACTTTGCCGCTGCCAACCAGCTACTTGCCGATGCGCTAACTATCAACGAGAGCACGAGCGACTCGCAAGATCGTGCCGATCGCGCTGCGGCCGCCGAAACCATCTGGCAGAACGTTTCGGCAAGCTTTGCTACAGAGGTGCAGGCCGGGCGCGTGTGGGCCCCCGAGGACCGCTTCTATCCCGCTCAGCTGCAGCAGCAGCTGGCGGCTGACACTGCTACACAGGCCAAGGCTCAAACCGATGCAATCTAACAGCAGCCCATTCGACTACTTTGAACAAGGGAGAATGTCTGGAGTGACGCCAAGTAGTATTGGATGTTTTCTGTTACGGTTTTTTTTACACTTCTTTCGTGCTTGTGCGCACCTTCCGTCCCCGCGCCGTTTCGACTTTTGTCAAAGTACAATGACGTTTTCATTTTCTGCATGCTTTGTCTTGGCTTGTTTGGATGCCGCGAGCTGGGTGAGCAGGTTGTGTTTTATTGGTTCCGAGCGTTCGTTTTTTGTGCACCTCATCGCTCGCAAGGTCGAAGGAAAGGCAAACAGCTTGCTGCGGCGTTTGGTCGAACCAAGAGGTTGTGACGTTCAAGTTGACAACGCACAACGGATCGCGCCCGTCGATCACTAGACTTGCGACTGAGGTGCATGCATGTTCCTGCGCCTGATCGTTACATAATTGCACGATGCGATCCGTTGCAGAAATCAACAGCAAACCGAAATGGATCATTGTTGTCGAACCCAAAAACAAAACACAAACACCAAAAAACAACACTGACGAAACCTACTTCGACAGACACTGCTCCGTGATGCACACACAATTAAAAATCGCAACACACAGCAACAACTTGCAGGTTGTCGAAACGACTGTTTTGCTGATGGACGAACGCCCAACGTACGACGGCGGCGTTTTTCCCCCATTGTGTCGTTTTGGTTTCAAACTTTTCACCGCAAAAAAAAAAAAAAAAAAAATCCTTTTCTCCGCGAGTTCTATTTGAGTCTTTGGCTGTGCTTCTTTTCGATGGTTTCTCGCGTGTCGCATCTCTCACATATGCTCCAGTATGTGCTTGAATTTGTCTCCTTGTGCCCAGATCTCCATCTCTGAATAACGTTGCAGCCCACGAGGGGACGGCAAAAAGGAGCAGCTTCATGCAAAACCTCACACCCGGATGTTTTACAGCGTCGATTCCTCCGTTGCTGTTTTCCCCCTTCTTGCTCGATCGATCAACCATGCAACGCTCAGATCCAACAATAGTATTCGCTCCCGTCTTGCACAATGCACCAGTACCGTGTGGATGTTTGGAAAAACATAGTATGGCAGCGGCGCCCGCGAATTGGCGACTGTTTGACAGTACGTGACGCCATTCACGAATGACGACTTCGGGGAGGCGTGCAGGGACATTGAATAATGCGAGTTTTTGATTGATTCAACATCGACGAATCGCAGCGAATCATCATCGCGTGTTGCCTTTGTTACATAAGTTCGTTCGCCACGCGTTAGATAACCACCCACGTCTTCCCCCCCCCCCGCAACCACCTGACCTGGCACCCCAGATATGCGCCTGCAGCCCAGCAGTCCTGCAAACGGGAGGCGTAGCAACTGCTTGCATGGAGGTAACGTGCGCCTTGCAAGCAATCGAAATCCCCGTGGTTTTGGGATTTTTTTTTTCTTTCTAAGGAGCGGAATAAACAAACACCTCCATGCGGGATTTTACTGGCATTTAAAAGGGACGGCGAATATACTGGGACAGAGCAGCAGTCTTTATTTTCATTTACTTTATCTCACGAGATCCCGAATTGACCAGAGTCGACCTGTTGCTTCGTTCCTGACCAGACTGGTGAGTGCGTTTCGAGTGTGAAAATTGCTGCCATTCATTGCAAGTTGCGCTTTTTGGTAAACTCACATCCTCTTATTTTTACGCTATTTTTTTTTTTTCCGCTCCATACACTTGCACCCCTCCTTCCTCCCCACAACCTCCGCGCTCACCCACAGAAAAAAAAAGTAGAAGAAAAAAAACAAGCAAACCTCACCATGGTACTTCCGTCTGAAAACACGGTGCCTATGGTCCAAATCAACCTTGAAACCGCAGAGGACGGCGAAACCAACGAACGCCCACGAAGCGATTCCTACTCCCATGCGGTCGGCGTCGGCAAACATACGCCAAACCTGGTGGAGATGCGTGAAGTGGGCCGAGGCGCTAGCGCAGCCACCGAATCGCCCCGATCCACCGCCATGCTGTCCGTGATGGAGGCGCGCCTCGATCCGTCGCGTGGATCGCACACAGACCCCAAGCGCGTCTTGTATCCGCGAGACTTCAAGCAAGCCTACCGGGGCCAGAGCATGTCTGACCAATCCGACGACAGTCTGCTTGTTTCGCGTGCGACAAGCGAGGCACGTCTCTCGGCCGACTCGGAAACGAGCTCGTTGGTAACAGACCCCAAGGACCCGCAGTTTGACATGCGCCACTACTATGTCGACTTTGTTGAGCGCTTCTTCCCTGGACGTATGCTCGGCGCCTTTATCGAGTTCCGCGAGCTGAACTACTCGGCCATGGTCAGCACAGATGTCAACGTCAAGACGTTGTGGACTGACTTTTTGCAGACGACCCGCCTGCGCCCCTCGCCACCCTCCAAGCAGTTCAAGATTCTCGACAACATCTCTGGCTACCTCGAGCCGGGTGACATGGTGGCCATTTTGGGCGGCCCGCTCAGCGGCAAGTCGACCTTGATCAAGGCCATTGCTGACCGTCTGCCCGAGAAGATTGGTGGCTCGATTCGCGTCAACGGCCAGCAGGTGCCAGAAAACTTCAACCGCATCTGCGGGTACGTGCCCCAGATCGACGTGCACAATCCCACCCTGACAGTGCGCGAGACGTTCGAGTTTGCCGCCGAGCTGCAGCTTCCGCGCGAGATGCCTACCGAAGAAAAGTCGCGTCACATTGACGTCATCCTCAAGCTGCTTGGCCTCGAGCACGCTGCCAACACCCTCGTTGGCAACCCTCTCATCCGTGGCGTGTCGGGTGGCGAGAAGAAGCGAGTCACCGTCGGCATCGAGATGCTCAAAACACCCAACATGCTGCTGCTCGACGAGCCGACGACCGGCCTTGATTCCGCCGCTGCCTACAACGTTCTGTCTCACGTGCGCTCGATCGCGGACGTGGGCTTCCCGTGCATGGCTGCGCTACTCCAGCCCTCTCGCGAGCTGTACGAGCTGTTCAACCGCGTTCTCATTCTCTCGCAGGGCAGCATTGTCTACTTTGGCCCTCGCGAGAAGGCACTTGACCACTTTGCCAGCCTTGGCCTCCACTGCCCCGAGGCCATGAACCCTGCCGAGTTCCTTGCACAGTGCTGCGATCATCCCGAAAAGTTTGTGTCGCCCGAGCTGAGTGTCCAGCTGTCGACCAGCTTTTTTGTGGAAAAGTACAAGAGCAGCGACATGTATGCCTCGCTTGGCCGCCGTCTGTGGAAGGGTGTTGCTCCCCGCGACAGCCCTCCCGCGGCCCACGTCGAGAACTTTGGCAAGTATCCGACCGAGCTCTGGCGCCAGTTCAAGCTCACCCTGCGGCGTGCCCTCAAGATGCAGTTCCGCGACCCTGCCTCCTTCCAAGCTCGTATCGGACGCGGCATTATCATGGGCCTGCTGCTTGGTCTTGTGTTTTTGCAGCTCGGCAACGACCAGCTCGATGCTCGCAACAAGCTCGGCGTGGCCATGGTTGTCGTTGGTCATCTTGGTTTTATGAGTAAGTGTTGAACTCCAAGAGTGTGTCTGCGGGTGTGTGTGTATGTGTGTGGGTGTGGGTGCTTGTCTGCCAGCAAAAAAAGCTCATTGCATCTCCTCCGTGCTCTGTCTGTTTCAGGTACCGCCTCCATCCCGCAGCTGCTTGAAGAGCGTGCAGTCTACCTGAGTCAAAGAAAAGCCAAGTACTTCCAGCCTTTCGCCTACTTTATGGCCGTCAACATTGCCGATCTGCCAATCCTCTTCATCGAGGGCTCGCTGTTCTCGGTCATGGTCTACTTTATTGTTGGCCTTCAGGCTGAGGCTGGTGCCTTCTTTTACTTTTACTTTATGGCGGTCGCTGCTGCGCTTTGGTCGACCACTCTTTCGCGCGGTCTGTCTGCAGTCATGCCGTAAGTGTTACTCTTGATGCGTGAATGCAGAGGCTCGTGAGGAATGCGTATGTAGAGTGCTGGCTGGTTTGCTAAGTTGGACGCCTGTTTTTTTGTTTTGTTTTTTGGTTGCTTTCCACAGCTCCTTCAACATTGCCAACGCCGTCATCCCATCAATCATTGTGATGTTCTTCCTGTTTGCCGGCTTCTTGCTCCCACCCGACGCCATCCGCAACTTTTGGATTTGGATGTACTGGATCTCGCCCATGCACTACGCCATCGAGGGTCTTGCGCTGAACGAGTTTTCTGGTCGCATGATTGATTGCTCGCCTTCACAACTCATCCCTCCGTCGTCTTCGCCTCTGTTCAATCTGCCGTTCGCTGACGGTGGCTTCAACGGAACTCAGGTGTGCCCCTTCCCCACTGGCGACGGCTTCCTGCAGTCCTACGGCATGAACCTCGGCGATACCTGGAAGACCTGGGACATTATTATTGTCTACATTTACTGGCTTGCCGCTCTTGTCGTGTCCTTCTTTTGCATCAAGTACCCGCGCGAGGTGGACTTGCACAACCCGCATCTCGACGACGAGGATTCTCGTACTCGCCGCCGTGAGCTCCTGGCCAAGAAGATTGTGGAACGTCGTGCCACCGACGCTGCCTTTGCTCAGGGCCTCCTGGCCCACACGCAGCAAATGGTCGAGGAAGGTCGTAGCGCTTCAGACGCCGCCGCTTCGGTGCATGCTGCAGTGGTTGCGCGCCTGGCTCCCGAGCAGAAGGCCTTTATGGAATTCAGCGACCTCAAGTACCAGGTGCAAGCCATGGGCGATGACAAGAAGCTCTACACCAAAACTCTGCTGACCGACATTAACGGCTATGTCAAGCCAGGCATGCTGGTCGCCTTGATGGGCCCTTCTGGCGCTGGCAAAACCACCCTGCTGGACGTGCTCGCCGACCGCAAGACCGGCGGTACCGCGACGGGCTCCATCCTCGTGAACGGTGCTCCGCGCAACGAGTACTTTAAGCGCATTTCTGGCTACTGCGAGCAGCAAGACATTCACTTTTCCCAGCACACCGTCAAGGAAGCCATCACCTTTGCCGCCATGTGCCGTCTCCCTGACTCCCTTTCGGTCGAGGAGAAGCACGCCCGCGTCCACAAGGTCATGTACGAGCTTGACATGGAAGACATTGCGGACGATCTGATTGGCACAATGACGGAGGGTGGACTTTCGCCCGAGCAACGCAAGCGCTTGACGATTGCTGTCGAGCTGGTCGCCGATCCGCCGCTGCTCTTCTTGGACGAGCCCACCTCTGGCCTCGATGCGTTCGGCGCTGCGCTTGTCATGAACAAGATCCGCCAGATTGCGCAGACTGGCCGCGCAGTCATTTGCACCATCCACCAGCCTTCGGCCGAGATTTTCGGCATGTTTGACCACCTGCTGCTTCTCAAGAAGGGTGGCTTCCAAGTGTTCTTTGGACCTGTTGGTGAGGGCGCTTCTCTGCTGCTGGCCTATGTCAAGAAGCACTTTGGCATCGCCTTCGAGCACGACCGCAATGTTGCCGACTGGGTTTTGGACACTGTCTGCGAAACCGACTCTGTCGACAGCGCGCAGCAGTGGTGCGAGTCTGTGCAGTACCGCCAGACCAAGGACGCGCTTGCCAAGGGCGTGTGCACTCCTGACGTGAGGCCACCTCATTTTGCCGACGCCCAGTTCGCCTCCAGCTTCCGCACTCAAATTCAACAGGTCTTTGCCCGCACGTGGCTGATGACTTGGCGCAACCCCGCAGTGTTCAAGACTCGTCTTGCAACCTTCATTGTTGTCTCTCTGGTTCTTGGCTCGCTGTTCTGGCAGCTCGAGTACAATCCGAGTAAGTTTTGGTGGCGTGCGGCGGTTTTGGCGGCGGTTTTGTTGGGTGAGTACGTGTTGCTTACTGACAGTGTTTGTGTTTCTGTTGCCCTTTGACAGTTGGCGCGAATGGTCGAGTGGGCATGATGTTCTTCACCGTCGTGTTTGCCGCTTTCATCTCCCAATCTGCGATCGGTGATGTGCTGGAACTGCGCGCTGTCTTTTATCGCGAGAAAGCCAGTGGCACCTACCGAACATCGGCGCTGTCGCTCAGCCTGCTGTTGTGCGACTACCCCTTCCACATTATCTACATGCTGTGCTACACGCTTCCGTTCTACTGGATGAGCGGCATGAGCTCCGAGCCCGGCCGGTTCTTTTACTTTATGCTCATCTTCTTTGTGACGTACATGTCGTCGTACACGTATGCGCAGTCGATTGCCGTCTTCTCTGCGAACGCAGCTGTTGCGAACGTGATTGCACCCACCCTGTCGACTTTCTTCTTCCTGCTCTCTGGCTTTTTCATTCCGCTCGAGTCCATGTCGTGGGTCTGGCGTTGGTTTGCCTACATCAACTACCTGTTTTACGCTGTCGAAGCGCTGACTGTGAACGAGTTCCGCGGTATTGACCTTGAATGCACTGGCGGCGCCGCTGTGCCGATCGTCAACCCTTACAACTCGACCGAAGTCAACTATTTCTGCGCCATCAACTCTGGCGATGATTTGCTGAATCAATTCAACCTGGCCGATCGCTGTACGTTTCCTGTTGTTTTGGTTTTTTTTGTTTAGTTGGTTTTGCGAGATTATCCGAAAACTGTCGAAAACTAACTCACTTCTCTCCCTTTGTGAACTTGGCTTGTTGTTTTCCTTCATTACAGTGTGGGGCGATTTTGGCATCCTGGTTGGATTCTACGCGGCTTTTGCTGCTTTGGTTTTGCTCGGTCTTCGATACTACTCGGCTCTCAAGCGTTAGTCCAAGCTCCTTGAGTCGAGCAACACTTTTTTTTTTGCTTGGTGTACTTTTATTTGAGAGATTCATTGTGCTTTTTGGGGAAAAAACAAAAACAATCTGTTGTGCTTTGAATCGATACGGTCTGACAGTGCAAGACCTTTGTCGCTATTGTATTTGTGCGAATGAAGCAATCTTCTTCAAATTCAACCGCCAAAAGTCCTTCAAAAGCCCCTGGACGTTGTTGCCTCCAAAGATAAACAAGGAGTCTGCGAGGACAGCGGTGGCGTGGTAGTTGCGCGGAGGAGGAGCGCTTGCACAGGGAATCGGGCCAATCCACACACCGTCCGCAATTCGGTACACCCAGACGTCGTCGTAAAAGTCTACGCGACCGTGCCCACCAAATACAATCAGGTTGCCTTCAAACAGAGTCATGGAGTGGCCTTTACGAGCTGCAGGCCAAGCCATGTCGCGAGATGGACGACGGTACCACCATCCCGCTGGAAGACCATCGTCTTCTTCTGCAGAGGTGAGGCGTTCAGCCACAGATGCCTCGTCGGCAGTCGTCTCAACCGCAGCAGCACCTCGATCCGGATCCAAGGCATCAGAGGTCGGGTCGAAGAGGGACTCAGCGCCTCGGGTGAAAGCCAGACCGTTCAGCCCGTGCAACGTCCACTGGCGGGTGGCCCAATCCAAGCTCCAGAGCTCGTTGATGCCTGTCGTCTGATTGTAGCCACCAAACATCCAAATCGTCTGGCGACCGCGTGTCTCATGGGTGGTCAGTGCCAGCCGGTGGCCCCATCCCGGTGGCGGGCGCGGGCCTGGCGCCGGCTGCAGTTCAGTCCAGGTCGAGTCCTTGAAGCTGAAGTGCCACATGTCCTCAAAGTTTGTTTGACCTCTGGAAGAAACGGCGGCAACAATACGACGCGACGTGGACGGTCAGAGATCGGGTGAGAGGACAACCAACGGCAAACAAGATCAAGCAGTTCCACCACACATACCGAACACCGCCGTAGATGAACAATCCGCGATCAATCACAATGCCAGCGTGCATCTCGCGCGCAGCAGGTTCGGAGGTCTTTGGCAAAACTCGAACCCAGGCCGCTCGCTCAAACACAAACATCCAGAGATCGGAAGACACGCGTCCCTTCTGGCCCTTGCCGCCGTGAATGTACATGACAGGGACGCCGGTGGAAGTGGTCGTGCCAACTGCTACATGCATGTTCATCGCTGGCGGATAGTAGCGGATTTTGCTGCGCGCAACGACAAGATCCAGCGGCTTGGTTGGCACATCGACAACCACACGTACAGTGTGGTCAGGACGCTTGGGTTCAACCACGCGTGCCACCAACCACGAGTCTCCGTATTGCACATCGACGGTCTCGTTCACCCGAAGCGGCTGGGCCGGACCCTTGTCCGCGAACGTCCGATCCCAGGTATTGTCGTCGGTTTCGTACGTCCACAGCACATGTCCGTACTGTTTGTTGATTGGCAACCAGGCAATCAGGCAAGCACAACAAGTGGAATCGTGAGCACATCATTGGGTTGTGTTCGATGACCTGTGAATGCAAAGGGCTCTCAATTGCTGGGGGATTTGGGGAACGGTACCTCGACCTTCTCGCCGTTCTCCCAGTGAATGATGCCGCCGTACATCCAGAGTGCATGCTGAATGCAAGGTCGATCACAAGAGTCCAGCAGCAGTACGAGAAGCGAGCGAAACAAACGGTAAGTATACTGGGAGCAATCCATCCACACTCCAGCACTGCAATGGACTCGCCGTGCAAGCGAGATCGACAGCTACATTCAAGCACTCGTCCCTCTCTCTCCCTCTCACACACACACACACTCGCATTGTCCTTACCGAAAGTGCAATCAGCGAGTGGCCAGTGACCGCGGGCGGCCGCTCAATCTCGTCGTTCTCAACACGAATCGCCTCAAAGCACTTGAGACTGGCTGCTGCTGCCTGGTTGTTGCTGGTGGTTGATGCTGTGGTTCCAGCTGGCTGAGCAGCGGCTGTGATGGCGAGTGCCGCCGTGTGGGCCACAACCAGCAGCGCGAGCGCTAATCCAATCCAGCTCCTGGTCTGCTGCTTGGCCATTGCATCAATATGAAAATAGCAGACTGACTGGAACTGTGTATGTGCTTCGGTAAGATGCAGAAAATACAAAGTCTGAGCCCTAGTCTCAGTCTCAGTCCTGTTCAGTCCCGCTCAGTAGAGGCAAAGTAAGGCGAGAATGAGCCGCTCTGCGCGCTCGTTCCAACTGCGGGACCAGCCTCGAAGATCGAACAGTCCGATGGAAGGCGATGAATTAGAGCCAAGCAGCGATGCACCCCTGGCAGCAGAGGCGAGTGCACACTGGCAGATTGATGCAGAGCTCGCGCGGAAACTGCTGCGGCGTCGCGTCAAGGCCGTCGCGCGCCTGTCTGCCTGGTCCAGTGACTGCGAAAGCGCGTCCACAACAACATCATCAGGTATATTCAGCGCAGTGCCAAATTGGGCATGTCATGTTTCCGTCGAGAGGAGGAGGAGGAGGAGATGCACCAACACTGGATCCGTCTTGATTGGTTTGGCAGGTCGCCCGCTTGTGACAGGACAAGCCAACAAACACCGTATTGCAAAAAGGTCCCCGCGCGCAATGCACAGCTCGGCGTCTCAATCTTCCGTTTCCAATCGAGTCTCAGCAGCAGCTCTGCAGCCGGCGCAGGCTGACGAGATTGCCATTCTTTCAACCACATCGCATCCCAACGACAATGATGAACAAGCGCCGCCAGTCGCTGGGCTGACTCACAAGCAAGACACCCGTCATCGAAGACACACACCGCGATCTTCTCGCCAATCCATGCTCATCGAGATCGAGCCGAGTCAGCAACCACCCCCCAAGGAATCCACACCCATCGTGATTGTCTCGTCCCAATCCTCTGCCTCGTCCACCGAATCCATTCCACCCACACCAGAACAAGCAGCCTGGCGTGCGCATCGTTCTACGCGCAGCAGGCGAAGAAGTGTGCCATTGCCGTCCATGATTCCAGCACACGCGAGTACCGATGGTCAACGTTGACAATATACAAATACTGTATCCTGATTGCAGTTGCACGGTTCAATCTCACAGAAGAAGAAGAAAAATATGTTGTACACACGAGACACACACGAAAACATTCATCAACACAGCCAGTCTTTGCTCCAAAACCACCCGAAGAGTCGCGTGCTTGGCTCCCTTGCAAAGCATCCTGGATACAGCCGCCCAGACAAACAGACTCGAGTCACTCAAAGGAGCACGGAGATCGGCTATGAGCGACCGCCAATCGTAGGCTGGTCCTTGGCATTGAAGGGATCGAAGGGGTTGCGTGTTTGCGAGCCTCGAAGGTGGATGGGACTCTGGCGGCGCTGTGAGGCCGAATTGAAGAGAGCAGATCGTCGACGAGGATCGTTGCGGGCGCGTGACGCAAACAGGCTGTCGACGTACGGAAGGAAGGCCTTGGATTCGAGCAGGGCTGGCACAGCTGGCGGCGTGGGCTGCGGGCCCATGTCGGGTGCTGCAGCGCCCATCAGCTTGAATTCTGTAGCATTAGCCTATCGCGATGGTCAAGTAAAAGAAAAACGGCGACGACGACGAAGGGTGAGTTGTGATGAAGGCGGAGGGAGGAGGTTGAGAAATGGAGTGGAACATGTTGAAGGGGACAGGGTCCGAAGCCCGGGGTCCTCAGTGGAAAACAGACGAACAAACTCGCGCACACAAGCAAAAGAATGGCCCACTTCGCTTACCTCGCGAATCTTTCGGACTGCAGCGACGTATCGTTGCAGATACGTGCCACGGTGGCTTTCTGGAATGGCACGAGCAAGCGCCTCGGGATGCGAGAGCTTCTCCTCTTTCCGCAAGCGCGTGTACTCTTGTGTAATGCTACAAGGCCAGCAGAGAGTGTGGAGATGAGTGAACGGAGCAAAACGTTAAAGACTTGCGTGAAGCAACCAAAAAAAAAGAAAAAAAAAAGGAAAAAAAAAAAAGGCAAGGATGATGAGGAGACGCACCGATCGCCGTCAGTCTTCACGGTAAACTTGTGAGACTCGTTCATCTGAATGCTAGGGAGGATGCCGACAATATCGACACCTTCTCCTCGAATGCGACGCGCAGACCTGTGAACAATGGTCGCACAACAGTGAGTTTTTGAAGCGGACTTGTCCACACTCCCCAACTGCCCTGTTGGAACGATGGTAGCTCACCTTCGCAAGCCGTCTTCGGGGAAGACAATCTTTGGTGGTGCAGGGCTCGGGCGGTGCGCGTGCTGTGGCGGCGGGATGCGCTCGACCACGTTAAACCAGCCAGGGCGGCTCACTGCGTCCGAGACGACGAGGCGGTTGACACTGTGCAAGTCAGGAAATGCAGCAAGCAGCAGCAGAGAGAGACAGAAGAGAAGGGTGAGTGACGCAGAGAGAGAGACAGAGAGAGACAGAGACAGAGAGAGATCTCGCATTCGCTCTCGCTCTCTCTCGCTTGCTTGGGATGGTCGGACGGCCGGACTGAACGACGGCTGCCCCAAAAAGCCGAGTGTCGTGCTTGGACGCGCGCTAGAAGGGGGCTTACCGCTCGAGGATGGCCGCTGGACTTCGGAGTGCGCGAACAGCCGCGCGAACCTTGTGCTGCATGGCTTTGGCAATGGAAGATGACTGTCTTGATTCGATTTTGTGTGCTTTGTTGAATGATTGATGTTGTCGTTGATGTTGTTGACAATGTTTGGTGCTGCTGTGATTCAGAAGCGCAGATGATCAGGATTTCAGGTCTTCCTATTTTGATTCAATGGAAAAGTGCTCAGTCTCAGTTCCTATTTGTTTTTTTCCTTCCTCTCCGATCTCACTCTCACTCTCACTCTCTCACTCTCGTTTTTCCCCCAACTCTCTCTCACTCTCTCTCTCTCTCTCTTTCTCATCAGACATGTCATCGCAGCAGGACGCTGGCATTCGCGACTTTTTCACTGGCCGTGGCGTGTTCATCACTGGCGCGACCGGCTTTCTGGGCAAGGTGCTTCTCGAAAAGCTGCTCCGGAGCTCGCCCAGCTGCGGCAACGTCTACGTGCTCGTCCGTGGCAAGAAGGACGAGACTCCAGCGCAGCGCATCAACGCAGTGCTCTCCGGCGAGGTAAGCCAACAGAAAAGCTAGGACAAAACAAAAAACAAAAAAAGCACAAAAAAAAAAAAAAAAAAAAAACGCGCCATTTTTCTGTTTGTTGTACAAGAATAGCAGCGTTTTGTTATTGATGGTTGAATGGTGGAAAACGCGCTTCGTTCTATCTCTTGTTTTTTTGCTTCTGTTTGTGTCTGTCTCGTTTGGGGGACTGTCAACGCGCGGAACTCCAGAGAGATGAGAGATGAGAAGCGATCAAAGAGATGGACTTCTGTTGTGGAATGCCATGAGGTCCCTTTTTTTTCTTTTTTTTTTTTTTTTTTTTTGTTTTGAAAACCCGCTCCTTCTTCCTTCTTCCTCATCTTCGCTGCTAGCATTCGAGGACCACTCGCGCTCTTGTATCTGCGATGCAAAGCTTGTGCATTTGCACCACTGCTCTCTTGCTCTGCAACCACCACCACCACCCCAATTCGCTCGTGAAATAGCGAGACGATCTTTGATCCAAAAAAAAAATCAAAAAAAAAAATCTCCCTTTTTGCTTGACGCATTGATGCGTTGGACCATTTTGTAAGGGAAAGCAAGCAAAGAGAGAGGGGAAAGTAAGAGGTGGATGCGCTGTCATGCGCAATGAACGCCTGCAGATTTAATCTCTTGCATTCATTCTCTCTCGCTGTGCCGTGGAAGAGGGGGGGGGACTTCAGACGGCTGCTTGATTAATGGATGGATGGATCTACGTCGTCGTCGTCCTTCGTCCTTCGACTTGGTCATTGGCCCGTCGCCTCTTCTTGAATCTCTGCTCTCCCATTTGCAGATGACTGTCATCGTTGTGATGCGTTGTAGCGGCAAACCCCGATGCGGAGGAGAGAGGGAGGGACGGGCGGGCGGGCGGGCGGGTCGCGGACTTGATCATCATGGTCTCTACCTCCATCGGCTCATTCGCTTCCCATCTTGCCATCCTTCGGTCTTTGTTCGACGTCGTGTATCGGTGCCATGTCACTCACTCTGCGCTTGTTTTCAAACCCAACCCCCCAACTCCCCCTTTGAAAAACAAAAAACTTGTCTACTTAGCTGTTTGATCGCCTTCGCGAGGAGCAGCCCGACTTTGCTGCAAAGGTCATCCCGGTCATTGGAGATATCATGTTCCCGCAGCTCGGACTCTCGCACCAGGACCGCGACCTCATCATCAAGAACGTGAATGTGGTGCTGCACTGCGCCGCCACCGTCTCGTTCAACGAGAAGCTGCGCATCGCACTGGCCATGAACGTTGTCGCTGTTCAGCGCTTGGTCGCGCTCGCGTCTTCGTGCCACCGTATCGACGCGTTTGTTCACGTCTCGACCGCATACGCAAACTGCGATCGTGCCGAAATTCTCGACCAGGTCTACCCGCCCGTCGCCGACCCTTACAAGCTGATTGAGGCCACCAACTGGCTCGACGACGCGCAGCTGGAAGGCCTGACCGCTGGCCTCTTGGGAAAGCGACCCAACACGTACACGCTGACCAAGTCGCTTGGCGAGTACATTCTGTGCCGCGAGGGACAGCACTTGCCAATTTCCATCTTCCGCCCGTCCATTGTCGGCGCGATCGCCAAGGACCCCCTTCCCGGCTGGACTGACAACCTCAACGGCCCCGGAGGTCTGTACCTGGCCTGTGGCAAGGGCGTCCTGCGCATCATGCGCGGTGACGAAGCGGCGGCCGCAGACATTGTGCCCGTCGACTTTTGCGCCAGCATGATTCTCGCGATTGCATGGCGCACCGCGCGTCTGCACGAACGCCAGCCCGAGCACGCCGACGAGCACCTGGCGTCTTCCAAGGGTGAGCACCAACGCCGCGGGCGCCGAGCTGCACGCGCCAAGGATGCCAACCTTCGACACAACCTGCTGGTGCACGCCCCTCACTCGTCAGAGGCGCTCTTTGACATTCCCAGCACGTTCTCTGAGAGCTCTGTGTTTGCATCTGCCTCGTCTGCACCAGAGCCCCCGGCCGAACCTCTGAAGCCGACCGTGTCTTACGTTCAGGTCTACCACTGCACGTCGGGCGACAAAAACCCGCTGTACTGGGCCAAAAACAACGAGTACGTTGCCGGTGCATTCTCGCGCTATCCTCTTGAGCAAGTCTTCCGACGACCTTCGTTCGCCCACACCAACAGCAGCACTCAGTACGCTGCGTGGGAGCTCATCAGCCACACCATTCCCGCCTACATTGCCGACGGCGCGTCCTTCCTTGCCGGCAAGCGCCCTCGCATGCGCCGTATTTATTACAAGCTTGGCAAGCTCATGGAAGCGTACAATTTCTTCACCTCCAACCACTGGCGATGGGAGCAAACCAACACGGACGCCCTGCTGGCTGAAATGCTGCCCGCTGAGCGCGAAACGTACAACTTTGACATGCGCACCATCGACTGGCGCTCGTACATTGAGATGTACTGCATTGGCATCAAGAAGTTTATTCTTAAGGAAGACATGTCGCGGCTGTGGGTTGCACGTCAGCAGCACCAAAGGTGAGGAGGATGTTTGGGGGCGTTGTTGTTGTTGCTGTCCTTTACTGCTGTCGTGCACTTTTCTGTGGCTTGTCGCTCAATTTCTCGCTTCTTGTTGGTGGTTCTTGTGTATTCTCTCAACAGAATGCGTGCCGTTCGAATTGCTTGCACTCTCGCCCTGCTCGCCTTCGTACTTCGCGTCGTTTTCCGCTTTTTGCGCACGCGTGGCTTTGTCAAGGGCTCGTACACCATGCTGATGAACCCGTTCAGCTTTATCATGCTTTCCATGAAGTCCCAGGGCATGCTCATGACTGGAAAGAGCTTCTAAGCTATGGTCCTTATTTGATGCGAGTTGTGTTGTTGTTGCCCTGGCTCTGTTTTTGCCTCGCCTTTTTTTTCTTCTTTTTTTCATTGTTTGGTGGCGGTACAGCCCACCAATATTCACGATTATCTTACTGTGCTGATGTCCGTCTTGTTGTGCCTGCTGAAGCTGTTGTTTTGCAATCTTGCATTTTTTTTTTCCCGCTTTGTATTCTTGTTTTGACCGTGTTTCGAGTTTGTTTCCGTGTTTGCCTGGATTTGCTCCAAAAGGCCAACCAAACTCAATCCTCAAAAAGTACCGACGAAATGACTCAGATATAGACCCTTTAACAATATGTATGTTGTTTCACAAGAGCTACAATGCAAATTGCTCAAAGGCACGTTTAAGAACAGGGACTGTAACGATTTTACTCGTCCTGGGGAGCAACAGCCTCGGGCTCGGCCTCCTTTGCCTTGCCGGTCTTGTGGCCCTTCTTGGCAATCGACTCGATGCGCTGCTTGGTCTGGTTCTTGCGCTGGGCAAGGGTGATCTTGGAGCGGTGGTACGACTTGCGGGTAGCGGGGGCAGGCTTGGCGGTGGACTTGTGGGTGGGGTCGGCACGGATGGCAGCGTGGGCAGCCTTGTAGACACCCTCAACCTGGTCGGCACCAATCTTCGCAGCAATGTACTTGGAGAACTGGCGCTTGTAGGCCTCGGGATCCTCCTTCTGGAGAGTGCGCATGTAGTCGGCGACGTGCTTGCCGAAGATGCGGTCACGGTGGGCCTCAGCCTTGTAGGTGCTCGACTCGGCAGAGTAGCCGGGGAAGCGGCGGGTCGAGTGGGGGACGTTCAGGCCACCATCGACAGCGCCCTTGAGGACACCGAAAAGACGGGCACCAGTGGAGGTGCGGGCAAGACCGACATCAAGGAAAGCCTGGAAGGGGCGCTTCTCGCCCTCCTCCTCGACGTGGTACTCCTCGCCGGTAGCCTTCTCAACGCCCTTGTAGGCGTCAGCGAGGCCGACCTTGGTGAGGAGACGGCGGGCAAGCAGAAGGCCAGTGGCGTACGCGGCAGCGTAGTTGGTGAGGCCGAGCTTGACGCCATAGCGGGGGAGCTCGTGAGCGTAGGCAGCAGCGAGGATGACGTCGCCCTCAATCTTGGCAGAGGCGATCTGGGCGACAATGTCGCGGTTGGAGAAGCGGACAACAAGGCGGTACTTGGGCGAGTTGTACTTGTTCTTGTCCTGGGTGATCAGGCGCTTGCGGGCATAGTAGTCGGTCTTGCCCTCTAAAAAAGAGTTGGCCAAAAAAGCAGCACCACCGGTAAGTACACAGAAATACAAGAAGCACAATGAAGGGGTGGGAAGGACAAAGAGGAGAAACGTAGGGTGAAAAGAAGTTGGGAAACGTTCGCAGAAAAACGAAAAAAAAAAAAGTGTAGCCGATCAGATAGGAGCGAAAGACATATGGATAAAAATTGCTTTAAGAATTCGACATGGCTAGTGTTCAGAAGGTGTTCTTCATCAACTCGGCAGAGAGGGGACGCGGGCAGAGTGGAGCAAAAAAAAGAAACGGAAAAAACAAAAAAAAAAAAGCGAAACGCAAGCGATGATAATGATGCTGACAACTTACGGCGGCGGCGACGGAACTGGACCTGGTAGCGCTTGAAGTAAGCCTTGTTCTTGACGACCTTGACGAAAGCCTGGGGGAGCAAGAAGTGTACATTGACGAAAGTGAGACGATTTTTGCCATTGAATGGGATTGGATGGGATTCAAGCGATTGCCTGGTTGCGCCGAACTTGGATCGCTGCTATCGCATTGCCCCGACACCATCGTCCCAGCTCCTCCCCCGAATCCGATATAGTAGAGAGCTGTACATCGGATTCGCAAGCGCTGGTCGACGTCGAAAGTGCGGGTGGTGGCAAGAAGCGTTGCAAGGCGGTGGACTTGGTTTCCTTCTCCGCTTCAACCCCCTTTCTCTCTTGCTCTCTTGCCCCCAGCCCACACACACATCCGCGACAAGCCTCGCCCGACACGTTTGCTGATGCAGTAGTAGTCGTGAGAGCGGGAAGAAACAGCGCTCCGAGAACACCTACCATTGTATTTATCGAAGATTAGCGAGGTGCGTGTGCAAAGACAGTGGCTGAATCGCGCTTCAATAAAGAGGAGAGCGAGCGAAACGGATTTGGTTTGAGAATGAAATTTCAATTTCTGAGAGCGGGATGTATGAACGAGGTTGGTCGGCCAGCTGCGGCTTTGGCAGCAATACCTATTTTCCTACAAGTCGTGGTTGAACGACTGGCTGCGCCAGAACAAACGAAAGCGGGCATCTGCGGGATTCGCAGAGTGAAACGTCTATTTTGCTTTTTTTTTTTGTGAAACATTTTGTGTGAACGCCGGCAACCCCTCGAGCTGTCTTGATGGACACAGCTTCAATGCCAGCGTGAGGTTGCACTACCACTCTCAACAATAAGAGGGATGCAGCAAGTGCCGGGCAGCCAACAATTGTCAACGAAATTTCAACGCTAAACCGTGTCTGCCCGGATTGCAATCAGCTACCCGTGATGAACGCCTCCCTGCAGCCCCGGAATTATTTAAATGATTGCCGCACGTCAATGGGAACGCAAGGAGGGGCTCTCAGGCTTTTGTCTGGTACTTTGTTTTCAAATGAAAGCTCGGTCGTGAATTTGAGGCAAGTTCATCCGCTTTCGGTCGGTCTGGCTTCAACGCTCTCTCTTCCTTGCACCATGGTACGGTCATGGCTCGTTCATCCCGCCTCCTTCGGGTGTCAATCCGACGTGTTACATGATTCTCTGCCGGATTTGCGCGGCGTGAAGGCCGTAGTGGCTTGTGATTGCGGTGGAGAGGCTGCGGCAGTTGGAGGTTGAGAGGAGTTCGGGGGATTCAGCCGATTCAGCTTGGAGCTTTTCCCTGCCGTCCTCGTTCGTTTGACCGCCCTGTCCGCGTTGCCCGCTCTGGCTGGTGGAGGCATGCCGCTCGTGTGGGTTTTCTGGGGTCCAGCTCGACGTTCCAGAGCCACGGCAGCAGAGAGGGGGCCCAAGGGGGAAGAAGGTCGCTGATTTTTTTTTTTTTTTTTTGTTTGATGCTGGAGAGCTTTTTTTTCTTTTCTTCTTTGTTTTCTTGTTGCTTGGTGTCCATGACATGTCGCATCGGTGCACAACTTTAGAGTACTCGCTCGTGCACATCGTGCAGTTTTGGCTGGCATGTCTGGAGTGGAGAGTCAACGGCTCTCTTTGCCTCGTGCAGCCCACCGTCTCTCGTCTCGTTCCCTGTGCCTCTCTCGTGTTTTCAAAGCACTCACCAGTGTGACGTTTTTTTGGGGGGAAATTGCAGGTTTACACCCGCTTCGTCCAGGTCGGCCGAGTCGCCCTTGCCACCGACGGCCCCGCTAAGGGCAAGCTCGTTGTCATTGTTGACATTATCGACCAGACCCGTGCCCTCGTCGACAACCCTGCTCAGGGCGTTGACCGCCAGTCGCTCTCTTTCAGCGCCATGCAGCTGACTGACTTCACTGTTGGCATCCCCCACGGTGTTGGCTCTGCTCCCCTCCGTCGCGCCTACGCCAAGGCCGAGGTCGAGACCAAGTGGAACCAGACCAACTGGGCCAAGACCATCGCCCGCCGTGCCACCCGTGCCTCCCTCACTGACTTTGACCGATTCAAGGTCATGGTCGGCCGCAAGGAGCGCTCCAAGATTGTCAGCACTGCTTTCAACAAGCTCCGCCGACCCGTCAGCGCTGCCAACAAGGCAAAGAAGGCTGGCTCCAAGAAGGCTGCCCCCAAGAAGTAAAAAGCGCAGGGGCGACCTATTTTTTTCTCTGCCGCCGTCTGATGGCCCTTGTCGGTCGGGGGTTTCCCGCCCATGTTATTGCTTTGCACCTTGAGTTTCTTTGTTTCGATTGCAAAAGGAGAATTTGAGGTATTATGCTTTTTGTATTCTATTGTTTTGGTTTTTTTTTTGAGTAGGGAGGGGCGTTTGAATTGGTTGTTGATTGTGCACAGCTGCACGAGAAGGGGAGTGAGTGGTGAGCGGTTGAGATTGAACGAGCAGTTGATCGATCTCAGGCAACGTAGACCCAGTCCTCTTTGAGGTGGACGGCTCAACACTGTTTCAGCGTGCTGGGCCTAAATCAACAATGAAAATGGTTTGTGGGAATCAAAAACGAGGTGCTGACAAGAAAAAAAAAAAACCACTCAACCAAAATTCCATTGTCTAGATTATTTATTCTTATTCAACCTTCTGCTCAGATTCACTCGGAATCAGAGTTGCCGCGCATTGAACGAAGCATGCTCTGGAGGGGGTTGGCCTTCTCTTCAGCCGTCGCAGTCGAAACGGCTGGCGTGCTTTCTTGATCAAACCGATACTGGTAGATGGCACCGACCTCGTCCCATTCCGGCCGGCGTTCCACTTGCAGATCGCGGATCAGACCAGTGGAGATATTGCAGACCCAGCCATGCACCTACACGATGACCAGAGTGAGATGGAGTTTGAGTTACGAGAGACGAGGGGAAACAACAAAAAACCCAGAAAAAAACAATCAAACAAACACAAAACCTCGCGGCTCATCAATACCTGAACACGGTGTCCCTGGGCCCAGGACTTTTGAACAACGCTGGTCTTGTACAGGTTGTACACTTGCTCGACGACATTGAGTTCAACAAGGCGGTTGACGCTGTCTCATTCAAAGTGTTTCATTTTGGCAAAATGGTGAGAATGCTTTGCCTATCGAGTACAACACAGGACGATCAACATACCGGGCAGACATGTCAGAGATTGCCTCAAGCTCTTGGCGATGCAGGCGATAGACATCCTTGATGTTTCGCAGCCACTCGTCGATGATGCCGTGCGGAGTGCTGGTCATGGAAGCGCGGACGCCACCACACTCGGTGTGTCCCATGACAATGATGTGCTGCACTTTCAGTACCTGTAGTAGCAAGCGCCAGAAGGTTAGTGTTCACTGATAGTAGCATCATGAGGCAAGTGACGACGTGAGCTGCGGTTCTCTCTCCTCCACCAAGTACATCCAAACAACGCAAACTCTCCTGTCACGGAACGGCTGGAGAAAAACAAAACAAATTACTCAAGGATTGACAGACAGTCGTTCCGCGAGTGATGCTGGGACTGACCTCGACTGCATATTGGAGAACGGCCATGAGATTCATGTCAGTGTTGACCACGAGATTGGCAACGTTACGGTGAATGAACAGCTCGCCGGGCATCGTCTGCGTCAACTGATCCGGTGGCACACGCGAATCGGAGCAGCCAATGTACATGTACGGCGGCTGTTGGCCGCGAGCAAGATTGGGAAAGTAGTTGGGATCGACGGAGCTGACTTGACCGGCCCATTGACGGTTGTTGTCCAGAAGACGCGTGTACAAATCAACTGGTTTTTGGAAGAGCGACTCTGCCTTGGTTTCAGATTGTGCGACCGGGCTTTGGAAACGCGGGCGGATCAGGACCTGGCGCAAGGGGCTTTCCCCTTTGTGTGCAAAATGAGAAAAAAAAAAAAGCATCGAACGGGTCAGTTGTACATGGATTTGAAAAACAAAAACAACAAAACCAGACGAATTGTGCGCAGACAGGACAATGTCACCGATAGTGAATGGGGCGTACAGGCAGAATCAGCGGTGGCGCTGGAGTGCAGCGATGCGCGTTGAGGAGCGGCCTGGCTAGCAGCAGGACTGACAGCAGCAGCAGCAGCGACGCTTGACGTGGCACTGGCAGAGACAGCATGGTCAGGCTGATGGCCTGCTGCTGGCTGCGCGTGGTGGTGGCTGGGGTGATGTGGGCTGCTGCCATGTGCGTGCGATGAGCACGATCGATAAGCCGTGACAGCAGCGGCAATCATCCGTTGCGCCGCCCCCGACGACGACGACGACGACACAGTGGCGCCGTTGGGTTGCAATAGGCACCCTCTCGCAAGACGATTCAGAAACATGGCTGCTCGACTACTTTTGTGCGTGGACCTCGCTTTCGGTTGCAACTATTAAAAAAAAAAAAAAAAAAAAAAACGGAAGAGGAATCAAACAGAAAACCTGACTCAAGCGAGATTGGAAGAAAAAAAAAAAAAAGAAAAAAAACGACTGATAAAACAATCCTTCAACAGGGTGAGGTTTGCATTGCAATAAAGCATTGATCGCGGATTGTTCAAAGTGGCGATGGCGTTGGTTTGAAATCCAAAGCCAATATCTCACCATTGAAGTGGAAAAACAGGTCATTCAATATTTTGTTGGGATTTTTTTTTTTTTTTTTGTTTTTTTGGTGTTACCTCAGATCAAATTCAACACACGATGAGTGAAGCGAAGACGACGCTGGGCAACGGGAGGCGAAACAAGCGCAAGCAAGCACTGCCAGAGCAGCATGAGCAGCAGGGTGACGACGACGGCAGCAGCATCAGCAGCAGCAGCAGCAGCAGCAGCAGCAGCAGCAGCAGCAGCAATGCACTGATTGCTGGTCTTTCTGGCGACGCGTTGACTGCTGCAATCGACCGCGCGCGGCAGGCACTGAAGGCACTGGCGCCCAGGTGCGATGCGGCCCCTGAGAACCAAGACCACCATGCGCGTCGTGTGCTGTATGCCGAGCTGGAGCTGCTGCGCCTGGACTACGAGGAGCTGCTCGATGCCCAAGCGGCTCAGTTGTCCGACGGCAAATCGGCGGCTGCTGCTAATGCGACGCTGTCATCGTCGTCCTCGTCGTCCACATCCGTCTCGGCAGCGTCATCAGCGTCATCAGCATCATCGGCATTGACTTCGGCTTCGGCTTCGGCTTCGGCATCGGCATCGGCGGCTGCAGCGACTTTTGCGAGCGACGCGGCTTCAGCTGCGGATGATGACAGTCACGAGGAGACGCTTCCGGCTGCTGACTCTGGCGCTGTGACTGCTGCCAAGCAGCGCAAGAGCACCAAAGCGAGCACCACCAGCACCACCACCACCACCACCACCACCACTGGTCTGAGCAGCAGCGAGGATCCGACCATGGCAGAGTTCAATCGTCTGCGCGCCAGACTCGCCCTCAAGCCAAACCGGAGCAAAACGCCAATGATGGCGCTGCGAATGTTCGCCGGCGTTGTCTACATTATTGCGTTTGTCCCACTGTTCTACCTGTTTGTCCCGATACGGCCGCTGCACATTCTGCTCCGAAAGGTCGGGATCAAGAACAACTACCTGCCGATGGACTTGCTGCACCGAGCATTTGCAAAGGGCCTGCTGCGTGTGTGCGGCGTTGTTCTGCGTGTGGATGGGTACGACCACTTGGACTGCAACAACCCCACCGTCGCCATGTTCAACCACTCTTCCTCAACCGACGTCGTTGCGCTCACTGCCGCGTGCCCAGTCGCGTTCAAATTCGTTGCCAAGAAGCAGCTCTTTTACGTCCCAATTATCGGCTGGGCGCTTGGGTTGATTGGGCACATTGCCATTGACCGATCCAACCTTTCCAAGGCCAAGCTCTCGCTCGAGAAAGCCGTTCGCAAGATTCATCGATGGGGACGGTCCATTGCCATCTCACCCGAAGGCACTCGCTCCAAGTCTGGCCTCATTGCCGAATTCAAGAAGGGCCCCTTCCATCTCGCTCGACAGGTCAACCTGCCAATCACCCCCATCATCATGACCAATGCGTTCGAGCTGTGGCCGCACGGGCAGATCTGGACCGAGCCTGGCGTGGTTGATGTCCACTTTTTGCCGCGCATCACCATCGAAAAGGACGACACTGTCACTTCCCTATCCCGCAAGGTGCATCGCAGCTTTTTGCATGGCTCGCTCCTTCGCCCAGTTCAGGGTGCGCAGATTTTGGGCTCGACGTGGAGCAACTTTGCCGCTCTGAGTCTGTTCTACGCTGTTTTCTTCTTTCTCGTCTCGTTGTTCCTTGCGTGATGCTCAACCTGTCGGTGCAGATTTTTTTTTCAGAATTGTTCTTTGTTTCGCTGTTAGTTGCCACATGAATACATTGGTGTGAGTTTTAATTATGCAGTGGCTGGATTGTTCGTGATTTTTTTTTTTTTTTTTTTTTTTGGTGCGTTGGTTTGGGCTATTTGTGAGACGTGCTACTGAGGGTCGGATGAGGGACGATAAGTATCAGTAGGTGATGTGTTGTTCCTTTGTTGAGTGAAGGAAAAACAACAAACAAAGCAAAACAAAACAAAACAAAACAAAACCACCACCAAAAAAAAAAAAAAAAAAAAAAAAAAAAAAAAACCAAAGCTTCGCCTTCCCATTTGCATTCCATCAAAATGGACAATTGCAAGCAAACACAAAGATGAGGAGGAGATAGAGAGTAGAATGACGCTTTGAAACGAATCTGGTTTTGTTTTTCATTTCAGTGCTTTTTTTTTTTTGTTTCTTCTTCTCTCAGCAATAGAGGGGGGTCGCCTAACTCCGGTTTTGATCTCATGTCAGTCCTCTTTGCGTCATTCCACCGCTCTCTATAAAATACATGTATGTGACCCTATGTGAGTAACTTGCCAAAGCGGCTGGGGCGGGGAGACCCTCCTGGGCCGATATCCATTTGGCTGGCGCAGCATTACGGAAAGTCACAACTCGAAAAGGGTCGCCTAACTCCGGTCAAGGCATCCAGGCCGACCAGGGACGGCCTCCGCGCCGCTCTCTCACCGGAAGCATATGGCAAACACTGAGTTGATGACACCCTGAGCAGGAGGAGCCCGCTGGCTTTGTAGGTTGCTCGATGCGACGGCTTGCTTCCAAGGGCGCCTAACCCAGGCCGAGACAACTTCGAGGGAAATGACTCCAGCCGTCTTCTTTCATGTTGAATGTGTTTCTAGTATGCTATTGTATTGAATTAACAAGGATTAGGGCAAGAACAAGCATCTGGTGCCTTGGCAGCTGGGTCAAGTTGACGGTCATCGGCGGCGGCTCCACAGCGTGGGCTTCGGTGTCGAGGCGTACCCTTTTGTTCACAGGGTTGTTAATGTCGCCCAAGGCGTCAATTTCAAGCCGGCGGGCTGCGCGGAAAGGGCGAGGGCGGATGTTATCCGCGATTTCGCGTCTCTGGACCTCTCCGTCACTCTGGGAGTCAGTGCGTGTGACTTGTGACACTCGCTCATTGTCGTCAGAGTCATAACCACTCTCGTCCGCCTCGTGTCCAATGTTCGACGCTTGCTGGGAGTCCGAGTCCGATGCGCTGTCGTCTTCCGCCGCAGCCCGCCGCGCTCTGCGCGCGGTTGATGGCTTCGAAGCAGCTGCAATTGATGGAGAGACGGGTTGTGGTTGCCTCGGCAGCCGTCTACGCTTCGGTTTTGCAAGTGACTGAAGCTCCGTGTCCTTGGCGATACGATCGTCGTCCAGTTTGGCCAGTTCTGCCTGCGCATCATGCGTTGCATCCTGAGCTCGAAGCTCCTCTCGTCGTTTGTCGATGGTTACAGCTCTTGGGTAATGTAGCCGCTAGGCGAGACCCGGTAATTGGCGACATTTGGAGGCAGACTTTGAGTGGCCGCGTTCTTCTGTGCGTTCTTTTTTTTTTTTTTCAAACCGATGTGTATTTGTATTTAACAGTACTCACACCGTCGTAACAACAAAAGTTCGCTGAGCTGCGCCGCTGGCATTGGCGTATGGAGCTCTAGTCAAACATCTGCAGCCCAGATTTGATGTCTGGGGTGCTAACAACATTTTGGTCGTCGCAGAGGACGAGGATCATCTTTTGGAGAGTCGAGTCGGGCTCGATTGCGAGTGCGTTGCCCCAGAGCTTATGGAAGCCTGGGCTTGTCTTGAGTTCTTTGTTTGTGCGGCATGTGTAGGTGTCTTGCCTCGCGCGATTGAGGACGAGGCTTCGGAAGTGCGCAATAGCGTGGTCTGTGTGGATGGTTGTGTGATCGAAGCGGGCGTGGCACCGCAACGTCCAGAGTGTCCATCGGGCAGGTGGAACAAGATGGTGAGACACGAGCGGGAGTGATCGTGCTTCTTGTCCACAATGAGCAGTTCGTATCGGTGTGTGCGCCAAGGTTCGAGCAGCTTCGTTTTGGGCTTTGTTTTGTTTTTTGTTTTTGATTTCCCTCTCGTTCATGTTTCAAGTCGGCGTCCGTACTTGTCATCCTCGTCCATGCCATTGTTGTGTTGTTGTGTTTTTCAGTCTTCTTGATGATGTGGCGGCGCTTTTTTTCTTCTTTGTGTTTGCGTCGCTGCCGCACTTTTCGTGCGTTTGGCACCGGCTGGGGTCTGCACTCTGCGTTTGAGAGATGATTTGTGAAAGCACAACCAATGAGACTGACTGAAACAACCGCGTTGTTCCGATGGATTGAAAGTCAGCCATGCTGTCGTACCAGAGCATGAGCGCGAAACAGCGGGAGTTGTACGACAAAGTCAAGAATGCCAGTCAATGGTTCGGGTACGAAAAGGCCGGAAATATTGGAAATAAATTGCGACAACATGTGTACTGATGAAATGGAGGATAGACTGCCATACAATCAAATTGACGATGCCGGCGCACAGGCGATTGCTGAGGGACTCAAAAGCAATTCGAAGGTGACGGGACTCTCGTAAGTCATCTCGCTTCGAGTGATGAGTGTGAATGGGTGGCTTCGGCAGAGTGGCTCACTATGGGAGGGGATGGACAGTCTGTGGAGCAACCAAATTGGTGATGCTGGAGCGCGGGCGATTGCTGAGACACTCAAAGTCAATATGACGATAACTGAACTCGAGTAGGTCGTCTCACTTTGACAAGTGCATGTGAGTGGGCGATCTAGTAGAGGGCATTACGAGTGCTCACTGATGGACGGACAGTCTGAACTACAATCAGATTGGTGATGCTGGGGCACAAGCGATTGCTGAGACACTCAAAGTGAACACGACGTTGATCAAGATCGAGTAAGGGGTGTCACTTTCCCTCAGCAGGGTGCATTTAGAGTGCTCATTGATGGAGGGGATGTACAGTCTGCATGGGAATCAGATTGGCGATGCTGGAGCACAGGCGATTGCTGAAGCGCTCAAAGTCAACACAACAGTCACTAACCTCGGGTAAGTCATCTCACTTTGACGTGAGTCAGCAGAGGTGTTCATAGTGCTTACTAATGACTGAACAGTTTGTACAATAATAAGCTTGGCGATGCTGGAGCGACGGCGATGGCTGAGATGCTCAAAGTGAACAAGATGCTGACATCGCTCGTGTAAGGCATCTCACATTAACTGATATTTGTAAATGGTGATGTCAGCAATGACATTTAGCGTGGAGGAGATGGACAGTTTGGGCAACAATCAGATTGGCGACGCTGGAGCGAACGCAATTGCCGAGTCACTCAAAGTGAACACGTCCTTGCGAACGCTCGAGTGAGTCACATCACTTTTGCTGGCGCTTGTCAGTGGAAGTCTTTTCAACAAATGGTACTCACAGTGCTCATTGATGGAGCAATTTGACAGTTTGCGCACGATTGGCAACGCTGGAGCGCAGGGAATGACTGAAGTACTCCAAATGAACACGACGCTGACTGACCTCAGGTGAGGCATATCATAGTCACTGATGCATGTGAGTGGGTAGCAGAGGGTACTCAAAATGCTCATTGAATGGAACGGACCGACAGTCTGCGTCAAATTGGCGACGCAGAAGCGCAGGCCATTGCTGAGGCACTCAAAGTGAACAAGACCTTGACTTATCTCAGGTAATCCATCTCACTTTGACGAACGCGTGCGAGTGGGGATTGTAGCAGAGGGCATTTAGAAGGCTCACCGATGGAAGGGACGGACAGTCTGGACTTGGGGTATATTGGCGAGGCTGGAGCAAATGCGATCGCTGAGTTACTCCAAGTGAACTCGACATTGTCGCGTCTCAAGTAAGTCATCACACTTTCAACGATGCTTGCGTATGTGCGATCCAGCAAAACGAATTCAGGGTGCTCACGAATGGAGAGAATGGACAGCCTCAACCAGAATCAGATTGGTGATGCTGGAGCGCATGCAATCGCTGAAGCACTCACGGTCAACACGAGGCTGACACATCTTGGGTAAAGCATCTCACTTTACAGATGCTTGTGAGTGGATGATTCAGCAGGGGGCATTTCAATGCTTACTGATGGATGTACAGTCTGAGTGAGAATGAGATTGGCAATGCGGGAGCGCAGGCGATTGCTGAGGCACTCAAGGTGAACTCGACGCTGATTGTGCTCTTGTAAGGCAGCTATCCCTCATAGTTCCACTTGAGCTAACTGATGGATGGAACGCACAGTTGGGACGACAATCTGATTGGCGATGCTGGAGCCCAGGCGATTGCCGAAGCGTTCAAGGTGAACTCGACGCTCGGGGATATTTTGTACGGTGTCATGCGCTTTGACTTTGAGCCAGGGTGAGCATACATCCTGCTCACTCACTCGCATTGCTCAACAGTCTAACGCGAAATTGCATTAGCAATATTGGTTCTCAAGCAATTAAGCAATGCAACGGCCAAAAGGGTTTTAGGTAAGTTAAGATGTCCATGCCAATCGAAGCCATTGAAGCTCGAGCTGCTTCCAGCCAACAGAGTGTGCCTTCCGATTGCTCATTTATATTGCGCAGCATTTACGACCAGGTTAACCCTCGTGCATTCTCCTTACTTCCACGCGTAGCAACCGCTGACGACCTTCAGACCGTGTTTTGCTTGCTGACCAGCGGACCGGAGCTGAAAGATCAGTCCACATTTCTGCCAGCATTACCAGCTGAGATTGCCGACATCATTATGGACGAAGCGCAACACTGGCAAGGCGTACAGCATACCAAACGAGACCCGTACGATGACCGTCCTGTCAAGGTCACAGTGCCTCCAAGCATCAATGGAAACTCGACCCGTGTGAAAGCAATTCAAGTGGTTCGGGACACGGGAAAACTTTACCACCGCATCGGTGACAACGTCTTTGACTTGATTGTTCGAGATGAGCAAGGTGCTGTTCAGTACAACTGTGCTGTTAAAGCGACTTTTGTCGATTCTACGCTCGTATCCGCGACGCTCTGGCCAGCGAGCACTCCAATCATCAGGCAGATCCGTGTGGGTTGGCAAGTTCAGGTTCAATCCAGCGAGTCTGCCCGAGATGTGCTGTTTGAATCGCTCGTTGTTAGATGTATGTAGAGTACCTGTGTCATACTGTCAGGACCCGCAGGGTCTGTGTTAAGATCCTGGACTGTGTAAGACCTTGGTAGGCAATGTTGTTGTAAAGTGTTTTATTTCACTTTGCAGACTGAACTGCAATTCCAAATGCATGCAAACAATACAAAGACATCAACGCCGAGTCTTCTTGGCAAAGAACGACCCAGTCGGGACCGCAGAGCCTGCGGGTCCTGACACTCTACCCCCTCCCGGTCCTCCCCGCGGAGAAGAGTGTGAAGCGCCCACCGGTGTGGACCCAGGACGCGACGTCGGCAACACCGATGCCGATTTGACAAGTGGACTTGCTGCGGGACTTGCAGCAGCTGTGGGCGGGGTTGCCATGGAACGCGCAGCAACTGCAGATGGGGTTGCCACTGAACGCGTAGCAACGGGTGTCGCACTAGCTTGAGGTGGAGCTTGGCCAGCTGGAGCATCGGGCGTACGACTAGTCGTGGATTGAACAGGGCTCGGCTGGACCGACGGCGATCCATTCGTGAAACGGATATCGAATTACTCTCGCGTAGGCTGTGGCAGAGAAGGTTCGGCCAGATGGAATAAACGAACGGCCCTGGGGAAGCGAGCCCACACGTCTTTGGCCGGCTCCCAGGTGTCTTCACGAGCAGTGGTGCCTACCCTTCGGATGCGATAGTACATAATCTCGCTGTGACGAGTCGAGTCAATCACCGCCTCGACTCGATGTCGAACTGTTCCGTCCCAGTCCTTGACAGGAGGCAGGACTCGCCGAATCCGACCTTCAACGTCATCAGCGACAAACAATTCCAGGACAGATACATGGAAGGTGCGGGACTTGCTGGATGCTTCACCTAGATCCAGCTCAAAGGCACGCTCATTGATCTGCTTCACGACCTTGAAGGGACCATCGCGTACGTACGCCAACTTGGCATACGGTTGTTCGGCAGTCTGACTGCGACGCAGAACTGTGACTAGGCTGCCCACCGTGATCGGAGGTGCTGCCTTGTGGTGTCGATCATAGAACTTGGCTGCGGACATGTTTGCTCGGTGAATATTCGCTCTCAACGAGAAACGCAGTGCCTTGAGTTCCTCCACGCGATCAGCTGCCGTTTGAGGTGCCTTCGGCGACTTGAAGTTAATCTCATCCATTTCCGGCTGAAACCCGTACATGGCCATGAACGGAATGCACTGGATCGCCGCGTGCACCGTGTTGTTGTACGTGAACTCGCACAACCAGAGGGGTCTTGACCAGTCCTCGGCTTCACTGACGTACGCTCGCAGGTATGACTCCAGCGCTTGATTCACCCGTTCCACAAGACCGTTTCCTTGTGGATGATACGCGCTAGAGTAGGAGAGGTCGATGTCCATCGCCTTCCATAGCTTCTTCCAGAACTTTGCAATGAACTGTGGTCCGTGATCAGACAAGACACGAACCGGAACGCCGTGCAGCTTCACGACATTTTCCAGGAACAACTGAGCCGATTCCTCCGCCGTGACAGACTTTGTCGTCGGAATGAAATGTGCAACTCGAGTCAGTCGATCGATGCAGACCATGACTGCGTTAAACCCTTGAGAATCTGGCAGTCCGGTCACAAAGTCGATGGACCAGTCGCCGAAAGGTTTGTCTGCAGCCTCAATCGGAGTCAAGAGACCGTATGGTGCGTGCCTCGCATGCTTCACCATCTGGCAAACTGGGCAAGTGTGGACGTACTGCTCCACGTACTTTCTCATTCCAGGCCAGACAAAGTCGCGTTGAACTAACTCGAGCGTCTTTCGGTTCCCGCAGTGACCTGCTGTCGCTGCGTCATGGCGGTATCGCAGGATCTGTGGACGTAAATGTTCTGGGACGAACACTCGGTCGTCGCGCTTGATGAGGCCGTCGTGGAGTTGGTATCGTTTGGAGGATAGAAGCTCTACTCCTTCTTCTTCCCCCTCGGCCACCGCCTTCTGCAAAGCCTCGCGAATGGCAGTAGGCGTCATGACCGTAGGCGCGCTCGGCAGAGTCGCTCCGGGCGAGAAAACGAAATCTTCGCTCTGCTCGTCATCGGCCTCGCCAGCGACTGGAGCCACCAACAACTCGGGGTCCAACACCCGGCCTTTAAGCTTTTCCTTCGGCCCAGCTCCCGACGCCGAACGGGACATTGCATCCGCCGCACCGTTCTTGGAGCCCTCCAGATGCTTGATGACCAGATCGAACTCGCCCAGCATCTCGCACCACCGAGCCTCGCGCGCCGTCAGCTCCCGCGTCTCCGTAAACCACTGCAAATTCCTGTGGTCCGACCAAACGGTGATCTTGCCAGAACCGCAAACGTAATGTCGCCACTCGCGGAGACACTCTAGGATAGCCAGCAGCTCCTTGTCGTAGACCGAGTAGTTGATTTCCGGCTTCGTGAGCACGCGCGAGTAGTAGGCGACCGGATGCAGACCGTCGCCGGACTCCGACCTCTGCATCAGCACACCACCCAACGCGAGATCAGACGCATCCGAGAAAATCTCAAACGGCCGCGACGTGTCGGGGTACGCCAGCACTGGCGCCTGGACGAGCGCCTGCTGGATCGCGCGGAACGATTTCTCGCACTCCGCCGACCAGACGAATGGGACATTCTTCCGCGTCAGCATCGTCATCGGGCGCGCCAGCTCCGCATAGTTCGGCACATGACGCCTCATGAAGGACGCGAGGCCGTTGACCTCACGCACACCAGTCGCGTCCGTCGGCGGCTTCCAGTTGAGGACTGCCTGCACCTTGCGAGGATCCACCGCCACTCCGGCTTCGCTGACCCGCCGCCCCAAGAAGTCAACACTCGACGTGCCAAACACGCACTTCTTCAAGGAGACGTACAGGTCAAACTCCCTCAGCCGAGCCAGCATCTGCTTCACGTGGAGCTCGTGCTCCTCCGGCGTCTTGGAGAACACAATAATGTCGTCAAAGTACCCTCCAGCGAAAGCGGAGAGCGGGCCCATGACCTCATTAATCAGACGCTGGAACATCGCCGGCGCGTTGACCAACCCGAAACACATGACCCTGTGCTGGTACAGCTTGCCGTCGCACGGGAACGCCGTGTATTTCTCACTGTCGGCGCTCAATCTCACTTGCCAGAACGCGCTCGTGAGATCAAACTTGCTGAAAATTTTCGCGCCCTTCAGCTTGTCAATCAGCGCCAAGGCATCAGGCGACGGGTACCGATCTCTGATCGTCGCCTCATTCAGACGCCGGGAGTCCATACAGACGCGCCAGCCATCACCCTTCTTGACGAACATGGGCTGGGAGCAGAACGCGGACTCGGACTCCACAATCATGCCAGTCTTTTTTTTAACCGTCTAAAGCTTTATTAAGAATAACAAAGAAAAAAGAACGTAGGATATGAGACAGTTGAATGTCGTCATAACGCACACCGG